CCCCGTTGCGTGAGTGGTATCCTCCACCCCCAAGCAGATGCGCACTATGAGGCGTCGCATGGCCAGAGCGCGAGGCCCGCGGATTGTGGTCTCGTGCTGACCGGGGGAAGGGACGGCCGACGGTGTGGGCCCTGGTGTGGGCCATCTGAGAGTCGCGAGGTCCTGAATGTGAGTCGGAGTAGGTAGAGAGGTTCGCTGGAGCGGAGGCAGAATCGGTTATGGGTTTTCGGGCGTGTATAGAAGCCTCCAAGCCCTCACGCTCGTCGTCAGAATCCGCCTTCGACTCCTTCGCCGTCTTGATAGCCTCTAGTGGCGCCGTGGATATTTCCGGGGTCTTTGAGCCAACTATGACTAACGGTGTTGAGACTTTGGAGGCCTCATCGATCTTCTCTTCGCCTTCCGGCCGTTGATGAAAAATGACTGGCGGCTTATGCTGCTCGGGTTCAGGCACCGGATTCGCGGCTGTCGATCCTTTCCCTGCAGAAGCCTCCGTTGAAGCATTATTTAGCGATTTTGCGGGTGGGGCATTGCGCATAGGTATGGCTTCGGACCGATGCGCCGCGAGAGGGTTGATAATTGGCTTCGCTGACAGAGATGGGTGAAGAGGTTTTCTCCGATTCGCGTTTCTGGCTGGCGGGGTCTCCTTTACAGGTTTTGTCTGATCAATTGGCTTCGAGACAACCTTTGTAGCTGCAGGAGGGCTTGCCGTCGTCGTAGACGTTGTTTCATGCAAAGGAGGAGAATTCTTCTTTCGCTCTTGGTTAGTGTCATCAGGGACGAGTGGTAGGGCCAAAACTTCATTTCGGAGGGGGCTGGAGGTGATGGAGGTAGACGCAATGTCCGGAAGAGGTCTCAGACCTTCAACGATGATGGGGGAGATGACTTCCGACTTGCTGGTGGAAAGAGTCGCTGGGTGCACACCCCAGTCATTGAGATCCGGTAAAGTATCATCGTCATCGCCAGCCCAATCAATGTGACTTCCAGGCGTCGACGGTCTGTTATCCATGGCTACTGCTCGGACGCGTTCAACGAGGGCATCGATGTCGTGACGCATGTCGAACTGCTTGTTATTTAGGTGAGGAGGGGTGTCTTTTACGGGTGCGGTGTTGGGGACGGCCGGGAAACGGGGCTTATTAGGACGGGCAAGGTTGTCGTTCGGAGCGGAGGGAGCGATCTTGGGAGGAATGGCATTGGGCTTGCCTGCCTGAGAGCGCCGTCGCTTGCTGTTTGGCTTTGCGGACGAAGGGGCTGATGCGACCTCTGCCACAGGCACTTGGGTATTAATTGTCGGAGGGATGACCCGGGATGCTCTGCGAGAGGCGGGTTTAACTCGGGGTGTGGATGGAGCAGGTTTATCATTGTTCGGCGTAGAGATAGCGGCGGCAGGTTGAGGAGAAGGTTTCGTAGCAGGCACTGGGCTGGGAGGCGAATTATCAGACTTCAGGGGACGCTGGTTGTCTTCTGGCTTTGAGTCTTTGGATGCATTGTTGCGGCCGCCCCGACCACCCCGAGGGCCTCCACCGCGCCCTCTTCCACGACCACCACGACTGAGGCCGTTGAATGCGCTCCCGGGCTCGCCAGACCTTCCCCATCTTGGCGCAGAGTTGGAAGAGGCTGGAGGGTAAGACGGACCAGAAGCAGGGGTCGCCATTGAAACTATTCAGCTAGAGGACGAATACCGGATGGGTTCTGCAGACTGTGGCTAAGATTGTCAAGACGGACACTGCATAGAACAATCAGCGTACATTTATGTTGGCCGTTGGTGGTGGGTGGTGAGATTTCGGAAAAGAGAGATGTCGCGCTGGTGTCACAAATAGCAGCTAGTGCCAAATACGGCAAAGCACAACTCTCCTTCTCCACTCATCATCCAATGTCAAAAGCATCGCAGCCAGAGCTAAAAAAGGTCCCAATTGTAATATCTATATGCTGTTCTCGCTTACGATATTCCTCTGTTGCAGTTCATGGACAAAAAACTCTTTGTCCACCTCCAAGGCGGCCGGAAGGTCAGCGGAGTCTTGCGCGGCTATGACCTTTTCCTGAATCTTGTCATCGATGATGCGGTCGAGGAGTCGACCCCCGCTCAAAAGCACCCCATTGGCACAGTGGTGCGTCCTCAGACGCGTTGATCATGAACGTGCTCACTGATGGACATTTGTTTTCAGGTAATCCGCGGTAACAGTGTAACATCGATGGAAATATTGGAGGCGATGAGATGAAGGCATGCACGATCTAAGTAACAACCTGGGCTTGTACGAGAAGGAGTAGATGTACGGATTATAATGAGACTCGCCTTCGACTTGCACAAGTAGACTCGAGGCAGGCGGTAGCGATTGTTTGGCAATCACAATCAAATCAAGCAGCGTCTGAATTTTTGGAAACGGAAGTTGTTCACGTCGCGTCGGTCATCGTGCGCGATGTCTGGTCGCTGCCTTTCTCACTCTGTCCTCGCGCCTGTTGCTCATTCACTACGGCGTCGCTCAGCGAACACTCTCCTCAATGCTGCCCGTCGCTTCTCAACCCTCACCATCCCTCCGTTCGCCCCCGAGTTCCACCTGTCACACTCAACGCTATCTGCTGCTTCGTCCTCAAATTATAATGCAATAACTTATGCTCGAGAATCAAGACTAACCGAACTTGTTAATGCTTTGGACACTCATAAAAGCCCTTCCAATGTATGGACCGGATACACCAACCTTCTCAGTGTCGCTGGAAGCGACTACCTTTCCCTTGAGTTGCACCAACGCGTACTCCGTGCGTGTACCCCCTCGACAGAAGAGCTGAAAGCCGCGATTGTGCGAAGACTCAGTGCTGGAAACATTCCGAAAGTACCCCACATCCACGAAATTCGCTTCCAGACCGTCATCCAAAATATTCGGGGTTTAGGTCTTCAGCCGGCATTGGATGACTACAACTTTATTCTGGAGCAATTCGCTGCGGTTGGACATTACGAAGGCTGCTTCCAGGTATATAAGGAGCTCACGCGCTTAGGACATGTACCAACGACGCAAACGTTCAGCGAATGTTTCCAGTCAATAGCACAACGCTTCAAACTACCCATGCAGAAGGTGAAGCGTGAAGCAATATCCACACAAATGCAGGACATATTTGCAATGTACGTGGCTGACATGCACAAGCACAGGGTGCCTATGGACGCGACTTGTTTCGACTTCGCCATACGTGTTCTCAAGCAAACCTTGGACCTACCCGGATTCGAGGCGCTCATGCGCTGGGGATACGCCATTGATCTTTCCAACCCGGACCGCGTCGCGCTGGAGTATACAGATCCAGTGATGTCGGATCCTCCTCTTACACCCTTGCCCTTCACGACCAGAGCCCTTAACACCACGATCGACATGCTCGCCCGCTTTGGCGATATCTCCAAACTCGTGCAAGCATTTGAAGTCCTCACCCAACCGTTACCCCAAGCGAGTCAATACTTCTTCGACTCATTTGAAGCCGACGAAGATGACGACTTCGGCGTAAGGGTCGACGTTGCCTCCCGTTTTCCGCCCCCATACGCCACCCCAAATACCGCAACATATTCCCTGCTCCTGCGGTGCATCTGTAGATCAGGGCACGCAGTGCTTGCACGACATTATCTTATTCAGGCACGACGCCTCGACCGGGCAGTTGCACACGTCCTCAGAAACCGTGTATCAGCACTCGTCAACTCAAGGCGAAGCCTAGCGACTGTGCCTGCACCAGATTTTGCTGTTAACCAAAGTATGCTGGTCTCGGTGTTGGGAGAGGGAAATAAGGACAAAGACCTTGGCCTCCTGAGGTGGCTCCAAGATAAACTGCCATATATCATCCGCAGGCAGAAGGCCGACCTCGACTACTACGACTCAGTAGTGCGTAATCATAGGGACTTGCTACCAAAAGAGAGTCCTACATCACCTCCGACCGCACCAGCCGATGCCGATGCCGAAACGGCAGCGCTTGTGCAACCAGCTCGCGTCAAATATTTTGACCCGAATCTCCACGTCGCCTTCCTCAGACGAAACGTATCCGAGCTGCAGAGCTTCTCAGGACGCATTGAATTTGTAGTTGGACGGACACATCAGCGGATTAAGGAGAGACTCGGGCGGCGTGTCTGGCAGGAGAAAGATGTGTACATCGCTACGGAAAATAGACGAGTGAAGATATCGAAGGCACACTGGAAGCAAACTGTCAACTTCCAACCACGGACGGATACATTCAAGGACCACCTTGTGAATCGCAGACCGTGGTTGCCAGCTCATGCAGACCCTCAAAAAAGACGAGGTTTAAGGCGTCCGTCACACAGCCGACCAGACCCCGATTCTGAACCATAGCATCTGTCTCTCGCGACTGAGCGGGGTCCTGTTCGTAAACCATTCAAATTAGCTTCCAAGATCATGAACTCAGTCTCCTTGAATACTTAGTTCATGGGCAATCTGGTAGATTCTCAGAAACCTGTTCCGCCAGGTTGACCCAGGATTCTGGCTGAGGGGTGGCCTGGAGAGGAAACCTGTTCTTAGACGAAATCAAAAAAGACTAAAACAGCATGAAATGTGTGATCATTCCTTGAGCATGGGTCCTTCCAAGTGCGACGAAACTGATGAAGTCCATGTAGAACGACGAGCGTGACAGCCCAATGGAAGTACCACGACACTCAAGTCAAGTGTTCAGCCTCCTTTGCTTGTTCGTCCACCGCTTTCTCCATTCCGTCGAGCCAGATCTCAACAGAAACACTTGGACTGCTTCTTCCCGCTGTAGGCTGCGTTGATGAGCTGGAAGGCCCAGGAGCAAGGCCCACATTTCCGAGACCAATGTACCGCGCGAGGGCAAGTACGGGGAGTCGTCGGAGAGCTCGTCCTGACATCCCCTGTTTCTAAAACGCACAATGAATACAGGACATGAAAGAAGCACAAGATAAGCTTACCCGACATTGGAATGCCAGTGCGAGTAGACGCAGCCCTATACTTCTTGATCGCTCTTGTCCATCTGCAACATCCGAACGACCATTCACTTTGCTCACAAGTTCATACATTTGAACTTGTTTCAAGGTTGGGATGGTCTAGAAGTATTAAATAAATAAAAATCTCTGACAAAGACTGGCAATGGCAACAAGAGGAACCTACCACAGAAGCCACAATTCCCTTGAGGATCATCTCACATAGGCAGGTTCGCAAAATTTCGTATATAGCTTCTCGCGACGGGAGGTCGACGTATTGGATAATGTCAGCGCGGTCAACAAATGCGGTATCTGTTGGTAAATACGTCGTTCTCAAATTCGAAAGCAAGATGTCATGAACCTACCAATCGCCTTCACGAGATTGCTCGTGGCCATGATCAGTACATTCTTCCGCGTCTTCAGTTTGTCCAGCTGTGTTAAGAGAGCATTCACGACCTGCAACAAGCAATTAAGAAAGGAGAAACCGCAGATAATTCTGACACGCACTCGCAGACCGTCAGATGGTTCTGTTCCTGCCATAGCACCAGCTCGAGCAGCTGTCAACGATTCAACCTCATCTAGGGTAATCCTGAGTAAAAGTGCAGCATATATGCGTTCGTTAAATACACACCAATTAAAACAACGACGAATCCATCCTCCTCTTCCACTAGTTCGGTGATGTTATTGAATAATCTTTGGACTAGCTTTCCTGATTCAGAGAACCACTTCGAGAAGAGAGAATGGGAGTTGATTTCCAAGAGGCGAGCATGTGAGTAGCTAAATTGCATGAATGTCTGACAGCGGGCGAGGGTTGAGTCTTACCGGTGTGATAAGCGAATGGCAAGTTTTTGCCCAAGCGCTCGACACAAAGATGTTTTTCCCGTTCCAGGAGGGCCGTGTAGGAGAACAACACGATTCCACGATACAAGATTGACTTGGATAGTTCAGAACTCATTGGCAGGGAGATTAAATGCATAGGACATACAGTCAACATTGGCATCGCTGAGGACGAGAGTTGCATGGATGTAGTCAAGAAGCTTCATTTTGATATCGCCCGCGTATATTAGCGAATCCCAGAGACCCTCATAGCTTCGATTTGGGAGCTCGCAAATACTAGCAGCCATGGTGTCGTCGTCTTCCCCTCGACTCCCCGAGCTGTTGCTGAACTCTTCGAAGGCATCGCCATCCGATGGTTGATATACGTGGGCCTGAATCACCATCTCCTCCATCTTCAGTGATGCGGTCGGACACTGCGCTTCGCAGACAGATATTCGCTCAACGGAAGAGAGAAGTTCAGGAATATCCTCCCAGCCGCTGAGGGTAGACGGAAGGACAAGTCGTTCAAAAGAAGTCACATAAGAGTGAACCAGGTTTCGGATGGTGTCAAAGCGTGAGGATGCTCTTGGCTTGAGCCTGACTTCCACTGTGGATGCATTGAAGCGTCAGATCTCAGCTACGTCGAAAAGCAACATACCATGGACAGTCCATCTCATTGCGCCTGTCGTTGACGCCTGATTTGCTTCTGGAGCTGGTGTTTGAGATTCCATGGATATATCTGCAGAGACCATGAGGGTGGTAAGTGGAAGGGTAAGACCAAACGCGTCCACATCCGATAAATTGAGGACCAAACAACGCGTGAATACCATCCACGTGACCATGACATGCCAAGTCTGTCTCTCAGTCTGTTCTAGTCTGTTCTAGTCTGTTCTCTCCTTCGATAACGATGTCCTGCGCAATTGACGAAAAGCAGGCAGACAGTGGGCTCGATCCATCGAATTTGGTCTTTCCTACCCCTCTTGCGTCAACAACAATCACCATTGAATTTTGCGACAGAGTGCGTCCTCTGTAACTCAACTTGTGGAGGTCTCTCCCTTACACCCAGCTCTCAGTGCCGATGGTATGCAAGAACATCTACATCCACGCTGCCGAGCCCTAATGCAGGTGTAGGCTTCATCGCGCAACCTGGGTTCAGACTGAACTTTTCCTGACCTTTCCTTCGCCTACTATCGGCTGCATCTCCCTGGTCCCTCTCGCCTCCGACGAGACTGCAGGGCGTTTCCGAGTTTGGCTCTCAATTCCAGGGTCGGAGGCTCCTTTGTTGATGTGGGACAGGAAAGTTGAAGGGGGATTCCCTGAACTAAAGGTCCTCGTAAGTATCCACCAGCTATCTTCATTCCTTTGCGCTTCATCTTGCCACTTTAGAAACAGCGTATTCGCGACAAGGTACAGCCAGGAAAATCTTTAGGACACTCTGATAAGCATGCAGGAGGGGCATAGACATTTTGCCATCTACTCTACTCAATCTAGTTTTTGTGTGTACAGTAGCAATTCATATATGTAATTCCGTGTAGGTAAGGTACGCGTGATGGCCAAAATAAGCTTCCATGTGGCCCTTGCCAACTTGGACCGACTCCCATCCCTCTCCGCCTTGCCTCCCATCCCTCGCTGTCCCTTGGCCCTCTTCTGCCATGGACGCGAGTCAGTCGTCGTATGAGAAGCTCATAGTGCAGTTCAGGTCCAATGGTCAGTCGTCTCGTCATTACGGTTGCTCCACCCTCAACTCCAATAGACGTCGACAGCAAGGTTGATGCCCTAACGAAGCTACAGACGCATTTTGAAAAGGGCGTCTTAGAGGTTAGTCGTATGAGAAGACTGTCTGTTGATACCTCTAATGCCCTAATGATGCCAGATCCCGGACGCTGACACCCTCATCGGCATCCTGAAGGCCTGTCTACGAACGTCTAACCTCCACCTCACAAATGCCACACTGTCTGCACTTCCAGCCATACTGCCATCCTTAATCACACGTCCATCCGGTCTTGCTCAATCCAACATCGTCAACCCCGCTGCCTCATCATCAACATCCTCCGCTTCTCCGTCCGGAGGCTTTGATACGGTTACGCTTCGGTCAGCCCTAAACGCGTTCCTGCCGACGGGCGGGGTTGTTGACCGTCTCGGAGACAAGGAAAAGACACAGGCAAAAGCGCGTGAAACATTGGTTCTGCTCGGTGGATATGCTTTCAGAGCTAGTAGTGGAAGCACCATTTCGACGAAGTCCGGCAAAATGCAAGAGACCCCCATCGCTATTTTTGAACGTGTCTTGAGGGAAGGTGGCTTGGCAAGCAAAGTGTGGAAAGTGCGAGAGCAGGTCAGTGTATTCGGGTTCGTGTGTTAGGGACCCACTCATTCCACCGTCCACCAGTCTATCCTGACTTTGGTTCATATCCGGCGTGCTCACCATCTTTTCCCGATCCGCCCTTACCTTTCTCTTCTCGTCGACTGCTTAGAAGACACCGATGCACACGTACGTGACTGTGCGCGTCAATCCATCATTGAGCTGTTCTCTGGTCCTGGCGTTACCGACGCTGCCCGTGCAGACTTGAAGAAAGAAATGACGAAGAAAGGTGTCAGGAAAGCGATCGTAGATGGGGTACTTGCGAAACTACTGGGTGGAGCTCCTCAAAAAAACGAAGGCTCAGAAAATGACGACGTGCCAGGAGGCAAAAAGGAATACGTCCCGCCTAGTTTGGCCCTTCAGGGAAAACGCCCCCGAGTAGCTAGCCAGACCCAATCCCACAGCAACGCAGGCCCAAGTACAACTATTGCACGGTCTGTAAGCCAACCGAGCGTCCTTTCTCGCCCCGCAAGCCGAGCTGCAATGGTCTCGCCACCGCCACAAACGCCGACCGCAGAGGGCGTAGATGTCGAGCCTGTCTACGTAAGTCAAACTTTGAGGCATCTTTGAACAGATGATTTATCGAAAATATGCGACAGATTGCGTCAAGCCGAGACTTGGAAAGTGAATTCGCGGCCATGCAAAAAATGTTCGAGGTATCCTGTTTTTCTTCCTGCGATCAAGAAACACGAGCTTAGAAGTGATTCAAGGGAAAAGAAACTGAGCAAAACTGGCTTGGAAGAGAACAAGCTATCCAGCGAGTTCGAGGAATGCTCAAGGGTGACGTCCATACGCGATACCCTGAGCCATTCCTACTAGCATTGAAAGAAGGATTCATTCAGTGGTCGCTCAAAACAGTGTGTCGCATGTGTATAATCTCCCATGCCTTTACTCATTTCTTGTTCCTGTAGCTTGCGAGCTTGAGGACCACTGTTGCTGTGAACACATGCCTCCTCTATGCCGAATTAAGCCTGGCCCTGGGGCCTTTACTTGACCCTCATTGCGAGCTTCTTTTAACTCATTTGTTGAAGATGGCAGGTTTTACCAAGAAGCTGACTGCGCAACAATCCCAGTCCGCAGTTACTGTCATTCTCACCTATTCATCCACCCCCCCAAGAATAATTATCCCAATGCTTTGGTCATTACTTCAAGAAAAAACCGTCCAAGCACGAGTGTATGCTGCTGGACACTTTAAACATTACCTAGAAGTCCATGGCCATCGTTCCAAGACGGCAATTGAGACATCGAGCGGCCTGGAAACCCTGGAAAGGGCTTTGAAGAAAGCACTCGCTGATCCGAATCCTTCTGTTAAAGACGGTGCCCGCCAGTGGTTCTGGGCCTTTGAAGACGTCTGGCAAGATCGTGGGATAGCTATTCTGGAAAGCTTGGACGCGATTGCACGAAAGCAACTAGAGAAGGCGTGCCCGAATCCAGAAGTGCAAGCAGTACTACCGCCGACAACTCCAAAGCAACCAAAAAAATCGAGTGTTGCTGCTGCCATCGCTGCCAGTCGTGCTAAAGCAAAGGCAATCGCAACTGCGCCACCTTCACTGCGCCACCAAGCTACATCCTCTTCCTATGCTGGAGGAGCCCAGCGAAGGGCTGGTTCTCCGAGTATATCTCCGAGGCAATCTCTCACTCGACCTGTATCTCCGCTGAGAGTGGCTACGTCCCCTCCTTCACCTAGTCGGCAACGTATTGTTTCTGCGACTTTGACACGTTCAACGAGCGCAACAAACCCATCGACGACGACGCCATCACATTCCCGAACACCGTCGGCTGAGAAGTTAGTAGACAGTGCACGATCCGCGTCCCCCTCCCTGTCAGATTCGGGAGCAAGAAGGCGTACATCCTCCCCTCTATCTGGTGCCGCTACCGGTTCCAGTATTCGTGAGGCTCTTGCAACTGCCTTACCCGCTTCGCCTCCACCTTCAGTTGGTCAAATATCCCCTACCCCACGCGGCCCGGCCACTAGAAATGGCGCCGCTCCTCTCCTATCACGACAATCCTTGGCCCAGATCCCTGCTCACGACGACGCCTCTCTTCTTATGGCACAAACTGTTCCGATACCAGAAGACGACACAGATTCAGAACACTCGATTAACCTTATGTCTTTCTCCGCTCCTTTCGAAAAATATCCTCCCAAGCAGTCTGTTTCTGATTCAAGACCGAGTGCATCTGTGTCGAATGCCCTCTCATCGGGGTCTATCTCAGACATGACGGTCAGCCAACAACCGATCGTCGAGGATGCTCTCCGAGCACGAGCGGAGCAAGCAGAGAGCGCTGCAGAGCGACTCCTGGAACTCGTGGAACCCGAGGATGAGGGGATGATGCATCATCCTTCACTTCCTGCTTCGTTGTTGAGAACAACGAATGGGCAGAAGCAGCCAACCCCCAAGCCAAAGGCAAAGCCTGCGCCACTGCCAATAAAATCAGGAAAAGCGGCGCCTGTGACCCCCAGCAATCGAGCCAGTATGATTATGAGGCAAGCTGCCTTGTTTACTGACAGTCCAGCGCAAAATGGGAAGTCTGGATCTTTACTTGATGTGCTGCAGAATCGGAAGCTAGAGACGGGTTGGTGGCTCAAAAGAAAGACACGTAGGTGCCCAGTTTGTCCAACACATCATCTGAAGATACTGACGTCTCCCGTTAGTTCTCGCACAGGCAACTCCTGTCAGTGCAATTGTCTCTCCAGAGAGAGTGCAGGAGCTTGACGGCCTAATAGCCAGTCTGGATAGCGGCCAGGCGGATGTTGCAACCTTAAAACAATTGGCCCTTATTTGCATGGCCAATACGGTTGCAGACCTCCCCTCTCCCCCACTAAGTCTTGAGACTTTCCCTACCAGCCCTACGCCATTAGACACATCACGTTCGATACCTGCGCTATACTCTGATATATGGGAGAAGAACAACACCTTCGACAAGCTTTTCAAGGCTTTGATCAAATATTCAGTGCCTACCAGGGTATGTTTAAACGAGTTTCCGTCGCCTATGTTACTGATTTTCTCCGAATCGTAGACAGAGGATGAGCTAGCCTACAGCCTTATAATTGCGTGGGAAATGCTCGAAAGTCAATCAGTTTATCTCGAGGGCAAGGAAGGTGATATGTTCTTAATGATCTTAAATGTTCGCTATTCCAACACGGCGAATGTAAGTTCATGTAGGCGCATTTGTTCATGGCCACACTGAACCCATCTTGTAATAGGTTCTGGAAGGAACAAATGCAATCCGAGATGCTCTTACCGCCAAACTCGATCCAGTATACGGCCTGACGACGATGCATGCAAGCCTTAAGGTTTTCCACTCAGAAGCACCACCGAGCCCTGATGAGGAAGAAATGAAGGCTGCAACCTATGCCTTTGGTCTGATGGCTCTAGGGAAATTCATCCTCCGTCTGCCAGCTGAGATAGCAGAAGAAGAGCTTCCTCGCCTCAAAGGAACACTGATTACAGTGAGTTCTTTTTCACCCCTTGGATGACTTTCAACCAATGTCTATTTGCCTTGCGTTCTGCAGGCTCTAAACGATCGATCCTCTCTCATTGTGCGAGAGTCGGCTGCCGCGTCTATTATCGCTGCGCAGCTCGTACTGCGTGACGAGACCCATCTATTTACGCTCCTTGACGGACTTGCGGACGAGAAAAAGAATCTCCTCACATACTTGTTCGACAAGCATTCTGCTCGTAGCGTTGGCAGCCCTAACCCCCAGACCGGAATGGACAAGCTGGAAAAGGAGATGAGAAGACTAGACAATCGCACAAGCACGCCTCTTCGAGGTGGGCTTTGATGTGTTATGTTGCCGTTCGTTTCTATCCGTTCGCTTTTATGCCATGCAGCACGATACCACTTTGCTTTGTAAGACTACTAGTATGCCTCTATGTAATCTTTAATCGCGGTAATTTTGCTAGCTTCCGTCTACGACTTATGTGGACTTTCAACGGAAAAGAGCTGGGGAACTTGTGGGGAGCAATGGGAAGTACCTTCTACGACTAAGCAGGAGCACGTCAGCGGCAAAGTAACCCGAATTGAGTCGTTGTTGGCGGTTAGCATTCCAAACGTTGTTTAGACGCTTTCCTTCTGCCGAGGATCATCTCAGAACGCCTGTCTGTGGATGCGCATTCGGCAATTCCTCGCCTATCGTCGACAAGCGGCGAGTCTCTCAATTCAGTCTACCTCTATCAATGCCCGTCATAGCCGTCTTCTCGAGTCTCTTCAGGATGTCGGTCTAGCGTCGGGTCGTCGTCGGGCTGCTAAAGGTCGGCGTTGCTCCAAAGCTGGTGCGAACATTGGTCTCTCGACTACGAAGGCCTGGATAAATAGCTGGGATGGACACACTGTTCGCTTTGGCAGCCACAGCTCCTCCTGTTCCTACCCAGTCTTCCTCGCTATGATTCAGAAGCTCACTGGAATCCTCGCTACCGCGACCTTGTTCACTGCCGCTCTTGCGGGACCTGGTCCAAACTGGCCAGGATTCGCGGGCTTGCGTTGGTCCTTTGTCTTGTGAGTCTTTGGACGAATAGCTCTATGCGATTGCGACACTATTTTCCAAATCTCTTGATATCACTAGTGGAGACAGCTACACGACTGTCGGCTTCAACAGCAGGTCTCCGGTACCCAACGCCCAAAATCCACTTGGGGTGACCTACCCTGGTAACTTAGGCCACTTATATGGGTTGAGAAATGGGTTCTGACTGCGAACATTTAGGTCAAACCACCTCAGGCGGTCCCAACTGGGTAGGCTACTTTACAAGCACGTACAACTCGAGCCAGATCTGGACTTTCGATTACGCGATCTCTGGTAACACCGTCTCGGGTGTGCAGGGGCAGATCCAGGATTATCAGCCTGCTGCCGGCTCGAAGCCAAGCTATGCTCCTTGGACTGGAAGCAACTCGCTTCATGGTGTGCCCCGAAGGTTCTTTGTTATCCTCGTTGACTGAGACGCTCATACAGCGACCTGGATTGGAATCAATGACATCAAGTATGTATATTGTACAGAACGACAACGGCTCGGTGGATTGAGGCCTTCTTAAGCTTTGGCGCTCAACCGGCGCAGGCGATTTCTCAGCTTTTCCAGCTCCAAGAGAACCTCTACACCAACGGCGCCAGGAACTTCTTGTTCGTCAATGTTCCGCCATTCCATCGTGCTCCATTTTGTACGTTGCACGCAATGAACATTTTCATATAAGTATCTTGATCTACATTTCTTGCCAGCAAACAACAACCAGAATACCTTGAACCAAATCAATACCTGGAACACCGCTCTCACCACTGCTGCCAACTCTTTCCAGAGCAGGCATGCGGACGTCTCTGTATTCGTTTACGACTCTTTGTATGTGTTCCGAAACTTCGCTCATCAGATCGCTAACCGATTCATGTCCTATAAAGCTCGTTGTACACCAAATTGCTAAACAGTCCTTCGCAGTACGGCTTCACCGACATCACCACGTCTGGCGGCAGCTTCTGGTACGACGTCATCCACCCCAGAGCAAGGGTGCACGATTACATGGCCCAGGACTTGGTGGAGTTCTTAAAGGCTCAGTCAACAGGCACTGAGCCCACCAACCCACCTACGACCGGTCCCACAGACCCACCGCCACCCGCCACCGCCCTTCCTCCAACGACCACGATCGCTCCTCCGCCTACAACCACGACGCCTAACCAGCCGCTTCAGACTCGGTATGGCCAGTGCGGTGGGCAGGGATATACGGGGCCCACGGCCTGCCAGGCACCGTACACTTGCACCTTCTCGAACCAGTGGTACTCCCAGTGCTTGTGAAATCGTGAATGCTTGATTTGTCTCTCCGTATTAAAAGACATGCCCGTGATCTATGGTGTACTACAATAATGAAAAAAGTCCCGACGAAGCTTGGTGAAATGTAGCAGGAATAAGGATACAAAGAGAGATTCGTTAAAATACAAGATTACAAGGCATTTTCGAACAACAATTTCCGTGGTTTCCTGATTGCTGGTGGTGCAGCATAAAGGGCCGGCCTAGGGGACGAAAATGAATCGATATAAACGGGGTCTGACATCACACCCACATAGATGTACCGCACATTGCGGCAGGATTTCCCATAATGATGCTTTCTGACACACCAGCAATGCTATCAGCCTTGCCATAGGCTGAAGCATCGAATAGATGGTCCGTCGTTTTTTCGAATGAGGCAAGCATAAGGACACTGTCTTTCATCTTAGCCACGCCGAATCGGGTGATACCCAACACCTCTCCCTGTCGGATGTGAGATTCGGGTCGTTGTCTATGGTCATTGGTAGATCACGAACCTTGTAAGTCATTACATCTCCTAGTAACATGACATGTCGAGGGTCAATGATCATGTCGTGTGACTTCATGGTATACTGAATTTCGTTGATGATCGTTTTCCGTGCAGCCTCGATGCCCAAGACTTTCGCAACCTCAATGACATGATTAGAAGATGTTTTCTCTCCGATGACACCTGCAAAAGAAATCAATTTAGTCGCGCGGAGTCCACGATAAAGCAGAGGCCCACCTTCAGTTGTCATGCATCGTTGCAAACCGTACCCTTCGACGAGAAGTTCTTTGTCTCCTTTCTTCCCGTTATCGTCATCTTTGTCCTTGATGTTGATGACTGCCCGCTGGATAGAAGCCACACCCTTCACAACAACGTCCGCGAGCCCTCGCTTCAGTTCTCGTAGTCGGTAATAGCTATCCTCGCCGTCCACGTATATCCTCAATCGATATTTGCGGGGGATGATGGTTATAGCCTACGCAAAAGAATAAGAATTAGCTCAGGAAACGAATGAGGGCTACGTACCTCTTGTTTGACTTTTAATTTCTTAGCAGCCACAATAGCCCACTTGATATCATCTATGGTAAGTTCAAGCTGCGAGGTGTGAGAAGAGTAATTTAAATGAAGGGAAATATTGAAGCCACCTGAAGTTTCTGAATGGCGTCTGTATCCAGGATGATGCCGATGTATGTGTACTGTGGTGCCCAAGCTTCCTCGAAGACACTTGCAATCTGTACGAAATTAGGGTCGGAGGTCGAAAAATAGAAACAAGATAACTGACATCTCCGAGTAACGTCTTTTCTAGACGGCCCTTTACAATCCGTGCCGATGCTTCGCTCTCACTATTTACGAGCTTGCAGCTGATAATTGGTGTACTGATAATTTTGGCAGCGTTGATGATTTCCTTGATACGAGGCACTCCCAAAGTGACATTCATCGAGGCAACACCAGCAAAATGGAAAGTTTTGAGGGTCATCTGGGTGCCTGGCTCACCGATAGATTGCGCTCCGACGGCTCCAACAGTTGATCCTGTGATTTGGATATCAATTAATGGCTCTTGGTTTGCCCAAGAAGTAGCTTACCAGGCTCAATGCGTGCTTTGACATACTTCGTCCAGCATAGATTCAGATATTCCTTTAGTTGATCTTCTGTGACTTTTGACTGGTTCTCAACGACCAGTGTGTCAGCAGCTAATGAACAACATTACATTAGATTCAACTTTGATTCCCAGGGAATATACCTGATGCACCGAGGGACAAGTCAGTGTATTCGTCCCATTCGCTCTCGCGATCGAGGGCCTCAAACATGCCTCGCTTGAGGCGAGCATCGGCCATCTTATGCGCAAGGTGGTCAAAGATAAACTTCCGAACAGTGTCGAGGTACGCTGGAGTACATTCTGACTTGAACCTCGGGGTTGCCAACTCGCGGTCTACGATCTCCATGACCTCATATGGCAGTAGACATCGGCCTTCTCTCCTACCAGATGCCTAAAGAGACATAGATCAGCATGATGTACCTTTGAAAAGGCGAGGAAATTTCACGGACTAGAGCATGGCTTAATGACCTGGTCAAATCAATGGGTTGGGCATCTCCTTCGAGGCAAGCTGGGTCTAGTCCATCGTCACCATAGCGGAATTGAACCACTCCTCCTTCCGAATTCCGAACCGAGAGATCATATTGTGTGGTAAGATCCTCCAATGCCTTCATTAGACGACGTTGCATGTAGCCAGTCTCGGCAGTCTTCACAGCAGTATCGACCAGACCTTCACGTCCAGAAATGGCGTGGAATAAGAACTCTGTAGCACGCAATCCTGAATAGAAACTATTTCGTACAAAACCCTTCGAAGGCGGTTCTTTTGACTTCTTTGGGAAGTGGGGCAATGAGCGGTCTTGGAATCCATCAGGTACACGATGTCCAGCAATAATTTGTTGACCGACACAAGCCACCATCTGAGACACGTTAATGACGGAACCTGAGCATATATGTTGAATCCAGTAATTATCTGAGTTCATACCGTTTTGACGTACCTTTAGAACCACAGGTAGCCATAATTAGAGGGGCATTCTGTCTGCTCAATTCCCTCATGCATATCTGACCGACGGCTTCACGGACTTTTGATAATACAGACGAGATCATAGCTTCCAAAGTTTGTTCTTGGTTGCATCCAGGTTTATTTTCCAGCTTGCCCTTCTTTGCTAGGGCGATAAGGTCCTGGCAGTCGGCGTAAGCTTTCTCAACCAGCTCATCCTTCTTTTTGCTGAGCTCCGGACCGGGGATAACGTCGTTAATTCCTAGAGAAAACCCATAATTCGCTGTTGAAGGTCTCGGTGAGCATAGTAGCAATCCAAAGCAGAACCAATGACCAACCTAACCAACGAGCACAAAGCTTGGCCAAGCGGTTCATGGCAGCTGCTGCCTCATGAGGCCCATAGTCACGCATGATAACACCAAATATTGACTTTTTCTTCCCGCTACCGACCGTAGCCTTGTCCATCACACCACACATGATTTCACTGTTGACCACGACGAGCCATCCGTCGTTAGGAGAAAGGTCATTGGCTGGCTTCGCCATCCATGGATAGTTCTCAGCCTTCGCTTCCTCCCACTTGTGGCACTTTGACTCGACGTTGACCCGGATCTTCGATTCTTTGTTTGGCTTCATAAGAACATTGAATATCTGCTTTCCTGTCCATAGTCTGACGGGTTTTATGATGACTGGAGGGGGGATATCGATAGGCATGTTGGCATCGGCAAAATAGCAGCAGATTTGAGTAAACTGTCGGCGGTCAAAGAAGAGGTCCTTTCTGGAGAGGAGGAAGGAAGCCGTGATGAAATCCTGGATAGCAGCAATGACGGGCTCTCCGTTACGGGGGGTAACGAGGTTGTGCTTGATGTTCATGAGCTCCAGAGCTTCCGTCCTAGCCTCTTCCGTCTGAGGGACGTCTGAACATAAGAATGAATAATGCAACAAGCAGCCCGCCGTACTAATTTGACTCACGCAGATTCATCTCGTCTCCATCAAAATCGGCGTTGTAAGGTCCACAAACGCACTCGTTTAATCGGAATGTACGCCATGGTCGAACTTTGGCCTGAAACCAGATGTTAGGGAGGTCTAAGCAGACAAATTAGTTGGACTTACCCGATGACACATGATGGAGAGCTGAGAACGCAACAAAATTATGAGGTGTCATAGAAAAGAATGAGAAAACCTGCCTTGTGCAAACTAGGCTGCCGATTGAACAGGACGATGTCTCCGTCAATAACATGCCGTTCGACGATATCGCCAATAGCCAGGCCATCCGCAATGGCGTTCCGGTTTCCAAATCGCAGAAACTTCTTATTCTCGCCTCTCGCCACGAAGTTTGCGCCGGGATGGACATCAGGACCGTTCTTCACCGCCTGCCGCAGCACGTTGATATTATGGGCTGTCACTCGTTCAGGATACGTCAGGATTTTAGCGACGCGTTCCGGAACAGCCACCTCGTCGATACGCAAGTTTGGGTCAGGAGAAATGACCGTTCGTCCAGAGAAATCGACACGCTTTCCGGACAGATTTCCCCTGAAACGGCCCTGTTTTCCTTTCAGACGCTGCACGAAACCTCGGATGGGTTTTTGGCCGAGTTGCGGAGGCACGCCAGGAAGCTCGGAGTTGATGTACATGGCTACCGATAATTGAAGAAACTCCCACTGCTCCATGAATTGAGGTGTCGGAGCGCCTTTTGCGATGCCCTGTTTGATTAGTGCGTTGGTGAAAACGATCTCGGTCAACTTGACCGTGAGGTCATCTTCGTTGGAAGCTCCGTCCTGCGCTACGGAAGGCCGAATGCACACTGGCGGGACCGAAATGTATTGCCAGATAAACTCTTCTGGTCGACCCCATTCAGGATGCAGTCCCAACAGCTCGCAATCCTATGCGCAAATTCAGTGAATACACCAAACTTTAAAACATATTCGACGCACCTCGTCTGATATCCGCCTGAACAAGTCCAGAACCTTCAACGGGTTCAAATCCTCATGTACCGCCTTATTGATGTACAGCGCCAACTCCTTCTGCGCCTCAATCGCCGGTGCGAATGTCAATTTCCACTTCTCCAGCTCGTCTGCCGTCTTCTTCGCGCGAAATTTGTCGTGGATTATCTTCAACGCACCAGCCTTCTTCACGGCGCCGTTCGTCGAAGAGCAGTACGGGCAATAGACGACCTTGCGTGCCATGGAGTTGACGGCTTTGGATATCGCCTGCCGTTGCATATTTTCGAGGTTTGGGCGGCGGAAGCGCTTGAGGAACGTGCGCCTGTCGGGCTCTTCTAGTAGTACACGAGCGCATGTCTGATTTGATTTCCAACGGTCAATCTGGAGACATAAATACTCCGGTGAGAGATAGACTTGCCTTGCAAATGGCCTGTAGAATCGCTATCGTATGTTTGAAGTATCCGATGTGAAACACAGGGACAACGAGCTTGATATACGCGTAATGCCCGACGCAATTAACAGATGACTGCCCACACGTCTCGCAAAACGCATTTTTCTCGGTCGTACCCTGCAGCAGAAGAAAAGAAGGGCGTTGAGAAGGAAACGTAGCAGACAAAGAACAATAACACCCGCACAAGACGTCTATCGAGCACACCATGCTTCACCGGCAGCCGATCCGTAGGAGTGTAGAGATCCCGGTGGGTGACCTCAAACTCGGATATTTTGACCGTGTCCTGGGCATTGAGAAGGCTGAACTGGAGCTTTTTGCTGTTCAACCACTCAGTCTTGTCCAAATAACATGAAGCACAACACTCACATTACTTTTGGGGCCTGGTGTGAGACGACCTCCTTCATGGTGGGCCAGCCGAAGGGCGATCGAGGAGAGGACCTCTTCTGACTTGAATCTGATCAAGACGTAATTTCGTGACGATGTAACAAGTGACAATCGCGTGACAGCCATTGCGCGTCGCCTTAACCGAGTCGCATCGCACGTCAATTGCTTTTATATCCACCACAATGTCCAGGACATCTTACGACAGGTAAACCGACTGCATAAACCATAAACTCGCTTCTGACTTGCTCTTACAGATACCTTACCGTCTTCTCACCAGAGGGACGCCTATATCAAGTCGGTGAGGATGCTCATTCCAAATCGCCGTCAAACGACCATCGGGCATCTAACATCCTCGCTTCAGAGTATGCCTTCAAGGCCATCTCAGGCTCGGGACACACCGCAATTGCCGTCCGCGGAAAGGACACCGCGGTGGTCATTACTCAACGCAAAGTTCCCGTACGTTCAAACAATTATACGCCCATCGAAAGAAAGGATGACGTCCTCACTCGTTTAAATGCACAGGACAAGCTCCTCGACGCGTCAACGGTCACCCATCTGTTCAGCATCACTCCTACGATCGGCAGCGTCATGACAGGACTCATGGGTGCGTCTCTCCAGGATATCATTCACTGGGATCTGTGCTCAAAGGACGACGTTCAGCCGATGCACGCGCACAAGTCGCCCGTGCGCGATCTGAAGCTGCCGACTTCCGGTACAAGTACGGTTATGAAATCACCCCCGACGCCCTTGCTCGACGGATGGCGAACATTAACCAAGTCTACACACAACGTGCTGCCATGAGACCGCTGGGAATATGTACGCAGACCTGCTAGTCTCATCTGTCTTGCTGCTAAATACCTGCACAGCCATGATCCTGATCGGCATCGATCCCGAATTTGGGCCTCAATGCTTCAAGTTGGACCCAGCTGGATACTTCATCGGTTTCCACGCCACAGCTGCTGGCCAAAAGCAGCAAGAAGGCATGAATCATCTCGAGAAGAAGTGGAAGAAGCTGGACAACGGTCGAGGCGGAGAGGATGCTGCGAAAGCGGCGAAGACGCTTGACAGGGATGAGGTCATTGAGGTATGGATTCTTGACCTTCCTTTTCCTCCTGGTAGTGACGTTCTGCTAGTTGGCTATCGAGGCAATGTCGACGGTACACGCTCTGGACTACAAGCCTGGCGAGATTGAGATCGGCATCGTGTCGACTAGCGAAGACGAAGACGAGAAAGTTCGGGGCAAATGGAGGATCATGGACGAGGAGGAGATCGAAGAGCACCTGCTAGCATATGCTGAGAAAGATTAGGACGCCTTGTATATATGATATAACAACGTCTTTGCTTTGCGGGTTAACAATTGTGATTCTTCCATATGTAGTGTAAAGATGAACGTGGTATTACCGTGTTAGTAGCGATACGCTGATGCTCCGCCACTCTGCGAGGAAGATGATGGATACATGTAGTGAGGTTCGGGAGGTGAACACGCACCATGATGGCATTCACTTCCGCCTCTTCTATATAGCGAACCTTTGGCTTCCAGAGCCTCGATGGTGCCTCCCAGAATTCGTTGTAAACAGTGGTGTTCTTGCCTGAACCCGACTTGGATGGAGGTTCCGATGACCCTGAGGCATTCATTTTCGCAAGGAACTCGGAGAAGCGAGCCTTAAGGTCTGCGGGGGCGGCAGGGTGCGGATGCGGGGCATCAGGTGCTACGAAAGCAGGGATAAGGGTCAGCTCCGGAGAACGGGGTAGGTACCTACTGCTGGGGTGGGTTCTCCTGCCCAAGAACTTGATGAGAGGCGTGTGTGCGCGGGCAGAGCAGACACGGAGAGACGGATGCATGATGGACTGAATGAGCGTTGGACACCGGAAGCTCGTCATCTCTGCCCGAGGTTTGGCTCGGACATGGGGATCAAACAACGCGGCCTCGACACCTCCCAACAGCCGCGTCCCGACCTTCCGCACCTCCCTCTCACTTGATCACGTTCATTTGACCTTTCCTTCAGCTGCGCATACGAAATGTCGCACCATCTATTCTTGTTGTCGCCATCAGACACACCCTTGTATAGCCTCACGCACCAGTCGACGAAACCTGTTCCAACGGTAACATCACCCCTGGCCTCAAATTTGCCGACGTGGTCGACATCAGCGTTTGCGGGCACCCTGACGGCGCTGTCTGGGGCCTCGAGTGCGACGCAGCACACGACGAGCGGTGCGGTACGCGTAGGAGGCGGGCAGGACCGCCATGTCATCCAGATGATCGCGAACGCGAGCCTGGACGTGATCGAGGACGAGATGCACAAGCAGAATTTGATGTGGGTGTGGGGCAGCTGCTGCGTGTGAGCGTAGTGATAATAACAGGGGTACAGGTACTTGAAGTCGGTAGACAAGTTCAATGAGTGGACGGTGTCGGCGTTTGTGACGCCTGGCAGTAAGAACAATAGCTGCTGAATGAAGATGCACTAACCGGATGCAGATATGAAGTTTGTGCTGCTGCACGAGGGAAAGAACGACGAGGGGATCCGTGCGTTCTTCATGGACGTGTGGGAGCTGTATGTGAAGGTGCGCCGGAGCCGGTCGCTGGTTCGTTGGCTGACGACGCACATAGACGCTGGTGAATCCGTTCCACACTGCGCATACGACGATCCGGAGCAGTGTGTTCGACACGCGGGTGCGAGCGTCTGCTCGCAAGTATCTGTGACAATAGGCAGGGTGTCTGGGGTCCGCGTGGGAGACTGTTATTCTGGGGCGGCGGGGGTTCTGTGTTGACTCTTTCCCTCTCTGTGTCCTGCCTTGGGTGGCTTTCTCTTCTCTTTGTATTTCGTCCTCTCTTCTTGTCTCTCTTCAATATTATCTATACTATCCAATAAACAACAAAAACACCCCCTTTTCTCTTCTTTTTCGCCAATCCATCCTCGTCATTCCCAGAGAGCGTCAGTTCGTCGGCCACCCACTCACTATCAGTCTGTATCTCTTTCTCTCAAACCAGCCCCCTCTTACCCCCAAACCGCCCAGCTGTATCCTCTTGTCAACTACTTTCAGTCCAATAATCTCCGTAATCGACTCTCCAGTATCTATCCATTCTGACTCCCCCAGCCATGACTACCGCAAACACCAACAACCGCGCCTCTCTCCTCGCTGGCCTCCGCACAGGCGGTGTCCGCTCGTCCTCGGTCAACGTACCCCACACCGCCGCCCCAACTGGCTCATTCAACGTGCCTCGTTTCCCCTCCCAGCAGCACCCCTCCATCATCCTCACTGAGGATGACGAGGACGATCAAGTCGCAGAGATCCCTCATCACAACATCTACAGCCGCGGCGCCCCGATGACTGCCGCCGTCGACGGGCCTAACAATCGCTTCGCCCATCATCAGTCCGTCCCTAGGGGCATGAATCCCAACAGCATGCCCTTCAGCCCAGGCTTCAACAACAATGTGATGGCCCAGCCCCAGATGCAGATGCAGATGCTTCAGCTCGAGATGATGAGGATTCAGGTATTTTCCGCCATTTCTGCCTTCATTTCCCCCGTTTTCTCACGCTCGTCCCAGGCATTGCAGGCTCAACAGATGCAGGCCGAGTTGCAAGCGCAACTCCAGCAGCAGATCCGACAGCAGCAGCAACAACGCGATAGGCGCACTAGTCTCGGATTCAATCCACCCGCTACTGCCGGCCCAACGACCCACTCTTTCGACTTGAGGGCAGCCACCCTGAGCGCCCAGTTGCGTCGCCCCAACCAGGCAGATCAACTCCGTGCTCAGCTCGGTGTTGCAAACCCGGCAGATGACCACGTCCCAATGACCGCTGCTCTTGGTGGCAGGTTTGGAAGCCGCACCACCAGCCTCAACACCCCGAACGGAACTCATTATGACAGCTACGGCGATGCTCCACCCCCAACGCCTGGCTACACCACCGTCATCAGTGGCGGAACTTCCTTGGGCAGCCTCTCGTCCAACAACGCGAATACTGTACCTTCCAAGTCCGATGCTGCTTCTTCCTGGAGGCGTGGAGGGAACAACAACTCCGTTTTGAGTGGCAACCGTGCTACCTCCTCTCCCAGCCTGAAGGTGACGCCACCACCCAGCGAGGAACGCATCTCTCCTCCTCTAGCCGGCGCCAACGCAGGCTCCCCTATCTCAACCAGCGGACCCAAGTTCAGGCCCCAGCCACTCCGCTTCACCCCCGCGGTATCGCAACCTCTTCCAGCGGTGGCCATCGATAACACGACCGACGACGAGACGGACGGCGAGACCCAGTCCTCTGGCTCTTCCGATAAGTCCGGTGCGAGCAACTCTTCGCCGACCACCCCGCGCTCCTCGTCTTCCAATGAGATGCCTCTCTCGCCGCGCGAAGAGGCCTCGAAAAGGCTATACGAGGGTCTCGGCATCGGACGTCCGGTGTCCTCCACTCCCTCTGAGCAGGGGGTCAAGCAGCAGCAAGTGCATGTCAATCTGACTCCAGTGGTTGCGCCTGGCCACAGGATGGTCAGCCAGCCCACCAGGCAGCCCCGTGGGCCGCCGTCGGGTGCTGACGAGCTGGGACCGAAGAACTTTGCGACTCGTATCAGAAGGAAGGCGATCGGTGGTTTGGGTGCCCTCATTGGTGCCCGAGAGAGACGCGAGATCGTCGAGGCTTACTGAGCACGCTGACTCGCCTGTCTTTCTTTCTCTCGAAGCACGTATACCAAACCACATCGATTCCCCCCTCATGACGATGACGAAACAACTTGCGCTTTCCCTCAAGTACACAATTCAGAATTGGTTTATATATTACTGTCGATTCGACAGGCTGGACTTTACTTCCCCTACCCCTCCTTTTTGCAAGAGAGATTCAATTGGCTTCTGTTGGACGATGGTGGAAAAGCATTAATTGTGTAGGTCTGGTTAGCGAGAAAGGGCCCTTTCGTCTCAATTCAAGAAAATATTCTTCCTAATTCTCTCTTTCATTGCCCTTTCTCCAACCCAATTGCAAGCCCCCCCTTTTTTTACCTAGGTCCACAGCACCGAATACTTAGTTGTACAGCATATTCCGTTGCATGATGGTTGCACGGATTACTTGTTCGAAACCACCCTGTTGTGTCCATATACACTCTTTAAGCTTTATTCTGTTTACCGGTTCTTTTCTTAGTTATCGGACGCTCGAAGGATTTAAATGTCTGGTGGAGCACCAAAGATCCCCAAAAGTAATGATCCCTCGAACAGATACGTGATCATTCAAGACAGGATATCCAACGCAGTGGATACCCGACACCAAAGGGGTAACGGAAGGACATACAGGCAGTACACTACTTACACCTCTGGCCCACAATGGGCTTCCCATGTTCCTAAAAATGTTCGTTGAAATGACGGTATGCACAGCCGGGGAGCAAACTCACCTGCCACTCCTCCTTACTGATCCAGAGCTGGTGGAAAGTGCCCAAACTTGCTAAAATACTTCCACCCAACCAGCCACCGTAACGGCGCTCGACAGGGTTGCCAGGAGCATGGATTTTCGTCTGAGGTAGATCTGATTCAACCATCAAAGGACTCGAAAGAAGATATAAAAACATACGTGTGGGAATGACCTCGTCAGTTCAGCTGTCAGCCGGTCCGCAAACCCAGAGAAGAGGGTCCCTCCCCCTGTGAGAACAACATTACCCATGAGAACCTGGCGTAGCTCTGGGTCGCACGCGCGTAGAGCCTCCGTGATGAGTTGTGGGATTGTTTTGGGTAGATTGGGGTTCGACGCCTGCGCCATAAATAACTCGTTGGCACAAACATCTGCACAGTCAGATAACTGAGAACACGTACAACGAGCTGCGGCGAATGCGTGAAGAATTGCTCTCCGACTTGGAAACGTTCAAGCCCAAAATAGTTGTTGTATCCGGTAGGGAACTCGTATTGTCGTGCTGTTCGTTGAGCAGCGACTCTGCGTATCAAGTTAGAATTCGGAGGCGGAAAGGCAAACGCGAAAACTAACGCGTCGTTCCATCCTTGATCCAAAACACCTGCTACACTCTGCACCCATTCGTCGATTTCGCGTGTTTCAGCCCAATTACGCCAACTCTCTGTTGTTCCAGCTATCCGGTCTTGTCGAATGGTGAATTTGGGAGGGGCGCCAGCATCCACCAGCTAAATTGTGGATAAGAATTTTTGGCTATTTGGTTGAGAAGACTTTGATGATGAACGCACCGTTTTGTTGGCAATTAACTGATGCGGTAGAAGCTCAATACCCCGTCTATGTGGAGTAGGGGAGATGAGAATGTGGCGAGCATGAGCGTGGATGAGTTTGGGAAGTGGTGAGTACGACAGGCCTGTCAATTGTAAGCGACTGCACGCCATTTACGTTGGAATGTAATTACCTTTCCGAAGAACGAAACCGTCCACGACTGGAGTAACGCTGGCCATACTTTGCCCAACATCGATGACCAATGCTGAACCCTTTCCAGCGGCAAAGCTAGAGCAGAGTGCTAAGACCCTCGACACGAGTTAACAAAGCTACGTCAACATACGCGTTTAGGACCCCAGTGTTCGCAATATAGAATGCAGGCACATTGAACTCTTCGAACATGATCTCGGCCATGCGTTCGCGATTGGCAGGCGTGTTCCAGGTAGGTTCGGTGACGAGAATGGGATGTTCGGAGGAGTTGACGCGCATTGTTTTTTCCAGGGCATGGTCAATGAGTGGTTTTATTGGGTTGAAATCCTGGACTGAAGGATTACGTGTTAGATGCCTCTTCCCTAGATAGATATAACCACGTACTGAGACCCTCGACCATCGGATTTCCGACCTCCATACCCTCTCTCCATATAGACGGCCCAGATTGGCCAATATAGATGTTCGCAAACTTCGACTTGTTCACTGCATCAATGTTTTCAGCGCCATCGCTCATAGTCACGTCCGCATCTGGTGGTGCTGGGTGGTACCCGTAGGAGGTGGGTATGATGGCTTTTGGGCAGTCATCTCCTGCATATCCCGCACGTACGGACGACGCTCCGATGTCAATGACTAGCGCCGAGACTTCGTCTAAGTAATTCAGAGACGCGTCAGTTGGGGCGGATTTAAGTGACACAAAGAAAAAACTTACCACCGCCGTAGTTGACCATACCTCAAATATTTAACGTGTCGCGTACGGTACACGTGATGAAGAGGGGACTTCAGCGGAAACTTCAAACCTTCAATACCTTGAGCTGAACGTTCAGCGAGCGGTTGTTTTGTCATACTTGGAATCGGCGGCATCGCCCTTATTTATTTAAGTACGATGCCGTCACGTGGAAATTTCAATTTTGATCGCCTCTGAATCTTTTTGGACTGCACCGATTCCAGGACGTCCTCTACCTTATTTAAACTGCTCGATGGCTCAGCACGGCGGGAGAAAGTCCACGAAACGGAAGCAGGTTGATGAAGAAGAACATCCACAAGATTTGCCGCGCAATGGTGCCCTAGAAATGCTCACCGACGAAGAGGACGCCGGAGACGCCTCCTCGGACGACGGTCAGGTCGACAAATTTCCAGAGATTGTCGCGGAAAGCGACAGTGACAATAGCGAACTCGGAGAGGAATCCGACGGCGGCGATGGAGAGGAAGAAGACGAAGAGGAGGAAAGCGACGACGACACCGAATCCGACGACTCTCTTCACGTCTTTCCGCAAGCAAAAGTCGTAATATCCGACATTACAAAACAACTCAAAACCGTCTACCCTGAAATAGAACCAGACTATGACTCGGATTCCTCGACAGAGGATGTGAGTGAGCCCGTCTTTTTCTCATATCTCCGAAGTTCACTTGGATGTAGCCTCCAAATCGTGTAGGAAATATTCCTATGCATTGGTATGACGATCTGCCACATGTTGGATACGACATGAATGGAAAGCAAGTTCTACGGTCAGCCCGTGGAGATGAACTCGACAAGTTCTTGGCTACAGTCGACGATTCTTCAGCATGGTTAGTCTGTCAGCCTGCTCCGGACAACTGTAAATTGATGTTGTTTCCCATAGGACTTCTGCGTTCGATAAAAACACTCAGTCAGATAAACCTCTGACTCCCGAGGAACTCGATCTTATCCGCCGACTATACGCTGGCGAAAACCCTGATGCAACTTATGACCCATACGAGCCGACTGTAGAGTGGTTTACTGGTGAAGGGAAGCAAGAGATTATGCCTCTATCGGGAGCCCTCCAACCGAAACGCCGGTGGGTTCCAAGTAAATGGGAAAGGCAGAAGGTATAAGCACCCTACGCCTGTTTTTTTTTTCGTGTACTAATCAAGCGAAGATCATGAAAATCGTGCGGGCAATACGTCACGGTCGCATTCTTCCTTCAAAAACGAAATCCACATCGAAATTCGAGCCATACGCTATTTGGTCGGAACCTTCGTCCTCGCAACCTCCGCCTCTACCAGCACCTAAACCGCGCCTTCCTACCAACGCCGAGTCGTACAACCCACCAGAAGAATATCTACCCACAGAGGAAGAACGGAAAGCATGGGAAGAACAAGACCCAGAAGATCGCGAACGCGACTATCTCCCGCAAAAGTTCCCTTCCCTACGTCTTGTCCCGGCATACGACCAGTTCATGAAGGAACGCTTCAACCGACAATTAGATCTCTACTTGGCACCTCGCGTCCAGAGAGTCAAACTAAACATCGACCCTAATTCACTAATACCCAAACTACCTAGCCCGAATAGCTTGAAACCCTTCCCGAATTACCGAAGTTTGCAAGTGCACCACTCCGGAAATCGTGTGAGATGCGTCAGTGTTAGCCCCGACGGAGCATGGGTTATCAGCGGAGATGAGGCAGGAGTGGTTAGCCTTTGGGAGATCAATGTCGGCCGCGAAGTCAAGAGATGGAAATTCGAGGGCAAAATTGGCGCTCTTGGTTGGTGTCCTCGAACAGATGTCAACTATTTCGCAGTTGGCATGTAAGTTTGCTCAACTTCTTCTCTCCGTTCTCTAATCAGTCTCGTTCTGCAGTGAGGATGCGATATCTTTCATCATTCCTCCAAACGTGGATGCATCCGTATTGTCTCTTACCCAATCAGTCCTCGCACCGACGACACTCCCCCCACCAGCGACCACACCCTCCCCGGTGAAATGGGTCACCCCTCCTTCCAGTTCATGGTCGCTGGAGACCCCAATTGTGACTATCCATCTGCCATCGACGTCCGGGACTGCGTCCAATTTTAGTTGGCATCGTCGCGGAGACTACCTGGCCAGCGTTTGTAAGCCGCCTGTCTCTCATATGGTGGTGTGAAACTCGAAGTCTGACAGCCCGTTTATCAGCTACTGGAGGAAGTGTATGGATTCATCAAGTTACACGCCGGCATTCGCAAGCACCCTTCAAGAAAATCAAGGGCGCTGTTCAGGCTGTTCTTTTCCACCCCTTGAAGCCTCATTTCTTTGTCGCTGTTCGTAGTCGTTTAACAGAGGTTGTAAAGTATTCTCATCCCTTCTGCACAGACACAGCAATATGTTCGGATATACAACCTTTCCGAACAAAAATTAGTGAAGACATTGTTACCTGGTATTCGTTGGATATCTTCCATGGATGTGCATCCGTCTGGAGATCATCTTATAGTTGGCGGATACGACAGGAAACTCTGCTGGTTTGACCTAGAGCTAAGTGACAAGCCGTACAAAGTTTTACGGTAAATTTCAACCTCTTCAATACGTCTTCCTCGTTGACATTTTTGTATCTTAGCTATCACTCACGCGCTATCCGTTCATTGCAGTTTCACCCTACATATCCCCTCTTCGCCTCCTCCTCCGATGACGGCTCCATACAGGTCTTCCATTCACGCATTTACAGCGACCTAATGACAGACCCACTCATTGTCCCCTTGAAAATTCTGCGAGGACACTATGTGGTGGACGGCCTAGGAGTTCTCCAGGTCAAGTGGTGCGGCAAACACCCTTGGCTGGTTAGCAGTGGCGCAGATGGTAGCGTCGCTGTTTGGTGTAGCTAGGGGAGTACTTATCATAACCATCTTCGCTCCCACAACTATACCTTTTTCACATTTACAGTTGGAGTCGTAATCTTTTCTCAGTCTGGCTCTGCCAAAGAGCCGCTCGATCGAGAGTTGAAAACACCTCGATCCTAGCTCTTCGCGCTTCGTGTTGTCAAGCTTGAGCTTCATAAAGACTGAGATCTGAGATATCATCGTTCCTGCCTTCTATTATTGTAACATCTAATCTTTGCAGGTCCAAGCTATATGTACATATTTGTGGTCGTAAATTTCTTGGGGAAGCATTTCTTCCGCTGGCATCTTCTTGAGTTTGCCTCAGATTTTATTGGTACGCGAAATGAGATTTACACAACTGAGTACTTATTCAAGAAGGAGGAGGAGGAGGAGGAGGATTGATTAACCGGGGAGGTCCCATTAAGGAACGACCGGTCTGTGTACCTAGAGCTACAAGCTACAAGTCTACGGTTACACTAGGAGTACATGCATGCCCTTTACCGCTGTGTTATTCCAACCACTACCTACTGATAGCCCAGGAAGACTCACGGTCTCAGGTACAAGGTATGTTAAATGATAAGAAAAACGGGGGACCACGAAGCACCCGTATTCGTAGCTTGTTATGCACGATGACCTGGAAAAGAAAGGGAAAAAGAAAAGATACAGTCGTTTAGACAACTGCTTCCTCTGTGCGCTCAATGTACTAAGGGAGAACATAAAGCTCGTAGCTATCGAAGCACTCAAGCACTTTGTAGGCTAGTTTGGCGAGCACTGGAAGAAGGGCTCTGATCTTGAGCATTGCCTGGATGGAGTCCGCAGGATCCTCGTGACTCAGAAGGTGTTGGAGCAATGCTTACCTTACATCAAGGCAGCACGCAGCCATATACAGTCATCCACGGAGTTCGAGATCTGGAAGGCAGAGAACCCCCATGGTATGACGGGGATACAAGCAACCATGTACCAAGACCGCGACAAGGTCCTGTACCCTAAGAAAGTGATCTCAAAATGAAAAGGGTTCACGACATTGAGAGTACAGATGTCAGAATAAAATAAAATTTGCGCTTACGCCGTAAGACCGATGCTGTCCAGAGAAATGCATGAAACAATTGTTTTTCGAACAAGTAATAGTACATACGAAGGATCCCGGGTATAGAAATTGAATATCAACGTCTTCTCTTGGAGCGCCCGGCTTTTCTCCGTGCTGCAATCCCGCCCTGCCGATTCATTGCAGCGATAGCTGGTCTTGCCGGCATACCTTTCGACTTCCGCCACTCTTCTCTCCGTGAACCGCGTGGACCATGGGTTGACACCCTCTTGGGGTACTCTGTGTCAATAGCCATGGAATCTGCACGGGCGGGTTGAATAAATAAACTGCATATCCCTGATAGAACCTTCCGCAACGAACCTGGGCGAACCTGCTGGATATCGTCAAGTGTCTCGGCTGTGAACAGAGAAAGTATGTCAATGACAATCCGTCCGCGATATAATCGTGAACAGAATCATTAAGATGAATCCTCCGATGAGTCATAACAACTCCATGCCGTGTATGGATGGCGGGCTGCAGGGCCTCCAGCCAGACCTTCCAGGCCGTCCAGTGTGATGTCGTTCGGATCCATCAGGCCAAATGTTGCGAACCAACACCAACCTGAAGTATCCCCTTCCTGTGCATCTCCTACTATTACGTCTCCGTCGAGATCCTTCTTCGTCGTTTGGATAAGTTTTGCATTGAGGCGATTGAGTCGTGCTGCAGCTGCAGCCGCATAGACCCCAGTTTCTCGCTTCTTGGAGCGGAAAGCACGCTTTGTCTTTGATCGCAATGATTTTGCCATTGTTGATAGTGGTAATTCGGTGGTGGCGTCGGTGAGCAAAAATGTGTAGTGGGGGTGTGGCGGAAAGAGTTAGACAGTGGCAAGATGACATTATAAGGGAAAAATAATTCGAGCGGAGCTTGAAATATTGCTGTGCTCAAAGCGCGAAGTTGAAAGGCAACAATTCGCGCGGAAAGACTACATTATTCTAGAGTATTCGTTGACTGAGCTATCATCATTCAAACGTTCAGGACCAGGCCGTGCTGGCTGCTCAACATGATGACACGATGACTGCGTTAAATCGATTACTACCCCAAATCTGTCAATGCATCCCAAATCACTATCGATATGTGTACATACAACACGATCTATCAGTGCTTGCATCTTTTGGCGCCTAGTGATCATGGAAAGACAAGTGTAGGCCGAGATCATGGCTTCAAGGCGGTGGAAATTGGGTGGAATGGCGGCATGGAATTGATTGCACATGGGAGAGACACCAGGTTTTGAAACGGAATCAATCCGCTGATTCAGGCGGGGCCTCCCTGTAGAGATCGCACTTGTAATCAGCCAGAGATGAAAAGGGAAGAGGAAGAGACTTATAATGTATAGGACATTGTTACACCTGTAAGTAGTTCATGAGTTTCGTTCGATCGTTCAGAGTGTGATCGTGGACATACCTGATGAAAACCTCACCCAACGCGCCATTAGACTTTCCATCCTGGTATTCTTCAGTGTTCGCTAGCTGGAAATGATTTTGACAGGGAATCACGGAAGAGAAGAAAAAATAAAATACCTGAAGGTTCATGTAGCCATCTGTGCTGACCAGAAAGCCCTTGTACTCCAATCCCCATTTTAGGCGAACATAGACAGGCTTTCCTGTGAGCTCCTGCAGGAATGGTTTGGGATTCACCGGGGTCTACATAAGGGCGTGAGATGGGACTGGTGGACAGAACAGTGCGCGACTTACGGCGGACATGGTGGTTGAAAGGAAGGCACGTGCGGACTTCGAAACCTTGAAAGGGATGTAAAGTTGCGAACGATTATGCTTTCACGAAATCACCAACATTGCTGAATAACTTCAGCGTCTTCCTCCTCTTGTTTAAACCCCACACCCTCTCTTCATTCTTCCTATGTCTGACAACGAAGGCCATTCCGGAGGCGCCGCTCCCGATGACGATCTCTCCTTGCCCAAGGCCACAGTAGCCAAAATGATCACCGGTGTGTACTAGTCGCATTTCTTACCCTCAGAACCACGCCTTTCCTCACGCTCATTCTATCTTCCACTAGAGCTTTTGCCCAGCGACGTCGTTTGTGCCAAAGAGACGCGTGATCTCGTCATAGAATGTTGTGTAGGTGAACACGAACACGGTTCAGTTGTTCCGCTTCAATGCTGACTTCGTAATCGTCCAGAATTCATCCACCTGATATCCTCCGAAGCAAATGAGATCTGCGAGCAAGAGAACAAGAAGACAATAGCTCCTGAGCACATTATTTCTGCGTTAACCGTATTTGCTCCGCCTTTCATCCGCTGCCTATGCTGATGTAGTGTCAAGCGTCTCGGCTTCACGAGTTTTGCGCCAGAAGTTGAGAGCGTGCTGAAAGATCACAAACAACAACAGAAGGTCACATTTTTATTAGCATACACAAAAGGCGTCTGACCACCTGTTTTATCTAGGATCGGGAGAAGAAGGTGTCGAAGTTCGAGCAATCTGGACTAACAGAGGAAGAGCTGTTGGCGAAGCAAGAAGAACTTTTCGCCGCCAGTCTTGCGAGATATCGTTCAGGACAGCAATGAATGATGTTATATAGGACCTTCTATCCTTATTTCTACCTCAGTGACCCAATATGTACGTGTATAAGTCTAATGCTTGTTATTTCTGTGACGCATCTTCATTTCCTCGAGCCTTTTCTGAGGTTCATCTCCATTCCATGTCTCGATTGGGTTTCGATGGATCCTTGGCAGTCCTTCTTGCTCAATGACGAACGAGGCAGCAACAGCGGCATGCAGAGTGGCTGTCACGCAGCGTTGGCTGTTGATTCAACCTAGATCACGAGTCAGAAAAGATACTCACCTTCGTACACGTCATTGGAAGACACAATCATCCCAGCAGCGAAGCCACCTAGAAAACTGTTTCCTGCTCCTACTCCTTCATGAGATTCGCCTTCACGAAGCCGAAAGCAACAGCTTTACCAGTTACATCAACGACCTTCTCAGCATTCTCGGCCGTCCAGAAGGCTTCCACCCAAGAGCCACTCGTCTTGCGAGACTTTATGTATGCGCCAAGTGGACCACTCCTAATAACAACCCAACCATCGCCATTTTCACCAACTCCCATGTCGAGGAATTGGTCGGCCGCTTTTTCAATCGCGTCTTTCGACGTGGAGACGGCAAGAGACAACAGTGAAAGGGCTTCTTCGGCATTTGGACTATCAAACAAAATAAATTCGATTCTACGACATCGTTGGTCTTACTTACCTCAGGACCGATATCCGGGCCAGAACCTTTCTCAGTGCTGGAAGCTCTTCGGGGATACACCGATCCTAAACTGGCATGATGAAGATTCGACTTACAACCGCGTAGTTTCACCTACAGGAATAGGCTCGTATACCGTAATTGGCTTCCACCCATCTTGAACCTCAGACATGATGGACGATGCTCGGGAAGGTGAGCATATGAAGTGTAAGATCTTCGGCCTCGCCAGCCTAGTGCCTTCGAGATCCTTTGGCGTGAGGCGTATTCGAGGAGTTTTGTACTCGAACCTGCGCAATCACCTTTAATACCTCTGACAATCTGACGCAACGTCCTTCTAGCTCACCCTCTCCGCTCTCCGCGATATGAATTCAAGGCGCGCGTTGTTCCACAGTCTGGCCGTTCTCTGAACATCCACATATCGTCCCCATATTCAACTAGACCCTTCTCTATTTCTTCAGGAAAATCGTTTCCTTTGTCTACAATCATTCCGATCTGACTTGGAGGTAACCTACCTCCAACGATGAGCATAAGAGTCATGGGCGCATCTTAAAACGAGCCAGATGCTTACCAGACCCGGGCACCGATCGCAGCATAAGTACCACCACCTCCGATCTACGAGGGGACGACACGATAAGGCAAATTTCTGAAGTGAACAGGGTGAAGTCAGCTTCCCTGTGGCGCCAGAGTGCGGCCAGTTGGATTTCCATCTTCATCCATAAATGAGAACTCGTCGATGATGAACATTCCCAGAGTGACGAAGGATCTGGGTTTGTTGAGATCCTCCATCCTGATGCAGGCCTTTTCGCGACTGGGTGAATGTAATAGATGCTTTCCAAATTCCAAGAGCAGGCAGCTTCAAACAAGATAGCAGCCGGCGGTAGCCGACGGAGATAAGATCGCGTCGATTTCTTTCTCCCTCGTCTCACTCGGTAAATTTCCTCCTAACGAATGCAGACCTGGGCTGTTGTATACGATCCTGCTTCCTTCTCCGATGATGTTGGTGTTGCATTTCTGTCATAGACGTCTCGTATTTACCGACTCCAAAGTTATACCAACGGGCGCTTGCTGTCGTAGATCAGGAGAGCCAGGCGCGCATAAAGAAATTCTACCATCGCGTCGACTCATGTCGTAAGCCTTGTCAAGCAATAACAAACCACATCTTTTACCTCTTCGAAGGAACTCTGATTGGTCGCCTTCTCGTCAGAGTAATGCTCAAAGAGAAGGGGACGGCGCCCAACAATATGCAATTTGACCGTACGGCTGAAGGGAAGCCATATATTGTGAGCCAAACTCGCGTTCCCCCTGTCCGTGTATACCGTCAGAATTTGACTAATTCGACGCATACATGGGGTAGGCAGGCCAAACCGACGATCCCATGGCGTACAACATTACACACGACAATAATCTTATCGCAATGGCTTTCGGACCTGGGCTACAGAATCCCCCTGCATTTAGCATAGGAATAGACGTCATGAAGGTCAGAATACCGGGTCGAGAGTCCCTTGAGTCCTTTATCACGACCATGGGCGAACAAGTAGGGCCCAGTCGGCATTTGTGGGACAAGTCGCTGATACATGTCCAGCTAACCCAACGCGAACACAGTCAGTTGAGATCCACAGTACCCGACTCGGAGCGAATCAAGGTGTTCTTCTGGATGTGGACACTAAAGGAAGCATACACCAAAGCTCTCGGGCTTGGCCTAGGGTTTGATTTCAAAAGGGTAGAGTTTGACATGTCGAATCGGGTTGTGCGAATCGATGGGGCCGAACCAATGGGATGGCGATTCAGGATGTTCACCCTTATGGATGGAGAAGATCTTTACGAAGGAGTAATTGCTGAATACTTGGGAGGTGGTACTCACACGGAGGTGATCGTCGAAACCGAGCAACCCAATTGGCTCAAGATATACAGCGCAGTCACGTTCACTGAAAACGCTATAGAGACATTGAAAGCAGAGTAGCACCACTATCAAAAGAACACCTACTTCCCAATACAGCATCATGATTCCTCCTCGTTCAACATTGTCCCTCCTTCCAACCACTTCGCGTAATACACGCATTCTTGAGAATTGACAGGGCCACCATCTTTGCAAAATTCAAATGACGGGCACAGACCGCATGGTGATTCTGTCCAACCGAAAGCCGAGTTGACCTCCTTCAAAGCGCGATAAACGCTGCCACCACCTGAGCGGGTGTCGAAGTCAAAAAATCCGTGTGGGGATGGTGAACGCCTCATCGATTTCGTCAATGACTTCTTTTTCGTGCGTTGTTCAGATTCAGATTCAGATGCTGAATCACTTTCTGAAGAGGCTGCCTTTTTCTTCTTTTTCTTGCTCTTCTTGCGGGAACGTTCTTCCTCTGACGAGCCTTCCGAATCCGAGGAAACCTCTTTCTTTTTCTTTCTTTTCTTTTTCTTCTTCACCTCGACTTCGGAATGGGTATCAGAATCTGATTCGACCTTGCCTTTAGATCGTTCTCGTTTCTTCCGTGAAGGTTCCTCATCAGAGTCGCTTTCCTCGTCGCTCGTGGAGTGTTTCTTCTTTTTGCGTTTTGAGCGTAAATCGTCCTGGTCAGAGTCGTCGTCTGTCCTCTTTTTCCGTTTTTTCTTTTGCGATGATTTTCCATCTTCGGACTCGTCACCATCTCCGATGGCATCCGAATTCCAGAGGGCACTTCCAAAAGCAGGGATCTGACATTAGAACACGGTCAGCAAGGAGAGACGATATTCAATGACAATCAAACCTTTTCTATTTTCCCATCTAGAATGAGAACATTTAAGAGCATTTCGACGTGTTCCACAGTCAATTCTGTTTCTGTAAGCCTTGCTTTCCTCAGCGACGCTCGAATGTTCTCGGCAGTCGGGTATTGCGGTGCATGAGAAATGGGATAAAGGACTCCTTCGGCACCGTTGCGACGTTTAGGAAAGCTCTATCATGTCCCACAGGGGTTAGCGAGGAGAGACGGAGGAGTGAGGAGGAGGCGTACAATGTCGCTGATCAATTTATAGCATGCATCCGTCAAATTCTGAATAAACTCGGTGTCCAGCTCGTTATCCGTGTACCACGGTCCTCCCGTGAGCGCGATTGAGGGTTCCAGGCCTTCCAACATGTAAATTTTGCGTGTAATGTGCTAGACACTCTCACTGAACCCAAATGCTTTTGGAACGTGCTGCCCGACTGACCTGTACTGACTGGACGCGTTTTATCAGTCGTTTTTGTGTCAGCGTCTTCAGACAGCGATCGATAACAGTTTGATGAAGACTTGTTTTAGCCTTTAGGTGCTTCGTCCAAATGCCTAAAGAACCATGAATTTCAGCTTCAATACTTGAATATATCACATTGCAACACACCCTCATTTCCAGAACTTTTGATATGACCCAAAACAAGATTTTCCTCGCCAGTCAAACCCTTCGTCCTAATTACAAACAAGTCAATGAAACCGCCCATGCTCAAGTCAATGAAACCTACGCGGTGATTTCCTCTTCGCTAACCGCCCTGAACGAGACATGGCCCGAAGAGCTTTTGAGGCCCTTGAAGAGGCCCACAGCGAGAAGGAAATTCAGAGCATTCTGTCGTGCGGTAGCGTCTGGTACAATGGATTCTGCTTGCTTCGCTGTGAGCTCCTGAGGACGGAGTAAATGGATCGGATATATGACCAAGGCATGGATGGGACTCACTTTCTTCGATGAGGCGAGCGCAGCCTGATGCAGCCGACTTTCGACCTCGTTGGGAGGCCGCTTGCTCATGGCGGAGGTGACTCGAAATTGTGAGAGTAGATCAACAGAAATGACGGCAAAGGATGTGACGGCTAGATTTATTCTGTCACGTCAGGTGCTCGTTACACCATCACGCGAGATTCTACGAGACTTTCTCGTTCATCTCGACTTCCACTGGCATATCGCAGCTTTCGATCTGACTTGTTCTATGAATGCACTGTCAACACCTGACGACGAACTCAAAATGGCGTTGTTGTATGAAAGAACGGCATGTTCTCCATGATTCATGAAGCTTGAAGCCTCTCAATGCCCGTGATAATCTAGCATTAGTGATGTCACTGGTGTCTAGAGGCCCTTCAAGCCTCTAAGTCTCCGCGGAAGTTGGTGAGTTCGTACGTCGTTTCGGACCGACATAGGTTGATCGTCCCGTACAGCGTATAGACAGGTGCGATTATCGGTAGGCTTGAACCTCCCGAGTTCAGTCGCGCCAGACTTCCCCATCCCGTTTGCCGCTAGGAGCTTAGGACGCCTGTCCAGAACTCCGCCCGTTGACGCATCTCCAGGCCTCCTGTCTTCAGCCGTATCCTTGATGGTCGGTAACCCGAACAAACGGTTAAGCTCAATTGTTCCTTCGAGCTCGGACAAGAAACGACATTCCAGACCGACCCCCGGGATTTCGACGTTTCACCACCGGCGACCTGCGAAACGAACATCTCCCCCGGGGTAGTTATACCAGAAGATCTCAAAGAACTGTTTACACCATTCGGAAGTTGGTTCCGCAAAGCTAAAATACTCGACTTCGACAGGCCCGGAGGGCCCGAGGAGCGTTCTCTTTGTGGGGGAGGAATGACAACACAGAAGCTATTCGACGGGCTGAGGAAGAGGGCCGAGCGTACGCATTCGAAGCAGGCCGCCTCTTGGTGTCTTCGCTGTGGGCGACGCACCTTGCTTAGAGCAGTTTCTTTCCCAACAGATACCTTCGCGCGTCCTAACATTTGTATAATTTCAACAAACATGAACCGAACCCTCAGGTATGCTGGGTTCTGAGGACGTTGTGGGCGCAAGAAGTTTCATCTCAGCGTGAGTTGGTGCGGATCTGCGTGAGTACGCCACAATCCCTTTCATCGCGAACCTGGATGGTAACCGGCAACCGCTCCTGAGTCCTGAAGGCCTGAAGCTTGAAGTCTTACTCCCCTGTTTCTCTTCTCATCACCTCGGCCCAAGAAGAAGAAAAGAAAATACACTCTCACCATTGAGAAACGAAACCGTGACGAAACCCCTTCTTATCGTTATAGCGTCCAGTGATCAAGCTTTGTTCGAACGAAGTCTACCCCACCGCCCAGGCCTCTCAACAATCAGAATGAAATCTATCTCTGGCAGTGGACGGAAGCCTAGGCTTGATATGATGCAAGCACTCAAGACAAGAATCAACAGTGCGAACCCGTCCCTTCCCCCCAAACTAAACGCGATACGGCTTGCAAGTCGACGGCTTTCTCAGCCTCGTGGAACCCACACCTGAGGGCTGCGTCTTGGTGTTGGAACGGAGGCATTTGGGCTGGCTTTGGGCTTCATAGCAAACCTGATACAAACCTTCCCGGATAGAAAGTGGAAGTATTTTCGAGCCCAGCGACCGTGGACGCCCGGCGACATGTGCTCGTCGCATGGAGTCGACCCTTCCGTACCCCGCATGGAGAGGCGCGTGTACGGTAAGTAACGTATACGTGCTACGTATGTAGGGTCTAATTGAACTGGGACACCGTGAACAACTCAAAAGGTTGTTTGGGTTGGTCACTGGATGCCCCTTCCCCGCCGCCGATGGGAACTCGCCGTTGGGAAAGATAAGTTCTATATCAGTAGCTGCGACAGATATAACATGCTCTTTACGACGCTCTTCCACCGCGCCACGACAAGACGTGCTTGCTAATCAGACTGGGCAGGACACGGGGTTTGTGCCAAAGCTGCTGAAACCTCGGTCTCTTCAAGTCCAATTGCGTCTGGTGGAGGCAATAATGACCGTGATATTTTTCGGGACCAAATGCTTGCGCGATGCGCTTGGTTGAACGAGCCATGAGATCAGGGCGTCTCGTTAGCTGTTGCGGCGAATTTTGCGGCGCAAAATGGATCCGTGAGGAATATATTCCGGCAGTCGCCCGTGAATACCAGCGCCTATCTCTATGATACCAACAAAAAATTTCGTTTTTCTCCGAAGGTGTTGACATGTGTATGAGAGAAAGGGGCCAAGTGGGGGACTCGAGAACATTATTTCATTTCTTGCTTCATCATGGATGGTTGTACAGATGATACACATGTAAGTAAGGTAATTTTAGTATGCAGTACGACACCTGGTAGACACAATAATTGGCTCGAGTCGTCTAGGAATACATATGTTAGTCTAGTGTGCATTAGGACTTGGTAGAGGAAATCTAGGAGAAGAGAGGAAATATGATTACGACCAGGGGGAAGGAATAAAGAGATGTCAATAGGGGAATAAGAGGTTGTCGAGAAGGTTGCCCTCTGTCAAGAGACTATGAGCATTAAAGGATTGCGACTGCCAGACCTTTGTCTCGTCGTTGAAACTTTTCTTGGAGGATGTCCAGTGGAGACCCCATATCTCGCAGCTCTGCAGATCCTGAAGGGACGTCAGGGCGTCCGCAATGTTTGCGAAGTACGTCTGGACGGAGGGTCATGTGAGAACGGGGATGTGAAGGGTCGATGATGGGGACGAGTAGACTTACGGAATCGGGAGCATCTGAGAAATTGTAGGTGGTCACAATTCGCAGGTGGACAAGGTGGGCCATGCACTGGGTCAAGGTGTTAATGAGGTCGACGGAGTGGGAACTTGTTGCTGCACCCAGGACTTGGAGAGGTGCGGAGGACTTTGCGAGGTTTACAGCAACCTCTTGAGTGAGATCACCTGAGCTGAGATGGATGTGCTGGACTGGGCGACCAGGGACGACGGCCTGAGCGGCCTGGGAGGAACCGGTGAATTGGCTCAAGCGGGGCAGAGCACCGTCGCGGAGTTGCAGGGTGGTAGGGGCCGAGTCTACTTCGAGCTCCAAAAGCGCGTCGGCTTTGTTGAGGAAGTGGGCTACGTGGTGATCGAGGTGGAAATTTGTGGCGAAGCGGTGGAGACGCGGGTGTGAGGCGCGGTCTGGGGTGCGCATTACCCAGCTGGCGGCCTGGTCAGCGCAGACCTCGAGGGAGGTGAGTTCGGACATGTTGTGAATGGCAGTGGCGAGGGCGCGGTAGTAGGGGTGGAGGAGGGCGGAGTATGGGGTGATCCTGATGGCGAAGGTGCGGACATGGCGTGCGATGTGGGGGTTGTGTGCGATGGTGAGGACGGCGGGGAGGTTGCGGGAGACGGCGTCGACGGAGATGTCTCTGTAGAGGATGCGCTGTGCGACGTGGTAGAAGACGGAGTTGGCAGCAGCGACGGCGGCGAGGTCTCGTGGACGGAGGAAGGTGCAGATGTTGTCGATGAGCTCGACTGGGAGGGCCATGGTGTGTGTCGAGAAGCAGGCGGAAGAAGAGGTTTATATTCAGAGGACGAGCAATTGATGGCCGTGTGTGTGATGGCCCATCGAGATCGATCTCCCCTGCCTCCATCGGGCTCAGGGTCCCCTCCGCCTCAGGCAACATTCGCCTTTTCCGTCCCTCTCTCTTCCTTCCTCCCGATCCTCATGCATGCCCTCCGTCGTCTGACGCGTCCACCACCCCACAACGCGCTTGCTCGTCGTGTTCCCCGCTATTCTGCGCTCCCTCATGCACCCCGCACCATCTCCTCAAAGGCCCACTCTGGTCAGCACCTCTCTCCATTTGACACGTCCAAGCCTCACTGTTTGTTCTCCGGCTAGCTCCCTATCCTGACCGCACCCACTCATGTGGCTCACTCTCTCCGGACAATGCTGGCCAGCGGGTTATTTTGGCTGGCTGGATCCTACCTGAACGGTGATTACACCTCAAAACCCCCGTGTCATGTCATACCCAGCTCATCGCCTCCCAAAGCAAGATGAAGACAATTGGCAAGTCCTTCTATCACCTCAAGGACTCCTATGGCACCACACAGCTCCTCGTCGACCATGCACAAGGCGACTCATACAACACCCTCTTACAAGTACCCGTGGAATCAACCGTCCTAATCGAGGGTGTTGTCGAGCTGCGTCCTATTGATGCTAGAAAGCTTGTGAGTAAGCCATCACGCAAAAAATAGCAGACTCCGGTGGTCCTAACTTCCGACTTGTAAGGGAAATACTGGCGCTGTTGATGTCCTTGTTGACCGCGTCACGTTGCTCAATGCTGCGACCCCAGATATGCCCTTCCTTCCTTCCAATCCGCACAATCTTGTGAGCTTATTTTACGTCGCACCCCTCGCATGGCCGGCTGTTCAATGAATTCATTAAGCCCAATGAAGAGCTGCGAGCACGGTACCGATATCTCGACCTGCGTCGCTCTGCCCTGTCAGAGAACATAAAAAAACGCAGTCAGGTGGCTCATATTGTCCGAAACGTCCTTCACGGTCTAGGTAAACGTTTACTCTTCACCCTGCACTATACGGCACTCACATCGTGCTTTAAGATTTCACTGAAGTGGAGACGCCCGCGCTTCTCAGGTCTTCACCCGAAGGCGCCCGGGAATTTCTGGTTCCAGCCCGTAACCCTGCTTCTTCCGACCCCACGCAAGGGTCGCAACGGCAGCCCGTCTTCTACGCCTTGTCCCAGTCACCTCAGCAACCCAAGCAGCTCCTCATCTGCTCAGGTGGTGTCGATCGCTACTTCCAGATCGCGAAATGTTTCCGAGACGAGGATGGCCGAAAGGACAGGCAACCCGAATTCACTCAGATCGATCTCGAGATGGCCTTTGTCTCATGGGGCAAGAACCAACCACCATCACCTTCGTCCGCCGATGAGACGAACGTCTGGCGCATCGGTGGCTACCAAGTTCGCCAGGTGGTGGAGAAGCTGGTGCGAAAGATCTGGAAGGAGGTCCAAGGGATTGAACTCCCTGAAACGTTCAGGGTTATGACCTACTACGAAGCGATGACACGCGTAAGTATTCGTATACCGTACTTTGGCTCAGTAGTACTCATTTAGCACAATTACCAGTTTGGTTCTGATAAACCTGACACTCGCTTTGGGCTCGAGGTTCGTGTGATTTACTCATTGAGATCGAGAAGAAGTCAAGGGCTGAGTATTTCCAATCTGTAGATCCTCAACCTGAGCGATTTGCTACCGCACGTCAGCGACGTATCGTCAGCGTCATCCGATGTCATCCTCGAGTGTATTGTGGTTCGCAAGTCTGGAGACTCAGCCTTCATAAAAGCGTCGCATACGTCCGGAGGCGATGCAAGCACTGTGAGATTACCACCCACGCTGCTACCGAGGTTTCGTTCATTGACCGCAGGAAATTACTCAGGAACACATAACCCTTACCGATGCCACTCGGAAGACCTGGCTTCTGGAGAGCAAAGCCGCATCCCATGTGTACCCTGACATGAACTCAGAAGACCAGACAATCGTCAATAAAGCACTAAAATTAAAGGCTGGCGATGACATATGGCTTTCGTACAGACCGCGAGTTCCGACGGTAAGGTTCGGTTTCTTCGGGCCAGGATGCATTTGGGACTGATCCTTTTGACAAGGGTGGGTCGACTGCCCTTGGCAAAGCAAGACTGCAGATATTCGAGCGAGCCCAGAGTCGCGGTGAGAGCGTCCGAGTCTATTCTGCAAATATGACAGTGACCTGACATTTTGTGATAATCTGTAGGCGACTACATCGTGACCAAGGACCCTCACTTCCTCTGGATAACCGAGTTCCCCTTGTTCACCAGGGACGACGCTGACAAGGAACATCTGGCCCACGGCCGCTGGAGCAGCTCGCACCACCCTTTCACAGCTCCAATGTGGCAAGACATCGATGCCCTTTATCGCGGAGAAGCAGAGAAGGTGCGAATCGAGGACCGATTTCTTAGCGATATTCCACCACGCGACTGACGGCGTCCGTGCTTTTGGGTTTATTGCTGCAGGTTCGTGGGCAGCACTACGATCTCGTTCTAAACGGAGTCGAGATCGGGGGTGGTTCTGTCCGCATTCATGATTCTGCGATGCAAGACTTGATCTTCACGCATATCTTGAAGGTACGATAGTGTGCCTCAGCGCCGCTCTGCTCCCGTCGTCGGAATGAAAGCCACCTTGGCCTGACTTCCCTTTTCCGAACAGCTGGATGACACCGAAAAGTTCCCATTCAATCAGCTTCTGCATGCTCTCCAATGTGGCGCTCCGCCTCATGGAGGTATAGCCCTGGGTGCGTCTCATTGTTCTCGTTCGCCATCAGGCGTCCATGTTTCTATTCGAAGGGTTCTGTGGGTTAACACTTGTCTTTTTTGTCGCTCTTCGCAGGTTTCGATCGCATCATGGCGATCCTCTGCAATACTTCCTCTATCCGCGACGTTATCGCCTTCCCAAAATCAGCCTCAGGCACCGACTTGCTCTTCAAGAGCCCAGCGTCTGTCAGCAGACAGGTCCTGGAGGAGTATGGTATTCAACCCCAACAATGACAGATGGAGTAAAGTCCAGCAGTATTTTAGGGTTGACATGGCCATCCATCCTTCCGGGATTCGTGAGATAGCACTAATCGATCGAGGAGCATAGATGTATATTGAAGGGCGAACGCTCATAACTATAAGGAGGAGCGATAATCCTAGGAAGAACGAAGGAGAATATAGATGGATCATGGAAGATATAGAGATACAAACAGATATGGGAAAGCTACGTGGGCTATGTCGCAATAGGAATGACAGCTACCTGGTCATCGGGTTCGTGCGGTCGCTCCAACTCACGACTCGGAGGCGAATCAGGCGGCGGCGGTGGAGATTGCGAAGAGAACAACGTCGAATGTCGAGGAGTCAGTTGTTCATCTTCATTAGAAGACGAGTGTGACTGTCCGTGGGCATAGGCCCAACCCACGTCAGGGTCAGGATCGGGACGAGGTGCCGCGATGCTAGTTAGGATGGGGGGCAAAGGCGAAGGGCCCAAAGGCGTGCTGCCTTCGCTCTCCCGGCGAGGCTTTCCCTCGTCAATGACAGCCAGCACTGAACGGAGCTTGGATTCGCTCTTTCGGGTTATAGAAGGCACGGAGTGTCTCCGAGTCGGCATATTTGGTGGGGATGTGGAATTAGGGGGCGACGTCGAGCGGGGAGGCGTGGAACTTGGGAAGGGTACAGGTGCCCATTCAGCCGATTCTGGGGTGTACAGCGTCCCATTAGTACCAGGAAGCCAGGACGTAATCTTGTTGTTCGCGGAGTTGGGAAGGGAGTTGACTCGATCGCGTTCTGGGGTGGAGCCGGTCAGAGGGCTGGCGGCAGACGAGGGTGCGCTCGACATGATCGACAAGGGTGCAAGGATGCTGAATATCTGATCCTCGGACTGGGGTGGCCCGTAGGAATCGAAAGGATCCGGAACGGACTGTAGCATAGGTTCGATGATTGGGTCTGATCTGTGGATGATTTAAAGCGAGAATTAGCCATGCACTTTGCCTGTCTGAAGCAAGCTGTCACATCAAAAAGACCTACGCTTTAGCAGTAAAGCGGTCGAATACATCCATCGTCGAACGAACAGCGACACAGACCTGTAAAAGATACTTAGACGCCAAAACATGACCAACGGAAGGAGCTGGCTGGACCAACCTTGCCCTGCACCACATTCCAGACCTCGTCTTCGTGTTCGATGATCTCCTGGTAGTGAGACGCCTTCAACTCATCAAGTTCATCCACTTGGCGTTGGAGAACTGCAAGAGCTTCGCGGAAATTTTGTAGGTCTATGAATGTGATATTGGTCAAGCGCATTGGAATAAAACAGCAGGGACTGTATGCCGACATACTGCGCTCCTTTCTGTTCAGATTACGTGTCTCTGTCTCTCGAATGATGTGACTCTTCTCGCGAAGGGCGCGTTCATAGGACTGCGAGCGCTCCTACGGATACGCAGTCATATCGGAAACATAGAATTGGAGCAAAGTCGAAACATACATTTACGACACCCCTATACCCTTCCAACCCTTGCCGCAATGGCTTTTCGAATGATTTATCAAGGGATTCGGACTGCGATTGTGTGAAGACGGAACGAAACACCAAGGAAATACGGGACCCACCAAGACGTGCCAAAGGTTAGCCATGAGATGATGTACTCCAGACGCTGCCTGCAGTCGAGTCCCTGCCTCATAACCAGGGCCTTTCAGTCTAACACAAGTGTGCCCTGGTTAGATAGATGGAGTTGCCGAAGAGAAATGAGGACCACTTACGCACTACACCTCTGCATCGCATCCGCAAACTTCGCCGTGGCCGAGGACATGGTAACGAGAGCGGCGCGATAGCCTGCACATGTATTGACGAGCTACGAAACAAATTGAATGCAAATGGGCGAGATTAAGGGGGAAATCCGCGAATTAGGCGTCGGGGGCGCTTACATCTTCGTAAGCTTGAAGGCTAGCCTTCAAATTAGCCCTAGTTATGATCTTCGTTGGACCGTTGGCGCCAAAATTCATTGCCGAAGCTTGCGTTACGTCTGAAAATGTGGGTGAAGGGGGGCCTGGTGATGTGTTGCGTTTGCTGGAGCCAAATGCCAGAGCGCGTAGAGATCGAGGCCGACTGGGTGCCATTGTTGAGGGGGAGCCCGGCTGCGCAATGACCAGCAGAGGAGGTTAGAGCCAAGTTATGGAGAAGCCGCTTCGCGGTTGCCAATTCCATATCAGTCACTGCGCTTTTTCAGCCCGCATTAAATAAATAATCTATTAGTGTTTTGAAGAGCGACATAACCTATCTGCTACAACACACTCTACTCAAGAAATGAATGGCAACAATATAAGAGTACGGACACATTCCGCAGAATCGTTCGACGAGAAAGCTTGCTGCACGCCAAAGATGGTCAACTGGTACCGCCATTAAGCCAGCAAGCGGTTAGCCGGTCGACGACAACCCTATTCCAATCTGAATAAATTCTACCGTTGGTCAAACTCTGTGTAATGTCGAAGAAAAGCGAGGCAATGTGTTGCAAATATGATGATTAGGAGTTATCGTTAAGTGCACGGACAATCCACAGTGCGTAACTGCGAATGTCAGCACCGACAAGGTTGCAAGTAGAACAAAGTCGACACACCTATTAGTGCTTGCCCGCAGCAAGCATGCTCATCTTCTCTGGAGAATCCCGCAGGTAGAATAACTTGGCCCTTCTCATCCGTCCCTTTGGTGGCGGCTTCAGCAATTTAATCTCCTTCAGCCCCGGCGAGTTCACGAAGAACTGCACCTCCACGCCCGTCCTCTGCAAGATATTCCGCACGCGGATAGACGTGTCCGGTCCTCGTCGTCGAATGGCAATCAGCACGCCATTGAAAACTGTAGGCGCCTGGTCGGAAATGATGGAGATGATGCTCCCGACGCGTAGTTGCTTCGGTGACCGTCTTGAGAAAAGAGTTTTCATCATTTCAGCTTTCCTGGGTGAGTATAGGGATTCTTGAAGATGTCGCATGATACCCTTGCCGTCCCGAAGGGCAGGTGTCGACTCGGCGGAGAGAGTGGGCAAAAGCGCGGTTTTCGAGAAAGGGTATGACGCGGTCGTCGCCGACGTTGACGCCGAAGCTCTCGCTGCCGTCGATGCAAGTCTAGCAGATGCTCGACATAGTCTTGAGAACATCCTGTCTCCAGATATGGCCCAAGGAAAACCTGCCGGTTGGTGGAAGGAGAAGGATGTGTGTTTACATAATCCACATCAGACATCAGTTTTCCGTTTGCATTGCGAAGTCACTGGGCTGGGATGCGAAAGTAAGGTACTGTTTATAATGCACGTATTCGAAGGCAGGAAAGCTAGCAAAGGTGTATTATGCAAAAGTGAACCCAAGCGGTTTATTTTGTGACGATATCGTACAGGGGGGATGAGAAGAAAGCTCGAATAAGTATGTAGCACGTATGCCCGGTAATATGACCTAGACGAAGGCGCCGGCTGTGAGCGGGCGTTGCGGCAGGATGATCCAAGATGGATGATTTTATTGAGAATCTAATAACCACGACCTCTTCCCCTGCAAGCGGGCTTAGTTTCAGAAAGTGTTGTATAAATCAAGAAACCCACCTGCCCCGGGGTCTGGTATACGGGCTATATCCAGAATACCCTCTGTAACCCCCTCTATAGCCTGCCCTACCCCTCCCTCTTCCACGCCCAAAACCAGGTATGTTAGTCCGTTTAGCAGTCACCTACATCAAAGCGGGTATGTTCAGCAGCCCATTACATGGTCGGCAGAAGATTTAACTGACCTTAATGAGTCTCCCCCGGAATAGCGAGTTGTCCAAAGCCACGGCTGCATCTATGTGTTCCGGCTCTGAAAACTCAACATAGGCATATCTAGAGATACGATTAATATCCAAAATGCCGTAAAACAAGCGAGAGGATAGCAGGACGTACCCTTTCGGGTGTCCAGTGAATTTATCGCAGAGAATCGTCACTCGATTGATCGTTCCGCATGCTTGGAAGTGGCCTTGAATCTCTTCTGGTGTTGCGCCGTAGTCAACCTATCATAGTCTCTTCGTTGAAAATCCTGCACCACCCTATGACGAACGTGTCACTCACATTTCCAACATACACACTTCTGTTGTCTGCAAGAGACTTGTCGTCCTCCGCCTCCAGACCTCCACTGCTTTCGTCCGCCGAGTTGGCTGCTTGCTCCGCTGCTGCTTGTAGCTCCCGCAGTTTATTGGCTTCTCTCTCCATTTCCTCGACTCGCTGTTTCATAAGAAGGATTTCCTAGAGCCATACGATGGTAAGCGACGCGTCCACCGAAAGATAAAAACTGGCACTGATAAACATACGTTCGTCTCCGCATCATCGCCATCTTCGACCGGGAGATTTTCTGACCCATTTGTTGTCGGTTGAGTCGATTCGACGTCGGCCATGGCGTGGTGGTCCTGAACGAGCTTACTTTGTTTGGTCAACGCCTTCAGGCCAAGGCTTGGAACAAACATAGACACGTGATCGAAGGGTGGCTGTGTTTGTGCCTATCTAATCTTGACGACGGTGAGTAACTCTCGACACCAGGCACTCACCTTCGAGGATTGAATATGCCTGAATAAACCTTGAGGACCGAAGAAACTCTTCTCGAACGAATACCATGCTTTTCGAGGACAATGGTACAGTCAGACACTGGCCGTATAGGTTTTCCGAGTTTCTGCAAGGACTATGTACTCATGCGCCGCTTGTGCTTGCGCTCAACTTTGGATAAGTTCAAATATTCACAGCCTGAGGACCCTGTATCCCATTCATCTCCGAGTACGACCTTCCACATTGAAAGGATATGAATCGTGCAGTGCACCTGCTGACACCGGTGGTCTTAGTTAACAAAAGATGACCAACGGTCTTGGTTGGGGAGATAGAAAGCAATTAGGCCTTCGAATGGATGCATATGGACATGGGTCAAAACTGGGGTGCCCTTTGGTTACGGTGCATACCCACAGGCGTTCATGTGTCACCGCTGTGAATCTGATGGGAGGGGACCATTTGACCAGTGGCTGCCGAGTTCCTCATAGAACCCGCCGCCTGACGATGGGAGGGGCGGTCGAGACGGGCGTCCGAGAGTGCAGGCGATGAGCGTCATTGCAGGGAGTGTTGCATCTCGGCCCGAGATAAAGCTCACGTGCATGCTTGTAATGCCTTGACATTTGTGGCCAATCGCCTCAGTTTGTCTCATTCCTATTTACCACCACCACCCCGACAACCATGGCCAAAGGCGAGGACTCCTCATCCACGTCCAAGAAGAAGCGCGACGACGACGAACCTATGCTCGAGGATGTTGTTTCAAAGCCGCTGCAGCTTCAGCGCCGCCGCGTTTGGCGGGCATGTGAGAGTTGCAGGCATGTTCATTCGTTGCTTCCTCCGCATCGCCCTCTGCCATAGCTGATGCCGTTCTTTATGCTCTTATCGTAACAGGCGCAAGAAGATTAAGTGCGATGGATGCGAGCCCACCTGTTCCCAATGCTCTATGTCGGGCTCCCAGTGCACCTGGCTGCAGACCAAGGATCGCGCAGCCTTGAGTCGCCAGTACGCCGATAATTTTCTCGCTCACTTGGATGGCCTCTAATTATTTCGACCTAGCTACGTGCAAGAGCTTGAAGCTCGTCTGCTCCACATGGAAAATATCTTTGCCCAAATCGCCCCTGCCCTTGAGCAGCACATGGCGCCTTCCTCTAACGGCTCTCCCCATGCTGGTCTGCCGGGATCCATCGATCCAGAGACCTTGGCACCAGCGGCAGCCATCCTCCGCTCAATAGCGCCAAAAACACAAGTGGCAGAGTCGACCACCACCTCTTCGCCGCCCCCACAGAAATCGGAGGATGACGTTAGCGAGCTTTTCGGACAGCTTGCGCTCGACGAGTACGGCCATATGCGTTGGATTGGTGGCTCGTCGACTATGTCTCTTATTCAGTCGTTCAAAGCGCTGACGTCCTCTCCGTTGCATCGTATCTCCCCTATGGAAGAGGATCCTCAAGCGCCTGGGCCGAGCGTCAATAAGCTCTACTTCCCCGCTGCCGTCTTTTTCGGCAAGGTCCATGCACTCCCAGGACCTGAGGAAGTGGAATTCCCTCCTCGCGACCTCGCCGACAAGCTTGTGAGTCTTAACTACGTGTTGTCCCATTAAGCATCTCAGCGAAGCACCCTAGGTCGAGGCCTATTTTACGCGTCTTCACTTCCTAATGCCCGTCATAGACAAACCATCCTTCACTCGGAAGTACACCCACCTCATGGACAACCAGAGCAACGTGGACCTCATCCGCGCAGAGCCTGCCTTCATGTCGTTGGTTTTCGCAGTCTTCGCCTGTGCGGCCAATCTCGTCCAGGACCCACGTCTGGCAACATCGGAGCGTAAGGACGATGGAGGAATGGGGATGGTCTATTATGAACGGTATCTTCATTCCCATCTAACCAGGGTTGGCTGTTGTTCCTAATTTCCTTATCGGCCAGTGCACTCATCCTCCAGTATATCAGTCACCCAAACATCCAAGTCGCTCATGTTCAGTGCTTCATTTTGATGTCGTCATTCTTGTGTTCAGTCAACTGCCTTCCTCAAGCATGGATCCTTATAGGGCAGGCCGTTCGAGCTGGTCAAGACCTTGGACTTCACGTAAGGATTTCTGTCCTCTGTCATCCTGTTATCGTCAATCACTCACTCGGGGTTTCTCGCGCTATAGCGTTCTCCCCGACGCCTTCTTGTCGGTCCTTTAGAAAAGGAAACTCGACGCAAGATTTGGTGGGGAGTCTATGCCCTGGATCGAATGCTAGCTCTTGCACTTGGTCGCCCTCTGGGAGTCAATGATTCTGATTGCGACGTTGAATTACCCGTCGACGTTGATGATGATCATCTGCCAGAATACTTCACTGGCGCTCCAATGACTCAGAGGCAGCCCTCCTTGATGACCGGCACTATCGCTCTCATCAAACTTTACGAAATCGGAGGGCGAGTGCTTAGGCAGGTCTACGCCTTGGAGAACTGCAAGGACCATCTCGAGCCCGAGCGCAAAGCCGATCTGCAGAAGACTGTTGAATCGCTTGATACCGAGTTGACGAAGTGGTGCGACAACCTACCTACCGTTTTCAAATCCCAATCGGAGACTGAAGAGCAAGTATCGATGGGCGCCGTCCTTTGCAGCCACTATTACTCTGTGCTCACCACCCTCCATCGCAATCTCCTTCCCGTCAAGCGCGATCAACCTGTGACGGCCAAGTCGACAGTAAAGGCCGTGTCGTCCGCTCGATCATGCATTCGACTGGCGCCCTCGATGAAGCATGTGGTCCCCCCTTCTCATCACCTTGCCTTTTTCATTCAGCACCTCTTCAGCTCCGCGGTCATTGTCCTGCTTTATGCTATGCATGCATCAGACCCACGTGCTGCTACGGCTGCAATGGAGGAAGCCAGAAGCACACTCAATGCATTGGAGTCTTGGGAAGGACAGTGGCCTGGTGCGAAGAAGTGTAAAGAACTGCTAGTTGACCTCGTCAACACTGCCAACGAGGCTATAGCCCGCGGCCCGCGCGAGAAACCTATCGCTTCTGCTCAAAGTTCAGCAGCAGGGCCCAGCATTGTTCCAGCTGGCCATGAACGCCGTCGTTCCGTCACTATTGTGAACCCGTCTGCTATAAGCGGTTCATCTGGCCGCGCCGCCAAAGGAAGGACCAGGAGAACCCAGTCCCGCGACGCCGCTGGATCAAGTAGGCGGCTGGCGGCTGTGTCCCCGTATCGTGTCGATGGAGGTAAGCGTAATAATGGACCTCTCAATTGTAGTGCATCATGCTGAAATAATGCCCAGGTCAAAGAGCAAGATCCACTTCCAGGAAACGTGGGCATGATGAGTCCGACGGCTTGGAGCGAACGTCCGCCGGCCCATTCTACCAGCCGTTCCCAAGCCCAAGATCAGCGAATCGTCCTGGTTCCAGCACCCACAGTTCCCCTGCTTCCGTCAATCTGCCATCCCCGGCAATGCCTCCTGTAGCCGTAACCGAGTCCACCCAGCCTCCAGATCCAAACCCCCAGCTATCCTCGAATAATTACTCATTCGCATCACCGTTATCGCCGGCTCAACTCCCTTCACCTCACCGTTACGAGTTCGAGTATGGTGTCCAGCCGAGTCCTCTCAGCCAGTCCAATGTTCAGCAATGGAACGGGAACGGCGACCAGATGTTAACAGGCAATGATCAAACACTATACAATCACCCCTTCAGCTCATATGCGTCTCCTCTTGACGGCTATCCTGGCTACGATCCAACATCTGACCTCTCTGCTGGTCTGGGTGGCATGTCATCTTCTCCCTCGTCGTCGCAATTCGCGACTGGCCTACCTTTCCGCGGACTCGACTTCATCAGGAATTACAACCCTGGATATGTATCAGACCAGGATGCCCTGTGGCAGAGCTACGATCCAGGTGCATTCGGCTACGACCCAGAACTACCCTTCACGCTCGGCGATACTAATTATGAGCTACATGAAAATGTGCTCCATCAACCGTAGGCTGTTTTCACTCGTCGTATTCTTGCTTGCTTTGTAGTCTAATTCTTGCTGGACTATGATCTGAAATATTAAATTGTATGTAGCGATATATGCTCTCTTGTACTGTCGATGTTCTATACCTACCTTAACGCCCGTCTTTACGATCTTAATCACGCCTCAGATATGAATCCAGTTTCGTCCTCACGCTCCTGTCGTGGACATATTGCTCATAGACTTGACTTATGCTTACTTGAAGAAGTGACAATTTTTTCAGCTGTAGATTACGTACCACCCAATGACACCCATGTTGTAGTAGTTACATAAATGTGGGCTGTCCGTTGGTGTTGTCGAAGGCTGAAGGGATCTGCTTTACCCTTTCTCCGCCTCATGAGATTGATTCCGCGTGTGCTTCCCCGCAGTCAATTGTTCCGGCACGACTATCATTGTGGAACTATATATTAGGTCTGTCCAGAAAGACTAGGTTCTAAGCTGATTTTAGTAAGTTGCAGTTGAGATCGATTTATTTTCTTCTTGTGAAGAGCCATAAGTCACTGTTCGACTCTACCACTTCGGTGCGTTCCACCTCCGAAACAACTGTACCCCTTGTTCCCTGACCTCGAGCCAAGCCTTGGAGGTTCTGGGTGGACCTGAATCTACCTGAATGGTCGGCGGTTGGCCAACTTCCGCGCTGCAACCGGGTACTCGGATAGCCGTTCCCCGCATTTTAAATAAACTCTCTTCCCCACCTTTCCAACGATACCCACTTTCTATCCATCATTATGGCCCCTCATCCAGTCGTCGAATACACCTCGGAAGCCTCATGGGCGATGGTTTGTTAACCCAACCCTTACACTTGCAGCACGCGTTCGCTAACTCAGGACGCGACAGATCGAGGACAAGCTCTCGCACTATGCGAAGGAGACTCTCGCCAAAGTGGTCAAGTTCCTCGAGGTGTGCAACCCCGGATACACAGTGTTCTAACGGAAGTTAACTCTTCGCGCAGGACGAGATCCTCCCCGCTGCGAAGGTTGCCCATGCACAACTTCCCGATGACCCCGTCAAACGATGGCAAACGGTCATCCCTGTCGTCACTGAGCTGAAGGCGAAGGCGAAGAAGTTGGGCCTTTGGAACCTTTTCTTGAGCAAGGCTCACTACCCCGAGTTCGGCGTCCCCTTGACTAACCTTGAGGTACGTCTTCAACCAGAGGGTCTCCTATTTTTGCTCACTTAAGTCTTGTACAGTACGGGGTTATTGCTGAGGTTCTCGGCCATGCTGGACCCATCGGACCTGAGTCGATGAACTGCTCTGCGCCGGACACTGGAAACATGGGTATGCCTCACCCGCTTTCGGACTCAGGCAGACGTTGACTTCATCCTCAGAGGTGTTGGCTCGCTATGGCTCTCCCGAACAGCAAAAGAAGTGGCTAATCCCTCTCCTGAACGGCGAAATTCGCTCAGCTTTCTCTATGACTGAAAAGCATGGTTAGTATAATATAACATTTGTTGTAGCAATTGGCTCTAACTCTGAATTCAGTCGCCTCCTCCGACGCCAAAAATATTCGCACATCCATCCGACAGGAAGGGAATGAGATCGTCATCAACGGCCACAAATGGTGCGGAGAGTTTTTTTCCTACTCCTGTCGTTTCGCTGACACTTGAGGTGAACAGGTGGATCAGTGGTGCTGGAGACCCACGCACGAAGCTTCACCTCGTCCTGGGCAAGAGCGACCCCAACAACAAGAATGAGTACAACCAGCAAAGTATCGTCATCGTGCCTGCCGATGCTCCTGGCGTCAAAATTATTCGACCCATGAAGGTTTTCGGTTACGACGACGCGCCGGAGGGCCATTGCGAGATCATCTACGACAATGTCCGGGTTCCTCTCAGCAATCTCGTTCTTGGTTGGGGTAAAGGTTTCGAAATTATCCAAGGTCGTCTTGGGTATGCTATCTGTCTGCCACTATCTTAGAGAGCACACCCTGATGCTCTCATAGCCCTGGTCGCATTCACCATTGCATGCGTTCCATCGGTGCTGCTCAGGCATCGTTGAACCTTATGCTGCAGCGCGTCACTGACCCGACTCGCAAGACCTTTGGCAAATATCTCTATGAACATGGTACTCCATTTTGCCACTTTGTTCTCAATTCCTGACTCATTGTCGTTTCAGGAACTGTCGTTGCCGACATTGCTAAGTCTCGCGCCGACATTGAAGGTGCACGTCTACTCGTCCTGAGTGCTGCACTCCAGGTAAGTATTCACTTTTCGTATCAAGAAACATCCAGTTAATGCTTGAAATCTAGATTGACAAGTACAAAGCAAAGGGTGCCATGAAGGAGATCGGTATTGCCAAAGTCTGTCTTCAATCTGCTGCAATGGCCTTATGCTGACCGTCATGCTTAGTTCGTCGTGCCCTCAATGGCTCTTACTGTCATTGACCGTGCCATGCAATCCTTCGGTGCCGCTGGTCTCTCACAAGACACAGAACTTGCTGCTCGCTGGGCTGGTCTTCGTACTCTCCGTTTGGCTGATGGGCCTGACGCCGTCCACATCCAACAAGTTGGACAGAGGGAGCTCAAGCGTGCGCCTGGCCTTGTCAAGAAGGCACAGGAGCTGAAGAGGAAGGAAGAAGCGGTATTCGCCAAGTATGGGCTGAAAGCTCATTTGTAACGGATTTATCTGTAACTTATTTTTCTTGGTGCAACATCTTTATGTCTACTTCAAAATGTACACACTATGAACCCGTCCAATCTATGCATCATAGAACTCATAACCTGTAAAGGCCGCCTGGGGATTGGAGGAATGCGAGGGAGCAAGTTCGTGTTGTTTGATTTTGTTTTGGCCGGCCCGCATCAATTTCGTGTCGACTGGTGTCGACCATTCACTCAACCTCATCTCTGACGGTCACGATCGCCCATAATGTCTCTGCCATCATGCGCCTCTCGGCGGGTATCTCCTATGCATTGTTTCGCTAGGCGCACCATGTCGAAGCAAGCGCCGAGGAAGCCAAAACCGACGTCAAAACTGACACCAAAGCCAGCACCGAAACTACCCTCTCAATCCGCACCTCCACCCCAACTCGCCTCCTACGTCAGATCTCACGAGACACTCCCGCCGCCCAAAATGCGCGCTCTCATTTCGCTATACCACCAAGCGGACTCATGGATTACACCCGACAACCTCCTCAAGCGGATAGATGCCGCATTCGTGCCTCCAGCTTCTGAAGATATCGAAATCCCGGATGCCAAAGTGATTACGCTGGATGAGCTCCAGGGCGAACTCGATGATATCAAGAAGGCGCCGAAGATGGTGCAGCACGACGCCCTGCCACGAGATTCGTCCCGCAGGGCAGACTCCAAAAAGTCATGGAGCGACCAACGTTCGAAGAGGGAGTCGATGGTGTTCGAGGCGCTGTATGGGGTGAATTTCGACCACTCCGGTAGGGTGATGCCTGGTCTGGAGGTCTTGCAGGAGAGGTCGAAGTCATTGGCCCAGCAGAGGAAGGAAGATGCGGAAACGAAGGCGGAGCGCGCAATGGACCTGCAGGACTTGCTTGACACTCCACCTGGGTACTAATTAGGCATGTGGGTTTCCTTCATATGGTCCCTCGGAGGCTACTTTTTCTGATAGGCATTTTCAGAATATTTATAATTTATACATCTGTGTCGTCATCCAGGCGTATAATCTTACAGTGGATGACTTTCCTTAACGTTTAGAGCCCATTCTAAACACTAAATCTCGTTTCAAATGGTGAGGCCGATGCATGCCGTTGTCACCTGTCAGGACCCCGGAAAACATTCCGCTCTCCGCTCTCTTCAAAGGCCGTTTCAAACGAAAAATCTAGGAGGAGGGTAAGTACCCCCTTCCCAGTTCTAAAGCCTCATTCTAGGTGTAAAAGCTCTCGTTTAGGTATGTTCCTGACCACGGCAGCCTTCGGCATTCCTCGTTCGTGCCTCATTGCCCTTTCAATATTCCCTACGATTCCAAACCCCAACGTCTATAAACTCTCATCTTCCATTTTAATCCCCGACGCTGGCACCCCGTCATTTGCTTTAGAGCCTCAAATCCGTTAAGGAAAGTCATCCAGTTAGTGTTTACCAGCAATATCTCTAAGCACTGCCAAGGCAGGCAAGATATGTTCAGGCTAATCACATCCGACGAAAGCCGAAGGAGAATGGCGTCTTAAGTGGCGTCAGTTACGCCGACGTCGACGGCAACACTTCCGTCCTCTGCAACTCGAAACCCCAATGCTTTTGGCAAAGTTTCCTCACAAGGCCCCAGAAAGAGGAAGTGAGCCTGGTTATCACCGTGGCTTCGTTCCAAATTGAATACGGCTACCTTTCCGCCGTTCTGCTCGACTTCCTCGGCGTATGACGCAGCGGGGTACACCTTGAGAAAGCTGCGTCAGACGCTGAATAATTCGAAGGATGCAGAATGATTTTACCGTCGACGAAGTTCCTACGACGAGGCAAAGATCTGCTTCCGCGACCAAATCGTCAATTTCATCCAGCTGATGGGGCCGTTCTCCGAACCAGACGACGCCTGGCCGCGCGAGCCCACCGCACTTTGGACAATGGGGAAGATCTTTCACTTGAATATCAGGATCAACGACGTGTTGTTCGACAAGTTTTTCGGTGCCCCCAAGAGCTTCACAAATGGGAGAGTTCGTATTGAATTCGACGTGGCCACATGTCGGATTGTTGCAGAGGACATCAAAGAGTCGGCCGTGCATCTCAATCAGATTCGGTTGATCGTTGGGGTCGGGCTGGACCGCAGCAAGTTCCTGGTTTGCTCGGACACTGAGGCCATCGACGTTCTGGGTGATCAGGGTGAAATTTGAATGTGGCGCAACTTGTTTTCTTAGTGAGGATCGGGAAAACGCGGAGAGGGCTCGATGTGCGTCATTGGGACTCGCGTTAGAGGCCCTAGAATGACGGCGCTTATTTCGCAAATACCTCCAAGCTTAATGGAAGGATATACTGACGTTTCTCGACGGTAGTGGTAGAACTGCCAGACGAGGATGGGTGAGCGTTCGAAAGCCTCTGGCGTGGCTAGGGACATGGCATCGTATTTCCTCCACATGCCACCAGCCCCTCGAAAGGTTGGGATGCCTAGTGGGTGTTAGCAACCGTATTTACGCAGCAAGCGAGGCGGTTACCCGATGCAGCGGAGAGACCGGCGCCTGCGACTGCAATGATGTTCCTTGCGGCGCGGAGAGCGGTCTGGAATGCGTGAAAGTCGGAAGATGGTGCCATTTTGTGAGAGAGAAGGCTGGGGAGGAAAGCAGAATTTCCTGACATTAATTACATAATTCGGATCTTATCTGATACACGCCTGGAGGAAAGTGACCGGGACACTCCTCTCCTCCCACCCACCATGTATGGCTTCAGAACCCTCCACTCCCTCGTCTTTGGCCACCAGGAAGACCCTCTATGTCGTACTCTCCGCGCCTCCGATGTTCCCGTCACCACCGCAGATTGCAGAACATGCTCCGACCCCTGTGACCTCGGTCGGTGATCCACGTCAAAAAGTTATCAGATAACTTTCAGCTCACCATCCCGCTCGCTCCACACAGGTCACGACGCATATCCCCGCCGCTTCGACATAGATATGGACACAGACATGCTGGGCTCCGTAAAGCCATACCACCGCCAGGTGTGCCCCGCTCGCTCTTGCTCACGCGCCGCCCACCCCGCGCACCAGCGCGTTCTAACTATATCCTCAGATAGTTATCTCCACTGGCAAGTCGGACTGGGAGCGCGACATCACCGACGACAAGAATTCACTCGCTTCTGCTCTGCTCGAAGTCTCAACAAAGCCGACTTCCCCCATGTTACCGAGTTCCCCAAAACCCGCGTCTCCACCCCCAAACAAGGGTGTGCGACCGGTGACAGGCCTTTTCTCGACGTCCGACTCGAGTAGGACCTCGGTACTTAACGGGAGTCACAAAACTGTATGCCACGAAGACGACCACGAGTCTGTACTTGTCTTCCCGGACTTCAAAGTTGTGACCGAAGTTCGCCGATCTCTACAAGGAGCCCGTGAATTCTACGAATGCGCCCTCGACCCCTCGGTGGGCACCGACGGCAGCTACCTCGAAAAGAGCATACTCAAATCATGGATACTTCCCTACGCCTGCGTGATTCTGATATGTGAGTCCTCCCTATTCTCGGATCCATTATATTCTCGCCCGACTCATACCATTCCCGCCGCGTTCTAGGCTCGCACAAAAAGCGGGATAACCGGTGTGGGATTGCCGCGCCAAAACTTGAACATGGTTAGTCGGGTCTCGGACTGTGGGCGTTGACAGACATATCCGTTCTCACTCTGGGCCTCGTTGACAGCGTTCATCAGGTCACTAGAGGCGCAGGGTTGGGACGCTGATACACAACTAGAACACCCGGAGCTGACCATGGGTATTCCGCTCGAAGACCTCAACGTAACGCCGGAAGAGCGGTACGAAAATATCTCCTCCCAGCTGAAAGAGAGCTCGGAATCGAAGCGCGCTCTCATCGTCAAGGTGTCCCACGTTGGCGGCCACAAGTACGCTGGGAACTGCATTGTGAGTGATCCTTCCTGTCCCGCCCCGCTTCGAGAATGTCCCGGAAACCCAGACATTGATGTCATCGTGTTGGAGTCCTTCCCTCGAGCTATTCCCGTTGCCTATCGTGTCCGTGCTCTATTTTCTTATATGTTTGCTCATTGCGCCCCCCTCCTTCCGCCGGCAGATATACACACCGTCTGGATCCGGGATCTGGTACGGCCGAGTCACACCCCACGATGTGGACTCGGTCGTAGTCAATACAATCATCGACGGTCTCGTCCTTCCACCTCTGTTGCGCGGAGGTGTAAATCTGTCACGGCCAAACTGCAAAACGCTGAACGACTGGTAACGGGGACCCGCTTTCATCCCCTTTCGTCTCTGCGCCTTTTCTCTATCCGCATCTTGCCATCTCTATCACCCTGTCGCTCCTTTCTGAATGTCTGTCCTGCATCTGTTACGCCCCTAGCATTGTTCCGAGCATCCATTTCATAGACCGCATACTACTTGATTACACCACCTAGTACTAGTACCATCCATACACGTTACGCCGAGTGTTGCTTGCAGGCTTCGTGGCCACATTATTTAAGGTATTCCTATTTATTGCACTGTACGATAGCATTCATCTTCAGCCATAATTCTGGTTTTATTTTGGGCTTTTTTTCTCCTTCCTCCTGGCTTGCAGCGTTATTTCTGGCTTTGTGTTCATCGTCTCGATTACAAAAAGTATAGATATATACGTTATAGAAGAGAGAGGGAAAATGTGACTCGCGAGACGAGTCGGCATAAGTACCTAGGCCTTAACTACAACTACCCCGGAGGTATGCGTACAAGTGGTGAAAGACTACACTTTCGTGATACGTAAGTAACAAGAAGCGAGAGAGAAAAGGTAAGGATGTGTAGGGTCACTGAGGGGAAATGAAATGTGTCCGAGTCTGTACATATGTAAAATCGATTGAAAGCGATTGGTCAAACTTGCAAGGCCGTGTAATCTAGCCACTGCGTTTGGCTACTGTGAGCCGAGAGGGGGCACTGTAAGCGTTTACGTATAGCGATGTGCGGTAGAGTAAGATAGCAGTATGTGTATGCGCTGATTGGAGCAAGTTCTGATCACGTTGGACAGTTCTGATGCAGGAGGCGAATGATATCGGCGAGCAGGGAGATGAGATGGTTGGGAGAGAGGATGCTGATGACTTGATGAAGAGGAGGAAGGATGTGTCGCGTCAAGGCTGGCTTGTAAATGTTGCGTGGTCGTACAAATGTCTCGTGCGAATGGTGGCCTGGGGCAAAATGTCAATGTCGATGAGTCGATATGAGTTGAGTAGCGTTGTGGTTGAGCCGAGCAAGAGAAGAGAAAAGGCGAGGAAAGAAGACCCGAAAGGAAACCCCAGAAGTAAAAAAGAGACCCAGCATTCGTCGCCCAAGGTCTTATGACATGTCCTCATCGATATCCCCGTCAGCAAACGACACCCCCTTCGCTCTCCTTGCCTTCGAGTAGCGTCCCGCGCTGCGCTCGAAATCAGCCACCTCGTCCTCCGTCGTCACCTCGGGTTCGTCTGCCTCCTCGTCCGCCACCGCCTCCTCGGCTCCCCGCTCCTTGCGCCGCGCGGCCATCGCGGACGCCACGACGCTCTCACCGCCATGGTACGTGAACCCGCGGAAATTCTCCTGGACGCTGCTCGTCAGCGGCGTCGACACAACGTCCTTCTTCCGCGGCTGCCGTTTGATCTGGATGCCCTGCGAACGAGGCGCACCGTTCGTCGGTGCCGTGGACGTGCTGCCGTTCAGCGCTGCGGAGACGCCGCCAAAGTGCGCGTGCATGCCGTTCGTCACAGGGCTCTTCGTCCTCTCGCTCCCTAGCGGACCATTCGGCGTGTGCGTGTTCAGCGTCCCGATGCTCTGCGAGACCCACGCCTCCGATGGGTCGTCGTCGTCCAGATCCAGGTCAGAGATGTCTGGGACGCCGACCTCGCGGATATCTGCCGAGGTGAACTCGGGGTCAAAATTGTTCGTCGACTCGTCCGACTCGACGACGGGCTTGAAGGGCGGGGTGACCTGCTTGAGCGAGAGCGCGACCCAGTCGATATTCTTGAAGAACGCGTGTTCCTTCAGCTCGGCCGCGTCGCGTTGGGCGCCTAACCGGTGCTTCGGGTTCCTATTCAAGAGCTGTGCACCGTTCATTGAATGCAATGTTGGGTGACGTCGGTAAGCAAGCGGTGTCGGGAAACCGATATAAATAGCACAGCATGCGCGTAGCAGCGGGGAAGGGGCAAAAAAATGAATAGAAAACGACGTCAGCGAACCCAGCCCTAGGCGTGCGAACCAGGGCCACTCACCCCCTTGACAAACTGCTTGCCGTCGTCATTGATGACGCCCTTGGGGAAGCGGATCTTGCCAAAACAGATGTTCTTGTACATCTGCTGCGTGTCCTCTGCGTAGAACGGGCTCCACCCGCAACACATCTCGAAGAGTAGCACGCCGAGCGACCAAAAGTCGACGATCTTGGAGTAGCCGTGCTCGTCGAGCAGGATCTCGGGTGCGAGGTACTCGGTCGTGCCGCAGAACGTTGTCGTTAGCTCGTCGGGTCGTAGGTCTGCTTTGGAGAGTCCGAAATCGCACAAAGCGACGTGGCCTGTCGCGTCGAGGAGGATGTTCTCGGGTTTCAGGTCCCTGGGCGCCTATGAGAAATGTTTTGGGAAAAGTGGAGCTAGCGACTCACCGGTAGACAATGTTGTATTTGTGCAAGTGCTCCAACGCCAAGATTAGCTCTGCGATGTAGAACTTGGCCCTCTCCTCGGTGAACCTCGTCTCTCGTTGTAGATGCCAGAAAAGCTCTCCGCCGCTCTTGAAGTCTGTTACGAGATATAGATCGGTGTCGGTTTGGAAGCTGAACTTGAGGCCGACGAGGAACGGGCACTCGAGGGACCGTTGCAGGATCTTGCGTTCTCCAATCGTATGCGCGACTTCCTTCTTGGCCACAATCTCCTTCTTTGACAGCACCTTCATCGCATATATACGATGTGTATCCTTCTTCCGCACCTGGAAGACCTTTCCAAACGTGCCCCTCCCAATGAGCTTCAAGAACTCGAAATCGCGCGGCGTTAGCGCTCGTTTGGTCTGGAGGCGGTCAGATGATCGGTAATCCGGGTAAATAAGAAAATCGTACCTTGTACTGTTCGTATGTGATTTGGACTCGCATCTCGCCGCTAACGATCTCATCCTCGTATGGCCTGAGTCTGAAGAAGAAAAATAAATTGAGTGCACCGGCATACGGTGCGTGTAGCCGGGTGGCAGGGTATGCGCCACTCGCCACGCCGCACGAGAGAAGACTCACTTGTACCACTGATCCACAGTATGGTCGTGGAGAAGAACAGGCTTTATCTGGAGGGTGCCTAGGAAGCCCTGGTCGGAGAGGGAGCGGTCATAGACGTTGAACGTAATAAGAGACTCCTCGGATGTAACATCGCTAAGAAGGGATGAGAAAACGCCAACGAAAAAAGGACGGAGCTTACAAGGAGACCTCGTGTTTCCAGACGGGGTTGTGTGCTGACAAACGGCCAAAGAGACCATTAGCGATGCCGGATGAGGGAGAGGTTGAGTGAGCAAAGGCGGAGGAGGGAGAGGGTGGTGGTTGTGATGAGTGTGCAGTGGCTGATAGGGCTTTTGCGGCGGAAGGGACGAGGGAGGATGAAGGAGAGGGGTCCTTTGAGCTGCCCTTGCTGTTTTTGCGGGAGGCGTCCCGTATTGCAGCCTTTGATTCTATTGCGCCGAGAGCGTTGATAGCGTTTGATGAAGTCTGGCGAGAGAGATTTACGGCGGTGCCCTTTACCTCCCTGTCTGATTCTGGGATTGGGTTGCGGGATACGAACTCGTTCTGCTCGAACTGTACGACGACGTAGGGGCGTGCGTGTATACTGCGGACATTGAGGCCGCGGGCTTGGATGAGCTTTACATGGATCTGACCTCTGGAGAGGGCGGGCTGTGGGGTGGGTGTGGAGGGAGATGGCTTTGGGTTCTTTCCGGGGGGAGGCTGCATGATGTTGAATTGGGGGGCATGAATCGAGAGGTGAGTGGTGGGTTGTGCAGAGGGGAAAGGGCCGACGGAGTTGTTGGTGCCTCCAGGCGTGAGATCCGAGTGGACCGATCCGCCATAGGCCGATGATGGGACGAACGGAGACGTGCTTCCTGCAGCCAGCAGGGGGTGCACGGAAGTCGGCGTCGTCGGTAGGCGATCAAACGGGTTCTTCTCCTGCTGGCTGGCGCGGGGGGTTGTCTGGTCGGGGGCGGGGGATGTGGGCCAGAACTTGAGCATGGCTTTGGCGATGGAGGAGGCGCTGTAGAAGGATATGGAGTGGTCGCAGTCTGAGAAGAAGGAGATTGTTGGCATTTTGGGGAGATACTTGCTCCGACCGTGGAGCCGCCCCGGGCCCCCTACTTATACTGTCTACTTGTCCTCGACGACATTTCTACTCTTCCGCCCGATCGGCCGGCCCAAGCCGCATCCGGCCCCACTCCATTCCCTTCATGCTCCCCCCAACAAGCGCCCCGAGCAGCACAGTCCGTCGCGCCATCACCAACGGCAGCCGGTCTACACCAGTCAGCCAGCGTCCACCCCAGCACACAACCACTCACAGACTCCCGAGAAAATCAACGCCGTCCCCACCGCCGCCCCAATCTCCTTCGCCTCCCCCCACCCAAGCCGTTCCAGCCCCTCCTCGATCCCAGTCAACCCAAGCGCGAGCACCGTCAGCCGGCTCGCCTCCACCCCAGCACCCTTCAGCCCGCCCAGCATCACCCGGTAGTTCTTCGTCTTCTTGTAAAAGTACCACCCCTGCACCGTCGTCGGTGGTCGGTGCGCGTTCTCTGCCAGGAACCTCAGTGACGCCGTCCGCCCCCCTCGTATGATCCCAATCCCCGCCCCCACCACAAACGCTGCTCCGGGGATCATCATCATCCGTCGTGGTATGTTCAATCGAATGGCATTCTTGCTGCGCTCGTCGTCGATGTCGCCCGCGATCGACACTGTCTCATAATATGTTGGTGCCAGAGCTGAGTCGCGTCTCGCAGAATGTCTTTTCTCATCCCGTGACCCGCCGCTCTCCCCAATTAGGCTCCGCCTCCGGCGTTCTCCTCCGAAACGCGTTATCAACGATCGAAGAAAAAAAAATTCGCGCATCCATTTCCATTCCCCCACCGCCTCCCACACGCAAATTTCTCTCATCCCAGGCCTCATCCCTCGAAACGTCTCCGACAGGAGCCCTGTTTCCACCGCCGCCCACCCAGGACGTCCCTCTTCCTCACTTCCATCAGGACCTAAATGGCAAAATCGCTGCGATTCCCACTGATCCTTGTAGGTAGGACGAATGCCCACATCAGTCCCCTCGATCCATTGGCGGCCTTCTACCCGACCTATTGTTCCTTTGAGTAGCATCCAGTCAATATTGGATGGCAAGACAGCACGGGTCCGCTCTGCGCAGCCCCCACACGACCAGGCAAAAATCGCTCGATTCCCAATTTAAACCGGGGCGTTCCTTAACGTTCGGCGGAGGGAGGTCGCCCACCCACTCGCCATAGCCAGTCGCTCACTCTCTTATCGCATCGCTGGTCGCTTGTTTTCCATGACGTCATGGATAGACTGGAACGCAGCGTTTAGCCTTCAGACATCGAATCAAGCCTCAAGCTCAAAGCTTGAAGCCTGAAGCCTGAAGCCTGAAGACCGAGCCCACCGAATTCGGGACGAACGTCGAACAGTGAGTATCCAAGCTTAGGACACAATCTTATCGAGGTTCCTTGTGTTCTGCTTGCTCGAGCGTTCGTTCACTGCGCGGATGGATGAAAGGCACTGTCGTGCACGACAGGGACAGAGTTTCGGGAAGTGCGAGGTGAGAGAGGCGATCAAGAACTCGGTCCATACGGTCCTGCACCGAACACGCTTCCGACTTCTCTTTCCCAGCCCCCTTTCGAGACCTCTATCTTGTTCCAGAGTCTCAGAGGCAACCTGATCGACGCCGCACGCAGCTTGAGACTAACTGGCGGTGGCAAGTATCGCTCTCAGATTACCTTCTTTTTTTTGTCTCCCACCAACTCTTCTATCCCACATCCTCTCATGGCTATCGGGGTCCAGCCTCACAGCGGTCTTACAACCACCTTTCTCTTCTCTACCGTACTCGGAGAAGAGGCGCTCTGACGACTCGGAGAATGGCTTCTCTTCGTAGGCTCGAGGGTCGAATTGTCGAACGTGCCTGGATACTCGCTCCTATGTCCGCTATAGCCTTCTCCGAGTCTGTTTCCAACCCTACCCGATTGTAAGTAATTAATGATGAATAGAGCCTTCATTCCGGGGACAGCCCGGAAGAATAACCATTGCCTTTGGGGTGCAGACGATGTATTTTGGGTGCAGTCTGGAGTGGGCTATCTATAGACACAAAGCGTCCTGAGAGGCTAGTCTTTACGATGAGCCCACAGCCCCTGTTATGTGTGCAACAACGCCCCCTGTAGGCTGTATGCGACGTAAATTGCATATGTGGGCACACTCCTGTCTCTGGCAATCTAGAATATGTCCTAGCATCACGCCGATCAGTGTTGTTGACGTTTGTAGGTCCAGGTCCACATTCGCGACGCCACCGATCAGCTTGCAGTTCGTTACATACACATCCGATCGGGCAGCCGCACCCTGACTTTTGATGAGAAGACCCTTGAGTTTGTTTACGACGTTGAAATACTTAGAGCTCCCTTCGGACGCAAAAATTATCAATGATCTTTATGTACGTGATAAATTGGCTTAAATGGGCTCGGGCTAATAGCTATGATTCCACAGTCTACTAGATGGCCCCGGAGTATGGCCCCTACTGTCTACAGCATTCTTCCTACTGTTTAGGTCATCTTCCTCGCCTCGAGCGATGGATCAGCGACGAGACTCTCCAAAGGCAAAGTTCGAAGAAGGCGCCTCGAAATACAAATAGCATCCGAATGGCACATACAAAGTGTAATCGGCTGGCTGGAAGATTATCAACGTCGGATGACCGTAGCAAACTACTTACTCTAAGAGATCCTCTTCATTTTCTTGACGAAGACTTCACTAACAATAATAATATATAACTGGTCCGTTGAGGTTGGTTGACCTTAGTTTCGTAGGCGTAGATGCGCTTCTCATTGCAACGACGTAAAAACGTGCAGTTTATTTTAGCCACCATGTATCTTCGCAATGCCGCTGCATACACCACTACATATACACCATGACCGAAAAGATGCCGTACCTGGCCAATGTCATTCTCGTACTAATGACAGTCACGGTGCTTCTCCCATCAGCCTGCGCAGTGCGCACGCACAAACAACCCTCCGAGTCCTTTGAACTTGCAACCGCCCACATGAAGTCCATGCCACAGCCCACTCTCGGACGAGACGCAAGCTATATCTGGAAATTGTTCAGAAGAAATTCCCTCGATTGCAGCCGAGAAACAACTACGACCTCTTTGCGCTTGGAGGCCCTATGTGCTCGTTGGAAAACGATGCCTCGCAAAGCGACTTAGAAAAGTGGATTGACAGTGGGATGGCCCACGCTGAATCCCTGGGCTGTAGCAGGGAAAGCAGTATGGAGCTTGCAGAGAGGGTGTTGGGGGACCCCTTTACACGACGTCGCTGGGGTACTTGGTATTCTTTTCCTGCAGGTTGCTTCGAGCCAAATTTAAATACGTTCCTAGGTCAAGCCAGGTCCAGGAGACCTGCATGTCATGCTGGGCAAGATCCCAGGTACCGCCTTCAGCATCCGAATCTGGCCTGGCAGTGCGTCCGTGTGCCAGTTCAGTCTCAATTTTGTCAATTCGGCGTCGGAAAAACCTCCCCCCAAAGCAAAGTACGAACTCTACCTCGCTAACGCTGCGTTCAGGGGCAACATGCACCGTATCAAGTCTCTTGAAGCTGCATTCTGTCATGGACAAGTCATTGAGGAAGGGGCAGAGTCCTTTCTCGTTTCTCGTGAGGCAAGAGCAGGAGGTAGAGTAGTGCTCATGCGTCCGGATGGTCCAGGGTCGTTCGTTGGATTTAAGATCCCCACACACTCGAAGGCTCCACAGCCAACGTATGAGAGAATTGAACTTGTCTACGCAGTACGCTTGTTTCCTCTCATTGATGCTGCGCTGCTGACGATTGTCAGAACCATCTTGCTTAGGCTGCCAAAGTTGCCAGGCTCCAGTGGACCAGCCTAGTTTCTTGATGAATATTTTCTTCTTCTGCATCTAATAATGTAAATGTACTGCAAAGGGGACGAGGATCTTATTTTCCACTTAGTGCGTATTGCATTCGAAGTTGTCTGTTACCTTTGACCCATTAGGAAAAAAAATTCTATAAATGGACTATCTCCTATGTTGAGTTTGGCACCAATTACCTTGCTTAAGACGAGGTTAATATTTAGTGTTGTAGTGATTTACCTTTGTTATTCGGAACATGGCCTGCAGTAGATTGAACACTTACCGGACACTTTAGTCAATCCCTACCACCATAAAGGGAGTCATAAGATTGAGGGAAAATGTGAACCTATGGCGTGGACGCCAACGCAGGGAGAATGCAACATTGATTGGATGATCAATCACAACTCAAACGTCGCCTTAGCTCTCGATATCGCCCAAGGCGTCCTCGCTGCGTAGAAATCCATCGGGTACACCCCCACCTGCCTTGGCTTCTCCTTCCCTTGTCTCGACTTGTCCATCCAGCTAGAAGCTTTACCAACGGCCACAGCAGTCTCATAAGGGCTCAGCAAGGGCCTGTCAAACGCGTACCCCCAGTCAATGGAAAGCCGAGGACACGATGTTTGAATGAAGGTTGATATGTGTGGTGTGAAGAGGGCGAGCTTCGCAGGCGAGAGCTCAGAGAGCAGGATTTGGATGTATGGGATGGGGGTATTGGAGGCTTCGAGCTGGTGTGTTATTGCCTAGATCGCGAGAGGTCAAGACTTTGGGAAGATGAACTATGCAGTGCACCATACCTGGAGTTGTCTGAAGTTCCCTTGTCGACCAAGAGTCCCAAGTATCACACCCCAAAGAGGCACCTCATCACGGGGATCGTTCTCATGCGCTGAAAGAAGGGCCAAACTTCTTTGGGCAGTCTGCACAGCGTTATCCCGAACAGACTGCATTTCGACGTGATCGTAACGCTCTCGCGTCAGCTTCTTGGAGTACGGGTCGTAACGGAAGGCGGGAACGCTAGGATTGGCTATCATGATAGATTCGAGGTGGAATCGTCCATCGCCTAGGTATCTGAAGAGGTGTAAGCGCTAGAGCAGGGAAGGCAACGAAAGCCGTACATTAGCGCGTCGACGTCTTCTAACCGAGGAGCTGTACAACCCAATATTTCTCCAGGCGATAGAGGTTTCGACCTCGGTATTGTCGCTTCGTATTTTCCTGTCCAATACCCTGGCCAATTTTCAGATGTTGGGATCTCTTCCTTTACAGAGGGAACGCCTTCGATCATCTTTGTTGTCTGAGAGGAACCCAAACTGTCCTGTGACTCTATTGTCAAATCTTCTTTGAGACGTTGTAGAGCCGCCACGAATTGAATAGTCGACACTAGCGCAAGTCTAGTCGGCGAACTTGATGTCGGAACAGAAGGTTCTTCTTTCGGTTCACCTGTTGAGCTGGAGGAATGCTCTATCCGTAGGGTGCGACTGACGCCGATTTGACTCCCAATCGGCATTTGTGCTCTCGTCTCTTCGTCGTCTAATAGATTTCGATGGAAAGTTTCGCGGTCGTCTGGGAAGTTCATGCGGATCGTCTTTGCAAGGTGGGCGGAATCGATGCCAATCTCAACGAAGACGTAGAGTGTCTTGATTGATGTCTGGTCCATGGGTACTGGATAGCGTGTTAGACGGACAGGGAAGGGTCTAGCCGTGGTACGACTCACCCAAACAGCTGTGCCCATAATGTACTAGCATATCACATCCTAACGCGACGGCGGTATAGTCGTCGATGCAACATGCACCGTATGTGACATCTCCTAGAATCACAGTCAAGGCGGCTGTAAACCTGAGACAAAGTACATGCCTCAGAATTAGAGAACCTAGCTAGAAACTTGGAGACTCACCGCTCGATGATGTCTGCGATAGTACAAGCAAACATCTGAAGCCCTTCCGGCATCTGCAACGCGACCATCGTAGCGTTGTTCTTGCGGATGTGGTGGATGGTTTTATGGATCTCGAACGAATAGTTCGAAGGTAGTTGTTTGATAGCGGCATTTAGTTGAGCGTCTTGTAGGATATCCTGCGGTATTTGGTTTGTGACTGTCGTCTGGACTCCGGGTTTAGATGGTTTCGAGGACTTGCTCCCCACAAAGCGCCTGCGAGGCTTGGCCGCGTTGGTTTTGACTGGGTCTCCTGATGGAAGGGAAGGCATCACGCAGGAGGTGAGATGAGAGTAGTGTTTGAGCAAGAGTAAACGCAAGGCGCTTCAAAGAGATGCGGTATGGAGAGATTTTTCACGTGATCCATTTGTCGCGGGTTCGTCATTGAAGAGACTCGAGACTCGAGAGCTTGGAGCAGTTCCGGTAATAGTATAATACTGGCATTACTTGGTACAAGTTATGTGGACAGAAGAGGCCGAAGGATGTTGAGAGGAACTTGAGAGAGGCGAGTTCAACTTGAGTCCAGGGTCAATTGTACACGTGCTGGACTTTGCCCGCGTCGCGTCAGAGCTCCGACTCGTCAACTCGGCCCACTTCCAATCTTATCCAGTCCATTCACCACCTCAAGGTCTAGCACATGCCCTCAGCCACATAAACTCACCTGTACCTCAATTCCACACGCTACGGAAGGCGATATGACTAGCAAAGGCAAATGTGCTATGCGGGGATCCTGCGGGACGAAGTTTAGGAAGGAGTTACCATGTCCATACGACGGTCCTCCTGTCCAGGTATGTGTTTTGTTACATGACTTCGCTGGAAATCTCCTCATTGTTGAATCTAGTCAGACGACGAGACACGCCAGTTGCTTCAAGATGTCTGTGGACCAGAACTAGCAACAGGACCGCTATGTTGTACTTTCAACCAACTTAAAACCCTTCACAGCAACTTTGAGCTAGTCGAAAACTTTGTCTCTTCATGTCCAGCATGCAGGAACAATTTTCGGGAGTTCTTTTGCACGTTTACATGCTCTCCAGAGCAAGGAAACTTCCTGAACATCACCAGCACCCAGAAGGGTTCGTCGGGCGACACTGCTGTCAAGTCCCTCGACTTCTTCGTTTCCGAGCAGTATGGGAAGGGGTTTTTCGATAGCTGCAAGAGCGTTCAGTACGGAAACACGAACGGCTACGCAATGGACTTCATTGGAGGAGGGGCGAAGAACTACAAATCGTTTCTGAAGTTCTTGGGAGACATGAAGGACCCTGGTAGTCCATTTCAGATCAATTTCCCCGCTTCAGCACCACCGGAATTCCCACCTCTCGACAGAGTCCCGCGCAATTGCACTGACAATGATCTATCCAGCAGGTGTACCTGCATCGACTGTCCCAGCGTTTGCCCAGCAATTGCGCCTGTTCCTCTGCCCGACCAAGGTCCGACCTGTCAGGTGGGGTCGCTCACTTGCTTGTCCTTCATTCTCATCACCACTTACGCCCTCTGTGCTCTCTCGTTCTTCATTGGACATGCTATACAAAGTACTCTCCGTAGACGCAGAGAGAGTACCTACGAACGAGTGGCACTTTCTGAAGACACAGCATCTCCTCGACTTAATCCCCGCGGCCTTGTCGGTGCTGGCTCTCTTGCGCAGTATATCGAAGAAGATTCTACACAATCGGAATCACGACACCTCGGGCGAGGAGCGTCTCTCCTTGACCCAATTGAAACAGTTCAGCCGCGACACTATCCTCTCAACAACTTCCTCCGCCGCGCTTTCTACAAATTAGGCCTATTCGCCGCAACATCTCCTTGGTTAACATTGACACTCGTTTTCACAGCCGTTGGTCTCCTCAACATCGGGTGGAAGAGATTTGAAGTAGAAACGGACCCTGTAAGGCTCTGGGTTGCACCATCATCCGAGAGCAAGCAGCAGAAGGAATTTTTCGACGAGAAGTTCGGACCGTTCTATCGAACTGAACAAATCTTCGTCACCTCTGTGGGCGGAACTGTTGGGACATCCTTCAACGCTTCGACTCAGGCAATTACACTGGGCAACAAGCCGCCAGTCCTATCTTACGGCCATCTCAAATATTGGTTTGACGTGGAAGATCGCATTCGAAATTTGAAGTCAGCCAATGGATACACACTTCGGGATGTGTGCTTCAAGCCAGAAGGCCCACGAGGACCTTGCGTTGTTCAGTCTCTAGCCGCATGGTTTGGGAACGATCTAGGTGATTATGACGAAGAAACGTGGAAGGATCATTTACTTGGATGCGCCTCGTCGCCGGTAGCTTGTCTTCCTGACTTCCAACAGCCATTAGGACCTCAATATGTTCTCGGCGGGGTGCCTACCAAGGAGTCTGGACAAAAAGCGTACTTGGAAGCTGAAGCCATGGTGGTTACCTATGTTGTCTCCGACTCCTTAGCTGAAGGACCTCAAGCTGTAGCTATGGAGTGGGAAACAACTCTCAAGGAGTTCCTTAGGAAACTCAGCCAGCGGGCACCGAGAGAAGCCGGCTTGGAGATTGCATTTTCGACTGGCATCTCTCTCGAGGAGGAAATCAACAAGAGTACGAACACCGATGTCAGGATTGTGGTTTTATCATACGTGGCGATGTTCCTCTACGTCTCCTTGACTTTGGGAAGCGGCACTGTCACGCAGAAAGAAGATGGTGTCATATCTTCGCTCGTTGAATGGGGTTCAAATTTCCCGAAACTTTTCTCCCGGTCAAGCATCACGTCTTCCTCCATTTCAGTTGACTCCCGCACAACACCACGCCTGTTCCCTCGCCTGCCACGATCTCTCTTCGTTGGTTCCAAATTTACCCTCGGATTATTTGGGATTCTTCTCGTCATTCTTTCTGTTTCGACCTCCGTCGGACTGTTCTCTCTCCTTGGTGTCAAGGTCACTCTTATCATTGCAGAAGTCATCCCATTCCTAGTACTGGCTGTTGGTGTGGACAACGTATTCATTCTCGTTCACGAGCTAGATAGGCAGAACTTCCTACATGGACCGAATGCTGCCACGAACAATTATCAAGCACCAGTGTTGTCGTCCCCCATGTCGCCCACAGCTTCGCATCGATCGCCGTTTGACTCCACGCACGAAGAGATCGACACTGCCTCGATGCCGCTTTACTTACCAGCAGAGGAACGAGTTGCGCGAACGTTGGCGAAGATGGGTCCATCTATACTTTTGAGTACAATCACGGAGACGGTTGCCTTTGGACTTGGTGCACTTGTACCAATGCCAGCTGTGCGAAATTTTGCCCTATATGCAGCTGGTAGCGTTTTTCTGAACGCTACGCTGCAAGTCACTGTGTTCATCAGTGCTCTCTTACTGGATCTCAAACGTTTCGAGGTAAGCCCTACTCATAATTGCACTGAGTTCTTTCCTAAGCACGTATCTCTACGCAGGCAAGCCGCATAGATTGTTTCCCGTGCATACGTCTTCCATCGAGAATTGCTCTGCACGACGTACCGGCGACGACCAGTGGGCTTGGGCGCTTAGGACGCTTCATTCGGAGATATTACGCTCCTTTCCTACTCAAGCCCATCGTCAAAGGGCTGATCTTACTCTCCTTCGGCGGATTTTTCGTCATCTCTGTCATCTCCATGCAGCATATCGAACTGGGGCTAGGTATGTCGCTCTCATTGATTTTCAACGGCTGATTTTCTGATAAACACCCCAGATCAACGATTGGCTTTGCCTTCGGATTCCTATTTGGTCAACTACTTTGACAATCTCGATGCTTACCTCGACATTGGACCTCCGGTGTACTTTGTCTCTCGAGATGTTGATGTGACGGAGAGACTCGGCCAACAAGCTCTCTGCGGACGATTCTCAACCTGCAGCGATACTTCTCTTGCAAACAGACTGGAAGCTGAGAGGCAGCACCCCGAATCTTCTTTCATTTCGGAGCCAACTACAGTCTGGGTTGACGACTTCCTGCGGTGGCTCAACCCATCCGCTGACCTATGCTGCCGCGTTCGCAAGTCAAATCCATCGGTGTTCTGCGGTCCACGCACTCCGAATTGCAAACCCTGCTACGAGGGCCACCAACCGCCCTGGAATATCACTATGGACGGATTGCCAGAGGACGAGGAGTTTATGAAGTACTTCAAGCAGTGGTGGAACTCTCCGACCTCAGAGGATTGTCCATTGGCTGGAAAGACTGCGCACGGAGCATCGATCGCGCTCAATGACGCTGGGAACAAAATCGAGGCGTCTCATTTCCGAACTTTCCACTCTCCTCTCAAAAACCAGAAAGACTTCATCAACGCCTTCGCCGCAGCTCATCGTATTGCCGAAGAGATTTCAGAAAATATCGGGGCGACAGTCTTCCCTTACTCTCTCTTCTATGTCTTCTTCGACCAGTATGCCCACATCGTCGCCATCACTCAAGAGGTACTGGGCCTTGGCCTAGCATCCGTTCTCATTGTCACTGCCCTTCTTTTAGGCTCTTGGAGAACTGGTTCCATCGTTACAAGCGTCGTAGCCCTGACAGTAGTCAATGTTATGGGTGTCATGTCCATCTGGGGCATCAGTCTCAACGCTATCAGTCTCGTCAACTTGGTCATCTCCCTGGGTATTGCAGTCGAGTTCTGTGCTCATGTTGCTCGGGCCTTCATGAGTGCTGGCACCGGAATCCCTGTTGATCATCCATCTGGTCAAAAGGAACGTGACGAGCGCATGTGGACTGCCCTCGTTGACGTTGGACCCTCGGTGAGGTTGTTGCCTCTGGTCTAAAGAAGCTGACGCTAACAACTCCGTGTAGGTGCTTTCTGGAATCACATTCACGAAGCTGATCGGGATGTCTGTGCTTGCCTTGACTCGCTCCAAGCTCCTTGAGGTGGGTTCTTTTCACACCATGTTACCTTTCCAAGCTTACAATTTGGTAGATCTACTACTTCCGAATGTGGCTCACTCTCATTATCTCTGGCGCGCTGCATGGATTAGTCTTATTACCTGTTGTACTGAGTCTCGCTGGAGGTTCTGGCTTCCCGCAACAAGAGGCGGACGAGGAATGGATGTCTAATGCCATTCGAAACGACTATGAGTATGCGTGAGTGTGGCCCTATTGTTCCGTCCTGAATGCCTCTCTCACTGGTTTACTGAAGACCTTTCCTGGCCGACGATGATTCCTCAATGAGCGACTGACCTCATAGACGAGTATCTCTTGGATTATATAGACTTTATGTATTAGTCGATATGCGGAAAAACGTTTGTTTTGGCTCTGAAAGTTGGGTTCGTAAACAAGGGCGGGATTTTTTTTACGAAGACTATAGATAAGCAAAACGGTTGCTCAGGAAAAAGAAAAGAATTCGAAAACATCAAGGTGTCGAATATGAACGATGGTTACATTGGGTACAACACGCTCACCCTCGGGGAGACCTCGATCGACTGTCCCGGATATCATCACGACTTCGGCTACGACTTCTCCTAGTCCTGCTGGGCGACCTCGAGCGAGTGCCACTTCGACTGTAGCTCGAGGCCCTAGAGTATGATCGGGAACGCGACCGCGAACGAGAGCGAGAGAGGGACCGACTGCGAGACCGACTCGAGCGAACGGAATAACTCCTCGACCTGCGACGCCCATAGCCTCCTCTTGTGTAACTTGGAGAGCGTCTCCTCGGAGGAGGACCTCTTTCGCTACGTCGGATGGGTGAGCGAGACCTTGAACGCGAACGCGAGCGGCCTGGTCGATAGTAGTCCCGTCCTGGAGGCCCTCCTCGACGTCCGAAACCTCTTCCTCGGAAGGAATCACGATCCCTGTCGCGGAAACCACCACCTCTTCCACCGCGTCGGTAGTTTGGCGGAGGCGAGCGAGTGCGGCTGCGGGATCGAGAACGAGAGCGGGATCGAGAGAAGGAGCGGCCTCTGTCGCGTCCGTTCTTTGGTCCTCTGAGGGGACCACGGACGGGCGAACATGATGTAGATCGGATTGGGAGGTCGGAGAGCTCGACTTTCAGGACGGCGCCGTCCAATTGGCCTCCATCCATGTGAGAGACTGCCTTGCGTGCTGCAGAAGGATCAGAGAATTCCAACGCAGCTTTTCCTCTATTTTGTCCGGCTAGAGGGTCACGGTAAGCCTTCGATACTTGGACCAATATTTGAAAACAAAAACACACATTTCCCGAAGATAGGGACATCCATTTTGGTGATTTGCCCGTAGAAGCTGAATACGGTTCGGAGGTGGGCCTCAACGACGTTGCGCGTCAAATTGGTGATTACGATGACTTTGGCGTCTGGCTTGTCTTGAGGGGAGCGAGGGTCAACATCCATGTCGACATCTTTGCTAAGACGAGGGGAACTTGATCTTCCTCTTGACATTTTGTCGTCGTCGAACAACTTCAAGCGTAGGTTGGGCGCTTGCGTGACCACACTTCACGAAATGTTACGTGGCTGTCACACAGCCCTCCTCACTGCTCAGTCCATAGACGCAGCATAGACGGGAAACTTACTTCATATTGTTTAAACGAAGAAAATATATTGACAACAGGAGATACGTATGGAATCGAATTTGTTGACGGCCTTGAGCTGTCATCTATGCTTGCGAATGGAAACAACAAGCAAAATGTTGCAATTGAGTTTCAATGACCTTTCTTAGATGGACACTTTTGAAGCCAGTCAACCTTGAGCAATACTATAAAGAAAGTTTCCCCTCCACCCGCTAGACGAAACCTGTTCGGAGCACTGGTCTCGTCTTGCTCACAGTCAAAGCAGCCGCTGAGAAGAAAGGAAAGGATCTCCCCAAAACAGGACAATCACCTGGAGTTACCGAAAAGTTCTCAAAAGGACGAGAATCATGGAAGACTGAAGATAGAAACGCGACCGTAAACAGCAGAGCAGCCTCCTTAGGGTTCTTGCATTAGCTTGATGCAGTTTAGGGTGGGGTAGCAAGGGCCGTTTATGCCATTAAGCGGAGTTTTGTGCAGCGACCAGTCTATAGGAAACGTCTACTCTTCTGTAGCATATTTATGACGGATATCTTTCCATTGTTTCTGAACGAAAGCAAGCGAGGTCAGAGCGACTCCTGAAAGAAACACTAGTTACGCACCCCCTTATTCCATGAATCGTAGAACTTTGTCACGCCAATATCGAACCCAATCCCAAATGCAAACGCGCCGGCGAAGGTAGCGCCAACGAATACACCTAGGAAACGTAGTGAGCCACAGAGAATGAGGACGAGGTTGGTGTATTTAGTTGCTCACTGTTGCGCTTGAAGAATGTGTTGTAGATAGTTGTGGAAAGCTGTGACTGAAATTAGAGCTAGTGACAAGAAGTAAGGGCAGTGTACTCACAGACATGGCGGCAGGAGGAACGAGCGGCCAGGTGGTGGATGTTGGAGGCAATGAGCAGATCGTTTCCGGTGACTTCCGCGTCGCGTGATCGGAGTTTGAAGTACCAGACACCAACGCGCCGGCCACTCCCAACTCACCGATTTCACTCAGACTATGTTCGCGCTTCGGGCTTCCTGTACTTCGGCATTTGCAGCAGCTAGAAGGCCATTGCTCACCTCTGCACCCCCAATATGCTCGCGACGCGCCCCAATGAGTACCGAAGTTGTGCCTCCACCCACGACCGTAGGCGACTTCCTAGAACCACGACCATACGAAACAGTCAAAGCAGAGGCCGACGAGGTCGACGAGGCGCCAGTTGGCCGTGGCTATGGACCTCCAGCGAAAAAACCCTCTGACTCGTCTCAATTCGGCGTCTTCAAGCCAAACCTGCCATGCTATCGCCTACATTGCCGTTCGAGTCGAAACAACACGATAGTTACCTTCACGGAACCTAAGGGAAAGTGCATTTCCTGGTTTTCTGGCGGTAGCTTGAAATTCAAGAAGGCGAACCGTGCTTCGTATGAAGCTGGCTACCAATGTGCGGTACAGACGTTCAAGAAGATCGAGGAAGCTAATGCGAAGGAGCCGCTGAACATACACCTGTTTCTCAGTGGGTTTGGGCAAGGCCGGGATGCAATGAAGACCGCTCTGCTGTCTGTGGAAGGGGAGAAGATAAAGCATTTGGTTAAGCAAATACAGGACCGGACACCAATAAAAATTGGAGGAACGAGGTCGAAGAAAGCACGGCGGCTGTAATGTATGTATGTCAACCCTTTTTTTTCTTTCTTAATTCATGGCTTGACCAGATCGCCCTCAGTTGCTTTCACTTCTTGTCCTTACATCCCCCGGCTATCTTCGAAATGGTCCGAAGAATTCGTCTATACTATCCGCCAATACATTTATAGCATCTATGGTCTATATGGAGTTCGTCCACCACGACATCACATATTCGACTTCGTCTCCGACGCCCCCAGCCTAAAGTGGGAGTCTTTGGCATACAGCTTGTAGCCGAGCCTTTCGAGGCAATTTAGTGCAACGCATTTGTCGACTTCTATGTCCTCAATTAAGGCCTCTGGAAGAAGGTATTGGAAGGCTTGCAGAAAAATGACGAGTAGCTCCTTACCTCTGGAGATATAGTCGAGTTCTGGACGAATATAACCAAGAACGATTGCCCTCATCTCATAACCGTAAAAGTCCCTCCCAAATTCGTGAATGATATGAATTTCCTGGATTGGCGCAGAGGTGCAATGAGACCATTCTAGCTTATCCCCAGATATGAACGTTACTCACTGCCGTCAGTTTCTCGTTCTTGTAGAAGGGATTCCAACCCAGGCTCATGACCATCGGCAAGACCTTTAGATCTTCAAGACTGAATCCTTCTGGATGCTCTGCTGGAGGAATGACTTGGGCATAACCATAATATACGCCCGTCTTCGCGACCGAACTGATGGGTGTGATTGACTCATCCGGCAGATTTGCTGAGCAAGGAATGTTAAGACCATGCAGAGGAGTAAGATGAAAGAAATCACACACCAGTTGGGCAGCCTAAGTCCTTGCTGCCTCGACCAAATCCCTTCTGTACGGGGCCGTCTAGAGCAATGGGAAAGGGGGCCTCGGGCGTATCAGGGCCGACGATTTGAGGTCGTGCTGCACGAGAATCGAGCTTGACCTCTGAGACAGGTATCTCGTGCTTGGCGACATACTCTGCAGCGGTTGGGGCCATAGCAGCTGAAGGTGGTTGCGGTATCGGGAGGAAGGAGAGAAGGATGGATAGTAGAGTCATGGGTTGCGTGTCCGCGTTGGCCGCCAGTGAGCCAGAGGAGCCGATCGGCGACATCAAATCCATGATTTATCGCTCTCACAGATCCGCCATGTACCAGCCCGACGTCACGTACAATACAACATATTCCGCCCACTATCCTAACCAATATCCGGTTACCACCACTGCGATACCAGCCGCGCTACCTTATTACCCTCCTTTCGCACAGCAGCAACCTGTCAAGGCACCAGAACACGCGCCGCCTGACCCACCTGAACCTGCTGTTACACCCGAAGTAGCCTCAAGAGCAATCCAGAGACTCGTATCTTTCGAGCTTCAGAATGCAGGGTTTCATCGAGCAGAGCTGCCAGCCGTGCAGCGCCTAGAACTCGAAGTTTCGACGTGTATGTGCCCCAAAGACATATCCCTATCCTTTATTATGATTACCTTCAACAGTCATACAACAACTATTTCAACGCACCCACGAATTTGCGAATCTGGCCAACCGAGCAAGTGCCATCGCATCGGATCTCTTACTAGCATGCGAGGACTTTGACATGCCTCCGAAAGAACTTTACCAGGTCAAGAAGGCAACTTCAAGGAAAAGAAAAGGCGGTGCGATCATACGATACCTACGGGTTGGCTCTGTTCTCAACGTTTCTTAGGTGACAACGAAGCCAGAACACGTCCCCCAGCCCTCATCGCCCCACCTTCCAGGTCTCCTTCGCCAGAACTCCTCTCCTCGGACGATGAGGAAACTACACCGTCTATCCCGACGACACTGAGGAACCTACCGTCCTATTTCCCAGAACTGCCGCCCAGGCATACCTATCTACAAACACCCGTACGTTGCCTAGGTCCGATGACTCCTGTCACTCTAACTGTCCCCCTTCCAGGCCTCTCCTCCCAAGAAGGCTGCATTGCCTTCGCTGGAGAAGAAACTCAAGACTGCAGCGCTTGTCCAGGATTCGTTGCAAAATCTATTGACCGCAACGGAGGATAGCATGAACCAAGAAGACGGGGAGCTTCTTGGCCATATTGTTAATTGGGAACTGAATGTGCAGCCGCGGAAAAGGTGGAGGGTTCAGCCATTGGCAAAGTAATATGTTTGGCTTTAGCAGAATGTATGTACTCTTTCGTCTCATTTTGATGACCACAGGTGTACCTATACGTGTAGCCATGCCTTAATACATTGAAACAATGTGGCAACAGAAGCCTGGTGGTGGTGATGTACATTGTTTCCTCAAAGGCGGCCTCCTGTCGTTTTGCAAACGACTCCAGTGACGTCGATAGGTGCTCTTGAGCTAATAACGAAAATTCTTTTCTTCGATTTTGGAAGTATAGTTCAATGAATATCATTATTGCTTGCCAGAGTGATTATAGAAAGACAAGAATATATTTTCCTATAAGGTAGGAAATGTATAGAATTATGTGTTTTCGCTCGCTTGCTGAGCCTTGCGAGGTCGACCTCTCCCTCTTTTAACGGGTACAACAGCTTCTCCGGTGGTTGTAAGAGGATCAGGCAGTTCTGACAAAGTCACTGGGGCTGCAGGAGCAAGCGAATCGGCTGGCGTCGTACTCAGAGGAGCTGGTACCTTTCGCGGCCGGCCTCGTTTGCGCTTAGCTGGGGTAACATTGTTGGCATCTGGTCCAGGGGCCTCTTCTGTGGTAAGTGGAGCTGGAAGCGAAACAAGCTGCTGATCGCCTGCCTGCTCTTCATCGGGTCCTAGCGTGTTCGATTCGCTGACGAAAGCGACGGGTGTGTCTGTGTCTAGCTTTCGTTTTCGCCCTCGTTTCGACAGCTGCTGCACAGCTTCACTGGCTTGTGCGTCGGCTTCGAGCTCGGAATTACCTATCATTGATGGTGCAGATCCAGGGAGGTCTTCAACATCGCCAGGATTGGTATTTTCAAGGGAGGATTTCGAAGCACGGGTCATGCGCAATCTCTTGGAGGAACGAGTAGGAATAGAAGGTGCATACTGCGCCTCGTCGCTATCTTCCTTCCGTTTCCTGCCCCGTTTTGGGGGTGTTGTCTTCACGGCGTATTTGCTACCCAACTGCGATGCTGGCATTGAGTTGTCAGCAGGTGTACAGGCAGATGGTTCAGCATTTTTCCGCGTCAGGTCAGGAGCCACCTCCGCCACAGCTTGGCCTGGGACAGAATCCTTCACCTGAGGGACAGGTCGTGGCTTAGGACGAGGGTATGGTGTGGCAGCTGCTGCACCGTCACCGCCGTCTAGATTTTCCGGTGTTTGCAAAGTGGCCGCTCCGTTGCTCCGTTGCAGAGCAGAAGTCAGTGGAGTGCATTCGACGTCCTTGGCAAAGTCGCCCGGAATTGTCGGTGTGAAAGAAACTGCGGTGGTTTTTTTGTTCTTTCCCTTCCCTACCGCGCGAGCTTGTGGTCTGAGAGTAGGAACTGGCGTGGTAGATGGAGTATAGCGCCCAAAAGATCCCTCGTCATGTTGTGCAAGTAGCGCTACTGGTGGGATTCGAGAGAAGACCGGAATGTCACTTTGAAACGACATAGGTGCAGAGGATGGTCCCGGAATCGGGCTCGCCTGCTTTTTCAGTGATCGCTGCAGCTTCTCATATCGCATACGGCACTAGAAATCTGGACTGAAAAAAAAAGCCGCTGATTGGAAGAATTAACACGTACATTTGGACCTGTTTTGCCATTACCCACCCGGAGGCAGACAGCCTTCCACTGGTGGCCAAGGTCTTTCACAGATTCAATTAAGACCTTGTCGTCCTCCTCGGTCCAGACCAGTTTCGACGCAGAAGGGTTCAGTTGTTCGACCCATCTCTCTCGGCACTGATCATTTGTCCGCCCTGGAATCGCCGCAGCCACTTGCACCCATGACGTTCCAAAACCAGCGACAGCCTTTCGGAGACGGTTGTCCTCTTCTTCTGTCCAAGAACCTCGCTTTAACCCAGGATCGAGGGACTTGTACCATCGAGTCTGGCATTGGCCGGCAGTGGCGCTCTCAGAAACTTTTCGTGCGACTGGAAAAAGTTGTTTTGTCAGGAAGAGTTCCAAAGCTGCTGCGCTAAATGGAACAGCATACCCAACATCCAGTTGTCGATACCACATGACTGAACAGCTTTAATTAGTTTTTGATCTGCCTCCAAGGTCCAAAAGTGACGGTGTCGAGGAAGCGATTGTCTCATGCAGTCAATGGGAGTGCGATTCGTCTTTGTCTAAGTTAGTACAAGTTTCCTCGGTAAAATAGATCTCGACTTACCCCAAGCTTCCTGGATATTTCAACCCAGTTCACGGCTTCTTTGTGCTTGCCGTGTTCGAAAAGGAGTCCGTGGAGCTTATCAACCTCTGCATCTGACCATTTTGCATGATTGATGCGCGGGTGCTTGTCTGCAACCCATGTAACTCGACATTCTGCCGCACTTCTTTTGACTGAGGACGAATCGGAGACCTAGCTTAGGGGCGGTTTTAGTGGACAATTGTTAGAACCAAAGAAGAAATACACAAACTCTTTCGGCGATTCTCATCCAGTCCAATCCCTCGACGTTGTTGTTTAGGTCAATGATTGTCTCATTCTTGGCACAGGGGCCTCTAATAAGCAAATCATGAGATAAGCGGGCTCAGAAGAAGAAAGGACTTGTGATCACTCACGAGCGCTGTTGGTAAGCTTGTAGACGTTCATTCTCTCGCTTTACAGCGTCTGCCAGTGCTTCGATGTCTTTTGCCTTCACTAAACAGAGTTATATGATCTTCAATGAACAGTTGGGGGAAGAACACACTTGGATGCGGGCTCGTGTTCGCTATATAAGCAGACCGTTTCGCGGCATCCTCGTAAAACGGCGATACCTAAACAGAATAAATTAATGTGAGTTGATATCATGGCTATCTAACGCACTGGGTTCAAAAATTCGCTCGGTGGGAACAATCCTGTAGCTTTCTTTGCTCCGGCTACGTACACCTCTGATTCTGGGTCATCCAATCCATCTTCGACACTTGAAGCACTCTGATAAACCCTTGTGAAAGTTGCTTGTTTAAAGAAAACGCACGCCTCACCAAAAGTTGGTCCACCTCTCTCAACTCTACTTCCAATGCCTCGGCGCGTTGGCTCAGGATCTGTTGGAGCCTTTTGTTGGCATCCAAGGCATGTTGCAACTGTTCAGGAGAGATTTGAGTTCCTTGAGAGGAGTCGGACAATGGGGTTTGACTAGGAGTGCCTTCCGCAGATGCTTTCATCTCCTAGACGTCCATCCGCGACAAGTTGGACGAGTGAGCACTGGGTGACGCGGTGACGAATGGGCCAATCATAATGGGGGGCGAAATTAGATGCCACGTGACGGTGACGCGGGACTCTTTGGTGTGATTTGAATTTTACTCTCTTCCTTCGACTATGGCTAACGCCTCTGCGAAACGTATCGGTAATTGTCGCGCTTCCGAAAAGATTACGCACATGCTCATGTTTTTGCCAGCATCCCAGAATGAAACCACAGTCAAGACCTTGAAGCTTGGCATGATTTTGCCAACCATTACTTCCCTCGTGCTTCGCTTTCTATTTCGAAGGAGCTCTCTACCGCCCTCAAAAGGATCTGTAGTTATTTATATCATCACGTTCTTCCCTGGTTTCTTCCTCTCCAACTACTTGATCAAGAACGGGACCCCAAGGCGAGATCCCACTACTGGGACGTTGATTTCTTACGGAGAGGACTTAAGCCAGCCTGGAGTCACAGAATGGTGCTTTGACGTCCTATACATTACATGTACGTTGGTCACCTTTCTTAGCCCTACCTTTCGCTCACATACTACGTCCAGGGACATGCCAAATTGGCAGCGGTGCGTTCGGTGAATGGTTTTGGTGGTTGTACCTGGTCGTGAGTTGGTTTTTGACAATGTCTCTCCTATTTCGCTCATTTCCTTTTGAAGATACCGTTATACGCTGTCTTCAAATTGTGGACATCAGTCATTTCGCCTATGGTCCTTGGAAGAGGCACTTCTACGCCGACCGAAGATACACCTGATAAGACTGCAACAAGCAAACGACAAGAAAAACTACGCAAGCGACAGGAGAAAGGCGATCCTCGTGTGAGGGTACAAACGGGCAGGAAGTGATGATGAAATTCACCGTCCTGATTCCTGACATTTTTTGTTCTGATTTTCAGTGTCCTTTGTACAACGTGAACCTTGTCGGTACTAATAGAAGACTTCCCAGCAGAGGGCCTACTTAAGTGAATTATCCCAAAAATGTATACGTCTCCGGTGCTTAAAACTAGAACAAGTCCGGCATCCGTGACTGCCACCCATCACCTACGTGAAGCACTGTCCGACATGTCCAACCTCAAAAAACAACTTCAGCGATCTAGTAGCTCTCTGACCGCCCCGAGCGTTAGGTTCCCTTCTGGATGGATTCCGTCGACGAGCGACAGCATTCTCAAGGGCATACAAGGCCGTTGAAATCAAGCCTCCAACGCCTTTAACCGTCTTTCTCTTCCTAATCCGGGTTTGCGCCATATTCGACGGAAACAAAACTGTTAGAGTATTCTTCAAGTTCAACTTCGTATAGCTCGTCGTGTTCGCGAGAGAGCTTACAGCGCCTCAGGGTTTGACAGGTGCCAAAATCGGCCAACTAAATGAAGATTGCCTCGTCGTTGTGAGGATGAAGCCGTATCGACAATCGTCTTAACATCAGCGCTGACTCAGGAGTCTCGGCTTCTTTTCTTTTGTAGACGCTTGTGAAAAGTTCGCTCACACGACCTCCGCAGTGTTTAACGAACTACAAACTGCCATGTCTACTACCAACGAACAGGCTTGACACCTTTATACTACATAATTGTCCCTCGCTTCCGTCATTTTTGACATGCCACTCAATTAGATCCTAACATATCCAGGGAAGATGGTCGAAAGTCCATGGTCTTTGTGAAGATTGACCTCTCTATGTTCAACTCTATTCTCAGGTGTGGAACTTTGGCGGGATCTGCCTGACTCGCGTGGACGACTACGATGTTACACTTATCCAGATATAAAGGGCTGGACAAAAAGGTGGCAATTCATCCACATTATTTTCGAATAGAGTATTCTAGGAACATCTTATGAAACCTCTTATTCAGCGCTAGCGTTAATGTTAGACTCGGCGGAGGCGCCGCACGCCGGGACTGCCACCTATGTTCTCACTTTTGGTTGAGTGCTCCATGTGAAGGACCAGATTCATTTGGGGCCCTCTTTTTGTTGAAACATTCACTCAATCTACGGCGCTTCTGCCGAAATATACTTGAGTGAACTTGGCCCCAAGACCTCCGGTCCGTGAATGCTCTAAAAATAGAGTTAATCGACGCCGTCACGTGATGTACAGGAAAGGCCGTGTGAATGTGTTGCCAAAGGCGCGCACTGGGCCGAGATGTGGTTTTGACTCTTTCTTTCCGTTGTTGCCCATTTTCTCTCGCGTTGGGTCGACGTCTGCTGTGTACTCTATTTGCCCTGAATACGGCACCTCTACTTGACTGAAGCGTAATCTATACTCCCTCGATCTCCCTTGCCAGCTTCGGAGTGTGCCTTTCTCTCAAGGCAGTTCGCGGCGCCGGTTGCCCCAGATTTCTTTCTGCCATGTTCTCTGGTCCCTGTTTTGGAGACTCTACGCCTTCAGAAGTAAAAATACGGAATGCAAACAGCTCTTTTACTGATATCACGCGCATATATCCAGCCTTCTCCTGCGACGAATGCCGAGAACAGCCCCTCGTCTAGTCCATCGATCTCAGATCGGTCGCTTGTCCAACCGAACACATTCCATGGTATCAATATTTTTGCAAAACATACCTATGAGGTATTCTTCTTTTTTGCCCTCTGACAATGTCGTATGCTTCACGGAGATTTCCATCCAGATTGTGGCAAACAGGTCTCATGCTTCACAAGGTCATTTGGGCCTACCAGGAAGGTTTCGATCGGAGAACATCATGCTAACACGCGGAACTTGCCTTGACAGAAGTCGATAACGCTCCTCACGATAACAGCGGCCAGGATCTTCTGCCTACTCTTGCTGGCATGCTTAACTCACCCTGTCGATATTCTCTCGGGAACCCCACAACTACAACAATTGATACGGACCCCTCAGTTGAAGACCCTGGCTCTTTCACTCGCTCTGCGACTCCTCCTCTCTTCACGGATCATACACGACATATACACCCACTGAACATCGCACGCATTCAACTGTTCGGGACCAATGAGGAGCGTACGTCGAATTCCAATGAAGAGGATGCGTCTGCTAGCATCCACGAGGACCGTGACCAAAATCTAGAAACTCGCCCTTCTTATACCACCGAATTTCCAAATTCATTCGCCGTCGAGAAGGCATTTCTAACGGCGCCTGAAGAGAGCCTTGCAGCGGCGACCAGCGCAAAGTCGCTGCATTTGGATTCTTCCCCACTTGGATCACGTCTTATCACGTCTGATGACCGAGGACCTTCTCTGAGTGCTCCTACTCTGCGTCCCCACTCATCGACCACCCTAGGTTCGCCCCGGATTTCTCACTTCGAAAGCAGCAGAGGGTCATTGACTTCGTACGCCGAGGGATTTAAATCCACCGGAGATGGTCACACTGACGGCAAACTCTCACGAACTGCTTTCCATGGAGAGACAAAGGACCCGAAAACTGATTCGACTTGGCGGCAATCCGACCGACCTGCAGATCATCCTGGTTCTCCTCCTGTAGCAGCGCCACGTTCACCCGACGTTAGTAACCCGTTTTCTCAAGAACGCGTATCGAGCCCGACACAACTGAATCAACAAGCCTCTGCCGCTGATCCTTCGTTCATATGTTTAATTGAAACGCCACTTGAATCTCACGAAGCAACGGGGACGGATTTTGCCTCCGATCAAGTTAAACTTGACCCATCTTCGCCAACTGCATACACTGAACACTCACAATCACACCCTTATTTCGCATCTGCGACGAATACCCGACCCTCTGGTTCGGTATGCCAATCCGCGTTCCCGAAAACAGGATATTTCTCACCTCTCTGATGTCAATAGGACATTAGAACAGGTGTCGTGGGTAAAGACTTGCACCCTCGCTCCTCGCCTCCGCCATCCCCGTCAATGAGTTCGAATTATTATCCAAGCTCGAGCCCTCTTCCAAGCTCAAGCCCTACGGAAGATCCGATTCAGACGCCCTCAACTTCTCCGCCGCAATTATCCGGTGCATATAATCAATCAGATCACTCGAGCAACGCTGAAGCAGTAAGCGAATTCCGTTTCATGGCACCTTCGAGAGCTCATCATTACGTGCAAGACATTCTATAAGGATGAAAACTATTCAGCTTTCTCTCATTTCGCCATGCAGGCTCCGTTTCATCCAACATCACAACCAGTAGGCTTGTTTTCCGCAAAGAATTGTGCTGCAATTAAAGCCATTTTAGCCACAAATCGAACGTTCGTACCTTGACATTCAGCAAGAATCTCGCTTCTCTACACCAGCATCCGATTCATCGCCTTATCCGATGGGTTATTATGCGCCAGCGCCAATGGCTCCAGGTGTCACAGAAGCCGACATGCGGCCTAATGTCGCTCTGAGTGCGCCTACGTCTGATCCTACATATACTGCCGTGGAACACAGTCCTCGGGTGATGACTATTCCTGCAGCAGAACAGCTTTCGCCTCATGCTGACCGCCCTGAAGCTGTGGCAACCCTAGTACTAGGAGAAACGTCGCAGCATAGCGAGCATACCAAGAGAAGCGAACATCAATCTCCCCAGACGCAGCATGCCAATCCAATTCCCCGTCCTAAACGTTCTACTCTCGCTGCCCAGCGTTTGCAACATAAGAAACTATCCAAACCGTTTCGTTCGCCCGTCGTTCAAGCGCCCGTTCGTCTAGCACCCAAGCCCATCTTACCCGACCTCTCAGCCCCTATGGTCCCTTCCTCGAGTGCTATGATTCTCCCACAACGCAATACGCCATTGACGTCAGGTCCACAGCCTACAACTACCGTGGCGTCGTCCTCTTCCCAGACCCCAGACGGCAAGTTGAGGCACCGGACCACCAGAGCCGCCTCTCAATTCAAGTCTCCCATATCTGCGCCATCAACCGCTTTGGAAGAGGCGGAATTGGTCAGATTGACGCCGACAATTCAGTCTCTGGAGAGGAAGCTTCAACTTCTGCGCCGCGCTCTCAAGGTCAGAGAGGAAGGACAAGAAGATGTTCTCGAGGACCTAGCAAAAAAGTGGTCGGATGCGGGCAAGGATGCCGCATGGGAGGTCTGGGACTTGGTCAAGGACAACGTTTCGGGCGAAGGCTCGAGTCAAGGCAAAGGGAAAAAACGGGCGTTTGAAGAGAGCTGGGGATGGGACGAATCCGGTGACCCAAAGAAGCCGAAAGAGCAGGACAGGGAGCGAAATTGGGGTTGGGACGTTGTTCCTGTGTCTGAACGTGGGGACGATGAGGCGCCGCCGGAGGTGGAAGACGCTCCCGAGGAAGAACAGGAAGACACCCAAGAAGAGGAAGCACCGCGGCATAGTTTGGGAACCATGTTAATGGGTCTGGGGATTGCGCACGAGACTTTGGGCTGGGACGAAGAAGAAGGTAACTTTGCTGATAATTGAAACCATGTCGTAAATCTCCGTCTTTGCTGTCTGACTGACTATGCTGTGTTTGTACCGACGCTCTTGTTCTATACTTGCTGTATCTTTCGTTTCACCGCACTTGCACGAACGCTGTTGTATTCCAATCGGTTATAATACCACCTCGTTGGCCTTTAATTTGACGTAGGAGCAGACCTAGTTTTGATGTCCATGATTCTGATATTTATCGCCGACCAACTTTAACCTTGTGGATCTCTCCCATCTTGGACTGATCATGAGGATCACTGGAATTAGGCAACAATGAAGATAAATATATGGCCTACTGGAAGGCGAGTACAATCACCCAGGGACACCGGGGTGCGTATGGAGGGATATTGATCCAAGGCAGGCATGGATGCGACGGCATGGGTAACATGACCTCCATTGCCAAAGAAGTAGTAGGTCCTTGTTTGTGCAGTGAAATTGTAGCGCATGCCAAGATGAGCGGCAGATAATTTTCCGAGGAAACAAAGAGACGAAATAACTGACCATTTACCAGACGCGTCTCCAGTTCTCTCCAGTTTCATTCATTGAGAGACCGGATTTGGAATATATCCTCCGCTCCGTAAAATAAGCTTCCGTTCGGTGTTGGTTCGGTGGCGCGGTCGAGTCATGGGACGGGATCCCCATAAGGGCAAAGAGACCATGTGGGAAACAAACATGCTTATGTCATGTCTGTGCACACGAACAGACCCACGCACGCTTTGTTCCAACCAGAGCGCCGTCGCCCAACGCTCGTCCACCTCATCACCAGGCGCGTCCCCCCAACGCGTCCCCAACTGCAGCGCTTCCCCCGCAGCACTAGCAAAACCAAGGTCCCCCACCCACCACCGCACAGTAAGCCCCCCAGCGCTCACGATCACCGTCCGTTGTTGACGCCCGTGTCTGTTTAGCACGTCGAGTGGCAACATGTCGAGGTCGCGAAGCGCCAGCATGGAGATCGTGCCCCCCACCAACTCGCGTCACAGAGGCCTCGCGGATGTCATGGACGCCATGTTCAAGAGCAACCACAAGGAGAGTGAGGACCTGAGAGACGAGGATGCCGACGCGGAAGCAGATGATGAAGAACTTCCGCCTCCACAGGCAGCACCTGCTGAAGTGAGTCCCAGCCTTCTGAGCAACATTTTCTCTGACCGACACGCCTGATCAGTCGGGCGTACCGAATGCCCCAACGCCGTGTGAGCGCTGCCAACGCACGGGAAAGACCTGCAAGGGTGTCGCGGGCGCCCGGTGCGAGCACTGCAAGCGGTTGAAGCAGCGGTGCTCCAACAGCACCGGGCCCGCGCGTGGAAAGCATGCTGGTATGTTTTTGGCATTCTACCCGTGTCAACATCTCTGACTTATGGCTGTCTACAGCGGCAGCAAAGAAGGCAGGCGAGTCTGCGAACGCCACTAAAGCGACTCCGGCGAAGGCTAGCACATCACATGCTATCTCGGCCGCCAATCACTTGAAGCGAAAATCCCCCGGTAAAGCAAGCTCCCCCGCGAACGGGGACATCGATGGCCACAGTATCGATGGCGAAGGCAGCATTGATGACGAAGATGGTCACGAACCGCCACCGAGGCTGAACAAGAAGCGGCGCATCTCGAAAGGGAATGGAGGCCCTTCTCGTGCACAGCTTGTCAAGGCCGTCGGTGAGATCGAGGCCTCTATCAAGCGCGTGCAGTCCACCGTTGCGAAGGAGGTTGAGAAGATGAGCGGTGTCATCAAGTCGTTGAACACGAAGATTAAAGAGATGGATGACGACTAGACGTCCGCCTACAGCGGAAGATTCAATTTCACCACATGCGATACCATTGTTCCAGATGGACTTGTATCTGTTCTCAAGCCTTTTGCTTGGGCAAAAAATTATGGTTCTTCCTTCTTATTTTCTCGCTATCTTTGCGGATGTGTACTTACTATACTTTAGCTGACCTCTGTTTGTAATTCCATACTATCGCTATCGAAATGCTCTTCTGTTCATTGTTCCTCCGTTTGTTGGTCCCTGTCAGCCTAGACAGGATGTGATGTCATGATGCGCAATTACTCAATGCTTCGGCATCCCGCATCCCGCATTCCTTCTCCTTCCTCTTCCTCTTCCTCTTCAAACCAGCATGCCTCCTAGTCCATTCGTTTTGGTGACTCCAGGCGCCACCCGCGGCCTGGGTCTAGCACTCACCCGCCAATTTCTTCGCACCACGAACATTCCGGTCTATGCAACCACCCGTCGCGAAGGCGAAGACGAGGCAATCAAGAAGAAAATTCTGGATGAGCTCGATGGCGTTGCTCCGGAACGCTTGAATCTCCTTCACCTTGACCTCACCTCCGAGAAAAGCATCGCTTCCGCTGCGGACAGCCTCGCCCGTTCGCTCAGGGAGAAGAACTTGAACCACCCGTACATTCACACCGCGTTTATTACCGGTGGGATGCTAGTGCCAGAGAAGAAACCTGCTGACCTCGACTTCGACGAGATTCAAAAGACATTTCAAATCAACACCATTTCTCATCTCCTTATCATCAAGCACTTTGCCTGCTTCCTTCCTACCAAACCGCACCACCACCACCTTGACGTTCCTTCAAAATGGATCCACGTCTCCGCACGCGTCGGCTCCATCGAAGACAACAGGCTTGGTGGATGGTTTTCGTACCGGGCTTCGAAAGCCGCTCTGAATCAAGTCGTCAAAACTTTCGACGTTTATTTGCAACACCATCCAAATATGCAAGCTATATGCGCTGGAGTTCATCCAGGAACGGTTAAGACGGACCTCAGCAAGGCCTTCTGGGACTCTACAGATAGTCTTCTGGAGCCCATGGACGCTGCTTCTAACCTGATCAATGTCGTCGAGAACCTCAAAACCGAGCAGCGAGGACAAATCTGGGATTGGGCCCGACGACGTGTTCCATGGTAGAACCATCCGACAACTGCTTGAAGGCGAGTTTATCTCCTTGTCGATATCGCTACAGCATCTTACAGAAATTGTAGTTTTCCAGAACTTTGCAAGGCCACTAAGAGCTTCCGTCACAAGTCAGCGACTTGTTGTATTTATCAATATAAAATCAAAGTGTACAACATTCCAAATATACGAAAGGTGACTTCAGGAGAGACTTGTATGAAGAGGCTGTCAACCTCGACTTTCGCACTGAAATTTAGGGGCGTATTTGGCCCAAACTGGTATCGAGCCAAACAACGCGTCAACAATGGCCTTGATGTCTTTTCTGTCTTTTCCTGTCTTTTCACAACTGATGACTGTTACCTTCAAAATAACGATGACGATATTCCGTGTGTATCATGGCAGGTCAGTACTCAGCGCCTGCCTTGATCAGATTTTAAACACGCCAGTCTAACTAGGCCGTCAAGTTGCCGCCAAGATCTCGTCAGCCTCCGACTCCGAAGTCCCAGGCCGTATATATAGGCCCCTCGCCGTTCTCCACCCTCAAGAAAGAACCTGATTTCTTTTCATCTTCCAGCATGTCGAATCTAATTTCTTCCTGTGATATCAAGGACGTGGCGCCACCTAAGGTCTTCAGTCTCGTTTGGTCAACCACTATGGATATGTTTCGCTCTCGTATTTTCTATGGATACCTCTCCTTCCTGATCTCGACCTGGGCTCTCTCGTCGGCGTTGTTCCTCTTCTTCTCCCTGGCCAATGAAATGGCGGTTTCTTGGATATACTTCCGCAAAGACCGGTCCTATGCAGCCGTCACTATTCAGACGGAGAATCCGGACCCCTCGTCTATGAAAGGACGCAACTCACAGCATGCTCAAACTGAAGAACTAGACCCTAGGACGCACGCTATGGCTGCCACTCAAACGGACCTCTTGCTTGACAAAGACTCAGCATCCGACGCTCTCCAACAAAAGACTTACGCCTCTTTCGGTGCCCAGACGTCGACAGAACGCCTGACGGGCAGCACTGTCGCCAAATCGGAGCCTTCTTCTAGCGACAGAGCCCCTGCTTTCTCCAGTCTGTCCACGGCGCAACAACCGGTTTACACTCTGCGTGGCATGGTCCATGATAACATCGGTGCATTGAGAGAGAAGACAAGCCAAGTCGTGCGTTCGAAACAATTCTGGAGGGTGCACTACGTTGAAGTTTATTCACAGGTCAATGCAGCAGAAACGCCCGGCAAACTGCCTAAAGCCGTCAAACAACTTCACTCTAGACAGACCGTCCTGAGCGGCTTTCCCACCGCTGCTTCCACGCAACTTTACGGCGTGATTACCCCTCCTGTATGTCCTTTTTTCATCGAGAAAGTTATCTCCGTACCCACTCGTAAGGCCGCCTAAGTCCACACCTGAGATTTCTCACCTACCACTGGCTGCCAGAATCGGCGCTAGGATGGATCTCGATTCGCCCGAAGTCATCAAAAAGCGCCACAGACTCCATCCAAAGCAGGCTCAACAAGATGCGAGGGACAGGGAGGAAGTGGCGCAGTTCCTTTTAGATGACAACTGATTGTCCAGCCTTGTCCAGTGGATACATAAGCGAATTTATTCTCCTCAATACGTGCCAACGCGTGTGAAAACGTGTTCGATAGAGCACAAGCGAATGAAGGACGGACCAGGAAGAGGGCGGTTCGAGGCTTGTGGCAGGTATGTAGTAAGACAGCTAAACTCTGGCACTCATGCGGCCGTGCTCGACATCGGTGTCGCTTGAAGGCGCCTAATGTATGCCCGGGCATCCGACTGCAACTGACGTTCTAACTCGTCTGCACGCCTCTGAGTCTCAGCAGCGTTGGTACGTTCGGCCTCTCGATCAGCCCTGCCGTTTTTCTGCCTCTTTCTCGTGAGCTTTTGGTGTGCTTAGCGACATTTATCTCCACGACATACAAGAAAAAGTTCACATAGTTGTCCTACGCATTCAACTTGGCATCTGCGATAGCGGGGATGAAGCTCATAACATTTTCGTGATCCTCCTGTCCAAATACTGCCCAGCGAGCAAGCTGTCGCATCTCTGATAGTCGGCGCATTGTTAAAAATTTAGAACCATGTTGCGCCGCGTCGCCAACCTGGTGTCGACATTACAGTACTAATTGTCTAAGAGGAGCTGGTGTTTGACGTTCTAGAGGTGCACACAAATGCAAGGTCGGGTTTCAGACTCGGGTAGTATGCCGAGGCTCATGTTGTATTTAGTACAAGGGTGCGCATATATCCATCTTCACTTGTGTAAATTGATCGACTGACCCTCTTCAGCCATTGCTCAAGAATTCTCGACAGACATGGTACATGACGTATTCCACTGTTCTTGTTGTCCTAGCTCGACTTCTGTGCACAGTCCAGTAGCATAGTCAATAGACCATCTTTGTGTGGAAAGCGCATCCACGCGCAACAGCAAATTCCATTTCACCATCCTCCAGCTAACACTATCCAATTCTAAGCAGCATCAACGAGTGTAATCTTTGTAGAGTGTATTTGAGATAGACGAACGCACGATCAACGACGATGTAAAGCGGAAAACAACAACACAAACAAGTCGTAAAGCAGTATGAAGAGTGCCAGCACTCTGCAATCAAGCAGAGACCGACACGGCGGGAGGGGGCACCGGGATGTCGCGGCTGAGCGGAACGCCAGCACCGGTCTTCATCCTGTGCGTCTGCCTCTTGACCTCGGGCTGGGCGTGCTGGTAAACCGTCCTTGAGCACTGGACAGGACCGCTGATGGGGCCCAACAAGTCGTTGAACTCTGCCCGAGCCATGGTCACCGCGTGCTTGTCCACAACCGCCTTTTCACCGTTTCTCAACGTGTGCGGCGTCGTTCCGTCAAGCAGGCCGAGCTGCGCGTCCGTCCATATCGGTTGCACTTCGGGCTCAGGACCCGCTGTCATGCCAACGCCTGCGCGTCCGCCAAGGCGCTTCCAGTCCTTCAGCCTGTTGATCCCGAGCTCATTGAAGATTTGGTCGACGGCCTTGACGAGCTTGTCCATTTGTTCGAGCGTGTGTCGGGGCGTGACAGTGATCCTCAGGCGTTCCTCACCGCGGGCGACGGTGGGGTAGTTGATGGACTGCACGTAGATATTGTGTTCCGAGAGCAGCTTGTCTGATGCAGCCTTCGCCAGAGCAGCGTCGCCGACGAGAACCGGTACGATATGAGAGGGGCCGGGACTGCAGAGTGTGGATTAGCGCGCTGTCTTCGGCGATACTCGGAGGGTTAACAGGAAAAATACATACACCACGGGAATATCCAATTCAGTAAAGCGGCGTTTCACCTCGCGGACGTTGACCTGTTTGAGTTGACGATCACCGACATAGTTCTTCTGGTAGACCACGCTAGCCCGAGCACCAGCGACAGTAGCGGGAGGAAGCGATGTTGTGAAGATGAAACCAGGAGCATATGACCGGACCATGTCGACGAATTCCTCCGACCCCGCGATATAGCCACCGACAGCGCCATAAGCCTTACCCAAAGTACCTAAAGAATGGAGCCCACTGTCAACGGGGTGCAATCGTAGCGCCACAAATAGACACGTACCAGTAATGATGTCAACGCGATCCATAACGGAGCCAGGAATGGGATCAGGGCTGTCGCCAGCAGCAGCATGAGCATCGTAGTCCAAATGTTCAGCTACACCAGCGCCTCGGGGTCCATAGAGACCGACGGCGTGCACCTAAGACCAGAGTAGATTTGATGAGTCACAGAAAACCCAGGTGGATGATGCGACGCACCTCGTCCAAGAAAGTAAGAGCACCATATTTCTCTGCTAGGTCGCAAATTTCCTTGATGGGTCCGATGCTACCGCACATGGAGTAAACCGACTCGAAGGCTATGATCTTGGGTTGTTCCTTGGGGTATTGTTTGAGCTTGTTCTCGAGATCTTCAAGGTTGTTGTGCTTGAAGATGACCTTTTTTGCACCAGAGTGGCGCATACCCTGGATCATGGAGGCGTGGTTCATGGTATCGGAGAACAAAATACAATCTGGAAGCTTTGAACCAAGGGTCGAGAGGGTAGCGTCGTTGGCCACGTAGCACGAGGAGAAAACGAGAGCAGCTGGTTTGCGGTGCAGCTTGGCGAGTTCTTGCTCCAGAGCAAGATGATTGGCACCGTTGCCAGCGATGTTACGAGTCCCTCCAGCACCATGGCCGTACTTGTCAAGAGTGCGACTTGAGAAGTACGTGAGCTGGATGAACGTAACCGGATGGCACGGGAAACACGTACTGCATAGTTTCGAGTATAACAGGGTTGTTGCCCATGCCAAGATAGTCGTTGGCACACCATACCTCGACCTCGTCGGTGACGCGGGCGGTGTGGGCGACAGGGAACTTGTTCGCGAGCCGGTTTATGTTATTGAAGTAGCGGTACGATGCATCCTTGCGCTTTTTGTCAAGCTCGTTGATGTAGAACTTCTCATAGTCGAACCCGGAGTGTTTCTTGGCATTGTGCGCTGTCACAGGGGTCGGAGCAGGGGCAGGGGCAGGAGCAGCTGCCTTGCGGGCTTCGGCGGCGGCTTTCTGGTGGAAGGGGCACCCTGCAGCAGCGGCCTGGGCGACCTCGTCCTTGCTGAGCTGGGCCTTCTTCCTTGCGGCGGCTGCGAGGTCCTCGGCCATGCGAGCGGCGGCCCTAGCAGCGGAGGCATGGGGGCACATCTCGACGGTCGCGCCGGGGGGCGGGAAGACGCCCTTGTCCTTGTGAATCTTCTCGACATCTGCGTTGGCGGCGACGCTAGCGTAGCCGGCTACGATCTGCTTTGAGCGGACGTCGAGGGCGGGGCCCATGACGGGGCATGCTGTGGCGCGCTCGGTGAGGGCTGAGAGCGAGGGGAAGCGCGGGGAGACGGCGGTGGAGAGGCTGCGGAGGGTGGAGGGCGCTGTCTTTCCGAGGAAAGGGCAGGCGTTCTTGAAGCGGGCGAGGGACGAGAGCTTGTCCATGGTTGTGGAGGGGGGAAAAGAGAGAGCGACGACTTTTTGAATCATTTGGAGGGCAGCCAATGAGCGCAGAGTAATTACAATCAGGTGATCCGGCTATTCTAGTCTGCTCGGCTATTACCACTCGCCACTGACAAACAGCTCTCCAGCACATCCACCGCCACATCCACCTCTGCCTGCCCCACGTTCAGAGAAGGCACAAGCCGCACGGCATCCTTCCCAGCTGTCAGCACGAATACACCCCGCTCCCGCGCAAGCTCGACGATCTTCCCAGGCGTGCTTGCGTCCTTGAATCCAAGCCCCCGGATTAACCCCCGTCCTCGCACGCCCGCCTCAACCACCTCCGGGAACCACTTCGGTAATTGTGCGAGCCGCTTCTCCAGATATGAGGACGTCTCTCGCATCGAGCCCAAAAACTCGCGCGAGGACAGCCGCGACAGGACATGGTGCCCAATCGCACACGCTAAAGGAGACCCTCCAAACGTCGTTCCATGCGAGCCTGTTGCAAACGGGCTCTCATTACCGGGAATGTGAAACGTGGACGGTACACGTACCTGCAGTCATCGTAGCCGCTACCTTGTCCCGAAGCAGCACCGCACCAATGGGGTACCCGTTCGCCAGCGGCTTCGCCATTGTGACAATGTCAGGATGGCAATCCACAGGCAAAGGCGAGTGCGCCCATAGCGTTCCCGTCCTGTACAAACCACACTGCAAAATGAAAGTTCCGTTAGTGCCGTTCCGCCCCATTAGTTAATCGAGGCGTACCTGGATCTCGTCAAAGATCAGCACCGCGCCGACTTCATCGCACTTCCTGCGCAGCGTCCTCAAGAACTCCTCGTTCGCAGCATTGATCCCGCCCTCTCCTTGGATCGGCTCGACGATGACCGCGCACGTATCCTCGTTAACCAACCGCTCAAGCGCCTGGACATCGTTCAGCTTTCCGACGTCCACGTTCGGGATGAGCGGCTCGAACGGGCGCTGGTACTTGGGGTTGCTCGTCACGCTCAGAGCACCCATGCTGCGTCCATGGAACGAGTTCTCGAAGCATACGATTCGGTTCTTCGTGCACGCCGCATCGTCCCAGCTCTTGCCCTCCTTGGCTGCCCAGACGTCCTTGCCGACGCGTCTCGCGATTTTGAGTGCACCTTCGTTGGCCTCTGTACCCGAATTTGCAAAGAACACCTTTGCACCGCCGCTCGCAGTCTCGCCGCCGGCGTTTGAGCCCGCAGCACTGTTAGCTGCGTTTCCTAGGCCGCCTTCGGCCTGCGTCAACGTAACCAAAAGCTCAGCGAGCTTTCCCGCCCATTCGTTATGGTAAACATTGCTCGTATGCAGCAGCTTTCCAGCTTGCTCGTTCATGACCTAGTATAGCGTTCCCAGGTGAGTAAAAATCCATTACGTCCCACGTTTACGAAGGAAAGGAAAGAAGGAGCGGATAAAGCACTCGGGTAGGTTGAGAATAACCTCCAAGAGTGTTGCTAGCTATCCAGGTAGATGGGCACAAAAAACCCGGCGGGTATTCTTGTCATGAAGATGTGCTAATCCACGAATAACTTGTACCCGGTTGTCGAAAATTGCAAAAATAACATAGAAAGATGGTGGCAAGTTGACGCTTCATGGGAAGAAAGTACAACAATTGGCCGGTTCCCAACCGCGGGACGTCAAAAGATGTGAAGGCAATGCTGACACCCCTAGCGCTTCTCGGAAGACATGGGTTGGAGTGGAGAAGTGGCTAGTACATTCCTCTTCTCCGGTAGAAGGTACCAAGGAGGAAGAGCACCGACGAAGCCCGGGCATGATGAGCTTTCGATGACATGAACAGCCTTCGTTCGAGAGGACCAATGCCATCCTTCGAATTCGAAACGCGGTGGGAAAACCCCGCGAATGTAAACGGACTTTTACCCGTCTCCATCTCCTTGTGCAGCCATTTCCACCATCTCATCCCAAAGGCAAGATACCCGAAAAACCGCCAATAAAAAGAGGGGGTAGAGCCATGCAATACACACCTTCAATACACCCTCATCCGCATGCCCCAACGCGTTCACCGCGATACCGGCGCTAAAATCGAGGTACTTCCGACCATCCACGTCCCAGACGTACGCGCCCTTGCCCCGCGCGAGCACAAAATCGGGCCGGGCGTATACCGGGAGGAGGTACGCCTGTCCCCGCGCGAGGAATTCTTGAGTGGCGGCGCTTGGGGGTGAGAGGGGCTTGTGCGTGGGTGTTAGGTGGCTGGTGTTCGGCTGGGTAGGGAAGAGGTTAGATTGTGGTTGGAGGGAGAGGCAAGGACGTACGGAAGTGGCGAGACCGCGAAGGATGGGTAGAGGTTTGCTGGAACGAGGCTTGGAACCGAAGATGGTCCGTCCATTGCTACCTGCGATGAGTTGGACGCGGCGCATGTTCGTTTTTGAGAGATTTGCAAGTGCAATGGTAGGCTTGTAGTGTGGAAAGGCTGGTATACGGCTGCTTCTTGTCTAATTTGTAGTGTATGAAGCAAGGTCTTTTTGAAAGCAAGCGATTATCGCAAATAGGCTGAAGATGGCAGACGGGAGCCTAGAGGAAGAAAGACAAACATTCCGGTCAGCACCAGCGTCAACAGTCAACCAAGAACGCGAAGTGAAAACCCCGCCTGGCAATCCACGCAAATGCACACCTTATTCAACCAGTTGCACGATCTTCAAGGTATCAAGAGGGCGGGTGTGTCGTTCCGCGGTAGCAAAATTTCCAACCGATCAGTAGTATTCAAGCGCGTCTATGTGTTCGCGTTATACCCTGCTCGAAGATTGAAATGAGTCACATAGGTAATCGAGTCAGCGTAAACAGGGCATGCACCAAGAGCAAGAGCAGGTCGTTATGGTGGTGGTTGGATGCCAACAAACAGAGGGAGAGAGAGGGTCGACGCGAAGTCGGAGCTTGAGCTTGAGGGATTTTATCTATACACTTGCCGGTTATGATCTGCAGTGTGCACACCTTCGGAATCGGACCTTTCGGATATGGACGATAATTTCACGGTATCCGTACTTGTACCGCATTGCTGGTAAGCTATGAAAGGTTGTGCATGCAGTAAAAGGAATAGACAGGATGTTGAGAAGAATGGGCAGGTAAGAAGATGAAGTAGAGGTGGATCGATAACGTCAAAGTAGGTCAGTGCCCCTAGACAAGTCGCGTAAACATCGCCTTTAAACAAAAACCAATATATTTCCGGGTAGGATCAGGCAGCCTAACGCTGGAACAAGTGTCAATCGTTGACGAAGTCAAGGAAAGCATATTTTCTGAGCTTGTGAGCATTAGGAATAGTACATGAATATTCAGCAATTCATGGAAGCAGCGTGCAACGAGCAAGAAAAAAGCCAGACCGTTCGACTAACACCGCATAAACCAACATCATACCACCTCAGTCGCGACTCCTACTCCTCGAGCCCCCACTCTTCGTGCTAACACTCATCGACGACCCAGTAGACGCAGAGCGCGAGCGGCCCCTCTTGGCTACTTCCTGCTTCTCGCTCCTACCTCTCGGCGGCGACTCGTCTTTCAGCTCTCTTACACCCTTCAAGTCTCTAGCAGACGCCGGCCCAGGCCCAGCAGGTGTTGGCAAGAAAGGCGGTGTCCTCTCCCTCCTAGAGGGTGGTGGAGGGGTGCCTGAACGCGAGCGATACCGGCCGCGTCTGGGAGGAGGCGAGCGGGACCGGGATGGTGAACGGGATGGTGAGCGTGAGGCGTATCGTCTGCCTCTGTTGGGTGGAGGAGAGCGCGAACGCGATGGCGAGCGGGAGGGCGACCTGGAAGGAGAGCGTCGGCCTCTTCCTCGGCCGCTGTCTCGATCCCTTGGAGCGTCCCTTCCGCTTCCGCCCCTTCCACCACCACCTCGTGCACGGAACCCGCCTCGACCTCGTCCGTACCCTTGGTCGACTCTGCCTGGAGGTACGATGCGACGAATAGGCGAACGCGAACGCGAACCATCGCGAGACCGAGACCTCCGAGACCTCTGAACACCTCTCATAGGTGAGCGAGAACGCGACTTCGACGGCGTGCGACTGGGCGACCTTGAATCCGAGCGACCTGAACGAGACCCGGACCTCGAACGTGAAGGCGAGCGAGAGTCCACGCGCCTTCGGTTCCTCGGTGGCGGCGAAGGAGAGGGCGAGGGTGAGCCGCGGTCTCTCTTCGAGCGCCCGCCCGCTGGTTCGCTTCGAGGAGGAGGCATGTCGCGTGCGTCCCTGCCTCTGCGCGGGTAGTCTCTGTCCCGAGAGCGAGGAGGAGGATCGCGCCGTGGTGGAGGCATATTGGGGTACCCTTGGTCGGTGGGTCGGTCTCTATCTTTGTATTCACCTCGAGGGCCTGGAGGCGGCGGAGGTGGAGGCATCCCACGGTCCCTGTCGTCCCTGCGCCTGTCGTCGTCCTTCCTTCGGGTAAGGTCTCGCTCGCGCCTTTCCTGCTCCCATCTGGTTTTTTGCGCCGCCATCTTTTCTCTATCCTCCTCGCGCCTTTTAATCCTTTCTGCCTTTTCCCTCTCGCGTTCCTCCCGCTCCGCAATACGTTTGATCCTGTTTTCCTCCTGCTTCTCGCGGTCAAAGGCGTCTCCTTCTTGGTAGTCTGCACGGGTGCCAAGCGCACGGGCCATTTTTGAGAGTTCTGTCTTCTTCGCAGCGGCAATAGCGTGGGTGTCGGAGGGCTTGAAGCCACGCGAAGGCAGTGCACTCGCGGAGAGGTTTGCCAGCAGCTTTTGGCGCAGCTGGTCTACCTGTTTTTCGATCTCTTCCTCGTCCGTGCTGATCGTGAATGTGAGCTGCAGCGCTGAGAAGCCCACGGAGCAAGTGAAACGTACCCCTTGTCTTCGAGCTCTAACTGGAGCTCGAGACACTTTATCTCAATCTTGCGCTTGCGCTCGTGTTCGAGGATGCCTTCATCTGGCTCTCTGTGTTTTGGCGGAGCGGCGTCCCATGTTGAGGTGTCATTTTTCCTGTCGTGGACACGGAGGGTGGAGAGGTTGCGAACGACATAACCGCTCGTTCCACTGTAGACAAAAGGGTTAGAAACCCAGAAGGTACTGGAAACGGAATCACTCACCTTCCGCGGGGAGTCGTCAGGCCGATGCCGTTGTACATGGTGGTTGGAGGAGAGCAGCGTGGGAAGCAAGTAGGTCAGCACGTGTGATGAAGATGACGCAGACGGGCGGCAGCGACTGTTCTGTTCATAAATACGCTATCTTGCCGCGCAGCCATGCACACCTCTTTCACCCACCTGTCCCCACAACGTCCGCCCTCAGACTGTCCCGTGCCCTCCTCCGAACAATGGAGACAAGCATAAATCTCGACCCTCTTCCACCGTCCCGCGAGATTCCTGCTGCTTTTACAGCCAGTGTTCGGAGCTGGTGAGTGGCGACCCCGTATAATTAGACGGCAGGCTCATTGTCATGTTCAGGTGGCATGTAGGCGAGAAAGAGAGCGCCATCGCTGAAGAGCGCCTCCTCCGCCGTCTTCCCTTCTACCGACCATCGACCCCATCGTCTTCTACACCTTCCACGCCCGTAGACGGCCCCGTCGCTGCTACATCCTCCAGAGTCCAGCTTTCCAACCAGCAACATTACCTCAACACCGTATCCATCACATCAACATCACCCTCCTCAACAGCCCCACCACCTGCTGTCCTGCTCCATGGCTACGGTGCTGGATTAGGGTTCTACTTCCAGAACCTCCCAACTCTCGCCAACTGGGCTGCCTTGCGGTCTAGCGCCGTCTATGCTCTCGACTGGCTGGGTATGGGCCGCTCTGCCCGCGTTCCTTTCAACGTCAAGGCAAAACGGGAGGACGTCCCCGCTCGTGTCGCAGAGGCCGAGTTGTTCTTTGTCGATTCTCTCGAGGAATGGCGCGAGAAGATGCGCCTCAACAAGGTGACGCTGATAGGACATTCCCTAGGTGCCTATCTCAGCGTTGCTTACGCGCTAAAGTACCCCGCACGCGTCGACAAGCTCATCCTGCTCTCCCCTGCGGGCATACCTCGTGGCCCGAACTACGAGGAGCCTTCACGAGAGCTGACGGATCAAGGCCCAGGAGAGCAGTATCCTAGCGGCTCAAAAGACGGCTCAAAAGAAAGCTCTACGTTCCATCGGGCAACGAAGGGCAAAGTGAACAAGATCCAGGAGGAGCAGAAGGAGAACAAACAGAAAGAGAGCAAGACGCGGAGACTGTTTACTTACCTCTGGGAAGAGGGCTGGAGTCCATTCCAGGTCGTCCGATCCACGTTCGTGTGGGGCCCGATGCTCATTGGAAAGGCGCGTCTCCAATCATCCTTCATAGCCCTTGTTCTCTAACGAATAATACAGTATTCCTCCCGCCGTTTCACGGGCCTAACACCCGAAGAGACGCGCGACATGCACGACTACATCATGAACATCACTCTCGCCAAGGGGTCCGGCGAGTACTGCATCTCGCACATCCTCGAGCCTGGCGCCCACGCACGCATGCCCCTCGTCGACCGCATCGACAAGCTGCCCAAGGACATGCGCGTCACGTTCGTGTATGGCGACCATGACTGGATGGACCCCACCGGCGGTTACGAGGCGGTCCAGAGGCTGAAGAAGGCGGGAAACCAAAATGCGCGGATGTATATTGTCGACAATGCTGGGCACCATGGTCAGTTTCACGTATTTTGGTTGACGATTTGGCTGGTTTGCTGATTTTGTTGCTGTTGCAGTTTACCTTGATAACAAGGACACCGTCAACGATCTTCTCATGCAAGAGCTTGAGAGCTAATCGTTCTTTTCATGCTAGATCTATTTTACAGTCATCGTCATATACCCGATACAGGACCTTAATTTTCTATAAGTACACTTGTTTTGTAGAGGTAGACGCGGTATATTTTGAAATACAGAAGTAGCACTGTCCAGGTGGTCATCTAAATAAATAACGATAGCAATGCAAGATACAGAGGTGTCGAATCACCAGGAATCATCTACATCCATGATAAGTAACGAAACAGTGCAACAGAAGGCCATGAAATGGACCTCGACGATAAATAGGCTGACAGCAAAAATATACTCGCAGAGGAGTACAGAACATCAATTGTTCACTGGATGCTTTGGATGATCGAGACTACATTTTCAAGGCAGCACCTGCGCTTTCCTGTAAGGTGTCGGCACATTGATCGGGCGGTCAGGGTATCTAAAGGCCATTATGAATTCTATCCAAGATAATGACAGGCACAGCTAAACATACTTGGCTTTGATCCTCATAGCCAATTCCTCCTCGTATATCTGGTCCGGTCCCAACTGGTTACCCAGCGTCAACCATCTGTTTAATAATGATAAATGTAGCTCCTGAAGAAGAAAGAAAGAAAGCACCCACCCAGGCCGCGTATTATGCTTCCTACCAAAAATCTCCACTTTCCTTCCACCCGGACAGAGCCTCTCGATGAGCCCATATACCTCCTCTGGCTTCCGGCTCGTCTCACGCACTTCGCTGACGATCACATCCGTGTCGACACCACGGTTCGCCCATGATGGGAACTTGAGCGCCCCAGACGAGTCGGTGATAGTCTTGACGCCCACAAGCATGTGCTCTTTCGTGTGGTTTAGCCAATGGCCTGTGCGGCCTGTGCGGATGACGCGTTGGAGCTGTGAGAGGAGGAAGGGGAGAATTAGAGGGAGGAAGGTGAAGAGAGGAAGAGGTGAACCTGGTTGGTCTTGACCCAGACGACCTCGTCGATGCGGGTGTAACCCCATACCTGGAGGCATTCGCGGCCGACTTCCATGGCACGGCCTGTCACCCAGAGGAAGAGGAATCCTTCGTCTTGGAGGGTGGGTATGGGCATGGCTCTCATCTCGTCGTCTTTCATGGTTCCATAAGGCAACTTTGAAGAAGTGAAAACATGAGAGCCAGAACACGAACAGAAACATTGAACATACACTCATGTGAATATCCCATGGTGGGTCAGCCATGATAACATGGAATTTGCCCAGGACCGAATAATCAAATGTTCTGAGGTCGCAGTTTATCCATTGTGGAGGCAGCTGTTGAATATTTAGCACTTCCAACACAACTACAAACGCGACAAATGACGCACCGGCTTCGTAACCTTCCCAGTCGGCCCCAACCCAAGGCTCAGACGGTGCACCTTCCTCGGCTTCCGCTCCCTCCTCCACTCACCATCACCTCCGTCCCAATCAACCTCATAATGCAAATATCTACATGGCGCCTTCTCCTTGCCTCTCCCACCCGCACCTAATCCAGAAGGAAGTGACACCGCGCCTCTTGTGTTCGGTGGGGCCATTCCATGGCTATGGGCCGTCCCAGGGAAGGGGGGTATTGAAGGAGACTGCGCGTACGTCGGCTCAGAGTAGCATGTGTTAAGGTAGGAGCAGTGTCCTAACGTCACGTCGGTATGAGGTCGGATGAGCGGCCGGAAGTGGACGCGGTCGCAGATACCTGGGGGCGGAAGCTGCTGCGCAGAGGTGGAGGGTGGAAGATGCTGGAATTGGAGGGCACGTCGTGCCTTCGCACAGTCGTCTTTAGTGATGTGGGTGCAGATGGGTTCGAACTTCTCTCCTTCTGAACGGAACTGGGGATCGTGGTTGGGCTAATTAGCCAGCTGTAGCCAGAGAAGAGAGCATTGCATACCTGTTCAGCAAGTAGCCTACCCTTGGCTGTAGGTTTCTGGATCAGCGTGTACACCTCCCTCATCTCCGGGGTCAAGTTCGCCAGTGTCGACCCAGACGTGTCCTGCCCACCGTCCTCTTCCTCAAGTAGCTCCTCATCGTCCCCCGCAGCCGAGTCCGCATCTTCGTCCACCACCCTCTTCCTCTTCCTCGAGTCACCACCAAACCCACTCCGACTCCCACGGAGACCCAACCCTGAACGACCAGCCCCTAGCTCAGAGGACGCCAACTCCCAGATCATCATCTTCCCCGTCTTCGTGTCTCGAGAGAAAGCGATTACCCCCTCCGTCCATATGTCGGCGATATCTTCTAGGATGCGCTCGAACCGCTTGAGGTCTGCGAGCTTAAACTTGGGCGCAGGGGAGTGGGGGAATAGGCCGGCTGGGATCTTGGTGGTCATCACGGTCGTGAGCAGCTCGAGAGACGTTGCGGGGGTTTTGAATTTGCGCGACGCGACGATAGAGGTGAGGGCCGTTTGGGCCACGAGCCTAAGCTCGTCGTCCGACATTGTCGTGGAATCCGGGGTGGTTGGGGAAGTGGATGGGCAAGGAGACGCGGCAAGACGGGCGTGAGATGGCCAAGTTGTTGTTGGTTATTTGCGAGTATGTAAGGGCTCCGGCGACCATACTTTAGCCGAATTGGTCAAGCGCCTGATTAGTTGTTCTCGGGCCGTCAAATCTAAATACATATACGTCCGTAAATGCGAAGAAGTTATGTAGCTCTAGCTGTATTGCTCTCCTCAAGTTGAGAGCAAGCCTTGGATTATCTCGTAGTCCGAATTATCAGAGTATCAAAGTCCGAGTCCCGGTCCTCTGCTTCAATGAACGACCTCGGCCATAATGCGAGAACCGGCTGGCATCGATCCAGAACCTTCAATTTCGAAAGAGAAAACATCTTGGTCTTATACGAAGCGAAGTACCCGTGATGCAATATTTAGGCGCTCACGTCAACATGAATTGAAGAGAAAGCACCACCAACAACTGGATTCCTCATGAACTAAAACACTACAAATGTCCTTGCAACCAGACCCTTCTCTGCCCTAAAAGCTGTCGATCAGACTTGAAGTGCAGATTCCCGTGGGGCGAATTGACGAAAGGGTTAGAGGTTGACGTTGATGGGAGTGCAACCGAGAGCGACAACTCCGTCTGTTGGGATAGAATCAACATAAAGTAATCACAGATGCCTTGACCATGTTTTAGAGCTTACTGAAGTTATTGTTGGTGCAGCAGACGGGCTGGGAAGTGCTACAGAAATCTCCATTAGTTCGAATCAACCGGGAAGCAGACGGAGAACTAACCAAGAATTGCCTCCAATACCGATGACAGAGATGGGGTTGCAGGTAAGGCCGATGAGGGCGTCAATTGGCCCGGCGACGACGCCCAAGAGACCGAGGAGCTGATATATGGGGCTGCTACTGGCTTGCTGAACGCTGTTGCAGCACTGGACGGGACCCGTGTTGCACTGGCCGCCACCACCGGACTCGTCGCGCTTCACGGGGGTGCCGACCGCAAGGGTGGAAAGAGCGACGGCGGTGAGAACAGAGACTTTGAATTGCATGTTGGTGAAAGAGTGTGAGTACTTGAACGAATGCTGCGAATTTGTTCGAGTGAAGAAAGTCGGTGAGCAGATGGGCCCTTTTATACGCTGTCAAGACATCGCAAATGATTTCTTGGACGGCGACCATGCCATAATCCCGACGGTCTGTCGAAAGTTCCTTCTTCCAAGACGTCGTCGAGGCTCAGATCGGAGACAATTTTCGTGAATAAGCCGAGTATCTTCCGAACAGCAGTCTCATGCGAGCGAGGCTATCGTAAGACTGTCATATAGAGAGGAAATATCGGCGCATTAATTAAATATTGGAACCGAATCAGCGCTAGAATGTGAAAGTCTCTCTACCTGACGCCTATATTCTCATGCTCTCGTTATGGCGCTTCGCCGACAGCCGCTTTAGACTTTCCGCACTTCAAGCTCTGAAGCAATGGAAGACATCATCAATGCGGAACGAAGTACACCAGGACCAGCTTGGGACCGACACAATTGATTCTGATGACATGCAGATAGCTCGTGTGCTCGCCATATTGCTGTTTTCTGGATGTTCCTACGCTGTTTTGCATAACCTAAGGCTTGAAGTGACTTCTGGGCGGTGAAAAAAAGCAGCCGACTCGGAACGCAGCCGACTGGGGCACATTTATGTAACATTCGCCAGAGACAATGAGAAAGGATTATGAAAGGCGGAAAAGAAGCGCCCATGTCGGGCGCCTCTTCGCTTGCGAGCTCTCCATTTAAACAAATCCGGAGTGACATAGTCGAGACCCACATAAAAGCCGCTGTTTGAAAATTGTAAGATTGATGTTCGGTTCAGAACCGTAGACAAATTTGGTGCCAAGAACTGAAAGAAAGAATGAGTTAGAAAGGTTTTCTTTCGTTCTGTCAAGCAATGGTAACGCTGGGAAGGGTGCGAGCCTGATTGATGGGTGGTTCAAGCTCCTCGGGGCATCTTTGCGAAATTCGATTCAAAGCCTCGGAAATGTAGCCAGGGAACTCAAATACGCATGTTCACTTCGTGTCCAGTCGCCTGACGTACATGCCTTGACAAAATTCCTCCCAACCCAAGTCTTGATCGTACAGCGTGCTTGCGTTCAGATGATGAGCGTGGCTATGAGTAGTGTCTAACTCTTGAAGTATCTCCACAGTGCGCCTGGTCGATCACGGAAAACAACCCTGTCGCCGAGATAGTGGTCATATATTAACACATAAATCGTGGCCCTTCCAACAGAAATAACCCTGCATCCGAATCCAGAGGGCCGCTCGACATTTCGATTCTTCAGCTGAGGACATCAAGAAGAGTCTGGGCACGCTTGCGCCTTGTTTCAGCGAGACTGGAAGCAGGAATCGCACTGACGGATGTTGCGACAGATACAGGTGTCGTCGTGAGAGGTGTAATCAAAGCTCCTGGAGTGGGGACTGAGCCAATTAGAGGACCAGCTGTTGGGGTAGTGCTGATGAGGGGCCCGGGAGTTGGTTTTAGCGCTTTTAGGGCTGACTTGAGCGGCTTCTGGGGTTCCGCGGATGTTGTCGTAGAGGTTGGCTCAGGTACCTCTGGCTTCTCTTCGACCTCGAGAAACGTCTGACATGTCTCTTGCAATTTCTGAGAAGCATTATGAGCAAAGAAATATCGGCAGCTTTGAGAATTCTGACCTTTCTCGAGCCTCCCTGTATATTTGCGAGATATTTCACCGCTAGTGGAAAGTAGATATCAGGTAGCTATAGACAAACAATCGAGTAAGTGTTCCGAGTCTCGCGATTTATACATGAGCCTAAACAGCATACATTTTCTGGGGACCAGATATTGCGGATTATCCAATTTTGCCTTGCCTTGTTGAATTTCCACTTCTTTGGTTTGTTCATCTGAATGAAAACGTATTCCAACGCTGAACAACGAACGACAAGATGGTTAGATTAATACAAGCCTTACACGTAAAGGAGCGCACCTTTTCGTGACTGCCCGTTCAACGAACTATCATCCCTTGGATCTCGGAACTCCGTCCTATTTTTGTGTTTCTTTTTTGGCGGCTCGACTTCCTCTAAGGGCTCGTCGGGTTTCGGTACATCTTTCCCATCCACGGAGTTGACATCCCAACGTTTTCGTTTCTTCTCTTTCTTCTTTGACGCAACAGGAACGACCTCGACACTGCCATCAACCTCTGGGACTTTGCCAGCCTTGTATTTTTTCGGTCGAGCTTTTTCAGGCTGCAACTCAGAGCTTCCGCTGGTCGAAGCAAATACATTTGGAGGTTCTTCCCCTTGGCTCTCCAGGGCTGGTGTCGTGGGCTCAATTTCACCGCTGGGGGAGACCTCCTTTTTCGAGTGTTTCTTCGACTTTGGCCTTATGGTCCCCGAGACCGCCTCAGCGTCGAGATTGACGGTATTCGTGGATGATTTCCCCATAGATAAGACTCGAGTGTCGGCGCGTATTGATAAAGGGTAGCCCGAAAGACCTAAACAATTGGGAAGAGAGGATTGGTGGATTGTTGCGCGTCGATAGCGCGACGAAGAGAGCGAGTTCGGAAGTCGCGTCAGGGATGTACTCACGTGCTGACGGATTTCACAACAGCGCCGGGCAAGCCATTCTGGTCTTCCTCTGACCGCCATCTCGCTTTCTCTTTATTGGCTTCACTGTTATATTTTTCTACGCGTATCTTTCTATGGGACTCTCACTATCCTCACTGTTCAGCTCCTTGTCGTCGCTGGTTCGATGGAGTAAGGATCAGGATGTGCGGATCCTTATGTTGGGATTGGATTCTGCTGGCAAGGTGAGCACTACGTGTTCATTTCCTCTGCACCATTGGCTTACGCAGTGCTTTTTGTAGACAACCATTCTCTACCGCCTCCAGGTGTGCCCGTTCCTACCTCCTCAGGCACCGTCCTGACTGTGCCTGCTAGATCGGAGAGGTTGTCTCCACAATACCGAGTACGTTCACTGAAACTATTGTTCAACGCTTAGAAGTGCTAATACACGTCGAAGCTATTGGATTCAATGTCGAAACCGTGCAGGTATTTACATGTGGCGCGTTTTCACCCCGTACCCGGCTTATTCATCCGCCCACAAAGTATAAAAACATCAAGTTTCAAGTTTGGGATCTCGGTGGACAATCCAGTATTCGGTAGGCACACGTCGTATGGGTGTCTATCATCGTCTGACTACTCTATAAGTCCGTATTGGCGATGCTACTTCCCGAATACTGCTGCCATCATCTATGTCATCGACTCCTCGGACCATGCACGATTACAAACGTCACGGACAGAACTCCTCACAATGCTTTCGGAAGAGGAGCTAAAAGGGGCACCTCTCCTCGTTTTCTGCAACAAGCAGGATGTAGATGGTGCCTTAAAACCGGAGGAGATTAGTGAAAAGCTTGGTCTAGCTGGCGGAGAGAAAACCCGTCCATGGAGCGTTCGTGGTAGCTGCGCAACGAAAGGAGAAGGTCTTGAGGAAGGGCTAGACTGGTGCGCCGCATTGAACATCCATTTTAATTTTGTTGCTTATTAGTCACTTCAGGCTTGTCAACGCAATCCAGCAGAAGTGAAGGGTTTCCTTGCCATAGACGACTCTTGCGCTTTCAAGCTTCCTGACTCTCATACCTTCCATCATTTTCCCTGCATATACGGATACCTTAATTGTATGATACGCTTTGCTCGCTCATGCCTGGGTCTAAGTGTCAAAATGGAGGCTAGATGCAACACTAGGTATGTCCGAGTTCCAATTATGTTGCCCAACTCCAATCCCAACCACTCTCCTCGGGCTGTCGGGCACATTTCCTTTGTGTGTCAATGTCTGGCCGCCAGATCCTCACCGTACCATCGTCGGTACAGGTGGCGAACATGTCCTGCGCCCAATCTACAGCGCCCACTTCCCCCTTCTGTCCAATCAGCTCGACTCCTTTCTGTCGGATTGCCATAGGCCGAGCGGCGTTTTCAACATCGAAAAGAAAGCTGTTCCCTGTGGTTCCCGATCCCCCACACCCAAGCCAGCGACCGCACGGGGAAACGGATACGCCGACGTAGAAGGAATTCGTTTGAAGGTTCTCATGCTCAAGCGCGGTTCTTTGAGCCGTCAACGTCGACAAATCGTAGGTATGGATGCGTGAATCCGCCCCGAGAGCGAAGATTAAGCCTGCCGTTGGTCCCGTACCACAAGTCAGGCTTATGATGCCTCTTGATCGTCGTGAACCGTGCAACGTCGTGGGGTCAACAGGCGAGCAATAGAGCTCCGTTGGAAGTACCTTCTTGCCCGACTTGGTTTTTCGCGTTGTTGCTGGCTGGCGAAGATCCCAGTATCGAAGAATCCTGTCGTATAAAATAAGCAGGTATGTGTAATGCTGATGAATCTGCTTACCCATCGAAAGACGCGCTGCTAACAAGCCCATAGGGCTGCGAATCGGGGTAAAGCACATTTGTAATTGTGCGTGGCGTAGGAACTTGCTTTCCTTTCCGTGGCTTGGGTTTGCTCTTGACGATAGTGTCTTCGTGGGCGCCATGGATTGTCATCACCGGAGCCGCCACAAGGAATTCCGTGTCTTCTCTCTTGTGTCTTTCTCCCACTCTTAGGTCCCATAAGCATATCGCACCATCTCGACCTCCGGTTGTTAACAAGGACTCGTTCGTAGGATCCCAGACTAAGCATTTGACAGTGCTCGTGTGACCACGAAGGACGTGTGTTATGACCCCGGTTTCTACGGATGAAATTCGCGTTGACTGGTCGCCAGAACAGGTGGCTAGAGAAGTGTCCCTCAGATTCCACTTCACGTCGAAGATTCCGTTCTGGTGCTGTTGGAGTGTGATTCGTTGGGGTTCTGAAGTAGTGTTGGTGGCTTCTTGATCTAGAAAAGAACAGTAGTTACTTACCAGGATCCCAATTATCCCGCTTCTGCGTATTCAAGATATGGACGGTGCCTTGTTCAGTGGCGACAGCGAGACGCGGGTTTCCACCTCTGCGAGACCCTACATGTTGTGAGATGGGCCCATGACAGTGGAACTTCAAGACACACCATGAGAGTAGGCACATGAATACGGAGGGGTGAGGTATGTGTCTTCACCAATGGACTGGCACTTGAACACGTCGGATTTATGTGATGACACGAAGGACTGCAATATGGGAAGGGTGGACGCTACTGAAGAAATCAGACCTTTGTTTGAAGAGAAGACGAGTTGACGTACGAGCTTGTCTCCTACAACGGTTTCCAGCAGTCGAAACAAATTGCGTGTGGAGGCTGAAAGCCACTTGTCTGCGCGCCCGGGCCTGTGCTATCCTTGCATCCTCCATGGCCACGCCCTCCTCTTCTGAGTAGACGTCCACATCACTGTCGTCGTCTTCGCTCTCAGAAACAACTGGACCAGAGAGCTTCCGGCGTTTGACTGACTGTGTCTCGTCTCGTATGTGTCGTTTCTTGGAGTGGTTGTCCGTTGGTAGAAACGTGGTCAATTTAGCTTGCGGTGTATGGAGAGTATTCGTCCTCGGTGCGAGGACGCGAGATGAAGACCTTGAATTTGCAGCCATAGTACTTGTTTGAACTTTGAAGGACGAGAGTGAAGTCAAATTCAGGGTCTAACAGCTTGAACCGCTACCATTTATGTACGACGCGACGCGTCCACAACAGATCCAAATTATCAACGCATCAGCACGTGACATCCGCGTCGCGCACCAACACACTGGAATAATTCTAAATGAAATACGTGATTTGAAAGGAATGTGTCCTGTTACGTAGGTCGTATTTTATAATATACCTAAGTGGATGACTTTCCTTAACGTTTGGAGATCGTTCTAAATGCAAAATCTCGTTTCAAAGGGTGAGGCCGATGGATGCCGGTGTCGCCTGTCAGGACCCCGGAAAATATTTCGTTCTCCGTTCTCTTCAACGTTCGTTTCAAACGAGAAGTCTAGGAGGAGGGTAAGTCCCCCCTTTCTAGCTCCAAAGTCTCATTCCAGGCTTTAACTGTCCCTTTTATGAATGTTCCCGACAACGGCAGCCTTCGGCATGCTTCATTCATGCCTCATTGCCCTTTTCACCAGGCGCGAAATTCCAGGCCCCAATGTCTGGAAACTCCCCTTCTCTCTTTCAATCCCCGACGCTGGCACCCCGTCGTTTACTTTAGAGCCTCAAATTCGTTAAGGAAAGTCGTCCAGTAGAAGCGCAGAATTTGAGTATTCAAAATATCGCAAGCTAAAGGACTTTCAGAATTTACGGCCGAAACGCGTCGGGCATGTGATCGTGGTCGGATGTTGTTCGGAGATAGGTGGCGACATTGACGTCGGACAACGGTTGGACAACGGAAGATATACTCCTAGGTTTCCGTTTCTCGAATCTCGAGATTCAACCAGCAGAACTATGTTCAGACCGTCCCTTAGAGCACTAGCGACCCATGCCAAAAAGCCTCCAACCCCTAGGACGTCGCTGAAGATTGGCCTCATTCCGGCTGATGGGATTGGAAAGGAGGTCATTCCGGTATGTTTCCTGTTACTCTTCGCCTACCAGATGTTCATTTGCCTCTTGTTATTGTAGGCTGCGAAGGAGGCTATCATTGCCCTTGGATCTGATATCCCGAAGCCCGAGTTCATTGACCTTGTTGCTGGTTGGGAGTGCTTTACCCGTACAGGAGTAGCCCTTCCGGAAGAGACTCTTGAGTGAGCACGCTCTAATTCTTATTTTTAACGATCGTTATTGAATGTAGCTTCAAGGTCTTTAAAAGAAGAGTGCGATTGTGCTCTCTTTGGCTCCGTCAGGTAAGTGAATGGCAGTTTTCCTCCGATGTACGTTTACATCTGGCGTATGCAGCTCTCCATCGAGGAAGGTTGTCGGATACTCGTCACCCATCGTCTCGTTGCGCAAGAAGCTTGATCTATACGCCAACATTCGCCCCGTTGTCTCAGTAAGCAACTCACCGCTTTTGTGTTTTTTTAACGTCTCACCCATAAATATTTCTCTACTTGAAGGTTGCGCCAGAAGTTGGTCAGAAGCCATCTGTGGACCTGGTTGTCGTCCGGGAGAATACCGAATGCTTGGTATATCATTTCTTTGCTGTGAGCGCGCTTTGTTGACGCGCTATTTCGGGTTAGTATGTCAAGCAAGAAAAACTCACCGATGGAAAGCATGGCAAGGAGGCTCGGGCAACCCGAGTCATCACAGAGCATGCGTCGAGGAAAATCGGCCTCATGGCCTTCGAGCTTGCAAATTCACGGCCGCGCAAGGTCTGTCTTGACTGAATACCTTCTCAAGAAATATGGGGGCCTGATCACTTTTGTTCCCAGCATCTCACAATTATCCATAAATCTAATGTCCTGTCGATCACTGACGGCCTCTTCCGAGAAACCGTTCGCGCTGTCCCTTCTCTCCCTTCAATCTCCGGAAAGTATGATGGGGTCACAATCGCAGAGCAGCTTGTAGACAGCGCTGTGTACCGGTTCGTCCTTGATATTCCCTCCTCGTCCTACGCGAGCGCTAAAGTACCTTCCGGGGCAGTTTATTCCGCGAGCCTGAGTGTGTCTCGTCACCTTTGACACCATCGGGAGGCTGAATGTTGTACACTAGGATCTTTGATGTGATGGTCGCGCCCAACCTTTACGGCGACATCCTTTCGTGAGTTCCCCAAAACTCTCATTCATTGTCGGCTTCCTAACATTTCTTTCCCAAGTGATGCTGCTGCAGCCCTTGTCGGCTCTCTTGGATTGATTCCCTCCATCAATGCTGGTGACAAGTTTGTCATGGGAGAACCGTTCGTGTCCCCCGACATCTTCTTGACCCAATCTGATTACGTTCTACATGAAACAGTGTCCACGGTTCGGCCCCTGATATTGAAAGCAAGGGCATCGCAAATCCGTTGGCCTCTATACGATCAGCTGCCCTAATGCTCCGCCACCTCGGGTACACGAAGGGTGCGGACAGATTGGATGTTGCCGTTGATCGGGTCATTCGTGAGGGCAAGGTTCTAACCCCCGACCTCAAGGGCACCAGCACCACGAAAGAGGTCCTCCACGCCGTCCTTGGCAAGCTCTAATCATGAAATAACGTTGTCACCCAAAAAATCGCTCATCGGCGAGCAAACTTTGCGATCTCGCAAAGCGACGTTAATCATAGCTTCTTTGTGATGAGCTATACTTAGACTGTGATTGCTCACAGTGGGCCCTCGTGAAGACCAGGCATGGTATTGTTACAGCCTATGTAGTACAACATGAATGTCCTGCTCGTAACTAAAGCAATTAGATTGCTGGGGAAGCCATTGCTGGGGAAGCCATGCGAGATGGACGAGGGGATCCGGGTAGTCCAAAGCGAACTTTGCGTTCGGAAACGGAATCATCGAGGTGAAGAGGAGTGGGATGACGCTTGAGTGCACCCTTCGGCGGAATTGCGGCCACTGGGGATCCTCGCGGACCTTGAGGTGGTACGGGTGCAGCGCGAGGCTTGCTCATGCTGACCGCGTAGTTGAGTTTGGGGTTCGATGGGTCGATGGCAACGGGCTTTGGTGCAGAGATAGGAGGCGCTTGCGCATCCGTATCTTTTAGGGGGAGGAAGGGATGACGAACTTGGTGCCTCGTCAGCCAGCTCCTCCTCCGGTTGGCAGGCGATCGGGGTGTACCACTGCGTCCCGAACGGCCAGACCCTGAGCGAGCCATTCCTTGAGTGATCAGGGCACGGGGAGGTGATCGGGGGTTCAAAGGTATCTGCTTGCCACCATCGTAGAGCGTCCGTGTAAGAGTTGGGATTTGAGGAGGGGATTGATCGACAGGGTACATGGGGGCGCGGTAATCCTTCTCGAGGATGTCCGGGTACTTCGGCTTCACGTCGGGGATGGATTGCATCGGGAGGCGGATTGTTTCTGTGGGACTCGGCTTGGTGTGGGTAGGAAGAAGGGGTTGGGCCTTTCCAGCTTTCTTATTGAGGGCAGCCTTCAGACGTTCGATGCGGGAGCCCTCAGGGAGATTAGGGTCCGACGGTGTTGTGGGTTGCAGTCGGAGGCTCAACCTCCACCAATCCATCCTGTCATTCTTCGCATCCACCATTCTCCAGCTGGGTTTCTCAACGGCACCAGCTTCGGGCTCCGGAATCTTCTGCTTTTGCCGGCGGTAAAGCAGGTAAAGACCTAAGATTCCAACGACCAGGACCACGGCACCAGCGATAGCAAGCGCAATGAAGGTGTTCCTGGTCTTCTCGGCCTTTGAGAGACTACGGCTACACAAAACAATCAGCCGAATATCCTGGACAAGATACTGAGTATTACTCACATATAGACTGTCTCCAACGCTCGCTGAGCGAGGACTTCATGGTCGGGACTGACACGGGCATGGGCAAGGCCTGGTCGGACAAGGGAAAGTTGAAGAATGAAGATCCAGCTCCAGAATAGGGATACCATTGTGTAGAGCACGGAGACTAAGCCGGAGTCTCTTGTCACTGACGGTGCGAATGGGCGGGAGGAGAGTCCAGTCTCTGCAGAGCTCCCTCGAGCGCAGCTGCTATTTAGCGTCTCGGCAGATGCACAGCCATCCATCAAGATATCATCCGAACACTCCGCCTCGTCGTCAAGTTGCTCCAGTCCTGCATATTCAATTCTCGGCGCGCGCTGTCTCTGAGTGAGCGCCCAGCCGGACCTGCCCCGATATCTGAGAGATAGATTTGAACCCGATCGCCCCGCCCTGCTTGCCATTTCCGTGCATTGCAGTCGCCGTGACCGAGGAAGTGACACGCGTCACGCAAGCGTGGACAGTCGAAGCATGTACCCAATTGGGTCGAGGTGATCTGTTTCCGATATTCAACCATTATGCCTCGTGCAGGTCCTCGTCTTACCCAAACTCTTTCTTAATATCCGTTACTCTTGCCGCCGATATCTAATCGCCCAGAACTTTATTCGCCTCTTTTTCCCGACCCTCCTTCCTAGCCTCGTCACCCACAACTTGGTGGACTAGCAATAGATTACACGTAATTCTCAAGCGATATTATGCCTCCCCGAAACGCGATGGGCAAGAAACAAAAGGGAAAGCAGAAGCTAGAGGAGAAACCAGCCCCCGCTTCCGAGTCTGTACCTCCACCACCTGCGACGGAGGGCGTCAATGTGACTTCAATGCCCCCTGGTGCGTGTCTTCTCTTCTGCTTTCCCCAAAAAACTCCATTGACTTCTTTGGACGTGCAACAGAACCTTCGGAACAATCTCATCCTCCTGACCCCCAGGCGACATCTTGGGGCGCTGGCGCTGGCGACGCCTGGGGTGCTTCAGCAGGCTCAACTTGGGGACAGCAAGATACTGGTGGAACTGGTTGGGGCGCTCCTGCGACAACTCAGGAAGTACACGGCGAGACATGGGATCAGACCAACAGTTTGCTTCATCCTCCACAGTCCAACGGGCCTAATATCCTTCCAACTATCCCAGAGACCCATTCCGGTCACTTCTCCCAAAATGGAGCACACTCATCAGACAACCGGAGTCAAGACCAATATACAGATAACTGGGATAACAATCATGGCCCCCGTTCTCAAAATTGGGACGGAACTCAGACTCGTACTCTCACCCCCACTGCCGCCGCTTCAGCAGTTGGCTCTCCCGGCCCCGCCCACATTATCTCTCTTGCAGACGCCGCCGTTGCCGCTGAGAAGGAGATACAGAAACAACAAAAATTCAGCAGCGCCAGTGAAGCTGCGAAGAGGTTCGAAGAGTCAAGATCCAACATCATCGCCTCGCCTATGGCTACACAAACAATTACAGCATTGGCCACACAGCCAGCCGCTGCTCATAAACCCATGTCCTCGGCTTCTGCTGCTGCTGCTGCTTATGAAGCTAACATGCGCCCTCGAAAACCCTCTGCTGCCCAGGCCCAATCTGTCACTTCCCAAGGCAAGACCACTTGGACGTATCCAAAACCATTTCTTCCCGGCGCTCACCACCCTGCGCATATTCCTGTAGACACAAGCTGGACGATGACTGGAGGCAACACCTGGAGTAACAAACATCGAACGGCGAAGAGCGCTTCTACGGGGAATTGGGCGCCTCCCAGCCAGAACGGTTGGGACGAACAGCTACACCAATTTCGTCAAGCTGAAGCGGCGCACCAAGCTCGGCGTCCAACACAAGCCCGACAACAACCCTCGCGACCAACACACCAGAAACACCACTCCCATCCAGGACATCCGCTACAGCACCAGAGACAGCTAGCGCAGCAGGGCCCAAGTTGGCAGGGGTGGGGAAAGGACGGCTGGGAGCAATCTGATGAAATTGAATCAGACAGTGAGGCTGAGACGCTCAATGGGTGGGGCGCAGGCGCTTGGGGTCAAGGTGGAGGTGGAGGTGGAGGTGGAGGTGGAGGTGATGCCTGGGGTCAGAGTGGAGGTACTTCATGGGGCCAGGGTGGCGGTAATGCCACGGGACAAAGTACGGCCGATGCCTGGGCGCAAGCTGGTGCTAATGAATGGGGCCATACGACGGGCGGATGGGGTGAACCTCAACCATCAGCGAAGGAGGGTAGACATGAGCAGAAGAGAGGGCGGGGTCGTGCGCCAGACAGAAAGGTAACTCAAGATGATGCTTGGGGTCAAGCAGGAGCAGGAGGAGCAGGAGATTGGGACGTCGGTGGTGGTGGTGGTGGTGGTGGTGGTAATCGCGGAAGGGAAGGAAAGGATGGGTGGAAGCCCGCTTCTGCATGGGATGAACAACCGGGCGATTCATGGGGACAGCAAGGGCAGCAAGCCGATGGCTGGGCCACGGCCGGCGGAGACGCGTGGGGTCAAGGTCAAGGTCAAGGTCAGAGTGGATGGGGTCAGAACAATGAATGGGGAACCACCGGTGGCGGTGGAGGTGGGGGATGGGGCGGGCATGCCACTTCGAACGCTGAATGGGGCGGCGATCCGCAACAGTCCAAGGTACCTCTTCCTGACCCTGCTGGGAGCAGAAATATCCTGTCCCCTCAGCAGCGGTCGCAAATCCTAAATTCCCTACTCACCACTGCTCAGAACCAGCCGGCTAAAGGACAGCAACATGGTCAAGCTTCTGGTACAGGAGGCAAGCACCAGCCCCACCCTCAACCACAACAACACCACAAGCACACACAGAGGAATTGGGAGCCTTGGGAGGCACAGGATACTGGATGGGGCTCTGATGAGTCTGAAGGAGAATACGATACGAATCGACGAGTTCGGTTTTCGCCAAAAGCATCAGAGCTCTGGGGCGGCAGTCCACGCAGCGTGCCCTCTAAGACTCTCGCGCATGCGCAAGCTCAGCAAGGAATTACGACGACACTTATCAATGACGCCTCCAACCCACGATTTGTCGATTCTAGAGGAGCTGGACTGGCGTATGTGGCGAACGCTTTCTTTGGTAATTCCCGCTTTGCCCGAGAAAGGATCTATTGGATGTTTCCCGAAAACAAGGATGAACGCGTCGCCGCTATGATCCAATGGGTGCAGAAGATGTCGTTTAATCTAGCCACGTACGGTGTAAGTGCCCTCGCGCTGAGTTGTTGTCGAATTCTCATTTAGATCCATCAGTTGATGAAATTCCTTGAAACGCGCGAGCGAGGTGCTCTGTTTGTTAACGCCGTTTTTCGAATGAGCCAACACCCTCACGAGCCCGCCTTCGATTGGCTGACTTTCAACCAGCTGCAAGGCACGATGGACAAAACGCTGCAGGCATCAGTTGCGTTTTGTGATCCGTCCAAGATAACGCTCGTGTTCGTGTTTCTCCCTTCACAATCTGGAAACAGTGTGGCGATATGGCGTCGCAAAGTCAACGTTCCAGATGCTGCGAGGCTAAAATACCAAGCTGAAATTAATGCGATCACGAAAACCCTCCGAACTGGCAAGGATTATCCTGTGCTAGTCGACGAGTAAGTTCCTCCCATGTCCTGTATAGACAAAAACTTAGTATTCCTCCCAGAGTTTCTAAACCCAAACCTCCTGCGAAGTCTGGCACGTTACGAAAGTCACTCGCTTCGAAGCCTAATGCGAAGGCTAAGGCTATGGCGACGAAACTTCCAGCTAAGTCAGACAAGGACAAGAAACGCAAATGGTGGAAGTTTTTCTTCAGTTGAGGTCTGTAGATTTTTCTTATTTTCTGCTGTCACCCTCGATGCATTCCTTCTCTATCTCGTTTGTCTTTGCTTTCTGTACATTATACCACCATCATCTTGTAGCACTATCATTCCCAGCATCGTTCCCGACGTTTGTCATCTCCTAGTTGAGGTTCCTTTCCCTTATTTTCCCTAATAAATAATTGAAGGGTTCGTTGTCTAGCAATATTCATGATTTGCATGAGATCATTATGACATGTACATACATATGTGTACCTGCTTCGTATTTCGTTCTTGATAATAACACTGCTATCTTCCATTACGAATGGCGTCATACTACATAATAGCCTCCTTCCTCTCTTGATGCTCTTGATAAGATTACGGGACTAAATTGACCATGGCTTGAGGCTGCATTGCGCTTTGTAGTCGTTCTCATTTTTCAGGTCCTCATCTGAGATTTCACTCAAATGAAGCAGACGCCCACACATTCACCATCTGCTCGAGATCAAGCACCTCAGGCTCTTCCACTTATCACTCCACCAAGGCGGTACCCTGCCATTATCCATGCTGTTGTTTTCTCCGCCGTCCTTGCCCCAATCGTGCTTCTGCCGTATCTAGGTGCAAGAAGAAAGATTGGCGCACTTCATCGCACACTGGGAAGGCTCGAGAAGGAGATTACGAAGCTTAGATGCGAACTAAAACTCACTGCATCTGCCCATGAAGCTACCAGCGCTGAATTTCGGCGCCTACAAGATTTGGCCCGAGGGACAGCAACCGAGCTGGGCGAAGCACGCAAGAAAGCCGCAAAACGAGAAGCAGAACAACTGGTCGTTGATAAAGCAATGCAATCCGACATTCAGAAACTACTAACAGACACGCAACATTCACGGTAGTACTGCATAATGGAGTCACGGGCGAAAAGTGCTTACCCTTGCTTCTCTTTGCTCCCTTCAGAACCCAAGCAGCGAGCTTACGTGCGCTTGGAACATCCCTGGCGGACATTGCAGCTTTCATGGAGGAGGTTGAACTTGATTTTGGAATGGGTGTCCGACGGAGAGATCAACGTGGAATTGAGCGACTCAGGTTACTTGCCCTTCGAATGCAAAGCCTTTCCCAGCTTGACCGCGAGGAATGCGGTAAGGAGGTGAGCCCTTTATCAACGAATAGCTCGCGTTATGAGATATGACGGTGGTGAATCAGGGCAGGGAGAGCTCATAGTCGCGTCCGAGCGCGTATGAGAGGAACTTGAGCATACAGTACTTAGAGCATGTTGGAATTAATTGGATTGGATTGGATATTACGCGTCAAAGACATCATTTGAATTCGTTCCTCGAGAAATAATTCTCACGTGTGTTTCTTGTTTCTTCACTCCGCACGGCCTGCCTCGTTGCTAGATGCACCTGACTGCCAGCCCCACTCTCACCGTTTCGTAGGCTATGCAGAGCATAGTCCTTTCATCTTGAACTGCGACATCCCACCGGCCCACGACTTCACCACGCTTCTATTTCTTGGCCATGGCATACCAGGGTTCAAAATCTGAAATAGTTCAGGACGCACCCACCCCACGCGTCGAAGCCACCCAGCAATCTCAATCCGCCTCTTCTGAGTCATCAGAGGGCCCTCCTGCAGGAGAAGAGCAGGCTTTGGAGTCACATGAGGTCATTGAACTACAAACTTTTAGCGAGCGGAAGGCATGGATCGAGGAGAAAATCAAGGTGCGCGGCCCACCTGTCCGTGAATGGCCACGTTGCTTATTTCACTAGTTCTTGGAAGCTTTGCCGCCCATAGAGGTCTTTGTTGGCTTAAACGCTATTCGTGTTTCTGCAGAAGAAGTTCCCGGTCTTCCTTCGCGAGCTGAACTGCTGCAATGGGTGGCGGAACATGATGCAATTGAAAAGGAAACGGAAATATTTGATACCGGTGAGCTGAAGAAGCTCCGGCAGCTAACAAAAGGTATGTAGGTACTTTGACTATTCAATGTCCACCTTGTAAAGTGTTTCTAATGTATTGTGCCATTCTCTCCCAGCTGCTACGCAGCGAAACCTGTCACCGGAAGACACCGATGTGATTGAGCTGACACTGACGACTATCTACGCATTGGACAAATTATTACATCTCCTTCGTGACCGTTCTGACCACCTCGAGATGATGAGCATCAGGCTCACTTGGGAAGAGAATCGACAGTCAGGCTGGAAGGAACGGCGTCAAATCATTTCAGATCTGCACACCTTCTCCGTCAATCGTGCCCGTTGGAACTCTTCGATATACGACCTCTCGAAGGGTGAAGAGTCAGCCGGCTTAACACGGCGCGGGTCTATCGCGTCTCAGGCCTCAGCCAGTTCCGACAACGCCGTTACCTCGCCAGCGTTCTCCAGAAGCGCCCGTTTCAAACTCGCTGAATTGTTGTCAAGAGATGCAGCACAGTTCTCTGGGAGGGTGACTGCCCTTAAACATGGAACAGTAACCGCTGCGGGCAAAGCTCTGGATAAATTGATCGATCACAGTCGCAGGCCTGTTCCGGAAGAGCTTTTGGATGAACAGGATCGGTTCGAGGAGAAATGCATTAACGAGCTAGAAACTATCGGCAAATTTACCATGAGCCTTGTTATGCAATGGCGAAAGTACGTTGTTCGGTGATATATTCCTCCAAATTGCTCAAAGTATGATCTCAGAGCGGACGAAATTTATGTCGAGACTATGAAAGATCACGTAACAGCATCCAATCTACTGGAAGAAATAGAAACGGCCATGCTATACCATCCCACAGCACGTCAAAGCACCTTCTTCATGTCGCGTATAGACACTATTCTTAAGAGATTGGCGGTGCGAGGCGACCCTGCTTCTCCAGTGAGCCTATTTCCTCGACCCGAGCACCCTCTATTCCCCGATCAAAAAACATCAAACGATGAGCTGGTCAAAACGCTCTCTGCTGACCTCGCGGCCGCACATCAACTCGCGCGCAAGGTGGAACGCGTTGCTAAGGAGTACAAAATAAGATACGAGGCTGTCAAGCGGGTTGAAACTCTGCTTGTGTCTGTTCAAGAACTTTCAACGACGTTAACCTCTATTAACAAGAAGTTTACTGACGGTACAGTGAATGGCGACGAAGACGGTTCTCCTCCAGATCTTGTGTCTGAGCGCTCCTTGGAACCAACAAGTCATTCCCTCTACCTTGCCCTTCTACCAGCACTACTAGAAGAAACTGCACTGGCTGTTGCAGAAGCCGACAAACTTCTAGGAATCTCACCATCCGCCCTCTTGGGATTAGATCTACCAGGGGTCGACCACGAATTCAAAGAAAACGCTGCTGCCACCGTCCAGAAATTGGATGCTCTCGTCAAATACACCACAACGGCGCGGGACGCTGTCACACAAAAAGTTGCCTGCTTGCGAGAATCCAAGAAGATCGCCTCTAATATCACCTCTACATTAGAAACGCTAGCATCCATCAGATCCGAGATAATGTCGTCCATGGAGCGAGCGCGGTGGCATCAAGAATCTATAGGAAGTAACGGCGCACCTCCAACCCCAGAGAGCCCTGCTTCTGGGTTATCTTCATCGAACTTGCTGGAGGCAGATTTTGAAGCCCAGCTTGGTGCAGTTTCCTCCCGAATCAAGAACGACATAAACGGACCGCTTGTTAAATTATGCTCAATGTTAGAACCCTCTATGCAAAATCGCTTGAGACAGAAGGCTTCTGTATTGCAAGGCGGGCTAGATAGCAGTTATCAGATGCTAGCGTTACTGGGCTCCATGAAGGGGCAGTCCTCAGCGATGAGTAGCGTTCGGGATGACTTCCATCGACTTCTTGTTCGTATGGAGGACTCGAAGATCCGCATTAATACTGCTATCGAAGACCTGTTGGCATCGGAGCCTGGAGCTGGAACTCTTGTAAATGGTTCAACAAAGATCGACTCCGAAGAGCTGAATGCGATCCAACAGGAGGTCTCCTCATTTGTGGATGGATTACCAAGTCAAGTCCCTTTCGTTGCGCGGACGACAGCTCTCAAGTCACCTCTGTCTCCATCGCACTTCAGAACAAAGAGCGTTGACTCCGAGATAGGACCAGAAGCTCCGTTCGATTTGGCATCACTCGATGCTTCGGTGCGGGCCGACTCCAATTCGTATGCTATGCGCCTCAATGGCGGCCTCCACAATCTCCTGCTGTCAAAAGCTCATTTCGATCTGGCTATGACGGCGATGGAAGCCGATAATCTTCTATCTCTCACGGCGATTGAAACCAACGCCGTTGTCCAAGAGCTCTCCGAACACAAAGTCTCTTTTTCGCAAGCAGTTCGCCGAGCTTCAGAAACCACCACTAATCTGCGAGGCATCCTCGCAAGACTGGAGGCTACTCAGTCAAAGCGTCTTCAAATTGCCCGTTCTCTATCTCCCATTCGAGACTTGCTTCGTCACATGGATGCCAATTCGCAGGCTCTTCCGGCATCTATCCGGGACAATTTATATTTATCCAGGAGCAGACTCACCAACGATGCAGAACTGCAACTCAAGACATGGCACGACGAGACTGAAATATTCAAGAACGAAATTTCTCTTGCAATAGCTGATGAGTGCAAATATCAAGAGGAACTTCGGGTGGCAGAGGAGAAGAGGAAGCAAGAAGAAGAGGCCCGATTGGCAGCTGAAGAGGCTGAGCGTCTTCGGCTAGAACACAAGAGGATCAAGAACCAGGAGCGGCAACGGTTACTGGAAGAAAAGCTCGCCGAAGAGCATCGATTGGAACTAGAGCGCCAACGCATAGCAGCTGAGCTGGCTGAGAAGGAACGGTTAGAACGGGAGGCTGCAGAAGCTGAGAGGCTTCGTCTCGAGGAAGAGCAACGGAGACTAGAGGTTGCCCGTCTGCAAGCCGAACTGCAGCGTCAGGCAAAAGAAGATGCAGAGAAGGCCCGTCAAGAGCAGGAAAGGCTTGAGATGCTCGAAAGGTTGAGCCTTGCTGAGGCTCGATTACAAGAGGAACGCCAGATACATGCGGAAAATGAACGAATCGCATCAGAGTTGGCGAGGAAGCAACAGCTGGAGATGGAAGAGCTAGCACGGCGTCAGGCCGAGATGGAACGTCTTGAACAGGAACGTCTTCGTCAAGAAGAGCTCACGAGACTCAGGCTAGAGCAAGAACGGCTGGAGCAGGAGGAGAGGGAGGAGAGGGAGTTGGAGGAGAGACGACAGAGAGAGCAGGAGGAGAGTGAGCGAATGGCGAGAGAGGCTAGAGAAAAGGAGAGGGAGGAGCAGGAAATGAGAGAACAACGGGAGAAGGAGATGAAGCAAATGACGGAGAAGGAGGCCAGGGAAAAGGAGGAATTCGTTAAGGCAAAAGCAGAACAGGAGCGAAAGGAGGCGGAGGCGCGGGCGTTAAGAGAACAGGAAGCACGACAGCGGCAGTTGAAGGACCGTGAACGACAACAAGAACAGGTTCAGAATCTCGGTAAATCTTCATTTTCTCGTTAATGTCTACCCGTCTAACCCCTTGTTCACAGGCGAAGATGTTTTTGGTGTCCAAGCATCAGTGTCCCGTGTCCCGTTATCAGAGGAGATGAAGAAGCTTCAAGCTGAAATTCTGGCGTTACGGAAGCGGCTACGGTCGATTTGCATCAACGAAACGTTACGCCCCACGAAATCGTCTACGGACTTGCCAACTGCGAAGGAACAAGAAGAGATGACCCGCTCCTTGTCAATCGTGTCGACCAATACGCAAAAACTGCCTGTGAATGTTGAGGACCTTAATCTCAATGCCGAACTCCATTCATTGAGAACAGAGGTCAAAGAGTCTTTTGGCCTACTAAAAGAACTTCAAAAGCTTGTCGACTTCCAGAAGGCGATTCAGGATTGCGATGCGGCTCTGAGCGATCTTTTGGAACATATCGACAGTTACCCCGCAATTCCCCTCGGTGTGCTGTCGTCGACGCATACAAGTTCACCGACTGCGCTACCGGAGGAACAAATGGCTGCACGAGTCAGATTTACTGGCGACCTTGTCGAAGCCGTGGGTTTAAAGTTGATGGCTGTATCGAATGACCGGAGAGCTATATCGGAGCATTCACGTGTCCAACAGACCTGGAGCGAACTACATGAAATGGCGACTGATCGCATTGGCGGAAAGAAGTCGCGGCCTCCCAGTGTGCTCAGCAGGAACAGTTCTGGTCGCAACAGCAGTGCATCTACGAATGCATCGGCTGCGAATGGGGCCAATACCCATGAAGCACGCAAGGTTGGATCGTATTCTCATTTATCGGTGTCGTCTGTTCCGAGCCCTGCGAGAGGGAAAATGCTCGCTCCACCTCTCAAGCCAGATCCTCGTCGGAGTGCGTCTGGCTCGAGCAATACCGGCAGCCGTTCAGCAAGTCGAATGTCAACGTCAACCAACCGTTCAGTCTCCGGACCCCTTTCATCGTTACACGGCTCGACATTTGCTTCTAGACAACGGACGACAAGTCTTTCGAATTCAACTTCTACTGACCATCTTCGCCCCCCTTCTGCCCGCCGCCCCTCACTGACACCATCGTCACGCTTCCGACTCGACAGCGGGAGCAAAAGAAGTAGCTCTCCAACCATGTCAGAACGATCAACACTTTCCAACTCTCGTTCAGGCATAGCCTCTCGAACTTCCATTAATTCTTCAACGTGGTCTCGAGCCCCGAGAGACTCGTTTTCCTCCATCCTTCCTCGCGTTATGACTCCTCAGAATCGCAAGACCAGCAACCCTCCTCGAAAGAAGTATGTCGCTGATCCCAAGAGCAAACTCGACGTGGCTGTCGGTGATGTCGTCAATCAACTCCCCGTTGGCATTAACGTCGAAGGAATCACTGAAAGCTGGCGGGACCAGAGTGGCAAGTATTGGATTGGCAATCAAGATCCCAAGCTCTGTTTCTGTCGCATCCTCCGGTCACAAACGGTCATGGTTCGTGTTGGTGGCGGTTGGCAGGAGCTGTCGAAGTGAGTTTTACGACATTTCTCCTCTCACTTTCTTATACTGATATGTTTCGTCCAGGTTCATCAAGAGTCATTTCGCAGAAAGCTTCAGGATCGCGCCAGAGTCACCACCTCGTCTAGGAGAGGAGAAGTGGATCAGCTCTGCGACTTTGCTGGGAGTACAAGAATCCGGAAGCTCTCCACCCGCACCCCCAAGGACGCCAGAACCAACCGTCCCCTTCGTCCCCACCTTCTCGTTCATGTCGCCAGGCGGTCTGAGCCCCCAATCTCTCAAATCGGGGTCATCACCATCTGCGAAAGGCAGCTCTCCACTAACACCTCTCCAGTTCATCCGACGCGCCGAACCCGACCTGTCTCTCCTCCGACCACCGACACCCTCTAAGACGCCTGCCCGTAGCCACTTGTCAAATACCCCCACCCGAGCACCTGCTTGGCGGCCGTGATCAAGTTCATTTGCCCTTCCTCACCTTCGATTTGCCTCTTACACCCTAGATTGACGTTCTCGGATGCTCTTTTTTGTGGATCCCATGCCCTTGACGATTCAAGATGCCCCCGATTCATGACTATCATGCAGCATGTTCTAGCATACATATACATTTTTATTTCCCTGCATTATCTATTGACTGCACACCTCGCATTGCTGTCACACCCGTAGTAGCTTTCATGCCCCCTTTCATGGACGTGTATAAATTACATATATATTTGGTTGTAATGGACAATTATAATGAACCAAGGATGCCCTCTGGAGGGACATCCACACATCTAAAGTATATGTCTTGTGTTTCTTCAGTATCTGGCACGTTTCTTGGGACGGTAGGTGTCGTTGTCGGCATTTTCCTTCTCTGCCTTCAGGTCCATGCGATGGGTCCTCTTCATATGCCGCTTGAGGAGATCCTGACGAACGAAAGTGGTCGCGGGGTACGGGCACAGGTTGCAGGTGAAGGGCCGTACCCCAGTATGGCTCAGCTCGTGACGCTTGCATTCATTCTTCCGGAGGAAACGAGCAGGACTAAGCGAATAAACAACGTAAATACCTCGAACAAAAGGTGATTTGAAGATTGAAAAAGACTCACCAATGCTCACACTTGAAGGGCCGCTGGTCAAGATGAGCACCAACATGGATCAAGATGTGATCACGCCTTTTATTGACCTGCTTGCATCCAGAGACGTAGCAGCGAAATTCCTCGATGAGCTCGCCCCTCGCGGACAGCTTGCCTGCGAACGAGATGAGCCAACGCTTGTCATAGTCCCGTCCTTGGTTGCGCAGGCGATATCTTTCTGCTTTAGCCTTCAACACCTCGATGTCGATGCCTCGATGCGCATCGAGCACAGGCGTGCCCAGGTCGAGGTCCCCGAGAATATGCTGATCATGGTCGTTGTGATAGTAGTCCTGGGGCGAAGGCATAAAGTCGGGATCCTTTTTTGCTACTTTTATCCGAGAGATTCTCCTAGTGCCTATTCTGGAAGATACGGTCCTCTTCTGGGGGACTAGGGGAAGGGAAGGAGAATACTCAGAACTGGACGGACTCTGGAAAACCGAACGTTCGTCTTCGCTGACTACATGAGTCTGAGGGCAGCATTCTGGAATGGGCGGAGGTGGCAAGTAAAGCCAAGGCCCGCCAACGTCTGTTGAGGCATTGTCTAAAGCCTTTCCTTCTGAGATGGCAGCCGAGTTGTCTAGTAAGTCGCTATCGGAGGAACGGCAAGAAACAGAGGTGTCACTAGGCTGATATAGAAAGCTTCTCTGAGCTGGACCCGGCAAGGAAGCTGGAGGCGACGAAGGTGGTAGAGGTGGCAAAATGTCTGCGGGGTTTACTCCCTCTGACAGCTTGTGCCACGGGAAGGTCCGCGTCGTAGGATCAGTTAGGACAAGCAATGGCTGCGAAGTCTGTGGCAGCATAGCCGGCCAAGATGCCATCGTCCCAAGTCGACTGAATGGATCCAGAGTGTCTGGCTGAGTTGCTGGAAAAGAGGTCGAGTTCTCATCAGAAAGTCCTCGAAGGGCAGCTTCTGCTGTAAGGGATACCTGAGCAGCGATTTCAGCGATAGAAAGACCCGTAGCTTCCGATAGCCTCTCGAAAGACCAATCTAGGTCATCTCCAGTGCTAGATGTGGATGCGGATGCATCCCCATTGAGGTTCTGGCTCGAGGAGAAAGAGGAAGCGGTGCCCGACGACGTAGCCAGGTCGGTCGCCTTGAGAATAGAGGAGAAAGACCAAGAAGATTCCAGGCCAATGCCAACGTCGCTTGGAGGATAATCAAGATCTATCTCGCCATAGAGGCTAGGGAAAGAGTTGTAGACTGAATCTGTTCGAGGTGTTCGAAGTGCAGAGCGACGGTCGCCCAATCCGCCCGTTGTGCTCGAGGGGTTTTGCTTGTCCTTCGCTGCTTCAAGGTTGCTTATACCAAGTCCCGTCAGAGAAGATAGTGTAGATGATGTCGAAGGACCAGGATCGAGGCGATTAGACTGAAATTCATAATCGTTGAAATCGTCCGTAAGATAGTAGTTGTCTGACCAATCGCGAGGTAGTATCAAAGGAGTGGAGGTAATAGGATATGTAAAAGAAGGCGTTGTGCAGTCTCCGAGTGCTGAATTGGCTGAGAAGTCTTGACCAGGGGAGTCCCAGATGAGTGCCATAGTAAAATGCTAGATAAGATAGGAATATTGGAGGAGATATACGAGGAGAAAATGACCTTGCCGCGTCCTTCAAGGATGCACGACTGAGGAAGGCGACAACCGGTATAGGCGGGCAACTTCAAGTTGACCTGACGCGCCGCGACAGTAGGAGACTCGACAGCTGACGGCTCCTTATAAGGGACTCCGTATTTGCTTCTGCTTGGCGGTCGATCAAGATCGGCCCGATCTCTCCGGCGTCTCCTCTCCCAGAAACCTATCCGCAGATGTGGACTAGGTCGGTCTGCACGCGCCGTGCCATCCTCTCCTCCCGTCTGCTATCACGGAACATAAGGCGCCCATGCAGAAACTATACCAGCCAGCCGCTGTCACCTTCAGCACATCCTCATGGCGAAATACCTCGGGGGAAACGCTTCCTCACAATGCTGCTGGCCTTCAGCGCTGGGTTCTCTGTCTACTTCTTCCTGGAAGATCCAGCGCGTGGTGCACCGACGTTAGAGCATGCATCTCTATCTCCCAAACACTTCACTCCGACCAAAGTTATCTCCAACGAGGACTCAGGTTCAAACACCAAACTCCTCGAACTAAGGCTCCCAAAACTCTTGCTTCCAAAGGACAATCCTGAGGAGATTTTCGCACCTATATGGTCCGTATTCATCAAGGACGACGACATCCAGGTGGAACGGCCGTATACTCCCTTGAATGGCGTAGATGATGACGGCCGCATGCTCTTCTGGATCAAGGAGTATCCGAGTGGTGAAGTTGGAAGATGGCTGCATTTAAAGAAGTCTGAGGATTGTGTAGAAATCCGCGGGCCTCTCAAAACATGGATGTGGAAGGAGGATACTTGGGATGATGTGGTCATGGTACGTCCTGTTGTGTTTTGGGAAGAGGGCGAGCACTGAGACGCATGCCAGATATCTGGAGGAACGGGGATCACTCCATTTGTTCAATTGTTCAACAATCACATATCAAGAAACCCACCGTCAAATACACGGTTTACTTTACTCCATTCTTCACGAACACCCGCCGAACTTCCACCGCCTACGTTGCTAAATCCCCTCTCGCAGTTTGCTGCTAAACACCCAGACAGGTTTAGATTCCATGTCTTTGTGGACGAGCAAGATGGCTCCAAGGCCTCGGCAATTGTCCCACCTCTAAATACCGGAAGGATATCGGAAGCTTCTTTGAAGAAATGTCTGAGTACTGGAGAGGAATCAAGCTCTTGGTGGACGAGACTATTCTCCAAACCTCAGGAGGCTCCTCCACGTAGGATCCTTTTTCTTGTTTGTGGGCCAGAACCGTAAGTTCATTCATCCTCCTTTCGTTCAGTATTTTAGCAACACCCAAAGGATGATAGGTGCTATTGCTGGTCCCTACGGCCGGAATTTTTCTCAAGGTCCTGTGGGCGGAATTCTCGCAAAATTGGGATACAATGCAGATCAAGTTTACAAGTTATAGCTGGCATTATTCAAGGCTGGTGCTCTTTCTGTAAATTAACTTTTAGATTTAATATCCTAGAACGATGCAAAACAACTCTCAACCATACGCCTCCCAGTGAACAATCTCCCATCCAATCTGCTTCCCAGCCCAGAATGGAACCAACCGGTCGTTCCCCAATGCATATTCAGCGTCTACCAGTGTCCCCGTCGTCGTTTTTTGGATTGTCACTGTTCTTGAGCCTTTCTCGTCTTTAACGGGCCGCTTGTAAAACGCTCGACCATTGGTGCTGACAAATGCTTCCAATTTGTCCAATGCACCAAAGGACTCTAGCAGATGTGCGACTAATGGAAGGAGAATAGGCGACGTGTAGACTCCTGCGGCGCATCCGTGTGTAGGTGAACTCGTCGATTTTGTATGAGGCGGGTGAGGAGCGGAATCCGAGCCAAGGAAAAATCGAGGATGGCCTTTCCCCACAACTTTCAGTAATCTTTCCACAGAAACTGTCAAGACCACACACCTTCTTTTACAACATCCCTCAATGCCTGGCGATCGTCAGGGAACTTGGCTACGGGTTTGCAGAAGTGCCATGATTGTCCAGCCCAGTCGTCGACAATGAGAGCAAGGTGGTGAGCTGTGATCGAACAAGCGACTGTTGGCCCGCATTTATTCACTGCTTCGACTGCTGCTCTTGTTGTTGCATGTTCCAAGACGATGCGGAGGTTCGGGAAGGCAGCATGGATTTTGAAAAGATGAGGTAGGAAAGTAGGCTCCGCGTTAAGAACATGGACATTCTTTGCGTACGATGAGAATTCAGGTGGAAATAGATATTCAGGGTACATACCGCTGCTGCATCAGAAGGAACCTCTCCATGGAGGTTGAGTACCATATTCACTTCCTGCATGGCTTCAAATATTGGATAGTAAGTTTCGTAGGATTCAATTCCTCCGTCCGAATTTGTCGTAACGCCACGAGGATATGATTTCACTCCTGTGAGCTCAGAACCGTTAGGACCTCTAATCTTCCCTAATGAAATTGGTGAACTCACCAACGATCCCAGCTTTCTTAGCTTTTCTGATCTCGTCCGGCGTCAATTCTAGGGACAGATACAAGGTCATGAGATATTCAACCTCGGGGTCGATCTTCTCCAGCTCAGCTTTGTACGCCAAAGCCTGCTCAGTGTTGGTAATCGGAGGTTTGAGGTTTGGCTTGTGTTACTTCAGATTTGCGAAAGATTTCGTAGGTCTTAGGCGAAGCGCACCATGACATATGCGAGATCGAAGCCGCCCTTGCGAACATGAGGTGTGATCAGCTCGCATATTGGGCCTTGACGTAGGTGGACGTGAAAGTCTGCGGGTGATTTGATAGAGATAGACATTGTCGTCGCAGGTCAAGCGACTATAATTGAGAAGAGATAAGATACTAATAGCCGGCGGCAATGGGCATAATCACGAACACGTGACCGAAACACGCTGATGGTTCAGTTTTACGGAATTGAAATGCCATGCGTTGCCAAAAGTCAACCTTCCTCCTCACACCCACTGCCGAAACACCACACCCGCCGTTCCTCCCCGCCGCTGAGGAAGCACATCTACAATATATCTGGATACTTGAACTATGGTTGCCGCAGGCTCCATCACCGTCGCAGGTGCTTTCATTTCCCTCCTTTGTTACCAACCTCTCCTCGACTGACTGTGGTTGCATTTGGACTAGTGCGAGTGCGACCACCGACAGCATGGGAGGCCGCAAGGCTCCCGGAACCATGCTATAACACGACTTTTAGAGGCGAGGGAGCGCTGTCGACCCCAGGGAAGGTCGTGAACACCGCCACCCTACGCGACATCGTGCAAATAGTTGACGACCGGATTCTCACTTTCGACCCTGACGAGAAGGACAGAGCAAGGGCGTTTATGGAGCGGGGTTTTATGCCGCCGGGGACGAAGCGATACAAGGACAAGCGGTTCATGTTTGACCGTGTGTTTCCGCAGGAAGCGCGTCAGCAGGCAGTCTACGAGCACACGACGCAGCCTCTGTTGAAGGGACTGCTGGATGGGTACAATGCGACTGTTTTTGCTTATGGCGTAAGCCGGTTCATCCAATCGTTGACTGAAGCTGATACCTGTCAATAGGCCACAGGATGTGGCAAGACACATACAATTAGCGGGACAGAAAGCGATCCAGGCGTCATCTACCTCACCATGGCTGATCTGTTTCAGCGGATTGAAGACAGGAAGGACGAGTGGAATGTTGAAGTCATGGTCACCTTCTTGGAGATCTACAATGAAGAAATTCGCGACCTTCTGGCTGAACCTGGGTCTCCTGTCCCACGTGGTGGGCTATCCATCCGTGAAGACAAGACTGTGAAAGTTGTTGGATTGGTCGAACTGAAGCCACGAACAGCTGAAGAGGTGAAAGAAATCGTGCTACTAGGCAATACACGACGAACACAGAGCCCCACTCACGCCAACGAGACGAGCTCTCGATCACACGCGGTACTTCAAGTGCATGTCTCCCAATCTCCTCGAACCGCCTCGATTACAGAGGAACGCACGATGGCTACCCTGTCTATCATCGATCTCGCTGGTAGCGAGCGTGCAGCTGCCACAACGAACATGGGTCAGCGGATGGTTGAGGGTGCGAACATCAACAAGTCCCTGTTGGCTCTCGGAAATTGCATCAATGCACTTTGCGAAAGTGGAGGTGCTGTTCGTCATGTGCCTTACCGGAACAGTAAACTCACCCGTTTGCTGAAATTCTCCCTCGGTGGCAACTGCAAAACCGTCATGATTGTTTGTGTTGCACCGACATCGAACCATTTCGATGATACACACAACACCCTCGTATATGCTGAACGTGCGACCAAGATCAAGACCAAGGTGGTCACCAGAAATGTCGTCAACGTCGATCGTCATGTTGGACGCTATGTAGAGGCTATCAACAGACTGAACCTGGAGGTTGCAGAGTTGAAGGAGAAGCTCGCCGGGAAGAGGAACTCAGAGCTCGACATTCAGAACCGCAGGAAGGCTGAAGCGAAGGTCGAGGTTGAGCGAGCCAGGAACGATGTCCAGACCAAGATGGAGCAGACCAAGTCGTCCATCATCGATGGCGCGACTTGCTCTGGCAAGCTTACGGTGGCGAAGGTCAAACTGGACGCGATCAAAGCTCGCCTTGTTCAGATAAATTTGGAGACACAGTCAAATACTTCTGACGCAGAGAGGGCGTTGCTCCAAGCTCTCGCTGGCCCTGAGGAGGAAGTGGTGAAACCAGGGTCTGCCCTAAATGCCCGACTCCAACGATCGTCAAATTCTAATGCCATGTTCGACGCAACTATGCGGGCTGTCTCGGAGAGGCGGTCGGAAAAGCTTGACGAGGTCAGCATGGAGAACGTCAAGCTGGAGGCATCGTGCAGAAAGGCCTCCATCGAGCGTGTCAAGGCCGAGAGCGAACGGGATGCTATGCAAGATGCAGTTGTCGACATGGCGGATGTGGTAGTCCAGCTTGTGGGAATGCTAGGGCGTTGCACCATCATTGTTGGAGAGGCTGCCAAGGCTCTTAACACTCTCTCTAGTGGAGAAGATGACACGAGTCTAAAGGTCAAGAAAATGGCCTCCACTTTGGATAGCTTGAGGGAAAGGAACGACGAGACGTTCAAGAAGCTACTTGGCCACTCGACGGAGTCGTACATTCTCCAACAACGCGCTGAAACGTCCATTTACGACGGGTTCCAGAATTATGGCGCGAATTTTGGTCGTCGAGTAAGCTCGGGCCCTGCTGTTCTCCAAATGCAAACGTCTCGAACAACTACTTCCCGTCGTATGTCGGCATATGGCAACACTTCGATCTCGGCATCTCCACCTCGTCGAACGCACAAGTCTCCTCGAAAGTCGCTTCGTTCGAGTCTGTCACAACCATACCGACGGGCACCAGAAAAGGAGAAGAAGAGCCAGAAGGCCAAGAGTGTTCAATGGCGAGACGAAGCAGGACAAGGTGACCTGGACGATGGAGGGGAGCAAATGTTCCCTTCCATCGCGCTTCAAGTCACGCCTGCGAGTCCAGCAACAGTGGGAGAAGATGTCGCTAAAACAATACCTCCTGTCCGAGCTCCGTCACCTCTGCGGTGTCCGTCAGCTCTAGGCTCTGAAAGTGAATGGGAAGACGAGAATGAGAAGACTGACGATAGCGTCAGCCTAAGCTTCTTGTCTGCGTCGACGTCCTCCGCACCGCCGCTCAGCGCATCGACATCCTCACGCACGACAAGGCGGTCTCGTCCCAGCCGCCTGGATCCATCCTTCCTCAAGTCAAAATCTAAAGGTTCGACGTTGGGCAGTCTTCGAGAGGATGACGAGACGGCACCTGAACCCCGCGGATACCCTCTCTCCGATAGGAATCTGAACCGGATGGGTTCTGTGGACGACAATGATTCAGGATCCAGTGACAGCAACCTTCACGTCCCGAAAGTTCGTGATCGACTGCTAGGGTCTCCGAACAGGCGCGCACCCTCTACAGGGAAAGCTGCGTCCCTTTCCTCTGGCAGAAGGCGATCCAACATCGGTCCAGTCCGAATGGAAAAGACTAGACGTCGCTCGAGCCAGATCCCCCAACTTCCACAAACGGTAGAGAATGCGAAAGGAAGCGCTAGACGGGTGCTTATATCGACAGTTTCGAGTCCCGCGAAACGGGCGAAACGAGCTTCGTTAACGAGGAGCCTCAACACCGGGTCTTTGAAGATCAGGTCTAGCAGCTCTTTGGGTGTCGCCAACCTGTCAGCCATCTTCGACCCTAACGCCAGTGCAGACTTGAGCATGAACAAGTCTTCTCGACCAACCTGGCGCTGAGCGCCTGACGCTCCTTTTTCGATTCCTTCAAAGGGCAGTCGCCCTAGTCCGCACCGTGTAGTTGTACGTCCGTTGATTGATATTGTCGGCTTTGTATCGTTGTCCAGTATTAATGTCCGCTTAACGATAATGTTCTCCGAACTTCACGACCCCCTATGCCCCAGCTCTCTGTGTCGCACTTGCCAGCCATCTTCTGTAAATCGACATGTTTATACCCACAGAACGTTGCATGAGGATAGATCGCCTTCTTTGTTTAGCACGGATCCCAATTATGTTCTCCCATGTCTTCTTGATATCGCTTGCACGAAGAAAAGAGGATGACGAAGGACACAATTATTATAGTGTATGCGTGGCCTAGATTACACGTTTCACCTCGAAGAAGGACTACACGTCTTTGAGTCAGTTCGTGTCGTAGTAATTCCTAACAAGAAATAACTCACCTTTAAGTAATATACTTGCCAGGCGACAACTGAAAATAAGACGATCGCCTGAACAATAGACCACCACTTCACTCGTGAATTTGTGGACTCTGCTGTGTTTCGGTGTGTCCTTTCCCTAACCACAATGTATTCCTGTTCATCCTTGACCGCTGTCAGACCAGCTGCTAATGTGCGGATTTCACGTTCGATGGGTGCAACGACGTCTATGAACAGAGTTTTTGAGTCCAAGTGAGGGCGAGAGGGAGGAATCAAGTACCGTCTCCAGCAATGTAAATGACACCGTGGACGTTGAAGCTTTTGAAGCAGGTCATAAAATTGAAACATGAACGAAGTTGAGCGTGTATACCTAACCATCTTATCCGCGATAGCACTCATTTGATTCGAGAAACAGTACGTGTGGCGGCCATCCTTTTCTGCAGTGATTGAGAGTTGTCCCGTCGTTTGCTTGATTTGTTTTCCCAGCACACGGTCAGTTGGGTCTGTCAACTGCAGAAAGGTGAATAACGCCCGCCATCGACTAAGTATGATGAAGTCGTACCCAGAAGTCTATGTCTAGATGGCCTCCCTCCCCAACTTGATACGAGACGGTCATCTGGAACAGAAGATGCTTCAGACACAATGCCGTTGAATATAGGCAGACCACATACTTTGTCGTGGACGTGCAAGTCTTCAAAAAAGCATTCCTTCTTTCCAGCAGCAACTTCAATAAGATGGGCAGAGACGAATGTAGGAATGAGAATTAGGAGAGAGAGCCATGGTACGATGAAAGAAGGGGCATAGAGCCGAGGCATTGTTGGGAGTCTGTCGCAGAGTTGGTGACACTCTGCGGACACGACGGGAGGCAAAAGACCCCGGGCCAGGGTCACGGGGTCCCTGTCCTATCTCAGAACAGAACAACATTTTCTGCCATCTTCCTCTCCGATCCTCTCCACTCCTTGCCTCATTCTACCACGTAAACTCGCCGATTCGTTGAATCATGGCTGAATCTTCTAATGCGCTTGCTCCCAGGGTATGCTATTTCTTTCTCCTCACTTTTCATGGCATTGCCACACGAGGATCTTCCCGGTCCTGATCATCTAACGATTCCTCCAGGACGAGGAAGCCGATGTCCACTTCGAGCCCGTAATCAAGCTAACAGAGCAAGTCGACACGAAAACCCACGAGGAGGACGAAGACGTGCTTTTCAAGATGTGCGTCAACCATAATCTACGCGATCGCAATCGGAATCAGTCCCACTAATCCATGCTTCCATGCGTCTCCTATCCCTGCAGGCGCGCAAAGCTCTTCCGATTCGACTCTGAATCTACTGAATGGAAGGAACGTGGCACTGGCGATGTTCGTCTGCTTTCGCACAAGGAAACCAAGAAAGTCAGACTCGTGATGAGGCGCGACAAGACTTTGAAGGTCTGCGCCAACCACGTTAGTAAGTACCAACTCTTTCTATCTGGCTGGCTGTATCCCAGCGTCTGACCTCCTCTATTTAGTTTCCGCCGATATGAGATTGCAGCCAAATATCGGTTCGGACAGGAGCTGGGTGTGGAAGGTCGCCGCGGATTACTCTGAGCAACCTCCGACCTCGGAGACCCTCGCCATTCGCTTCGCTAACTCTGAGAGTGAGTCGTGTGACCACATCTCCTTCCTTTCTGCCACTTATGTGGGCTACGTAGATGCAGCCTTGTTCAAGACCGCCTTTGAGGACGGCCAGAAGACCAATGTTTCCTTGAGCAAACCCTCTGGCGATGATGGCAAAACAGAGACGGCCAAGGAAGCGTCGGAAGAGAAGGCGGAAGAGAAGAAAGAGGAGGAGAAGCAAGAGGAGGAGAAGCAAGAGGAGGAGGAACCTATTAAGGAAGAGGCCAAGGGAGAAGATAAAAAAGAAGTTTAAGCTGGTCAAATTTCAATCTCTCAGCGAAATGCTACGCATCTCTCCTCCAACACATACCGCCCTCTTCTCTCCTGATTGCGATGTTACATACCTTTTTGATTCATTACGGAGAACAGTCATGCCTTTATAACCGACTTCTTTAAACTCCACTGACATGACCACTGGCTGAAAACAATTACATTACAGCGGAGCCGCGAGGTACTCTACAATTCAAATCTGTATAGATGCAGAAATGGAGGCGGTTGCCACGACTCACGAGTGAGATAAGAGTTACTGTACAACGATATAGCAGACAGCGAGTGCATCATGATTTGCGTGTAGGATATGCGTTCTCTTCTGTAGCCCATGCTTCCCAGAATTCTACGTCTTGACCTTTGCGCCAGTAACCAGCAGGAGAAGTGCCCTTCACCGTATCACTTGTGATGAGGACGTGATGAATGTCCTTGAAGAAATAAGGAGACTTTACAAGTTCAGTTTGGATGGAACACTTACCGAACCACTGGAAATTTTGACAATGAATTTCAGATCACACATACGGTCGATTGGCCGAACACTTACGGCACGTCGTACATGGGATCAAGGAGCAGCTTCTCCTACAATGAATTTAATTTTGGGAAAAGGAATTTCATAATTAACCAACTCACCATGATTCCCCGCAATCCACGCGCGCCTCCCCCACGTTCATACGCTTTCTTGCAAATTTCGTCAAGTGCAGCACTCGTGAAGCGCAGCTCCACCCCAGAATAGCCAAAGAGAGCTTGATACTGCGAGACCAATGAGCCTTTCACTTCCGTCAAGATCCGTCGTAGGTCCGGGATGGTTAACGGGGCCAAAGCCGTTAGAGAGGGCAGGCGTGAAATGAATTCAGGTATGAACCTGAAAGGACCATAAGTTAGCAGTACAATGTAAGTCGAACGATATGGTCACCCATATGCTACAAGATCTGTGGGGTTGTGTGAGATAGCTACAAGCAGCTGGCCTAGACTTACCAGCAGTCTCCACAGATTCAAGTGGGTTGCGTGACACCACGCCATTTGAAGTGAAGAATCCCACATTAGACTTTTCAGAAGACAAAGTCGCCTCAAAGCCTATTGACTAGAAAGAGTTTAATGCAAGAAAATGCAGAAACTATAGAGTCACTCACTCCCTTCGACGTTCGGTTTTTGATGATCTTGTCTAGCCCTACGAATGCACCGCTGAGGATGAACAGAACATTGGACGTATCAATATGATAGACGTCCGGCTTAGCTGTCGGAATGGGTAATCCTGTCAGCCGGTTTCAATCAAAGACAGACACAGTGCGAGCTTACAAGATGCCATGCTGGGACTTCGCTGTCCTGGTCGAGATTGTGGGTCACCTGGAGGTGGCATTTCTACCGACGTCCCCCCTTTTGCCTGCACTGTGACCACTGAACCTTCCATCATGCGAAGGAGAGCTTGTTGAACACCCTCTCCGCCTACATCCCGTGAACCTTCGCTTCCTGAACTTGACTTCTTCGCGATCTTGTCAACTTCATCTATATAGACTATACCAGTACTAAACAGATGTCTTAATACTTTTACCTAGGATCAATAGACAAACGAACACCCACCTGGCTCGTATTGGATCGTAGTTTGCGGCTTGCAACTGCAGGAAAGACGTCAAGAGTCACGACAAAGGCGTAGGTGTGGGAACTTGCAAGGCGCTGAATAGCCATATCAACGTCCTCTCCAACATCTACAGCAGAATGCATGATAAACAAGCGGAATATGGATCGCCGAAGGTCTTACATCCTGCCTGACAGACAGGTCAGCATCTGGATGCGCGAAAGACGGTGTGACCCACTTGGGTAAACGAGGTAGCGTCGCTGACGGAGAAAGGAACATCAAGCACTCTCGCCAAGGTCTTGGCTAGTAGCGTTTTTCCTGAAAAGAATCAAGGGAGGGTGTGTAAGGCGTTTGTACAGCCATGAGGCGTGAGTATTTGAATGTTCACCAGATCCTGTTGGTCCTCTGTAATCTCGTCAAATTCAAGTCCGACATTCGTAACTGATACCTACAAAACCAGTACATTGCTTTTCTCGAATAGCGGCGGTCTTTCACGAGGATACAGTGAAAACATTGGAAGCTTCTTCCGCATTGGGCGAACCTGCGCAGGCGTCACAGTAGACAATGCTGAAGAAACGAGGCATTGGGCTGGTATTATCCTTCCTAAGTGCACGGCGCTCACGTCTGTACGATTCTGCCGGATCAACATCCCGGGGAATCTCCAACTCTTCTGGTTCAATGTAACCCAAGTTCGCCCGTACGCGATTGTAGTGGTTGAAGACACTGATGTATGCCTTGTTAAATCATCAACTCTCTGGAGTACAGACCGGACATACGCGACTGAGAGAACCTTCTTAGCATTCTCTTGCCCAACAATGAATTGGTTGAGATAATCCACGAGCTGGGGCAATTGACATCCTGCATGTCAGCTCCACAACCCCCGAACATATCCTGCGGTGTACCTCGCGTGGTGTCGCAAGTCCAATCCCTGGCGGATATCGAGGTGCTTCTGCGTTGGTGTATGGTATTGAGGAGTCGCGAGGCTGCGTCCGGATGGTCCTGATATGATGGCGTATTCGCCGGAATCCTATGGCGAGGGGTTGACCTCCGTGGGGCAGCATAGGTAAGGAAGCCCTGTGTCCTGTGTTCTCTATATCAAGACGAATATTCCAGCGAGATGGGGACAGATCTGTGAGGGGGGAATGTCTTAGACTCCTGGAGGAAGAAAGTCCGATGGTCCGGGCTGGAGGCTGGAGGCCGACTCCTTGCTGTATGAGCGTGGCCAAAAGAGGCAGGAGCTGTATTTGATCCGGAGGCTATTGCCCTTGAGCAGACTGAGTTATTGCTAGGCACATTACCTCAACAAGCTACAAGCTACAGTGACACACTCGCAAGTTCCAGTACTTGCCCGCTGCTGCTCTTCTGTGAACCCTCACACTACGGCCCTACCTCCATGGGAAGACACTCGAGGTCACCGTCTCCCACGAGGAGAAGACGCGAAGACGACTACGATTCCAGAGGCCGCGATGAGGGCTCTTCTCGCCGAGATTCGAAATATGTCAGGGATGGAGAGGATGCGTCTAAGAGAAGTCGGAGCAAGGATAGAGATAGGGAGTCTCGTCGTCACAAGCGGGATAGAAGTCGCAGCAAGGATAATGACCGCAAAGAAAAGAAGTGAGCTTCTGCATGTACTTATTTGGCTCTCGTTAACTCTCGTTGTGCAGGCGGAAGAGGGACAAGTCTGAAGAGCGACGCGCCAGAAAAGCCGAGAAGAAACGTATTAAGGAAGAGGAGGAACTTCGACGTGTCGCTGAATTAAGCGTCTACAGCGCGACCGACAATCCTTTCCACGATGTCAACCTCGGCCAACAATTCAACTGGCATAAGAAGAATGAAATGGAACGAAAGAAAGGTCTTTCCGTTGCTGAGGCAAAGCAGAGAGATGCTATCCGCCGTCAAGAAGCTAAAGAGGAACTGGAACGCTTGAACAGACGTCGGGCGGAGAGAGAGGTTGAACTGCGACTCAGAGAGGAGGAGGAGCTCAGGATGGCCCGCCTACAGGAGTCGGCTCAGATGTCGGAATGGTTGGCGAAGGACGGTGATTTTCAACTGGAACAAGAGCGGCGTAGGGCTGCTATTCGAATCCAAGAGAAACGTGCAAAAGCTATCGACTTCCTTGCCCTGAATCTCAAGTATGTCAACCCACCGAATGAAGAGGACAACAATGAAGACGACGCTGGACTCGAAATAGATCTGGACGAACCCTATAATATTTTTCGTGTAAGCTGCGTCATCTCTCTAAAAGTAGCGCTCTGACAATCAACCGTCTAGAACCTATCGACTGACCAAACTAAAGAACTCCATGAAGATATTGAAAACTATCTGAGATTGGAGACCTCTGACGTGAATATAGACTTTTGGACGGTCAGTTAGCTTTCTTGTATCAAATTTTTCTTACTGAATTCGGTGTCCCTTACAGAACATGATGGTCGTGTGCAAGGATCATTTGGATCGTATCCAGTCGGATGAACGTATGGGATACGAAGCCGCCGCCGCAGTCGAGAAAGATATTTCATCTTTACTTTCTGGAAAGACTTACGACCAGCTTGCCGCGCTTCAGAGACGAGTTCAGGAAAAACTTACGAGTGGAGAGCCGGTGGATACCGACTACTGGGAAAACCTTTTGAAGAAGCTTCTCGTCCATAAAGCTAAGGTATGAGTTCCTGGATAACGGGCCCAAAATTCCAACTGATCCTTCTTCAGGCGAAGCTCAAAGCTCTGCATGAGGTAGTTGTGCGCAATCGCCTCGAACAGCTGAGGAAACGCCAGCGCGATGAAGCATTCCAAGCACAAGAAGAACTCCTTGCAGGCGTTGCGCGGTCAGCTGCTCGAAGGGCGGCGCCAGATGTCGCTGTTACTGTTGCTGTTGAGGAGGAACCTGTTGTGCCTGAAGATGTGGAAGCCTACGACCGTGCTATGAGTCCTACTCTCATCGATATTACGAAGCTTCCGCCAGAAGAACGAGACCTCGATATTATCCTGGAAAAAGAAGACCGTCGATCCCTGGTAAGTCACAAAAATGTCAGTGAAATGTGATCGTATTCATTTCTATCGTCCATAGTTCGAACAACGTCGTTCTGTGGCGGCTTCACGATTTGTTCCAAAAACTGCTCAGCCCGCCGCCGTGGAACCACAAAGCGAAGAGGCTGCTAGTGGTGCTGATCTTGCGTCGGAGGCCCTTTACCGAGCGGAAGCTGAAAAGGATCTCGACGAAGAGGAAGAATTGTTCAACTTGGAAGAAAACCTTCCTAATCCGACAACATACAACTGGGAGGACAAGTACAGGCCCCGGAAGCCAAGATACTTCAATCGTGTTCATACCGGTTACGAATGGAACAAGTACAACCAGACCCACTACGAGTAAGCACCGTCGTTACTACCTGCTTTCGACTCTCATCCAATTGTTTTTAGTACGGACAACCCTCCCCCGAAAGTCGTCCAAGGATACAAGGTATCGATGACATGATTTTATGGCTTTGACGTGTGCCAAAATGTTCCCTAGTTCAATGTTTTCTACCCGGATCTCATCGACAAATCCAAAGCGCCGACTTACAAGATTGTCAAGGAGCCTGGAAATGACGACACTGTCCTCTTGCATTTCAGTGCTGGGCCACCGTACGAAGATATCGCCTTCCGCATTGTGAACCGCGAATGGGAATTTTCACATAAACGGTGCGGCCTTCTTACTATCATGTGTAAATTATTCTGCTAATCCGGCATTCTTAGTGGATTTAGAAGTAGCTTCGATCGTGGCTGCCTATCGCTGTGGTTCAACTTCCGTCGTAATGTAAGTCCGATCGACTCTTACATCGTAATGTGGCTCACTATTGTGTTATAGTTCTACCGTAAATAAGCCACATGTATAAGATCTCTTCCGCTACAATCTAGTCGACGCTGCTCCGTAAGTGCATATGCCTGAGTGTCATGACCAGATCTCGTGAGTTTCGTTTGTCACCTTGCGGTTTGACAGCAGGCAATTGCCTTTCGGACTTGCAAAGTTGGCCGTAGCTGCCCCGCAACCTCATACCCCATTGCCTAATTTGGGCAACGGTACCTTTGTTTCTTTCACCAATTGCCGACCACAGTGGCCTGCCGCGCTTTGATAATTGCAGCGGCCCATCATGCCTCGTCAGTCTGCGATGCAACCATTGGCAGTTAACGCTTTATGGAAAATACCGATTCAGGGTCCATTCCTTGGGTTCATATGAAGCAGACTCGACGTCCTTTCTCCGACTCCTCCTTCTCCATCCACCCCCACTAAAGCCCATCATGACCCACACTATGTCCTCTCATCGCGTTTTATTTGGCTATGCCAATTCTCGCGCAAACGTTCGTCGTCGATCTGTTGGATTCAAACAGCCCAAGCTCCCTAGGCCTTCTTCGCACAAGCCATCTCGGAGGCCTATCAAGCCTACATTCTTAGGCTGCGTTCAAGTGCCACACGCCGCTCCGCTGTTCAGAAGTGTGGAAAATTCTACGAGCGGCTTAACTGCCACATACACTCGACCCGTCGATGTCGATGTTCAAGCCATTCCGGCGAACAACTCCAGAACATTATCTGTACCTTTTGTCTACCCAACTACAGCTGTACAGCATGTGGCTACGCCCTTACATATCGATGACGCCCCTCGGCAAGGTTTGAAAAGAGCTTTGGCCATACAGCACTCTCCAGCTGTCCGAAAGTCGCGACGGAGCAAAGCCAACTCTCCTCCCGTTTTGAATCTTAGAGCTCGCAAGCAGGTTCAATGCCAGGTCGTCGAATACCAGCCTCGGATCGACAATGGCCTGATTACCTGCATACCAACCAGCACTCCTGCTGCGCAAGACCTGGAGTCTTGTGCCTTACCGATGTGGGCTGCGGAAGTTGTCTTTGCGTATCTCGCATGGGTGGAGAAAGACGACGACGAATTCTTGCTGTGCGTTCTATTCACCCTTCATATGACCTCATTTACTCAATTCCACGCAGTCCTCCGGCGGTCGTTGAGATGCTGGCACGCAATCTCTTCGACGTCTTCTGCGTTGGATCGGACGAGTTGGTCTACCTTGCCTTGTGGTACATCAAGAACCTTGTACCAAATGGTCTTCTAGATGTCAAGGACCTTTTTAATGTTGATGGTGTCATTATCGCAACGCGAATGTTCCTTTTGGGATATACTCTTGCGATGAAATGGCACGACGATTACTCCGTCGTCCCTAACAGAAGTTGGCGAGTTCCTTCGCTTCATCTATGTTTTCGAGGAAGTTCTTAACACACCACATACAGGTCTATCTACTATGGCCAGGAATTTGGCCACCGCTCTGTCCGTGGCCTCGAAATCGCTGCCCTCACTGCGCTCGATTACAACCTTTACCTGTCGCCGCATCAATACGTCGGTTTTCTGAACGAACTTGCCACATGGTCGCTTGAAACTTCATTAGGAAACCGGGATACCGCAAGATACGTCATGGGTGTCCATCTTTCTCGAACGTCAGAGAAATCTGGTCCCCTTGGAGGCACACAGGCGATGAAGGCGCGTCGAACTATCCCACCAACATCGGAGAACCTTCGCAAAGTCCATACCGCTTTGATGGCTGGCCTTAGTCTTGGAGTCGACGCCATAAAACCCATTGCTTTCGAGAAGCTTTCACCTATCCACTGTGCCTGGGCTGCTGACGAAGTTTCCGACCACAGAGCGAGGGATAGAGCAGCTGCAATATCGTGGTCTCAGCGGTCTGTATACGACAGGAATGGCTGCTTCAACCTTAGTCTGCTAGCCCCTCTAGTGGTGGAATGCTCTAGTTATACAAGTACAGGAATTATCTGCTACGGGTGACAACATTTCCTCAAGGCCTGTGTTTTACTGTCTTCGGCGCTTGAATTCGCGCCACAACTTCCAGCCCGGGGTCTGTGGTCCAACTCGCGATTGTTGTATATATTGATTGCTATCCGATCCCTGCAATAGGGAGCACATTTCTTAAGAGTTTAAGTTTTTAACTTAAGACTAACAAAATTAATGCCTAGAAGAATCCCAGATTACCCTGATACCTTTAGTGGGTGGAATGCTATATCTAGTTTTCTTAAGTATACCTATTTGTTAGTCTCTCTAGACAGACCTAATAGTTCCACAATGATAGTTGATGTGTCACTGCCTATTTGTATGCAGCACTGCTGTGCCAGTGCTATGTGCCTGAACCTTTGCCTTTTGGCATAGGTGGATGCTGGCATGGCACTGCAGATAGGGTCATAATGTTCAAGAACTACTTAACTATCCTTGAAAAATAACTGTCATGTTTCTTCCTCACAGAATGGCATGTCATAAGACATCATGGCATGCAGGCCAAGTTAGTGCCCAAGCCGAGTCAAGATAAATCTCAGATAATCTGATTATCAATCAGTGTTATCATGAGACTAATATGACATCGCGGTTGCTGCGAGCGCCCAACGTGCTCCTTGTAATCATCTCTCTTTGTTCTATCCTCCTCTGCCCTTGGAAACCTTTGATATTGACCACACCAGTAGTTCACAATACACATGGCTGAATCTTCCAGTCTCGCCACGAAGATGGACATCGACGAGGCTGCAATCGATGAGGGGTTATATTCGCGCCAACTGTGAGCTCCAGTTTCTTTTCGATCTGCACCAAGTAACCTTACATGCGTTGCCAGATATGTTCTTGGTCATGAAGGTGTGTACCTATCGCGCGTACGTTGTGCAGGCTGCTAGATTCCTGTTAGCCATGAAGAAGATGGCGGTCTCCAACGTCTTGATCGTAGGGATGCAGGGTTTGGGTGTCGAGATAGGTATGTGGCGAAGCGACACTGAAGGGAGGGACTGTACCAATGACTCGAGTTATTAGCAAAAAATATCGCGTTGGCTGGTGTGAAATCTGTAACCATTTTCGATCCTGAGCTAGTGACTATCCAAGATCTCAGTTCGCAAGTAAGTCGTCGCACGAACGCAGTCCGTGTGTCCCACTGAGACACATTTTCAGTTCTTTTTACGTGCCGAGGATGTTGGAAAGTCAAGAGCTGCTGCGACGCTACCTAGATTGGCCGAACTCAACACCTACGTTCCCGTCCGCGATCTTGGCGGAAGACCAGGGGATGAAATCACGATTGATCTTATCAAGGGCTTCCACGTAAGTCGTACAGTTTCGTGAAACGCGTTTGATGCTTCACAATTACCAGATTGTTGTTCTCTGCGGAGTTCCTTACAGCAAACAGCTTGAAATAAATGACTGGACACACCAGAATGGTGTCCACTTTGTTTCTGCAGAAACTCGAGGCCTCTTTGGGTAAGCCAGCTTCTCATAGAGCCCCTTTCTCGAGCGAAATCATATGCTGTGTGCCAGGTCGGCGTTCAATGATTTTGGCCCCAAGTTCACCTGTGTGGATCCAACTGGTGAGCAACCACTCTCCGGTATGATCGTTTCAGTCGACAAGGTCCGTTCAACACTATCGCCCCATATATATCGATACTAACACCCTATAGGACCACGAGGGAGTGATAACTTGTCTCGACGAAACAAGGCACGGATTGGAAGATGGCGATTTTGTGACCTTCACGGAAGTGCAAGGCATGGTAGAGCTTAATGGGTGCGAACCGCGGAAGATTACCGTCAAGGGACCCTACACATTCAGCATCGGAGATACTTCGAACCTCAGCGATTACAAGACAGGCGGCATCTTCACCCAAGTTAAAATGCCCAAGGTTATTGACTTTGTATGTCGCACCCTTCTCCTTTTTAAAAAACCAAAACTCAAGCACGAACAAGAAATCGCTTCGAGAGTCCTTACAAGCACCGGAGTTCCTAGTTACCGATTTTGCGAAGTTCGACCGTCCACAGACTCTCCATGTTGGTTTCCAAGCTCTTTCTGAATTCAGAACGCGCAACAATCGCTTGCCTCGACCCAGGAATGACGAAGATGCCGCAGTGATCATTGCGTTGGCAAAGGGATTAGATGCCGATGCCGACGAGAAGGTCCTCAGGGAACTGGCCTATCAAGCAACGGGCGATTTGTCTCCAATGAACGCTGTCCTCGGTGGATTTGTCGCACAAGAGGTCCTCAAAGCTTGCTCCTCGAAATTCCATCCAACATTCCAGCACCTTTACTTCGACTCTTTGGAATCCCTGCCCAATGACACGCCTACAGAAGCCGAATGCCAGCCGGTTGGGTCGAGATATGATCGTCAGATAGCTGTGTTCGGCAAATCGTTCCAAGAGAGGATCCAAAACCACCGGCAGTTCCTTGTCGGCTCAGGGGCCATTGGCTGCGAGATGCTGAAGAACTGGAGTCTCATGGGTGTGGGTTCTGGCCCTAACGGCATCATACATGTCACGGATCTGGATACCATTGAGAAGAGTAACTTGAACCGTCAATTCCTGTTCCGCGCCAAGGATCTGGGGAAATTCAAGGCAGAGGTTGCTGCAGTCGCGGTCGCAGATATGAACCCGGACCTGAGCGGCAAAATATTGGCCAAACAAGAACCAGTTGGTCCCAACACCGAGAGTAAGTCTTCCGACAGGTGCTTCGCAGTATGTACTCAAAGGCACACCTAGATGTCTACGACGAGATCTTTTTCGACGGTATTGATGGCGTTACAAACGCCTTGGACAACGTCAAAGCACGTATGTCAGTCGATTCATAGTGAGGCGATATAGTTGAACGATGTCTCTTTTGAAGGTCTTTACATGGACCAGCGCTGCGTTTTTTATCGCAAGCCTCTCCTCGAATCTGGCACTTTGGGAACGAAAGGAAACACACAAGTCGTCATACCAAATCTGACCGAGTCATATGCTTCTTCTCAGGACCCACCTGAGAAGGAGACTCCGTCCTGCACGATCAAGAATTTCCCGAACGCGATTAATCACACAATCGAGGTAAGTTTTGTTCGCATCCTCAAGAAAGACATCAATTAAGTTTGAATGTTGTAGTGGAGCCGAACGCAATTCGACAACCTTTTTGTCAAACCGGCTCAAGCAGCCAATGCATACCTCTCGGAACCCAACTATCTGGAAACCGCGTTGAAGTACTCTGGCCAACAAAAGGAACAAATCGAACAGATCGTGTCCTTCCTTGTTACGAACAAGCCCCTCACATTTGAGGAGTGTATTGTTTGGGCTCGCCTGCAGTTTGAACGTGACTACAACAACGACATTCGTCAACTCCTGTTCAGTCTTCCCAAGGACGCTGTGACAAGCACTGGCCAACCATTCTGGAGTGGTCCGAAGAGAGCACCAGAACCTCTCGTTTTCAATGCCAATGATGTGAGTGCTGATGATGCCTTTTTGACGCCGCTCAAGTTTAACGATCTTTCTTCTCAGCCTACTCACTTGGGCTACATCATTGCTGCGGCCAATTTACATGCATTTAACTATGGCCTTCGAGGCGACACGAATGCTGCACATTTCCGCAAGGTGTTGGATTCTGTCATCGTACCTGAATTTACACCGAGAAGCGGCGTCAAAATTCAGGTGTCTGATAATGATCCCGTTCCTCAAGGCAATGCTGGTGGAGGTACGGAGTTCCTTCTTTAATCCTTTCTCTTCGTCTCATGCTTTTGTCTAGATGAGGACCTCGAAGATTTGGCGAGCAAACTACCTGCCCCTTCATCCTTGGCTGGTTACCGCCTGAGTCCTTGTGACTTTGAGAAGGACGACGACACCAATCATCACATCGACTTTATCACCGCAGCGTCCAACCTTCGCGCCATGAACTATTCCATCAATCCCGCTGACAGACACACCACAAAGCAGATCGCCGGGAAAATCATACCTGCCATTGCTACTACAACATCTCTCGTTACTGGATTGGTTTGTTTGGAGCTTTATAAGGCATGTACATACGCCAGTGTCGAAGCAACTTGCACTAACCTTATAAATCTATAGGTCATCGACGGCAAGAACAGGCTTGAGGATTACAAGAATGGTTTCGTCAACCTTGCGCTGCCATTCTTCGGTTTCTCAGAACCCATTGCCGCGAAGAAATTGAGTTACGGTTCCACTGAGTGGACCCTCTGGGATCGTTTCGAATTTGCGAACGATCCTACTTTGCAAGACATCATTACTTATTTCGAGAAAGAACACAAACTTTCCACGACTATGGTCAGCCAGGGAGTGAGTATGCTGTGGAATTCGTGGATCGGGAAGAAGAAGGTTGGTGGTGCATATTTAATTTACATGCGATCTTTGACATCGCTCCATTATCCAGAGCGAAGAGAGGTTGCCCATGAAGTTCAGCCAGCTTGTGGAGAGTGTCAGCAAGAAGCCCATACCGCCTCACGCCAAACACCTCATCGTTGAAATCATGGTGACGGATGAAAATGACGAAGATGTTGAGGTTCCATTCATTGTCGTTCGCATCTGATCTTGTCATGAAGCCTTCGAAGAAATACTGTACTGCTGTAATACCTAGTCCCTTTACTGGAGAACGAATTAGAACTTCAAGTCATTTGCGTTTCTTACAATTCGTGAACAAGGTTTCATAGCAACTGAAGCATGGTGTATTACAGCCATATCCAGTTTACCACAAGGCAACGTACGTATATCGACAAGGTGCATAACTACTTACCTACAAGGAAAAAGATCACACGGCGACGAATGTGAAGGTGGGAATAAGGCGGGTAACAGGAAATGTGTTTGGGGGTGGTGCGCGGAAAGGAGGAAGATATGTGGGTACGGAAACAGGGGGGGGGATTTGTGCACGTTCGATACCGAACGGTAAGAGCGAGGAAAAGATGAAGCGCAAAACGTATACAACTTTTTTTGTGCTTTTGTCGGGTCGTATATAAAAATGTGCAACGCCCTTGGGATGATCAAAACGGAGAGAGATGAAAGAAACCGAGACGAAAGAAAATAATGAGACACGTGAAGAATCAAGTCGTGAAGGTTGTCGTTACCAAACGAGGACGGAGGGTAGCGATGACGATTAGTGTGATGGTTAAGAGGATAAATACCAAGCGCGCGGAATGGAGGAGAGGGGGATTATACCCGAGAGAAAGGATAGAACAGTGTCTCAACAAGTGATGTGATGGCGATGGACAAAAAATCAACAATGCACACAATTCGGTGCTGGACAAGGCTCGAATTTAAAAAAAAAGAAGAGTCCCAGTGCAGGTTTGACACACAAAGAAATAATTCCTGGTCGAATTGAAAGCAATGATGGGCCACCTTCTCTCGGATAGTGGAAACACGGGCGGAGACGGATGTCGAACCGGGAAAGCACGGAAACGACGTGGAGGTATGTGAGATGATGATGATGCTGGTGCGATGATACTGGTGGGGGCCCGGTGGAAACCCTCGGAGACGGGATGGATATGTCTTCCATGATGGGAGAGGGCCGACGAAACGAAGCGAGAATAAATGATGACGAAAACGACAGCAGCAGATGAGGCGTGGACCGGTATTCACAGCTGAGCGAGAAAGGAAAGAGGAGATAGTACACACGCAGGGACAGATACTGGAGAGACGAGCGAGAAAGAAACGAAACTAGTCCGCGATCTACTTGGAAAAGTGATGTAGTCGGGGTTGCTGGTCGAGCGTAGTATAGGGTCGATGGTAATGCTGACGATGATGATGAGATGAAAGAGACTTCTAGAGAGACGAGATGAAATGATGAGGGAAGAGGGTGCCGCGAGGTGGGTGAGATCAACTCCTGCAAGTCTTCTGTTGCGACGACGCTCAATGATTACCAGGTAGGTTGCATGCCGGCAGCGGGCAAAGGGACGAAGGTAGGTCCGGAGTAGGGATAGTGGCCAGCGGCCTCCATCCACCTAGACTCTACCTCGGGAATGGGGACGTGTTCGCCAGCCGTCATACGAAGGTCACTGCACCGGTAGTCAAACTTTGCCTGCGAGTACGAGCGCATATGGTTTCGCGACAGCAGGCTGTCATGATCGTACGAAACCGAATGAGAGCGCGAGCGAGGCAAGGAGATCGGCGTTATGAACCCAAAAGGGTTGTAGCTTGGCTGGTTCGCACGCGCGAGGGTCTGCAGGTCGTAGACGTAACCCGGTTGCGACTTGACGGGCATGTAGCCAGCCGCTGCAGGCATGGGAGGGTTCCAGTTCTGGTTGAACGCCATCTCTTGCGGCTGGCAGTTCACCGAGTAGGCCGCAGGTGCGATCGGGGGTGCTTGTACCGCAACGTAGTGCCCGCTGGAACGGTTCCTATCCCGAAGAATAGGCTCGTCTCCGGCTGGACTCCACTTCGCCGGTGGTGGCAACGTCTTTGCAGGCGCCGCATCGGGGCCATTCCATTTTTCACCCACCGAAGCGTCGCGAGAGTGCGTGTTCTGCGAACCAAGCTTGCTGGCGCGGCGCTTCGGTAGGTATTGCTCTCTGAGCGGGCCATCTTCGTCGAGATCGATCTCCAAAACGTCCATAGCCATAGCCTCCTCCTTCTGAGCCCTCTCCCGCAGTCTTTCTTCCAAACCGAGGAACACTGGTTGAGGAAGTTCCGGCGACTTGGAGACAACCCGTGCCTGTATGATTTCCTCAAGGGCACGGCGTATAATGGCGTGGGGGTTTGCCGAAGGCCTTGAAATGGGCTGAGGACGATTGGACGATGCCAATGACTGATGATAGGTCATGACATGTGAAAGCCACTGGGACCACTGCTGGTTCGAGATGGACAGGTCGTAGGAAAAGACGTTCAGGGCATGGGACTCGAGCGCATTGAGGGTTTGAACAGGGATGTTGGAGATAGAATGCCTATACGATGGTGCCATGAGTACTGTGAAGAGAGAATAACAGTGGAACACAACGAACCAAGTCTTGTTGCTGAAGGTGTGGTCATCCAACCACTTGTTGGCCAGCATGCATCCGAGTACGATGATCCGGAAAGGAGCACTGTTCTCAGATGCCTCGCGCTCATACCCGACATATGCATCTCCCATGAGAGCTGCCCGGAAGCTGCTCTCCTTGGCAAATTCTGCACCAAGTGCTGCTCCGCCGAAGTACACGGGGAGGCGCACGATGTACCACAGCGCCAGGAAGACAGCCGAAGGCTGAAGAAGCGTGGACAGGAGCAGAGCGTGGATAGCGGGAGCCAGGTAACTCGGGGCGGCCACAGCATACGGTCCTGCATTCATGCTACAGATCGATGGAGCGATTAGCATAAAAAATTTAAAATGGAAATTTTGCGACTCACGAAGGTTGGGCGAAGGCAGGCGGGAGACTGTACCCCGTCGTGCATACCTTCCAGACGTAATTGGCCACCCATTCCGACAACGGCTCGGTCAACTTCTTGTAGTCGACGGTGGTGATGGGCGTCACTGTGTCTGTGATCGGATCTTGCTGCGGCTGCTCGGCGATGGAAGGGAAAACTGGAGGGGCACAGACGTTGGGAACGGCTTGCGTGTCCTGATATATGCCTCGATCCTCGTATTGAACGGCAGTATGGGCGGCGGCAACAGCACGATCGATGTAGTCGCAAAAGGGCGTCAAAGGTTCGAGGGGGCTGGAGCCACTGCCTGGTCCACTTCCGGGTGACTGATCTTCTAAGATAGGAGTGAAGACCCCCAGATGCCTGCGTGCTGCGTCCAAAGCGGCGTCTTGAGGGGAAGGGTTGAAGTTGTCGTGGTGATTATATCGATTCTCTCCGTGCATGTCGACGCCATCGTAGGGGGCAAGTGGGCTGTTCTCCCAGATCTTCCTAGTCTCGAACTGGAGCAACTCCATCCCACCTTGACCAGCGCTTGTGTTGTTGTCGAAGGCGTAATGGCGGGGATAGATACCCGGCGGCGGCGCAGAGTGCTGAGCCCGGTTCTCCATGGGCGGAATACACGCTTCAGCGTGTGTACCTTTAATGACCGACGCGTTGTCCGCGGCGGCCAACCCTGAGCGAAAATCCTGGGCGTCCTGGTCCCAGATAGGGCGCTGGCTGTTCCTCCTCCAGGAAGGAAGAGCGCCAGACCAGCCCTCTCTTTGTGTCAAAGAGGATGGCAGCCCCGAGAGGGGGACAAGGAGGGCGCCTGGGGTTGCGTAGGAGGGTAGTTGCTGACCTAGAGCACGATTGGCGGGTTTGATGACGGGGTGTGCTGGAGGTTTGGTGTGACGAGGGACGGGAACTGGCATCTGCAGAAGTGGCTAGACTGAGCCGAGCGACCACGACACACCTGGATGTGCAGTGAGAGCTGAGCCTGTCTAGAAAGTGCTCTCTTGTTGTAAGGAGCGGGATAAGAGAGCGGCTTTGTGGTCGTAAGGGCAGTCGTAAAGGGGGACGGGGCGGGGCGGGATGTGTTGGCAGACGCACAGCGAAGGCGTGCCTTTTGTCGAGTAGTTAGTAGCCCAGCTGCTGAGAGACCTGACCTGACGGACGGAACAGACGGCTCCTCGCTCGCTGCCTGGTTGTCGGAGAATGGGCGAACAGGAGACTGTCGATCCGCCGGGTGGGGGAGAGGGGGTTGCCGTTTTTCAACACACACTCCCTTTATATACACATTAGGTAAGCACCCCAAGTCAGCCCACGCGTGCCTGAGATAAGATCGATCAACGCGGGCGCAGTGACGTTCCTCGAGTCATCCCTTTATTCGCCGCACAGTGGAACAATGAATCGGCCTTCCGTCCTTTCATCTCGTGGTCTGCCCGCCTTTAGGCCTTTAGGACCCAAGCTGGGCCATGGCCCGGTCCTCAGCCTGGCACCGGCTGTGACGATGGTTGTTGATATCTGGCTTCTCCATATACCTGCAGCTGTCAGTGCCAAATCGTCGTGGAATCGCCAAGATGGCCAGTACCACGGCACATCTCGGAAAGATTCCTCCTTCACGGTACCGACGCACATCTCCCTCGTCAGCTGGTTTAATGCTTTCACTAGCTCTGTAATCCATTTCCTGAAAGCTCCGCCCGTTACCCTCCTTATCATTGTCCCCCTTCTTTACCCCAGTCCCTGTAAGCAATTAATATTCTCGTGTAAGGCGCTTTGAGGTCCCTTTCCCTCGGCAAGACAAAGCCAGGTTCTCGTGGGGGTTCATGGCCTTGATGGACCACGTCGGTTATAATGCATAACCCATTTTTGCGTCTCCATATATGCTTCCGGCGGGTGTGTAAGCCCCGTATTCAGGACTCTCCTCTGTTAAAGTCTGATCATGGGTGTGGTGCCCTGAGACAGCATACCCCGAGTCAGAGAAATGTTCGAAGGTCGAGGAGCGAAACTGTCCCGCGATCGTAACAAGCCACAAAATCTCTCCCAGTGAAAAGGTGTCGTATGTGTGTGCGTCTCTGTCAGAGCACAATAGCCGTGTGTCAAGTCCTTTTTACGGGGGGCCAGACAAAGCCTGTAGAAGTAAGTGATCTGAAAACTCGGTGTAGCGATATCAATTCTTCTAGACATCCGTTACCTGTGGTCGTTGAGTGTAATGTAGGGACTTCTTCATGAATCAGACTTCTTGTCAATTTTGAAATATACGCGTCGCGTCGCGTCTCATTTATCGCGTATCTAGTCACGTGCTGTGTGCCGCGCTCGACTTTTGCCAAGCAAAACGCTTCATGTCCTACCTTGCTAAAGCCATCCCTTCAAATACGACGACCGAATCCTGCGATGAACGTGTCTCTGCAAGACAACGGGAACAACAACGCAGCGGCTGATTCAATAACTCTCGGACAACTAAGAACGCTAGTTGGAACTGTTCCAAAGCCGAAGGTGCGGAGGCATTTCTACAGATCAGCTATAGAGTTTGTAGAGTTCCTACTGACGAACTTGAATGGGTTATAGCAATCACTATTCGACTTCAAATACGATGATGAAGATACTGTTATGAACGAGATCGAGGAGTTCTACTCCTACATCGAGATGCCCCAGGTCGCGGAGAACATGAAAGCTTGGGAGGGTTCATTTCAAGGCGGCGCGTCCCTCTTCGTTATTTCATCACCCTCGTCTATTTACACCACTCTAATATCTTAGGTGAATGGACAAAGGCTTCTCTGACCAAACGACGTGGATATGTCGACTTCCTGCTCGAGAGCCTCGAGCATCGTGACGCTGAGATCAGGTTCACGAACGCGCGCCGACTATTTTACGTCCTGCAAGGTCCCGAAATGCTTCTACCTCCCTGGACGCGTGCTCAAGGGTCCTTTTATTCATGTAGGAACGTTCGGAGAAACCGTCTCGCCCGAACACCAGCTGCACTGGATATTCGAGAACTGCAAAGTCGTCCGGGCTGCGAACGGCGTGAGCAGCATCGTGGAGGCAGTGAAGATTGCGGGGCACAAACACGATCTCCTATGGTACGTGCATTCTTATTATCATTCATCATCTTGGTGCTGTCCATCTCCATGCCGAATCTAACGCCATCCATCGTGTTCGCAGCTCGCTCTCTGACCAGGACGCTGCGCACCTGCACATAACCTTGCAAGAGAAGGCCGATCTCATCGAAGAGGTGCTGACCGAGGTGTCGGTCTATCTCGGCATGCTTTATCACCTCATTGAGGTGTTCAAAGGCCACGACGACTTTGCCGACGAGCTTAGTGAGTCAACGCGTATAGGCTCGCGAGCCGGGGTTACGCATACTGACAGGCAGGGCCACCCGTGCGTGCTGATTAGTGAGCCTCGACCCCCCGCTACCGGTGTATCTGTTCAACGTCGTGTCGAGCTTACGTGACAAGACTGCGAAGGGCTATCCCATCAAGAAGGTACGAATTTGTGTCGTACCCATCAGGGTTGGGTAAACTTATAGACTTGGGTATGCACCTAGCTGCTGCTCGTGCTGTGGAAAACGCTGTTGACATGCTGGGGTGGGGTTCTGGAGCACGCTCGTGTCAAAAAGCTGGCACGAGAGCTTGCTGGCCTGCCAACCGTCGGAGAAAGCTGTAAGGCCTTCGCCTGTCTCATGAACTTTTCTCGTTACTCACTCTCGATTGACACAACGTTGAATCTCCTTGTTCTGCAGCAACCAAACTTAAATCGTCGCCAGTCGACATCGACACCTTCCGCAACGAAACGTCCGTCAAGTACCCCACATTCACGCCGTCGCCTGTGCCCCCACCTTCGCTCGTGGACGCCCCGATCGGGAAGACCTTCAAGCCAGCACAGCTCACAAGCCGGCTCGCGAAAGCTTATTCTCCCATACCCGTCCGGCACCACTACCACCACCATGACGAGAACGAGGGTGCAATTACCCACGGGGGCCACCCCCAGGGAGGAGGGATGCCCCCACAGTTCCATCAGCCGCAGCTGAGCCAGAGCGCTTTCCGTCCACAGAACCCCCAGCCAGCCACCCCTGCACCCACCCCGCCTCCGTCCCCCAAGCCCAAGAAGCAACAATACCAGACGGACCAGACGCGCCCGTTCTTGTTCCCGTTCTCGAAGAGTCAGTTTGGGAAGAATGGGAGGCTCATTCCGTTTGCGATCGATGAGGCGGATAGGCTGTATAACAAGCATATGTACATTAGTTTGGCACTGTCCCAGATGTGGAGGACGAGGGAGGACTGCATGACGGCGGAGAGTGGGCTGGAGAGGATGCCGGGTGCGGATGCTGAGTTCAAGTCGTCGACGTTCAATCAGGATGTAAGTCTTCTTTGCATTGCATAGCGGATCGCTCCTTATTTCTGTCATAGGAAACAGATAATGGAGAGCCGCTGCCTGACGTGGCGTTGCTTGACCAGAAGATCGAGGAGGCCAGTGAAGCGATGAAGAACGCTCAGACTCCTGCAGAGAAGAGGAAAGCGAAGGAACGTAAGGAGGATTTGATGCGTCTAAAGCGTGTCGAGCAAATATACGTGGGTGCATCTTGGCTCTGTCTATGGTATTTCGACTGACTGAGAGTTAGAGCGCCATTCTCCCTGTGTTATCAGGATGGGTACTCGTACTGCTGAAGCTCCTACTAGCTACGGTCTCTGCAAGCACGAACATGCAAGCCCCTCAATCGTCAACGTCGTCTGTATTCCCCCCTACAGCCATATCCCGTATGTCAAATATTTCTTCCATGTCAGTGGATGCTTATTGTGAGAAGTAGCGCAAGAGCAACCCCCTTCTGCGCCACCTACCCTTGACGAAATCGATGTTACACGGCATCGCGAAATTACTTCCAAAGCTGTCTCTGCTATTCTTTTGTTGGTCCTCAAGTGGTTCAAAGTTTCTCGTAAGAACCCGTGGCCCTCTGTTATATTTCACCTCTTAACACTTTGTGTCTTCTAGATGTCATGAAGTTCCATCACCTTGGCCAACACTTACTCGATACAAACTGTCTTCTCCTTATCCTCAAGATGTTCGGGCTGCAAGAAGTGACCAACTCTGTCGTGTCTAAAGCAGATTCACCGGAGAACAAGTGCGAGCTCTCTCTACCCTGTCCTCTTATCCAAATCAATCGAACAATCACCCAGCTTTTTCCGATACTGCCTTACCAACCTCTCGAAGAACCCTCAAACCATCCGCCCAGAAGACGACATGTTCCGTAATGCTTCACGGCAAAACATCCGGAAGGTCACTACTCTGCCCAATGGTGAGAAGCGCGAGGAGGAAGTCGACCTGATCACGGAGTATTCGTGGCGGAATTTCTTCTCGACCATTAATTTCGCGAAGATCATGCAAAAGTTGTCGAAAGGACGATCTCATCGGATATGGATGCTTGTGCAGTACAAGAGCTCGGTGTGTTTGATTATGTTGCTCTTGGGCCACTGGGTCGACCGCTCATTAATTAATACTTTTTGCGGTTGCAGGCGGTCCTAAAGCGAGTCTTGAGAGTCAACCATCCAATGTTGCAGCTGCACGTGCTAAAGTTGATTAAGAGTCAAGTGCCATTCTGCGGTAGAAAATGGAGACAATGTGAGCTAGCAGACATTTTGCTCATAAAGTAATGGTGATTAATGGACTTTTTTTTCCCAGCAAATATGAAGGTCATCACGTCAATCTACCTCAACTGTCGACCAGAGCTTAGGGACGAATGGTTGACTGGTACTGAGCCCGACGATGCTGGCGATGCCCAGGTAGGTTCTGTGGCACATCATATGGTATATTCAACTCAGTGTACTTGCACAGGCCCAAGAACAGGCTTTACGTCACCTCGTTAAATTTTGTAGGTTCAAATTATGAAGACTAATATTTGAACTGAATACGTTCCACAGACAACAACAAACGGTATGGTCCAACAGCGACAGCTCAGCAGGGACCTATGCATCGGCGATCAGGTAGCATTTCGCAAATCGAAGGCCTGCACGCAGATCCAGCGCTTTCGAGTCTCATCCGACCACTCGGGACCCCAAACGTTGTCGACACAGATGTCTTCCCGCCTGTTCGATCTCAAGCTCCAGACCAGTCACTTTTCCTGCCATATATCCCAGAAGACATCGCCTTTGAGGAGGAATACGAGGAATACCTGTCTGACCTCGGCTGGTCTGACGAGCATTCCTCGACGACAGATCAATCGCTCTTTGGAGGCGGCACATCAGCTTGGCATAGGCTACCGACGTTCGTTTCTGAGATGACGGACGGAATTAGTGACAGCGAGAGTGTCGTTTCAATTGGCGATTTAGGGGACGAAAATCGACTGGACCCTTCAAGAGACGATCGTGAAGGGGTAGATGAGAACGTGAACAACTGGGAAGTAAGTTGGAATTGCCATCCCTCTTTCTCGATGCGGAGCAAGATGTCACTGATATCACAAATTGAATAGCATATGAGTCCGAAGACCATGGCAGCCCTCCCAAAATCACCCGCAGGTGCTCGCCGGTCGAGTTCTGGGACAGGTTTGAGACCTGTATTACCCTTTGCCCTGGACGACGAAAGCGCAGTGGACGACGACGATGTGGAACCAGAGCACCTCGGACGCGAACCTCCTTCAAGTGAATTCCCAGCAGGTGCCAGTGTCGATGAAGTCGAGTATGCATACGGGTACGGTTTCCTATGAGTTCATGTCTGCGGTGACTGACCAGAAAGCAGGGTGTAATATTAGGATCTGATATCATCTGCCAGGATAGTTTCTTGCACGTTTTCTTGCTTAGTTCTACGGAGAACACGGATGAATTCAATGAGACTGGGGTGTAGACCTGTGGCAGTAGATATCGCATCGATTGTGAGAACGCAAGGGATCTGGGCCTATGTCTTGGGCTCAACATCGTGAACAGAGAAAGAGCCAGATCTGATTACGCGGTCTAAGAAGGTTGGGTGGGCGATGAAAGGCGGCCTCGAAGCATAGGTCGGTGGAACGATTGACAAAAAAATCGGCAAAGAACGCCAAAAAGCCAGCTCTTTGGGAAGAAAGGACACTGGAAGAGAAGCTTCCCCTGGAAAAGAACAAGGGGGATTTGGCGGTATTTTTTTGTTTGTGTATGGGCAATGTATGGGCTTGCTTGGGACTGTGTTTTTTGGTGTCATCCATGATTTGGACGCTGTCGGGGTGTGTTGAACCCGGTGGCCGCAGACACACTAAGACCCTCTCCTCCGTCCCCACACCCGCCGCGGAAACGCAGTTCTTGAGGACGCCAGACACGATGACGGACGCGTCTCTGCCTCAATTCGGGCCACCCCTGGGTCCGTGCGCGGTATCTGGTTCTTCCCACGTCTCTGACATAAGCCATTTGAATCGTGGCTTGTTTGCTGTCTTCCCCCACCATCTTCCCCCCGCCCAACCAGCTACAAACAGCCGCAACCCCATCCCGCCCAAACAAGGCCATGTCGCAGCAACCCCAGGGCATGCAGCCCATGATGCAGGACCCGTCCCAGGATATGTCGGGCAACTACTACCCCCAGGAGAGCGACCTCACAGGTGGGCTCCCTATTAACCTCGACTCCCTGCGCGATGGGCCTCCCGGCAGCAAGCCCTTCTACCCGTATTCGACGCTCATTCGGTATGTCGGAGGGCCATGATCTCGTGTCCCCCGCCTCTAGTTCTAGCCAGTCACTTACATTCGTGTATGCATAGTTATGCAATCAAGGGTTCTCCGAACCAAAAGCTATTGCTTGAGGATATTTACTACGCCATAGAATCACGAGTACGTCACACTTACCGAACTGCGGTATATATAATGACTCATCTTCTCCCAGTTCCCCTACTTCAGGACGGCGCCAAATGGTTGGAAGGTAAGCATTTCTTCAATCTTTTCCTTATCGAGCCGGCTATACGCCGCGCATATGAAATTGATGTCATCGACATAAACGCGTCTCGCGGACGCGATGTTTTTATTTGACTGGTGCTATTTGTTGTTCGGAGTTTATCGCCTCCTTATTTCAAAGTGCGCCCACCAACATCCTGGTGCTGATTCTTACCCTCGCAGAACTCGGTTCGACACAACCTTTCGCTCAATCCGTGCTTCGAGAAGGTTCCTCGTCCTCTCACAGATCGCGGCAAAGGATCGTACTGGACCGTGAATGAGAATGTAGATCCTCGCACTGGTGTCCACCGCATCCGTAAGAAGAAGGCGAAGGGCTCGAAGAGTCGTACTTCAGAGGAACCTGATGCGGATTACCATCCTCCTGAAGGCACCTACGAAGAACAGCATCAACAATTTGTCGCCACGCCGCCTATCCATACCGAAGATGCCTCGGCAAATCGCCAACCACAGCAACAGCCAGTTCCGTATCCGCCTTATCCGTAAGTTCCTCGTCCTTCATGGTGCCGCGCCTCCTCATGTGTACCTCAAGTTACAGCCCCATGACATTTGACCCCAACTTCCCCATGATCCCTGGCTTGCGTTATCCTCCGCCAATCCCTGGCCCGATTCCCCCTGTCCCGATCTCGGCTGATGAAGGCCTCGAGTTGGACGAGCACGGCAATGTCAACTGGCGCCTCGCTTGGCTCAAGGAAATAGGGCACTTGCAGCAAATTACGGCCGAACAGGAGAAGGCTGGGGTCGATGCTGAGTGGTACAGGATGATGCTGTTCCGTGTTCGCAGTGCCTTGATGCCGCCTCCACCGATGAACCCAGAGATGATGCATGCCATGGCGGCGGCACCACACATGCAACCGCCTCAGCCCGGGGAAATCCAGCAGCAAGCCCAGCAACAACCGCAGTGAGGATTGGGACAAGGCTACGGACACCTTTAGTTACGGAATGTTGATGTGATGCCCTTGATGTCTTCTACGATTTCATAGTCTGTATTACGTTACGTGTACCATCTTTTTGCAACTCACGTTATAATTGATATTCAAAGTGTTGTTTCTTATAACGGGTTGCCGCAGTGTTTCAATAAACTGGCGAACAACCAAAGGCTAATCCTAGACAATGCGCATGCTGAGCACTTGACACTACTTGTCAACCCCAACTCCAGAGGAGTCCGGCAGCTAGGAGTTTTATAGCAGTAGAAGGGAAAGGATAGTCCGGATTGAGTCCGGAGGAGATTCCTATGAAAGAAGATGAACTTATTGAATATTTGAAGCATGCAGAGATGACTGCCTGCATATGTTTTATATGTTGCTCCATCTCTTGTTTCTTACGGCCGAGAGGCGCGAAAGATAGTCCGATAGAAGACGCAGAGTTGCTGAGTCAGCATGCTGATGTCATGCAGGGCTGAACCAATTATCGTTCTAAGCTTCCAGTCCACTTGTCTCTCCCAACCACGGTCACTCACCCACCTGCAGTCCAACTCACACCTCATTCGCTCTGCACACCATGTCCCCCATCGCTGTATACACCCAATCTGAGTCGGCAGCAACAATACCAGCACTAGCATCATTCAAAGGACCTGCTCTTGTGATTGGCTCGCTTTCGACAGCAGGAGATGGCAAATACCAGGCATTAATCTCTGAACTCGAGGCGACACGAAGTGTGGAGAAACAATTGTTGGACAGGCTGGTGGATGAGGGTACGTTTTCGCCTCTCCTTGTTGCTCGCACCTACATGTCCCACTTATCTCGCCCGCTTCCTCAACTACAGCCACCATTCTCTCGCCCTCATCCTTCGCATCGGTTTATGTTACTCTCGCCGCTTCAGAATATGACAATCTGAAGGCAAAATTTACTTCATTCCTTGCCCAACTCTTGTCTGGCCTAACTCCCCTTGGAACCCTCCATCTTCTTAACCTAACGTCTGCTATCCAAACCCTCCCCTCCGAGCTCACGTTCGCGGGATTCAATGTCCTCTCGTCCCTTCCAGAGAGCGGCACGATCATCGCGCAAAAGCCAGCTCAGGCCCCCAGTTCTTTGTCTCTCAAGAACCGGACCGCCGGAGCGGCGCCCCTCATGAAACTGAACCGAAAGAAGATCGATTCAGCGAAGAAACAAGCGCTTTGGGCAATCACATCGGCCCCCTCGACTCCATTAATCGATGCCGAGCTACTGCTCACCGCGGAGGATAAGGTCCGTCCAGTACCAAAGTGCGAACCGGTGAACTCTGCGGCTCCACGACGAAAGAAGGCGTGTAAGGGTTGCACGTGCGGCCTTGCGGAGCTGGAGCAGGAGGAGCTCAAGAACAGCAAAGTGGTTGTCCTGGATGGGTCACAGAACGGATCGACTATGGAAGTGAGTCAGAACGAGAAGGAGCGGTTGATTCAGGCAGTCAAGGCGGCCCCGAAGGCGACGAGCAGCTGTGGCAGCTGCTTCTTGGGAGATGCATTCCGATGCGCAAGCTGCCCATACCTTGGTATGTGTTATCTTTATCGCCGCCTTCACGCGTTCAATTGCTTATCGACACCATCCCGCTGTCAGGTTTGCCCGCATTTAAGCCGGGAGAGAAGGTCGAAATCGATTTCGGCATGGATGATCTGTAGTTACCCGCTGAGGACTCTGTTGAAAAGGCAAACACACGTACTTACACCCATGCATGACACAGTGGCATTTATCTTCTAGATTATATGTATCGCTTTTGAATAACTTCCTCGATTCTAATCCTCAAGGAGCCGTCGCCTTCGTCCTTCGTCCTGAACCCTGCTACATTTCGGCCGATGGGTATGCTTATACATCTGTAATATATATGTTACCTTGCGGGCTTCATCCACGTAATAACGTGCTGAGTGTGCAACGAACGCGTTGTCGCCTGAGAAGATAGGGGCGGCTTAATGAGCCCCAGAAAGATGACCTAAGCAGCCTCGGTTCCCACCAATCATATTCGTCTCCGAGGCCTCAGCCTTCTCCACTCTCAACAGCAGTACGATTGTCTTACTTCCAAGGCTCAGAGTCGTCGGTATTCTACGTGTACTTCAGCCATTTTCTTTTATGGCTGCACCACTCCATCCCTCCCTTCCGCCAAAACCGAACGTGCCCTTGCCTCCACAATTGCCAGAACAACCTCAAGCATCGACTTCCACGCCTTCGAAGCCCATTTGCGCGATATGCACAACCCAATACGCGAAATACACCTGTCCTGGATGCTCGATGCGTACATGCTCGGTGGTCTGCTCTGCCTCACACAAGACGAAAACAGGATGTACGGGGCAGCGAAACAAGGTGGCGTATGTCCCTGCAAACCAGTATGGGTGGGGTACGATGGTGAACGATTATACCTTCTTAGAGGAGATGAGCCGGAAGGTGAGTGAGTGGGGTCAGGAGATTGTTAGAGGTGGCTATGCGTCTGCGCCGACGAGTGACCGCGGCAGAGGGAATACGAGGGGCAGAGGGAGGGGTATGAGAGGTAGAGGAAGGGGCGGCCGTGGTGGACCGGGAATGACGAGACGCGATATCCTCAAGATTCAGCTTGAAGCAAGAGATATTGACGTCGACTTGCTGCCTATGGGAATGGAGAGACGGAAACTTAACCAATCGTCATGGGATGGAAAGTACGTTCGAAGACAACCTTCTATAAGAAACAAGATTAACGAGTATTACTGCAGAAACCAAACGGCGCTTTTGACGATCGAACTCAAATTTTACAAGCCCAAAGATCCTCTTGCCTCATCTTCTCAGCCTCGGGATCCACCCTTCACGTTGGTCGCACATAAGAACGACATGAAAACACCGCTGCTATCTCTGATTCGTTCGCGACTAGTGGAGGGCGTCAAGTCCAAGAAGGAGAGCTCACATCCACAATGGGTCAAACAATTGGTCTTTCCTGATGCTGAAGATCCTGAATCGTTCGTGAATCCCCAATGTGTCATGGCTGCCAAGATCGACCCTTTAACATTGAAACGGCTAGTCAAACCAGCGACGGGAGGCTACCATTCTCTTGATCCAACCCAGCCTCTTTCCACATCACTGCGCCATACGGAGTTCGTAGAATTTCCGACAATCGAGATTTGGGACGAGTTTCTTGGGACGATTCTTGATGCGCGAGGGATCGTCAAGCAACACGAAGAGAGGCCAGTGAAGAGGAGGAAGACGAATACCAAGGCTGGTCGTGCGGCAATTGCTGGACTTCTTGGTGGATACGGTAGTAGCGAGGAAGAGGTGGAGGTAGAGCCTAAAAGCGTGCTGGCCAGTCTAGAAGAGTACGCTGGCAGCGATGGTGACGACGAAGTGGGTTCAGGTGGCAAGGATGCCCCAGATGACATAGATTTCGGGGCGCTGAGTGATGAAGACGCTGAGGAGTTAGAACTTGACCCTGCTGTGCTACTTGAGCTAATGGCGAAAGTACGCGGGAGCGAGCCTTGGGCCGTAGAAGATGAAGCAGTTGATTGGGGAGATGTGGATGACCCAGAGCCGAAATGACATTGAATCTAGAGCGTAGACGAGTGAGTACTATTACCACTGCCATCTTTTCCTTCATACGTCCTGTCGACGTAAATCCAGCAATCCTTTCATTAGCAGCTGGACTTCCAGCACAGCTTCGATTGAGCGGCTTAGCGGTGTTTCCTGTGTATTACGGATAGGCTCAGCCGTTTTGACCTCAACCTCCCACAACGTGTCTGCATGGGCTGGGATTGGGAGTTGCGTCTTAGGGTCAACCTTACATCATAGTCGCTCATTAGCGCTCCTGAACATGCGGTGAAGAATAGTAAAAAAAAAAAACTTACTTGTTCTTGTTGGAACATCAGGATGAGCAGTGAAGCTCGTCTGAAGGCGTATCCTCGCTTGTAAATCTGTGACCGTCGTCTGGAGTGGATAAATGTCGGTCACGACTGCAGAGAATCGACAGGGAAGACCGCCCACGCATAACCCAGCGCTGCTGCAAAACTCAAAGCATCTCCAATCACCTGGCAAGTTGCCCAAGGCCGGACTGTAGCTTCAGGGTGCACCCTGACAGACTCCGGCTTGAGAAATGAAAACAATTCCCTGTCAGATATCCAATCTGGTGATCAGCAAGGGAGTGCAGTCGGCAGCAGTCATCGACGGAAGACGGACCAAGAAGCCTTAGGCTCCGAAAGCTCCTTCTTTGCACGGAGAAGGACGGGCTCGACACCGCTGTCTCGCTGCTGCTGCACATCTATCGGTTCGAATACGATTTCCTGGCTATGGAACGATTGTGACGATTCACTATGGAGCGTGATGCGATTGAGAATGGCCTTGAGGTCCTGCGAGAAGAACTCTCCGAAGAGAGCCACTTCATAAGAAAGCGATGACATAGTCTGGTTTTGACCGCGAGAGAGAAAGTGATTGCCTCTGTGGTTGACGCGTTGTTTGGTTCGGAGGCTGATGCAGTGCGGGCCATTCGGCGCTCATGAAGTTCATGTCATCTTAAGCCGTACTTAGTGCGCCTTGACTACAGATCTCAGATACTTTCCTAGCACCTCGCGGTGGAAGGTGACATGGCTGTCTGACTAGAGCTCTTGCGACAATCTACCTAGCTAGGGCCGTACAGCTTGCGACTCGGCGTCGACGACTCAGAACGGCAACTTTTGTGGCGCTTTGGCGTGTTGAGCACCTCGTTTAGATTTCTGTCACTGAGTGACCTGCAGCATGAAAAGAAAAAGACGGCTGCAATTGGCCGCACCTGTAAACACCTCTCGGTCGTGCGGTGGGTTCAGACTCCCCAGCGCAAAGCTTCGGACTGCAAATGTCGATATTCTGCAAATGCGCTCCAAGTTTCCTGCGGGCAGTCCCAACCAGTCCCAAACGATTGGGATTGGTTTCTTCTAGCTTCTAGCTTCTGTGCGCGGAATTGCTGTGGCGATTTGATTGATTGGAGACGCGTTCCTCCGCAAGCAAGCTCCTCAAGCGTTACCTTGAATTTTGAAATCCTAGCTGCGCCGCGGTCAAGCCGCTGCATCGGCTCGACTCAGACCGACTGAGCGTATCATCTCGTAGCAACGAAAGTCCAAGGTAAGTGGATCCTTTAAGGACATAGACGTGAGCGTATCGCCGAAATTTTGCACATTTGAGCAAGCATGTCAGTACGTCAAGAATAGTCAGACACACTTATGGTTTCATGGATGGACGTATTGGGTAGGGTATTGTAACTCGTTGTAGGCAGGACTGGGGCGAAATGTAGCAGAGTTGGGGCAAGTATTTAGCGAAAGTTAGCAATCAGACATTTGCGGCAGCTCGGTTCCTGACGCGACGAAGAAGGCAACTGGCGGGTTGGCAGCTGCTTCAATGTTCCATCCTCCACACCCAACCCGTGTCTATACTAAATCCGTTTCCTAAATCACTCTATCACCATGAGCTCGACCTCTTTCTCCGCGTATAAGCGTCCCTCATATAAATCCAGACAACACCCAGGTATGCCTTCCTTTTTCCCAATGTTGTCACCATGAAAAGTCCCCTAAAACGTCTCTCCTATGTCCTTGCTTTCGTAGGCGACATCAATCCCAAACGTCCTACCCTCGTCAGGGAGCCTTCAGAGAATCTCCTTTCCTACTACGAATCCTCCATCCCGAACGAAAGTCCCAACTACGCGCGGTCATCAACCCCGGAGAAAACACCTTCCCGACCTATACATCATCATACTAGAAAGATCTCTACCACCTCCACCTCCTCCTCCGACTACTCTGACGAGTCTGAAACGACGGATGCTCAAGATGCAGGCTCCGAAACATCGGCTAGCGTGACAAGACGGTCAAACACGCCATCGAAGGGTGCAGCAGACAGGCGACGAGTGGCCATCGTTGAAATGGATACTGTCCATGAAGGAACGCAGAAGTCGCACTCGGGAGTGGCCTCCAATCCCGGTTCACTACGTTCACGGCGCGGCCATAATTCCAGCCTTGCTGGTCTCGCCCTCGTCGCACCGCCAGATGCAGCCCTCAGAACATACACGCAACTCACGCCTCCATCAACCGCCCCTGCTACAGGCGACTACGACGGCGACAGTCTAGTGACAGTCCATCAAGATAGAGGACATCATCGTTCTGCTTCGGAGAACACTGCTACCAAGACTGCGTCGTCTCGTGATACGGGTACCGTGGGGACCAGTCAGGGCGCGTTATCCTCCACCGTGGCCGAGAGGAGCAGAACAAGGGGCAAGGACAAGAATAATAACAATGCACCTCCTTCTTTCGCCTTTCAAAGAACGACAGCTTCTCGATCGCCTTCTCCTACGCGCAGTGCACTTGCCCAAGGACGTGCTTTACTCTCTCCTCCGGACAGCGTCTACCCTCCAATGAGTACTATCGACATGTTTTCGCCCATCGTTACGCCAGACATCGGAGAAGGGAAAGAGATTCACATACCTGTGGCGGCACCAGTCGTGGTCGACTTGGAAAGTGCACAGTCCCAGAAAGCTCTGTCTTCTTCGATGTCTTCTCGGTCAGAAAGTCCAGCATTTCGTGGAGCCGGCATGTCCTATGGAAGTCCCGTCTCTCTCTCTTCCTCTCTCACGTCAGCATACCTTCGCTATCAGCCTGGTAAGTCCATTTGTGATGTTTTCCTTGCTCGAAATATCAACCTTCGATCCCATATAGGTCTGCACGCGACTGCGGGACCTTTACCCCCTCCACCCAGAGCAACGTTTTCCATCGACGTGTCAACTCCTCCTCCTCCCCGCCCTCCACGGCTCCATTCACCTTCGCCAGCACGGATAAGAGGTGACCTTGATGCGGTGAAACAAGCTCTCCAGCTTCCTCCCTCCGTATCTGCCGTTCTAGCGTCAAGAACCCCCAAGTTGGATGAGACCAAAAAGGCGTTAGATTCACAGCCCCCTCTAACAGAAACCAGCGAGTGAGTACTAAGTGGTGCTAGTCGTCTTCTCACCCAATGACTCGACCAACAGCCCGGTCTCAGAGACAAGGTCTATACATCGCAGAGAAGGTGCCATGCTCTCAGCTTCTGTCGATACCGCGTCCATTGGCTCAGGGTCTTCGGCCCCTCGCGCGTCTTCTCCCATGCCGTCCACCTCAAGATCGTCGGAAGACTCTACACCCTCCAAAGATCACGTCTCAGTCGAACAACAGTCGTCGACGTCAGATGATGCATCTCCTTCGGTGACTGTGGTCGAACCTCCACCACGCTCACAGAACGACTCACCAGAGAAGTTCGACCATAGCAAGTTTGACCAGTGGTTGGCGGACAATCCTCAGCTGACTCAGCCATTGGAGGGCAAGCGAAGTCTTTCGTTCGAGGAACCAGCTCGCGGCTCTTTGGAACGTCCTCTATCACCTCTATCATATGAAAGTACAAGTGAGGCGCCGAGCCCGCCTCCCAAGAGTCTGCGGAATAGTCTGACGAGCAATTTCAAGCGATTCTCCGCACTGCCGAAAGCTTCTTCAATATCCTCGAGATCAGCACGATGCTCGTCAGGAGGAACGCGGTATTCCTCACGTACACCTTCTCCTGTTCGCCATAAATCACCTCAACGCACACCATTTCAGAAGATCAAGTCCACGGACCCTGCTGCTCTCTTTTGCCATGAAGTTAACACGCAGACCACAACACTGCAACGATGTGCCATATATGCGTCAAAGATTAACGAACTTTATCTTTATGACTGCGGTCTTACGGAATGGTTAGCTGAGACAAAATATCGAAGTGCGTCGTCGACGATACATTACTGAAGTCACTCTCTTGCTGATTCTTCTTCTAGCTCAAAATAACACTCAAGCGCCGCGAGCACCGTCATCAACGCATTTCAGCCCTCAACCGCGACACACATCACGATCGTCAATGATATCTGAAGCAACATTTCCCAGACGACCGGACGCGTCAACCGCAACAGACCTCTCCCAAGGAGCGTATAGAGATATCACACCCCCTAGCGCACCTCCTCCCCTTCCATACCCATCCTTAGCACTGAATCCCCCGCGAAGCAACCCTACGCGTTCGAATTCGAGTGTGGGGAGTGGTACTCCGCCTTCCTCTATCCGTTCGTTGGCACCATCCTTGTCGACAAGTAGCAAAGGCACGGGTTTCTTTGCATCCCTCGGGCGGAAGGCCAGTCTCTCCAAGAGGGATCGGCTTCCTCCAATATCATCGCCCAGCGGATTATCTCCTGGCAAACACACATCTAAGAACAGCCCTTCGACGATGACCATATCGAGGCCGATCAATATTACCTCCCCTCCTACTGTGCCCGGGGGGCCACGCGCACCTCCTCGTAGGGTTCAGCGCTCCCAAACTTTCATGACGTCGTTCTCGCCTCCGTCGTCGGTGGCTCGCGACCGTGATGACACACTGGGTCGGCGTCCTTCCATGTTTAATCTTACATTGGATAGCGTCATTGACATCCAACCAGATCCGGAATTCGTCAAACAAGTTGACAAACTTGCGGCACTGCTGCCACATGCGGACCGAGAGGTGCTTGCAGGATATCTGCGACGTGCTGGTCAAGATATGCTTGCCATCGGCCAATATTTGGAAGATGAGAAGAATGGCACACTTTGGTCTTAACTAATCCACTCCTTCCTTTCGTTATTATTAATTCAACTCATACTTGCTTTCGTTCTTTCTGTGCTACACGGACTCCTGGATCAGCAAAACCATCAATGTAAACATCTGTATTCATCACTATCCTTGGGAGTTTTTTTTTTCTAGTGCGAGAACACAAGAACACAATACACAATCACAATATACACACCGTAGACAGGTAATAGTTGTACAATTGTTCATAATGAATCCAACCCATGTCCATTTTATTCATTACCTTGCTGGACGGAATCCTCCTGCAGGGCGTTTGTTTGTCATCGGCGCAAAGACTACAAAGAAATTAGAAAGAGGTATCAAGCAGTTCATGCAGGCTGTACCTCGTTGAACAGAGCGACTGGTTTGAGAGAGATCTGGGACTTGCCACCCACCGTTAGTCGACACCGACGTTCGTCTCGGATTGTGGTTTATCAGCATGTTTTCAACCTCATTGACGCTGCCTGAGCGATCTGATAAGGTTCCAGGTCGATAGGTTTGTTCTCGAGAATTTGCGAAATTCCCAAATGGTTGACGGTGTGGAGCACTTCGTTGCCCTGAAGCGGACCAGTCATTTGCGCCATGCTGATGAGCGGGGAAAGTTCCTCCGTTGGTTCGAGGCACCAGCGGCGTCCGTTGAAGCTGTCGTAGACGAGTCAACCAGCTTCAAAAGGCAATGACCCCAATACTCACCCCAGTAACTTCCATCCCACCCACGACTGCTGTTAAGTCTACATTGCCTGTCAGATTACCTGTTTGAGCTCTCGGTCTCGGGCATTGATCATCGATAAACTGATTGTGGTTTGGCATTCCAGCGGCGTTTGGGTTATTTTCGTTCCCGGTTGACCCGAAAAGTGCCTTTCGTTTGAGTTTGTCGAACTGTATCTGCGATGTGTTAGTGGAATGCGTGGGGTTGTGTCCATTCTAGAAACGTACCTTCAACTTTTGATATTCCTTGTCCCTTTCTCGTGCAGCTTCCTGGAGCTCCCGGACTTTCTTGCGTTCAAGCTCCACATCACGCTCGAGCTCTTGTCGCCATGGAGGTGACATCCGTTAGTCGTCGAAGACTCTGCATGACGCTATATTGTTGTTACCTTCCTTCTTGTTGTTGAGGAGATTGAGTTCACCATTCGCTAAAGAACGTTCGAGTGCGATGTATTCATCGTCATCGGAACTGTCTCGTAAGGCTGCACACCTTCTCTAATCACGTTCTCTAGTTGCTTTTGGAGCTGGGCGTTCTTATCATTCAAATTGCGCACAACGGCTTGCTGGAACGTGCTGCGACACGAATCAAACGTTTGTCAGGTTATATGTGTGCAGTGCAGCGAGATAATCACCTCTCTTGATGTATTTGATACTGCCAGAAGGAGATTGCTCTGTCGATCCAGAAGACGGCTGAACAAAGAAGCTATCACTCCGTGAATTGCAGGATCACAGACCGACTGCAAATTTCAAGGATCGTCGAAGGCGTCAACCCGGAGAGAACCGACTGTAAGAGAAAATTAGAACATGCAAGTTAACTATATGCGCGATCTTACAGTTTTATAGTCGTTGGTAGGGTGTAGTGAGCAAAGCTAGGGCCGTTTATAAACCAGCGGTTGAGTTCTATTCACAAGACCAACTTACAACGACATCATCTCTGTGAAGAAGTCAGGAAAGTCCGAAATTAAAAGTGCACGGAGACTTCACGGTTCTGTCAGATTGGTCTCGCATGCTGTGCAAGTATTTAAAACATGGAACGGAGGGCTCGGAAGAATAGCGTGCCTGGACAAAGACGGGCTGCGTTGAAGAGTTCATTCGCGCAATCGACTATCGCAGGCCATGAGGTTCAGAAGAGGATCTTCCGGTCTTATATTGTATCCATACTGCAGAATATATGAGAGCCTAGTTTAGGATAAGTATGTTGAAGGGCAGTGGAGGGTGTAGAGTCTTACAAGTTGTCTTTGCAAGGGAAACGTTCGCTCTGTCATTTGTTTGGACTATTCACCATGACGGATTCAACTCACTACCACTGCTTTGTCGGTCAATCCTCGACGACACGTTAGCCGATTACATTTGAGGTCGGAGTCCATGAATGTCCTATGCCATTGAGTGTGCACGAAAGTCGCAAGACGTATTTCAAGATGGTGGGAGGCACGAAAGAATGAGTCGGCTAATGCTGAGCGAAAAAGGAAAATGTTTGCCCTCGGTAAGCAACTTGAAGCCCAGCCTCCTGGGCAATATTTTGGGAAACGACCTTTTCATTGCATGTTAGATCTATACAGCCGGCCAACGAGAATGTTCAACTACTTTTCATCCTATTTAACAGCGGATAAAGACAGATAAATCAAGATGGAACCCAGAGGTACAGTACAAGGCAGGAAAGGGACAAGGGAGATGCAAGCAGGATGAGAGAAAAGGAGAAAGTGATGCTATCTATGTATGTATGCATGCGTAGATTGAGAAATTGCGCGTTCAGAAAAGAGATGACTACAATGCAGAGGCAGCTCAGAGACAAGGCGAACGTGAGAAGCAGAAAAGTGAAGATGGATGTCATGGGATCGTAGTATTATTGCAGAAGGTTGGGAGGAGGAAAGGCCGGGATTGATTGATGTATAGACAGCGGATCAGGTCGAAACCATGCCTGAATCTTCCTCTTCACCGAAGATCTCGTCGAATATGTCTTTACCTTCGAGAGAAAGAGGGGGAAGTTGGGCGACGGAAGGGTCATCTCGTGCAGCCTTGACCCGACGAATGCGTTCAGCGTTCCATATCCCCTCCAAGGACGCAGTGAGGTTCTTCAAGCCCAAGAGGAAGCCACGATCCGGGTGGTCGGGATAATGAGGCGGAAAACGCGCATATAGGAGGCCTGTCTCGGGATCGACCTCGGCTTGATAGCCTTTCGAGCTCGAGTAGACTTCGAGCGGTCGATCACGTTCGACGGTCGCCTCGGAGTACGGAAGCCAGTCACGGCCGGTCGTCGTATGGGCGAAGTCGACAATGCGGACGTTGATCTCACCGCGCTTTCGTCGACCACTAGAACGCTTCGCGACGGAACCGATGAGAAGATCCTCGCTGTGCGATCGCCTTAGTGGAGTTCGATCGTGACTCTGCGAATTGGATCGACGCTCGAGGGACTCTCCGCGCTTGCTTCGGGAAGAAGGATGCTCGAGAACGACGGATCGGAAGGCCTCTTGCGATTCGTGGTCGCCATCATAGATGAGAAGGACACTACAACCATAGAAACGATAACCCTTCAGACGATGAATGATTCGCGCCAATGCGTACAGCTTCTGAAGCAGAATGGGAATCTGGTATGCCAGTAAACGCACGCCGTCATGGAGGAAGGACCTGAGCACGGAATCGAAATCCTCCGGACGCACTTCTCGACCACTGTACTTGTCCTGTGTTACATAGCTTTGCGTAGCATGATTCCAAACCTTGAAAAACCTCTATTAGCGTCAAAAATCATTGAAACTCGAACCCAATGCAACGCACCTGCATACCACAAACCCGGACCCCGAGAGTTCTGCTCGTGGTACGATCACACTTCTTCCGCTGACTCTTCTTCTTGGCCGAGGTGGCGTCCATGCCATATTGACGAGTACCCATCTTCAGATCGATGACGCAAGGATGCTTCAACCGCCCAGTCAGATCTTCCATTAAAATGAAATGATTCTGACGGGTAACCGGAGGTTCTGACTCGACCGGTTGGTGCAGAGTGGAACGCTGGTAAGAAGTGCGGAGTAGTGGCTTGCTGTCCAACGACCCGGAACGACTTCTCTTCCTGCGAAGCGATGGCGCTAGGGTCTGAGATTGGCCATTCACTGGGTCGGTCGCTGACCTCGTAACCTCACGGTCCTTCCCGAACAGCAGCTTATTCGCACCCTTCGACTCACCCTCTGTGTTGTCCGAACCGCGGAGCATGGAATCACTTTGGACCCGCCGAATAGACGGTTCGCCTGTGTCCGACATGGCACCAGTCTCGTGGTTGACATGGCGGAAGAGCTTCCTACGATAACGTGATGGAGGGGGACGGGAACGATGACTACATTCACCGTCGGCGAGGTCACCCTCGTCCTCGGTTCGGGCATATCCAGCTGGTTGGTGACTGAGGCGTTTACGGAATCGTCGCAGCACTGTGCTGAAGACATGGTCCTTGAGCTTGGTGTTTACCACAGTCGAACCAATGCCGCCGAACCAAGGCGAACCGGGCATTACCCTCTCCGAATGGAATGCGCGAAGAGAGGGTCTATGGCTATTCTCCTCTTCATCTGGTACCGAAGGTCCAGGTAGGGGCGCTTCAGAAAGGGAGCGTTCGGACATACGAATGGGAAAGGCATGAGAGATTTGATTCGGAGAATTGACAGGGGTCGGGGCATCCATTTCGCTGGTGTTGCATGGGATGCAATTGGACAAGGGACTCTGCCGTGTACTGGTGAATTCCTGGCCTGGCACCGTAGACGCCAAGTCAGGACTTGATGCCGTCCCTCGAGTCAAGTGACGAGGCCTCAAGGTCCGATGTGCGATAAATGAGGAACCGCTGACATTAGAGTACGACAGCGAACGGTTGCGTCCACCGTTAAGCATCCATTCCGGAATAATATGCCGATTGTGGTCCAGCATCACTTCAGGCATCTCGGCTTCGTCGTTGTCGGTCGCAGATTGGTCCTCTGGGTCGAACGGTGTAATGTCCTGGCCACCCAGTGACGTCCTCGAAGACGGTTTAAGCGTGTCCGCACTAGCGACATGGGCGATAGTCGGCCGGTCAGAGGGTTTGGATGTCGCAGAGCTGGGTAAGGCTTTGCTGGACGCATTGGAGGACTTGGGTGCACGCCGATAGCTAACCAACATAACTCCGAGATATCGGGGAATAAAGCCAAGTAGAGGGGGAGCTTCTCGCTCGACAGACTCGTAGAACAAATTCTCACGCGAGACCAGAGGCTAGAGGAAATGGATTGAGGTGAAGAAATGAGCGAAATAAGGAAGACTTAAATCAAAATTCCGAACCTTGCAGACTGCTTGCTTCGTGAATTTGTAAATGGCACTGTGCCCACCGACTTGATTCCGGAAAGGGCGCAAAGGGATGTGTGGAAGACGGTCCTCTGGCAGATCGAAATCGAAAGCTAACGTTTCATCGTCCAGGTTCTTCAGAGGGGCACTATTCAGCACATCACCATCGTCCAGGGCCGGAAAGTGATGTACGTCATCTTGGTCGTAGAAAGAGGTGGGAGGCTGGTGCAAGAGAGTCGAGGAAAAAGGATGGTTGTCCACGTCGGTGTCGTCACCATATACCGAAGTGTTGGAGGCTGCGGTAGACGTAGCCGATGCGGTTTCCCAAGCGGATTCGTCGTCCGTTGACCAGGGGGAAAAGGACTCCAAAGGGGAAATGGGGGCAGAAAATGATCCGTCGGGGTGGTGTGCTGTACGAACTGGGGTAGGCGATCGAGAATGACGAGGAGTGGTGCATATTGGGGGTAGATTGGGCAGAGGAGCTGGACATGAAGGGTCATCAGGTAGTATGACTTCTTGAGACTGTCGGTGGGACAAGGGGATACGGCTGGCAGGTGAACGGGAGGGAGAAGGTGAAGGAGGGTAGGCCCGAGAGTGAGGACGGATGTATATAGGGGATGTTTCGTGGAATGGTTTCATGCTAGGCAAGTGGGATTCGGGATGTTCGTCGGCGAAGTCGTCGGCGGTGCGCTCGCGTCGTCGTCCGCGGCTCATAAGGAGGTCTTTACGCCATTGAGCGACGTCGGAGGTTGAAGGGCCTTCTTTGAAAGACATTTTGCGTTCCAAATCCTTACTCTCGAGGAGGTTGTCCCTCGTCTTCGCTCGTTCCAGGATGGTCATGCTTCTTTCTCTACGAACCGCGGCGGTTTCGCGATCCGGCCATTCGGAACGCTTGACAAACTCGAAAGCTTCGGGTACATCCTCCACATCCTCAAATGGTTCGACCCTTCGACTTCCCAAAGGTACATTGGCGTCGCGACTAGAGGAAGGTTCGCCAGAAGGCTGCTCCTCTGAAGGAGCTGTGGTCTCCCTGAATAACTGGAGGGAAGCGGCGACTTTACGTCCGATGCCGGGATTTATGTGATGAGGAGCGGTTTCGTCCCGGTCGATGGGTGTCGAAGAGGATGAGGACGAGGAAGAGGAAGACGCTGTACTTGAGACACTCGCGTTTCGGATCAAAGGGCGGGCAGATTTTGAAGAGGAGGGGAGGAACGGGTCCTTGAAGGGAGGGGCCGAGCCAGAAGGCAGCGTCAAAGCTCTGGACATGGCTTTCCGAGAGCGCTTCCGGATGGAGATGGTTGATGGTGATTTCTCTGTGTTGTAGCCGTCTGAATCGGTGGCGTTTGACAGCGCTCGCTGCTTCCCGGACCTTGCAGAGGCGAGGGAGTGGGAGTGGCGGAAGGAGGGGGCAGCCTTGGACGCGATGAGGAGCTTGTCGACAATTTGGGCGTCGTGGGTCAGTGTCGGTGTGATTCGCGGGGACGAGACTGCGGTGACATTGCCTGAGCTTGGGGGCGAGAGGGGGAAGCGGTAGTGCTGTTTCTGCTCGAAGTTGGCCGCCATCGACGGCGTGGATGAGGCGTGGGGGTCAGGGTGGGGCTGGAACGAGAGAGAGGCGAGCGTGGTGGCAGTGGGGTATTAAAGCTAGAGGCCAAGCGAGAGAGTGGACTGTTGGACGGAAAAGCGCCAGTTATGATATCAGCGGTCAAGTCGAGCTTTGCGTGCGGCACTTTCCACGTGCAGACCCCCGGAACACTCCGTAATTTCAGAGTCCGCGTGACTCAGCCTCCGTCGAACGTGCTTCCCCCAGTTGTTCACTCTTCTCCTCCCTCCTCGGGGTCTCATTCCTCTCGCGCACGTTGGCGCCTCTCCTCATTCAACGGACCATCTCAACGTTCTTCACAGGTTCATTCACACTGCCACATCCGGCTGCCCCGCATTTCTCCACGTCTCGCTTTACCGGCCGCTATACTTGGTTCCTTCACGCCCATTTGCGCCATCCACCACCTATCGCCCAGTCGCACATGGAATTCGTATCGTCCTTCTCACAGGGAATATCCGGCGCCCTTGGTCCTTCGGAAATAGTCCGTCGGCGATTCGACTAATCGCGGCTTCGACTTCCCCATCCAGTCGCGCTCTCTATGATTTATGCTCATCTCCCCCATCTCGGTCCGACACCGTGCCATTTCACCCCTTCCCCTATTCCTGTTCATTTCCGACTATTCGGCATCAGATAAGGATTCATCCAACACTGCGCGTGAAACCCTCTAAGTAAAGACTAACCTCCGCTGTGTTTACTCCATGTACAACTGATGGTCTTCATTCCGGTCAGCCTATTTTCTCTCAGAGGACTGTATCTATAAATACTGTAACTTCTTTCCGTTACGGTAATTCATGGTATCTTTCAGTCTGGTATTAGATAATGTTTCAAGGTGACCCGGTATCTCTTTTTGTCATGCTGTGCAGATAGATATTTCATCCTGTTCATAACAGGACTTTTTTTTACAGTGGAAAAATTGCAATCGCTCTCCTCTGGCTTCATATTTACACAATGCAATTTGTGAAAATTGGTAGTTGATTATTATGTGATAGAACTTGGTCATTTGACTGCCAAGAGAATGCCAAGAACAAATATGACTCATTGCTAAGTAATCTTCTGTCACTTTCTGGTCTCAGATTCAGACTCAGCAGAGTATATATAGCCCACAGTTCCATTGTTTCAAAAAGAAACCCCAATCTTTTTGCCCTACTTACACAACAAGTTTAAAGCTGTTTGCCTAATCAGCAAAAGAAATGAATCCACTCTTATCTTGTGCTGTAGACCTTGATCCTCTGGCTTCAAGTTCTACACTCAAGACAACAGCAACAGTGACAATACAACTGCCACTGTTTTTGGCCAGCCCAAGTGCATCACCTCCACCATTGCACTTGGCAAGATCCTCTGGAACAAGGAAAAAGTCAAGCCTCAAAGTAAAGATTTCTGTTGATGTGAATAGACAATACTCAAATCATGTTGCACAGAATTTTAACATGTCAACCAGTTCCAGAAGATCATCTGTGAAATGGTCAACACCAATTTCTCAAACCAAGCTCATACCATCCAAAAGCACCACAAGCAGTCTAGTACCTTGGTTGCTAACCTCTTCAGAAATAGAACAGAAACCAGCAGCAGCACAGTCTCATGTTTCAGACCAACAGAACTACCAATACCAACCACCTGAAACTCCTCTCTTGTACATCGGAAGTTCTCACAGCACATCTACTGGTGCTGCTTCTCTTGATCAATCTTCAAGCCTTTCTGCATTTATTGAAAGCTCCTGGTCCATCTCTCAACATAAAGGCCTTCATGATCCTGATAGGCTTCTCATTGACCTGGAAAATGTCTCCTTGTCTCCTGCTCATCAGGCAAGAAATGGCTCTCATTTACCCCTTTCTGGAATTTTCACCAGGCCAAGGTCAAAGCCAAAGGTGGAGAATCTAGCAATGGTTGAGGAAAAGGCTAGAATGAATCTTCTACCTCTCCAGAGAGCCATGCTTCCAGAATCAAGGACAATAAAAAGAAGACCTCTTAAAGAAGTGATGCTACCTGTTGAGGTTGAACAGCCAATCATCAACACACATTCATCACCACATCCACCACCTTCTGATGATCCACCACTTTCTTGCAATATCCAAACACCAACCCCTCCACACTCGCCAGAATGCCATTCCACAATTATCCAGCCAAGCTACACACTTGACCCAAGCATCCCAATCCTCAATATTCAGGATATTCCAACCTACCCAGCTGCAGTCTATGGCTCTTCACAAAGCAGCCAACCCAAGAAGAGCCCAGAGAAGCAGAATCGAGAGGTGTACACCAAGAGGAAGGCCAGCCGAAGTCCCAGTTTGGAGAGATGTCCATTAAAGACCATCAAAGCGGACGGAAACATTACCTCCGCTCCAACCCCAAAAACCAAGGACCCACGCACCGACGTTTTTCCAAGGCTCGATGAACTCGGACCTGCCCTCAGCCAAATCACCCCACCACCGGAATGTCCGCTTCCTCGAGGCGAAGATGTCGCAATGACATTCGAGCCCCCGGAGACTGTTGTACCGGAGGACGACAGCGACGATGACAGTCTGTTTGGCGACCATGAATTCGAGGCGAGCACGTCGAAAGAGGTGGACCGCGGGCGCCAGCTGGATCGTGTGGTTCCTACAACAGGGGCTAGGTGGCGTAGGAAATCACCCAAAAACACCAAGATACCAAAGGCGAAGAAGGTGGTGCCCGCTCCGAAACCAAAGACGAGGCTGCCCGTGAAGCATATCACCGTCGTGGAGTGGAAGAACGACTTGGAGCGATTCCACTACCTCGCGTCAGGGGGGAAACTTGATTGGAGGCCTGCGGAAGAGCTGTATAAGCTGCTCACTACTATCGACGAGCGGAAGGACGATTCGTACCTCACCCCCGAGAATCTCATGAAGACCCACCTCGCGACGGCAGTCAAGAACTTCCGGCATGGTGGGTTCGAGGGGAAGACGAGGCATCTTGCGGACCAGATAACGAAGTACTGGCGGCAGCTATGTCGCGAGGCGTAACCAGATGATCTGCGGGAGGCTAGCGTGGGCTGGTGCAAGGATGAAATGCTTCAGGCGCTCGTATGCCAGAATTCTGTGTCGTATCGTGTTTTCAGCATCCGTGTTGCAAAGTTAATATGATCAAAGATATACCTTTTCCTTGTTTACTTGTTCATTAGGTCTCTATTTCATTCGTCAAATTGGTGGAGAGTGTCGACAAGAGGAGAAGAGGAAGTACGAGGGGGTTGCAGGACTGCTGTGTGTGGCAATGTGGCATGACGGTTGCAGTGAAAGGTTGGTGGCTGGCTCACTCGGCCCCGGTGATGCCATCACTTCCTCCGAGCATGGTACTTGATTCTATGTAAGAATGATATACTTATATACAAGTCTATAAAATAGCTCTTGTCCCTAATGATTTTCAAATGATATGCATGCCGCCACCCAGAGCGGTAAAGTCATAGTTATCGTCATAATGACCGCCCGTAAATTTGAATCCTGTACAAGCACGAGTAATACTACTATACAGTACAGTAAGCGAAAAGCGAACAAACGAAAGGGATAAAAAAGTGAATTGAAAAGAAACAGGTACCGAAATTCGAACCTGGCTCAAAAACAGGGCACAGCGAGTCTGGTGTCAACCTTCCTCTTCTTCGCTGCTGGGCCCTCGTCGCCAGAATCGTCATCGACGACGATGAGAGGAGACCCTGGATCAGCTGAAGGAGGCGGTGGTGGTGCAGCGTCCGGGGGAGGATTGGCTGGTGTCGACGCTCCTCGAGTCGCTATCGTTGGCGAATTTATGTCCACGTTTCCACCAGGCGTCATCCCACTACTTGAAGCTTCAGCAGCGTTGGCATTAGCTAACTTCCGCTTCTGATCCAATGGCACATTCGTGAATGGTGCTGTCGTGACAGCCGCCGCCTTTCTCGCCCCTCCACGCCCAGCACCCTTCGGTCGTCGTGCACGCTCCTTCCCGCGTTCTCTCGCTCGTCTCTCTTTGAGTGCCCTGATCATATGCCCCATCAAGATACTCAGCGCCGTCGGAGCACCCATCTTCTCCAACTGTTCCAGCATCTCCTTGGTCAGCTCAGCGAACACATCTGGGTCTAGGATAAGCTTTCGCTCATGCAAGACCATGTAACCCTCCTTTGCAGAGTTGTTTGGGTGGCCAGGGGCATAATCCGGATGTGTTGGGGGTATAGGGCCAAGAACGATGGGAATGATAACATCTGGAACAGTAGTTTGAACGGCCAACGGAGGTTGGGAAACAGGAGGTTGCGCAGAGCTGCTAGGGCCTGTCGCGGGCGTAGAGGCGGAGTGTGCTTTACCACCGACGTTGGGATGTGTTGCCCAATCAGGCTGGGCAAGAGCAGCGTAAGGATTCGGACCGGTCAGCGGCATTCCCGAGTAAATAGATGTTGTTGTAGACGCTTGCTGGTTGAGGTTTACTCTTCGTTGCGGATGTGAGGGATAAGCGAACACCCCAGTTGTAGCTGGGGTACTTCCGATAACACCACCAGAAGCACTTGCACTTGCTGAACCAGCCGCCGTGATGGCGGCGGACGGTGCTGGTGTAGGGTGAACTATCGTCTTGAAAGTCAACGGCGACGACGTCAAAGGAGGAGGTAGGGGAGCACCCTTCATATCGCCTTTGACACTACGCTTGAGAGCTGGTTCTAGCAATGCGCCTTTATCTTTCTTCCGGATCTTGGTGGTTGCAACTGCACCCCCTGACGTCGCACCCTGAGAGGCGGCGGCTGCGGCTTGCTGCACCTTCAATTCTTGCTCCTCCAGAGTCTGAGAATACCTTTCGTCAACAGACCAGAAGAAACCCTTCCCCCTGTCGCCACCGCATCGATCTCCTTTGAGAAATGCGCGACCAGAAGAAAGATTGTGACGAACGGAACTCTGATAAAGTATGTCAGAAACAGAATTCTTACACAGAATAACTTTATTGACCATCCAAGACCCATCAGCATACCGGTAGTATTCGTGCGTGTTCATGATCCAGTTACATATCTCTTGAAGAGTTGCCTTACCCCCAATATCCTTGATGGCACGGTATATTAGCTGTGCGTACGTGAACGGTGGTTTTGGGGGTATATCTTCTGGCTTGGGCCGTTCAAGAATGGGCGGCGGGTCAACATCACCCTTCTTCCGCTTCTTGGCATTGACCTTCGTCGACTTTCCGATAGAATTTGAATTCGGGAGTTCGGGTAGGGGTTGAGGTGGGGGTTGGGGTTGAGCCTTTGGTTTTGGTTTTGGCTTGGGCGGGGCCTGTGGCTCCAGCGATGGGGGTGGACGCTTGACCTCGGGTGGAGGTGGTGAATGAGATGGCTGGGAGGATGGCGGGGAAATGGAAGTTATATCGACGGATGGCGACCGCTGTCGGTTAGCAGAGGACTGCGAGCTCGGAGAGGGGGTATCTTCAGGAGGAGGAGGAGGCGGTAGAACAAAGTGGAAGGTCCTTGAGGCTATTTGAATCTGTGACCTGAGAGAAATCGACCCTGCGTTAGCATAGGAGCAGAATATGGCTAGTGCATACTCACCTTTCACTCAGAGCGGTACGTGTCCCAGAGCCAGACCAAACGCCGTCTACCCAGGCTCCGTTGCGGCCGATAACGACTAGGACAAAGCGGTCCTCGTCCTGATCATACTCTATCTTGGCGTGTAGCCGCGATACACTCTTCAAAGCACCCAGGTCCACGTCTACCTGTGAGTGCTCCGAGGTCGACGACGTCGCTGCGTTTGGTGCACATCTGCGACCGATGGTGATTGAAAGAGTTTGAATATAGAAGGTGAAGTGGGGAAAGACAAGGGAATAGTATGCGGATATCTTGTCCTGGACGGGGGGTGGCGTTGCATGTTTGGCGTGGTCATCGGCGGCGGTGTTGGGGGATGCAGAACGTGTCCGGGTATCCATGAATATGGAGGGTAAAGGCGTGTGTCGGCGGAAGCGACGCTGGCGACGTTGTGGTCAACAGTTAAGGGAGGCAGGTTCCAGTCGCACGTGACTCATACATTTGCCGTCGGACGGTCCAAAAGCCGGCCGGCCCTGTACCGTACTACGCGGCTTCTTCAGCTTGTGAGGTCATCCTCCTTCCCCATGGCCTCCACTGAAATCACCGTCCAGGCTGCCCAAGACAAAGTCGAAGAGCTCGCTGAGCGCGATGCTGACACTACGGACTCTGACATCCGTTATCTTGCCTATGGTGCCCGTCTACGGACGGCTTTGCGCGCAGGAACGCGTTATATCGCTTATGTACGCTGAGCTCTTCCCCTGACGAAAGTCATCCACTCACCTTCGTTGAATTAGACAAGTGATATTGGGGAAGCCTTTCGTCCAGTTGTGCCTCCATGGATGGTAACAGCTGCTTATGGGGTCTCTTGGTTATATCTCTCTGGGTATGTCTTTTTCTCTGTCCGTTCCGCTAATCGCGAACCTAACATCTGAATCCCACCCACAGGGATGTTGGGTATGAATCATACAAATCGTATCATCGAGGACCAACACCCATCGAGGCTGCAAATTTCTCGGAACCCATGAGGATAGGTATTTCCGCCGTCCAAAGAGCGGCTTTCCAATCCATAGCGTCCATGTATGTTATCGCCATGGCTCTTGCTCATGCCGCGACTTCATTCCGCACTTCACAGGGCGCTCCCGGCTCTCACGATACATACAGCTGTGGCTCAGTCCAAGAAGGCCTTCCGTCACGTTACGAACCCAAAAGTCAGGACTTGGGGACCAACGATGACAGGATTGGCTATTGTGCCAGTTCTGCCATATCTCTTTGATCATCCAGTTGAGCAGGCCACTGACAGAGCCTTTGACTGGATACGAGAGAAGCTCATAGAGCGAAATGAGGCCCAGAAGAAGGGTGCCTTATCCTCGGACAGAAAGGAGCTATAAAGTAGAGCACTAGAGCCGTGCATTATTCGTAATGTTTCTTAGTGTTGGGACATTTTAAATGTTCCAGTGGTTTAATAATACACTTTAATTTTGCGCTGCAGTATTATACACTTCTGGGAAAGCAATACAAGCCATAGAGTATGTCAATCTTGAATCACATCGATGTCTTGCCAAGTGCGAGAGGAATGGAACTGATACTGCTAGGAGGAATGAGTCCGACTTCCGTAACCACAGCGGTAATATAGCGAGGGGGTGTTAGATCGTATAAGGGATTCAATCTTTCGAGGTTTTGTGTCGGCGCGATGTCTTTCGGAGACGAATTCCTCTGCGTGATGGACAAAGGTACTGTGGTCGATAATCAGTCAACAGGCAGCGTTTCCAAGGGTAAATACTACCTAGCTCATTCTTGCTGAAGCCGTCGACCATTACACCCTCGCTGAATTTGTACGTTTCACAACACACAACTACCGGCACGCTATGCATTTTGGCCATCATCGCGACCATAGCTGTACCTGCTCGAGAATATACTGCTCCGTTGGAGTAGAGCGCATGGGCTCCAACAAGGACCATAGTGGCTTCAGTCAAAAGTGAAGGCAAGGCGGGCAAAAGGGCGTAAGTGCAGGGAATCGAGTTTGCTCCACTTGTGAGAGATCTCAGAAGAGATTTTCCTAGTCAGGTTGGAGTGTTACTGGCGAAGACGCAAGGTAAATATTTTAGCAAACCTTCCAGTAGGGGTTTGGAGTCAACGACGACAACTGAAAACTTTTTACCATCCTCTTGTGCTTGTAACAGCACCTTTTGAACTACTGAAGATCTAAAAGAAAGAGTTGTGGACCTAGGATGTATAGAGGTCGAAGTCACGAACTTAGCATAGGTGAGGACCACATCACCGTCCTTGATCTTCTTGCCTGCCAATTCTTGGATGACTTGATCTGCGATAATAATGCGATCACGAATGTAGTTGTCGATCTTCGTACATAACGCATCTTTCGCCTGCCAGTGCCATTAAACAGTGTCAACGGAGACAAAAAGGTATCGACGCACGTCTTGTTCGACCATGTCAATATCAATTGCGCTGATCTCCAGTTTGAGCTCTCGGATTGCATTGCCCATCGACACTGACATCGGCCGCGCAGATACAAGATGGGTGATTTGAGGGGATATGTGAGTCATTAGATGTCGAGAAATGGTATTCTGGGCGGGTGTAGTATAATCTTGTATGACCTTGTCGCATGAGGAAGGGCGTAAATTAGGGCACGTCCAAGATAAAAGGAAAACGCACCTGCTTGAAGGCAGTAAGTGTAGCAATGCATCGAGCATTTGCACCGCAAATTTTGAATTCAGAAAAGAGCAATCCAAGTCTGATGATTGTCGGGTGAATATCACCCTTCACCGTATGCCCGATAGGTTTTGGCTGTCCAAAATGCGAGAAAATACGTAGTCCGTGCGATTGAATTGCCGCTGCCTCCTCTGCAGCAGCCTCTTTGGCAGCGCGATCTTGTTTTGCTGCAGTCGACTCTGTTAGGAAAGTCTTCTTCTGCGGCGTTTGCGGTGGCTTGGGTTTTGCCTGCCCGCCACCCTGTTGCTGCTGTTGCTGCTTGGGTTGTTGAGGCTGATTTGGCTTCCCTGGTTGCGGTTGACTCTGCTTCAAGGCGGCTTTAGCGGCCCTCTGTTTCTCCTGGAGTTCTCTCCTCTCGGCTTTTGTCATTACTTTCTTCGCAGCTTGTTGACTTGGGGCAGTATTGCCGACTGAGGGTTCTGGATCGACCATAGTAGGAACCGGCATAGTTGAGAGAGCATATGCAAGTTAGAGTCTTTGATAGAGCTAGTCGGAGTGGCCTTGTGGTAAGGCCGTGAGTAAGGTTAGAGGAAGAGTTCAAAGAAAGGTTGTTGCAATTGTGAGGTTCGCGTAGATTGGCCTCGATTCGAGTCAGACATGATATCACATCACGTGAAGTTTCCAAATAAGGGCATGCGGTGGCGGGCTGAAGCCGCCAATCTGTTTTCCAACTTCACCTCCCATCCACGAAGGTCCTCTTTCGAGTATTCCTTCACATTTGGCTATCTCTGTGTTGGCTGTTCCGCTCCTTTTCATTATTCTTTGGCATCATGGTGAGCCACGTTCCACGACAGCTGCGCTGCACTCGCTGACTGACGTACCAGGGTGTACCCGCTCTATTCCGCTGGTTAAGCAAGAAGTACCCAAAAATCAGCAAGTCAAACCTCTCTCGTACAAGAATTTCACTTACCCCTTCTATAGTCTATCCTGTTGAAGAAGAAGACAGTAGAGTCACTGGTGACGATGGGGAAGAGATTGTTATTCCTATGAACATGGCAATGCCCAATCCGAATGGCGTAGAATTCGATAATCTCTACCTCGACATGAACGGAATCGTACGTTATTATATGCTACGTTTTGCGATATTCACATCGTTTCTCTTGATAGGTCCATCCCTGTACACACCCTGAGGGCAAGGTAGTTTCAACTCCCTCTGCTGTTTCTAAGTCATTATTGATACAACGCTGTACAGCCTCCCCCAGAGACAGAAGAAGAGATGATGGTGGAAGTTTTCAAGTACACAGAAAGAGTGGTGAACATGATTCGTCCACGTAAATTATTATTCATGGCCATAGGTGAGTCTTACTAAGACAATCATCGAACTGCTTTTTTCGAACACACCTTCAAGACGGTGTCGCTCCTCGTGCCAAGATGAATCAACAACGTTCCCGACGTTTTCGCTCCGCTCAAGAGGCGAAAGAGAAGGAAGAGGCAAGGAAAGAGTCCCACCTATTATGGGAAGGTAAGAATAAGCTGCCTATCCGTCATTTCTTCACATGATTTATTCGCAATTCAGCGATGGGGAAGGTGGTACCTGAGGAAGAAAAGAACAAAGTATCCTGGGATTCGAATGCTATCACTCCAGGGACACCTTTTATGGAATTGCTAGCGTCCTCCCTTCGGTACTGGGTGGTTCAAAAGATGAACTCAGACCCTGGTTGGAAAAATGTGTGCTCCTTTTTTGTCTGTTGCCACCGTTGGCTAATCTTCGATATAGATCCAAGTCCTCATTTCTGACGCCAGTGTCCCTGGAGAGGGAGAACACAAAATCATGGACTTCATTAGACGGCAGCGCAGCAATCCTGGACACGACCCCAACACGCGCCACGTAATTTACGGACTGGTAAGTATCAATGTCTTAGATTCCTCTGATTTTGTGCTAACAGCATCCTGCAATTTAGGATGCTGATCTAATTATGCTTGCACTAGCAACTCATGAACCTCACTTTAGAGTTCTACGAGAGGATGTCTTTGCGAACGATACTAGTCCTACTGCATGTCGAATGTGTGGTCAGGAAGGTCACTATGCTGCCCAATGTACTGGCACAAAGGCAGATATACAGAAAAAACCGCCAGCACAGAAAAAGCCGTTCATATTTCTTGATGTCGCGGTTCTACGGGAATATCTCGAAGTCGAGCTCGACGTTCCCAACTCCCCAATGTCCTTTTCACTGGAACAAGCTATCGATGACTGGGTCCTCCTGATTTTCTTTGTCGGCAACGATTTCCTCCCCCATCTCCCTTCCCTTGAGATTCGCGAAGGCGCCATTGATACTCTGTTGAAGATATGGAAGCACGAACTTCCTAGAATGGGCGGTTACTTGACAAACCATGGTCACCTTGAGTTGTCACGAGCACAAATCATTCTTGAGGGTCTTGCTAGACGAGAAGATGAAATCTTCAGGAAGCGGCGTGAAGGTCTGTCATACACATCCCATCCTTATTCTGCGGTGGCATAGCTTTGACGCCGCTCCTTTCCTTCATGTGTGATCTTAATTTGTGTTAATGTCCGTCTTTGGTTTCTTTCAGCTGAAGAGAGGCAGGATCAAAATGCCAAAAGGCGTAAGTTGGAGCAACAGAACGGCAAGAGCGATTTCTCTGCAGGTCCTTCCCAAACAATGGCCTTGACTGTGCCTCCTTCTGCCCCTTCCTCTACTTCACCAGCGCCCTCTATCCATCCATCTTTGCCACAGCGTCCGACATACGACTTTGCCGCCAAGGCAGATTCCATTGGATTAGGGGCTAAACCAACTCCTCAATCGCTGCAGAATGTTCCCACTGCAGCACAGGCTCTCGCGGGTTCCAATCGAGACGTCGTCGCCAATCGCCGAGCTATTCGAATGGCAAATATGAGCGCAGCTGAGGTGCTCAAAGCGGAACTTTCAGGCCTGTCGCCTGTGAAACCTTCTCCATCACCCTCTAAACCCGCCCCAGGGCCAGAACCTCCAGTAATGAAAAGTTCCCCTGTACCTACACCAGTGGTCGAAGTAGATGAGGTACCTGGGCTAGGAGCCACGAAGACCCTTCCAACCACTCCGGAAGCTGACGTGGACGCTGACGGAGAACCAGATCCAGATGTGAAGATGCTTTCTGACGCAGAGGCATCAAATACCAATGGCATCGACACAGAGATGCCCGACGCTTTGGCTGGAACCAAGCGTACGTTTGAGGAAGGACCCGGAGAAGACGACAGTAACGGCGCAACCGACGACGTGATTGTCATTGAGGAGGAGGAAGACAATGAGGAGGAGGTACCCGCTGCTTTGTCGCTTAAGGTCAACCCTGACGGTACGGTCGAACAGGAAGATACCGTAAAGTGGGTACACTCACGTTGTGAGATATCTCAGACTGATTATTGGATTAGGCTATGGGAACCAGGGTACAAAGAACGATACTATAGGCAAAAGTTTGGGATTGAACTGACGGATACCGAGTTCCGCAAGACGTAGGTGGTGTGACGGCTCCCCTTCGTTCAATACTGACTTGTACTGCAGTCTCACAAAGAAGTATGTCGAAGGCCTGGCTTGGGTTCTGCACTACTACTATCAAGGGGTACGGGTTTACTCGCCCTTAAACGTCGGTGTACTGATTTTTTGCAGACGCCATCATGGCAATGGTACTACCCGTACCATTTCGCTCCATTTGCTGCGGACTTCGAAGAGATTGATAAGATGGACATTCGTTTCGATCTAGGACAGCCTTTCAAGCCTTTCGAACAATTAATGGGCGTGTTTCCGGCTGCTAGGTCTGTCGTTATCTGTCTATCTCTCTGACACCACTGAAGTATTTCCTTCAGTCGTAAACATATTCCAGAACCTTTCCAGCGCCTCATGGTGGTGGAGGATTCCCCCATAATTGACTTCTACCCCTCGACATTCGAAATTGACATGAATGGCAAGAAAATGGCTTGGCAAGGAGTCGCCCTTCTGCCATTCATTGACCAGGAACGGCTTTTGGACGCCATGGCGCTCGAGTACCCCAAGATTTCGGAGGACGAAACACGGCGCAATCGTTGGGGAAATAACGTCCTCTATACTTCGGTCGACCATCCTTTATATCCATTCTATGAGGCATTGTATGGTAAGAAGAAGATTCAACAGGTAGGTTTTCTTTTCTCACTTCCCAGCGCATCGGACTCAACAAATCTCCTAGCCTATTCCCATCGACACAGAGCTCAGTCATGGCATGAGTGGAAGCGTCCTACCGAACCCGGACTGCATTCCTGGGTCCACCTACTATTGTCCTCTTGCAACACAAGACTTGCCAGACATAAAGAATGATTGCTCCCTATCGGTCCTATACTTCTTCCCCAAACAGCTAACGCCTCATCGCTCTGTTTTTCTCCCAGGAGCAAAAGCGGCAGCTCGTGTACTTTCAGCCGCTGATCTTGAGGTTACTCGCAATGGCGGACGTGGCCGTGGGCGAGGCGGTTGGGACCGCGGGGGCGGAGGACGAGGAAATGGTATCGATCGCGATCGCAATCGCAATGACCCATTCCATTCCAGGCCGAATAGCTATGGCCCTCAGGGATATGGCAATGACCGTGGCCCTTCTGGTAGCAGGGGAGGTTATCGGGGAGGTTATGGTGGCGACTATGGTGGCAGAGGTGGGAACTCCTACCAACAAAACCCTCCTCCGTCGCGGCCCCCTTATCAATCTCAAGGCCCAGCACCCAACTCTTACAGTGGTTCTAACGCTTATGGGGGACGTGGAGGGCGCGGCCAAGACTACCCCAGAGGTAACTATGGTCCTTACAACGGGTCCCGGAATAGTTACAACCCTCCGCCTAACCAATACAGCTATGGCTCGTACGGGGGTTCAGCCAGCACTACAGGATACGGTCAGAACGGAGGACAGAATGGAGGCGGGTACGGCGGGTATGGTGGATATGGTTCCGGTGGCAGCAACAGCTATCCGCCAAGGGCTGGAGGCCCATATAATACGCCTCCTAGTCGAGGGAGAGGACGAGGACGGTAATCAGGATGCATCCGCTTATTTACATAATCTACCGTAAGTATAGTGTTGCCGATTGTACTAATGGAGTATGCGAGCTCGCGCCGTCTACTGCAATACTTATTGTAGCGCACAATCTTCTCTGAAGTAGGAAGACAGCTGCATGGGGAGTGCAGTCTTCGCAGGAAAAACTTCAAGGAGTTGCTTTCTACTGGAGCTCGACTAAAATAATGTTTGGCAACTGCGTTCTCGCTTTTTCTTCCGTTGTTCGTTGGACCGTGAAGCTTACATAATAAGAAATTTCCCCTTCCAGGTAACTGCGCCACAATAAATCTTTTCACAGGATCTGGGAGTACCGGCCCTGAAGCTTTGAAGGCCTGATTTCTGACCTGTGTCTATGTGGATAGCCCTCATTGTCCTTGAGTAGTTACGTATACCTCAGGAAGCTCGATCAATAAACTAGCAAAAGACATTTTAAACAATCCTCCATATTGTTCGAACATTTGTACATTGATTAGATAGTAAGCATGCTTCCTGTGTCCTTAAAGTATTAGAAACAGGGTATTAACACCAACCCCCTCTGAATAAGCACATCCAAACGGAATGGTGAAATTGATGACTTCGAGGATGGGCTGCGTGTTGGAAACGAATTCCTTTTACTCATATGTAAGCGTCCCATAGGCCTAGTAGCCACTTGCATATCCCTGGCTGCGTGAGACTGGGATCCCGACTGGGGCACCATACGCAGCAGGTGTGCCAAATCCCCCAGGAGGCCCATATCCCGCGAGTGCTCTATATCCTGCAACAAGTGGATACGGTGGTCCGTAGCCAGCTGGCACCGGAGCCGAGGGATAACCTGTCGGCATCATCTGGGGCGTGGCATCTGGCGGGGGGGCTGGCCCTCGTGAAGTGCAGCCAACAAACACAGAATAATTCCTTTCTCGCGCCCTCGCTTTCTTCCTTGCTTTCTTCTCCTTCCTCTGCTTCTTCCTCTCTATCTTCTGCTCGCGGCGTCTCCGTCTTGCCTCATAGACGTCGGAATTTGTAATTGGCCTTCCGTAAGGGTCAGTAAGGGGTCTTTCTTGGTCAGAAAGATCTGAAGAGTCTGATGAGGTGGTGTCAGAATCATCTTCAAATTCCAGTCGAGAATCAACGCGACCCGCTTGAGGCCCTGTACGTCGCTCTCGCCCTTTATACAATATCAGTTCGACCCCTCGCGGCAGGAAGAACATGTCATTCCATAACTCAATAAGATCTGTTGTTAGCTGTGATCGTCGCGGAGGTATGCCGTCTTTCAAAGCCCCTGGAACAGGAAGCTGTCCAATCCACGAACGAGCCAGATCCTGAGTATCCAAGAAGTGTCAGCAGGAAAGAAGGGGAAATATCAGATAGAAGCCTTGCCTGCATGCAACGCGTCCAGTCGGCTGGATGAATATCATGAGTCGCTAACACCACAGGCATGTTCGGCGGTGCTTTGGCGTCATAAACATCATCCATATCTTGAATCTTCACGGCATCGAAGGGGCTGAAAGCGTTCGCGGCATTAATAGGACGGGAGAAGGCTTCTGGAGCAGGTAGTTGCTGTGGTTCACTGGCGATATTCGCGACAGGTATACGGGGAGACTTCCCAATACAGGATGAAGTGGCAGGATAGGGAAAGGACACTGGGCCAATCCAGTCAAAAATAAGTTATATCAACCAGGACAAATGGAAAGAGAGAGGGCGTACCAGGATTAGGCGAGGGTGCTCGGGAAGGCCCCGCGCGTGAAGGTGGTCGAGATCTGGAAGCGGTACCACTGTTCGCCTTTCCCTCATACAGGACATGACCTGGAGGGTATGCTCCTGGAGGTGCACCAAACGGCGTGGTTGATCGCCCAACGTCGGTCGGGTAACGCCCAGGAGAGGTGGATGGATACGCAGAGGAACCTGCTGTTCCATAGGAAACGTCAGAAGGGCGCATATTTGGCGATGGAGCGGTGAAATATGCATTGGATGGAGCTGGAGGGGCGTATTTGGAACTGGTAGAAGGGATGGAGGGAGGCGTGAACGAGGTAGTATGGCCGGCATAATTTCCACTGATAGTGCGGTGTCGTTCGTAGGGGCCGTCGCTCGTGCTATATTTACGTGGTCGAGCAAGTCCACCGCTGGCTTTTCGTTCGCGTTCAGTCTTGCCACGATGGTCCATGTCCAGATCGTTGAATTGTCTGGTAAGATCTGGATAGTTTCCGTTATTGGCGTTCCGATGGTGACTTGAGCTAGCACTGGAAGCATATCCTGGTGCCACGACGGGTGGTTCATATCCGGAGTACGGGCTGGGGGGATATCCCGTTCCTACGGATGGGTGAGGCGGGTAGCCGGTGCTTTGGGCTCCCGGAGGAAATGCCACGGAACCGGAACGTTGTTCAGTGGCTCCAGCGTTGAAGCTCTTGCGCCGGTCTCTACCCACGGCTGAGTGGGCATCGCGTTCGCGGGCAAGGCGTAGCTCGTACTCGGAGTCGTTTCGAGGAGCGCCTTGTTCGCGGAGCCGTTTAGCTTCTTTCTCTTCTTGCTTCCTTCGCTTTTCGTCTTGCCGTTGCCTGTAAAAGCAGCAAACCGTGATGAGATTTGTCAATCTCTATCAGAATGTACACTGTTCCGCACCATTCTTGGGTAAATTTATTCTCCTCCTTATGAGCGTAGCCTCCTTGCCAACCGGTATAGTCCTGTGTTGATACTCAGAAGTGGGCCATAGAACTTTCAACATCGAAGTCTTACAGTAGCGACAGCTGGATTCATCATTTGTCCTCCAGGTGGAGGCACCGAGCTTGCATCGGCAGGTATCCATTGTATGCCACTGACGACACCACTCGGGGTCTGGTAGCTGCAGTCGTAGTGATCGCCAGACGATCAGAACGCGATCGGCCGTTGAAAAGCGGCATTGCAGCACGCACCTAGCTGACACTGCTCTGTATGTGAGGATCAACGATTGATTAGACAAAATTTCGAACATGTCGTAAAGAAATACTCACTTGAACGGGTGGTAAATGACGCGCCCATCTGGCCCAGCAGAAGTTGTGTATGTGATTGCACCAGGACCGACTGTGGCTGGGCCGGTTGGAAGTCCTGCGTACGATGGATATGGAATATCTCCAGATGACCTATAGGGTGATGGCGCTCTGTACGGTGAAGTCGACCTCTGCATAGCGAGCGGTGTGGTACGGAGGCGGGATCAAATGGAAGGAAACAGCAAGTCGAGGCTTTAAGGAATAAGACTTGACGGGAATAACGTGTTCAAAGCCCTTGACCCAATAACCGTGTATGGAGTATGGTATCTCCACGCTGATGATTGGGATTGTTCGATGAACTCAACACTTGCCCGTTTACGCAGAATTCGGTTAGATAAGATAACGGATGGAAGTAGTGATGAGTCTGATCTCTCTCGGTGTCTCAGGTAGACAAGCCCTTTAGGCTTCAAATGGAGGAAATGAAATAATGAGTACGTAGTTAAGAGGTGGGCAAAATAAGATGGAGGAGGAATTAACGGTACAAAATCCATGGCTGGCCGATAGTCTACGAATGTTGTAACGGGCAGCTAGAAGAATCTCCAGTAAATGATGATGATGACAAGTAGACCAACAGCGCCCAAGGGGGCGTATTGTCGAAGCATAGCTTGGATGTTGATATTTCGCGCCGCCTTGCGGTATTTCTCCGATTCTGAGCGAAGAGATGTTGATAGGTGTGACATCTCTGCAGAGCAAAACACCAGTTGGTCAGGATACGAAACGAATACCATGAAAGCAATTACGAACTGTCAAGTGAATCTCCTCGCCATAGCAGCTCCTCCATATTTTTCGTCATAATTCGAGTTACGTCTTGAAGGTCGTCATTGAGTTTGTCCATTGCTGAAGATGCAGCGTTTGCCGTTCGACTATCACGGTAGAGTCTTGCTGTTTTCGACATAAATGTGTCTGAGGAATGTCATTTGGTCGCTGTGGTTTACTTGACGAATTGAAGGGCTTACCGAAGCCAACGAATGCATAAGGCTTCCGTACCGTCTCCACCTTGGGCCCATACGTGTTTGCAAACTCCTTTGATAGCTCGTCCAAGTATGAGAACGCTAGTTTACGCGGGTATGACTTGTCCGAAATTGTAAGGAAGACGACATTATCTGAAATAAGGTAACTGCACGACCTTTAGAACTGGGATCTGGGCCAATGCTAAATGGAATACGCACTGCAGTGTATACGGCCCACTCTCTATAGAGCACCGTGGCTCAGCGTTGGGAGTTATACGGCGAAATATGAGTTTCGACTGTTGCTTGTGCTCTTGAAGAGCCTGCTCGGTCTGTATGGAGAGTTGACACGTCGCGGTGAGTTTATTGAGCTCCACACGTCACGCATGGCTGACCTGCTCGTCATCGACGCTCGCGGCAAGAGGAAGAGCGTCGGAGGCCCTGACGATGATAGTCGAACGAACCATAGAGACTTGGAGGTGTGGTGGTACTAGCGCCGTGGATGACGAGGTCGACGATGCTGACCACTGGGCTGCTCCAGGCTTGGTACCACGTGAGGTGGGAAATACGTGTGATATTCCAGAACAGCAGGGTTTCTATTTTGGGCTGATCGTCCTGTGTTTCGAACCTTGTGACATGGGGCAGGATATATATGTTCGCAGCTCTGGATGCCCAGGTACACTTGTCTAATCCAAACCCCCACATTTGTCCGCCAACTGCCTCCACAATGGGTGCCGCCGACATCGTCAACGTCGACAAGCAGGTGCCCGCCCCCTGTGTCCCCCGTTTTTTTTTCAATCTAACCTTCGTCGCACAGCTCGCATTTTATGGCGCCTACCACTCCAACAAGATTAATGTCCTCATCCACATCGTCTGCGTGCCCTTGATCATGTGGTAAATGCCTCCTCTGCGCGCACCTCTTCGTCGGCTGAAGCATCCTCAACAGGTCCTTCCAGGCCCTCGTTGCCCCGCTGCCATTGCCGTCCTTTGTGCCAACTTACCATTATGTTCTCAACAAATACCTTGTCTTTGACGTCAACTGGGCCTCCATAATGGCTGCCATCTATCTCGCGTATTATTTCCTGTTGGAACCCACCGCTGCTGTGAGCAAGCTTCCTCTTGTTGGACACACAGTTCCCTCACCATGCCCTTGAATCCAGCTCCTATACACCCCGCAGATGCTTGTTACCTTGCTTACGGCTACCGCTTACTCCTATAAGCCGGATCATGTCTCTGTAGCTGGTGCCGTCCATGCGATTTGCTGGATCGCTCAGTTCATAGGACATGGGTTTGCTGAAGGGCGGGCGCCAGCTCTGCTCGACAACCTCCTTGGAGGCAAGCCGTGACTTGCTGTTCCGATGTCGTAATGCTTATCAATTTATTTTTCCCTTTAGCGGTTGTCCTTGCTCCATTCTTCGTACATCTCGAACTTCTCTTCGGGCTGGGATATCGTCCTGACATGCACAAGCGTATCAACAACCTTGTGGGCGTCGAGATTACCAAGATTCGCAAAGAGAAAGGCGACGAGCGGCGCAAGGCTCAATGAACGGGTCATGATCTGCTACATCTATGCTTTGGAGTGCATAATTTCACATTGGGGAATCTCGAAATTATTTACTTTGTACTTTCTTGTTCCATCGTCAATAGTGTGTCCGTTCATTGCCAATTCCACCGGTCGGGACAATCCAATTAAATGAGGCTCGCAGGTGGTGCCAATGCAGGCTCTCCAATTGGTGTAACATATGCGGAAGAAAGACCGCCGTCAACCGTGAAATCAGCGCCCTACATATTATCATCAAGATGGCTTTCTTTAGGACCCACTGCGCTACTTACAGTTACATAACTGCTTTCGTCACTTGCGACTGGTTGGGCAAGAAAACCATCAGAAAAGTCCCAGATAGCAACCATGGAAGCTGGAGAATACGTACGGAACAGAGCGGCTCTTGCGAGCTCTACAGCTTCCCCAAAGCGGCCCATCGGAAGGTGCACCAATCGACGTTGCCGTTTCTCCTCGGTGTTCAGGAAATCCATCAAGAGGGCTAAAATGATAAGATTCATGAAGAAAAAAAAGGCCGACCAATGGCTCCTGAAGCTTACGTGTCTTGAGAGGGCCGCTGTTAAGGAGCGAGTAAGCACCAAAAGACTAGAGAATCGACGCGGAAGTTACTTACGGGCAGAGTGAGTTAAGGCGAATGCCTTCTCGGGCATGGACCATGGCCAACTCCCGGGTCATAGCTAGAACGCCACCCTAGCATAATGGTTAGGTCGTCGATAACAAGAGGCCGAGTAACCTAATCGATGTACCTTTGAGGCCGTGTCTGAGGAAGCCAGCGGTTAGCTAAAATTCAGTGCCCGATGAGGGAAGGAAGAGGGAAATTTACAGGCTAGTTGGGGAGTCGCGGCTCCCATAAGTGCCACAAAGCTAGCAGTGTTGATGATACTGCCTCCTACATGAAGACCTTTGGATTCATCCGTAGGGTTCTGACGCATGGCGAGAATGGCATATTTGCAGCCCCACCAGACACCCTTCAGGTTGATCTGCATCGTCAAATCCCAAATGCGCTCCTCTGTGTTAAGCGCGTTGTCATCTTCGGGATGCATTATGCCTTTCCATCGAAAATTTCAATGTTTTCAAGCGGCGAATATATGTAGGGTGACGGACCGGCATTGTTAAACTGGGAGAAGAAAGGATCAGAGAGATACAACATCTTGATAAAGATAAAATACCATAACGTCCAATCTCCCAAATTCCCTCACGGCCACATCGACAGCAGCCTTCACATCGGCTTCCTTACCGACGTCGGCCTTTGTGGCGAGTGCTTTCACGTTCGGAAAACGCTCAGCGATCAAGGAGGCGCCCTTCTCTGCGTTTGCGAGATTAATATCCACTAGCAGAACGTTCGCTCCTTCTTGAGCGAATAGAAGAGACGACTCCAATCCGATGCCCCTGTAAACGATAAGGTCTGGAAAGCGAGCTCATAGACATCGACCCACGATCCAGCACCAGTCACAAGCGCGACCTGCGCAGGAGAACATGATCAACATCGTAATGCTTTAGATCAGGGGTTTGGACGCACTTTGTTCTCGAGGCGGCCTGGCATGTTGAGCGGGAATATGCAAGAGGGTACTGGTTTGGCGATAAAGGTACAACGGACAAATCGACAAAGCTAAAAAGGGGTCCCAGGTCCGCGCTTCCGCGTCACCACGTGGTGCGCCTCTGTCACAACAATAGTGCAGAATATTTAAAAGTGCTCTGTTCCATGTTAAAGTATAGTACAATGAACTGCTATGCAAACAATGATGAGTGAAATGCAAGAGGGAGACTTGAGGACGATAATGATGATGATAGGTGGAGGGGGATCGCGCTCCTCCACGAAAATCGGCGGATCCACGGATCCACGTCGTTCGACGGCGATGGCGCAAATCTATGGGAAGGAGTGGGGCGTGTTACGAGAATTCGCGTCGCAACGAGGCAGGGAAATCTGGAGGATAGCTTTCATCAACGTCATCGAACATCGCCTGAAATTCCTTGACAGCCACAGGTAAGGACGAAGTGGATCCTTGGGTGTTCATGGACATGGAAGGCTCGAGAAATGAGGAATCCTGTGTGCGGATGTTCTGCGAGTGACTGTGCAAGGATGACCCACAGGCTTCAGGGAGCGGGAAATAGACGGTAGAAATGGATCGTCGCTTCGAATACAGGTAGTTCAGTTCCAATCGAGGGTTCTCTGTATCGGATTCGGATTCAGATCCTTGCTCTGTGGCTGGCTGGACCATTGCCGCAAGCTTGATTTCTGGGCCCTTATCGTCCGAAAAGATGTGCTCGAAAATTGACGGCTGAATCGGCACAGAGAACATCTCGTCTGACAAGGTTCTTTGGGGCAGGCGGTCGTCCCGTTTAAAAGTCGCAGGTCTTAAGAGAACATAGGATTATGGTCAGGAAATGCGAGAAACAGTCCACGTACATATGAGACACAGCCTTCCGTAGCCTTCCGTCATCCTGCTTTCCACAAGGAATTATGAGTTCGTTCTCTTGACTTTGTGAACTTGGAATCATGTCGAGTGAGAAGGTGTCAGAATTATACAGAGAAGTTCGCGACAACGAAGGTGGAAGCTTTCGCGGTGAAACATGAAAGGTGCTCAGAGGTTGAGTTTGGGAGGATCCTACTGTCGATTCATTATCGTCGTCGCTCACAATAAAAGGAATTGCACCAGGCTCAGAGTCAACGTCTCGATTTGAGCCCTCCGATGCAAGTTTGTAACTTGCAGTCATCACAGAGAAGGCATGGGTGATTGAAGGGTTCTGTCCTGACCGGTCCAGTAGATTTTGACTCTGAGAAGAGGGAATGAGAGGAGATGTTGTTTTATCTTCTTCAACGCGTCTAAGGTTACGGAGAATTGAAGGAGGACAAATTGAAGGTGCCGTTTGAGCATCTTCAACTGAGAAACGAGGCGTATCAATGACTCGCGAGATAGAGCGATAAAATGGGCGCGGCATTGTAATAGAAGTTGGTGGCAGGTCGACAATTAGATTCCCAGGACGTGGATTGGATGCCAGGTGAGATAGTTCGTTAGGAGGTTGAAGGGTTAGTTGACGTGTTCCAGCCACCAGTCCTGTGGTAGGAGGTGTAAGTACATTGGCGCCTTCACGCTTCTTCCGCTTCAGCTCTTTTGCTAAAGGCGTCGATGGCTGGTCTTCTGTTTGGAGAATCTTATTGATGGTGACGGTGGAGTCCATAGTGGGGGCATCCGACGTGTTTGATTGTCGTTTAGTTCGCTTGTTGGAAGTCGAAGTAGATAACCCTTCGTTACCCTTACGCTTTGCAGACGTGGATGCGAAAGGGAAGTAGCTTGTGATGTATGCATTTTGAAAAGGCATATATAGGGGTAGGGAAAGAGGCTGGTGGGGGAGCTGATAGTAATGAAGTCTTGAAGACGCGTCAGTGCCGCATGCGTGGAAGAGCGTGGGAACCAAAATGTCACGTGTCCGTGTTGCCCTGTGCGGCCGGACTTTGCCGCTTCGCTCTCCAAGTCCGATCCTCCGATCCGCTGTTGGTCCGCTCTTATCTCTCTCGTTACGCAACGTGGTGTTCAAATATTCTCCTGCTCGACCCGCTGCAATTGTCACCAGGGTTTATTCTGGCCCTTATTCCGCTCCGAGATGTACATTCTTCTGGAATCTGAACCCACGTTTCGCCTCTGCGCCAGTCCGGATTGTTCCCTAACGATGAATCCACGACTTCTCTGTTATTTTTGCAGAGGTCGCGTATTCTTGTCCACCAATGCTAGAACTCCTGAAGAGGCGTAATTTCTCCCTTTCGGAAGGTCTCGCGACCCCATCGTTGACGGAAGTTCTGGCCGTACCGCAGTTTCCCGTATCGCCCTGTCATGCAATTGTGTACGCCGTAAAGCCTTGCGATTTCAATCCGACGCTTCCCATTGCACCGTTGCCTTCTCCATTCAGCTTCTTTTATCACCCCAACAGGAGACTATTCGACGGGTGTATCGCTGGTGGCAATTGTCACAGAGATAACGGCGAACCCCACAGCTTCGCGATAAGCAGCCGCCAGAACTTCCTTATCATCTTCCTAACAAGTACCACTTGGTTTAGTATCACCTACAGACTCCTTCACTCTCCCAGCTACCCCAATGGACCAGTCAAGCTTCTCCGGACGGCCTGCTTCTGACAAGGGTGCGACCATGCCGCGAATCCTAATCATCGGCTTTGGGATGGTATGTCGCTGCTGTACTATGGGTCGATCATGATGAATTAACACGTTCCCTCCAGACCGCCTTAGGTTTCATCGAGAAGCTGTTTTCCTACGACACAGAGGACGCGGAAGGACCGAAATATGCGGTCACAGTCGTCGGAGAAGAGCCCTGGATAGCCTATAATCGTGTCGGTTTAGTAAGTGTAAAATCTCCCAAGACGAAACCCCAGCTGATCGAATCCTTTGACAGACGCAGTACTTCAGCCATCGTTCAGTCGAGCAACTCTATCTCCAGCCACCTTCGTGGTATTCTTCTCACCTTACCAACCGATTAACTCATGTTACTGGAGACGAGGTCACCAAAGTGGATACGACCAGCCAGAGAGCCTGGACAAAGAATGTAAGTTCCGACGGTACTTGGGGTTCTCCTGCAGCTGACTGGAGAAGGGCCTGGAACTTCATTACGATATCTGCATTTTTGCGACCGGTTCACGAGCTGCTGTCCCTTCATACACCTCTCCCGCCGACATCGAACGTACGCGAGGGGTGTTTGTGTACCGAACGGTTGAAGATCTTACACGCATGATGGAATACGCAGAGAATGCCCATGTCAAAAGAGTCTCTGTCATCGGCGGAGGGTTGCTAGGATTAGAGGCTGCTAAGGCTGCTACCGAATTGGAGTCAATCTCCAATGTAACAATTGTAGAACGAAACAAATGGGTCAGTCAACCTTGTTCAAACCCGCCTTCAGAAAACTAATGCTCGTAACTCCAGGTCCTGAGCCGTCAGCTTGATCAGGAAGGTGGTCGAATTGTCCTGGAACATGTCAAGGCGTTTGGGATCGACATCCTCTTGGAAACCCAAGTCAAATCCCTCATCTTCTCCGAGGAGGAGGTTCCATCATTAACCGGCCTACAAATCCACGACGGCACCACCTACTCTTGCGAAATGGTTGTCTTTGCCACTGGAATTATCCCCCGAGACGATCTCGCCAAGGCGTGCGGTATTGAAGTTCACCCGCGCGGGGGAATTATTGTCGCAGACGACCTAGCCACCTCTGCTCCAAACGTGTATGCTCTTGGTGAATGCGCTGCCTGGAGCGGGAATACCTACGGTTTGATCGCACCCTGCATCGAAATGGCAGACGTCCTTGCTTTCAATCTCACTGAAGGTCCTACCCATAAGATGAGGGTAATGACCACCCCAGATTTGAGCACGAAACTGAAGTTGGTTGGCGTCAATGTTGCCAGCTTTGGAGACTATTTCGCAGACCAAAAGCCGCCTGGTCAAGTAGCCACAAAACATGGCAAGCATAAGAAAGCGACTGCCGCATACTCCCTTCCCCTTCGCTCCCTCACATACCACGACCCCTTCGGTTCCGTGTACAAGAAGTACATTTTCACCAACGATGGAAAATACGTGGTTGGCGGTATGATGGTCGGGGATGTGAATGACTACACAAAGTTGCATACCCTGGTGCAAAAACGCGTACGTTCCACCTCTGACCAGCTGATGCCGTTCTGATCTTCCTCGAAGAGACCCTTGGAGGTACCCCCAGGCCAACTTATTCTGGGAGTTCCAGGGAAAGAAGGGGAGTTCGACGGCGATGATTTGGATGACGACGCCCAGATATGCTCTTGTTACAATGTCTCGAAAGGTGCTATTGCCAAATGTGTCAAGGACGGCTGCGACTCCTTCGGTGATGTCAAGGCGATGACCAAAGTTGCGACTGGTTGCGGTGGATGCGCTCCGCTTGCCACTTCGATATTCAACTCCGAAATGAAGAAGGCCGGTCATGCTATCATGAACCATGTCTGCCCACACTTCAAGAAGAGTCGACAGGATGTCTTCATGATCACCAAGATCAAGAAATTGAAGACGTTCGCTGAAGTCATGGCCGAAGCAGGCGAGAACTCCATGTCGATTGGATGCGAAGTTTGCAAGCCGGCCATCGCCAGTATCTTGTCCAGTCTTCACAATGAGTTCGTCATGGCTCCAAGTCATCATCAGAACCAGGATACCAACGACAAGTATCTCGCTAACATCCAACGGAACGGGACGTACTCTGTCGTGCCTCGAATCCCCGCAGGTGAAATCGTGAGTCGGTTGATGCCTTCAAGTGATGTTATCCTGATAACATATAATAGACCCCAGTTAAACTCAAGGCGATCGCCGTTGTCGCCGAAAAGTACGGCTTGTATACGAAGATTACTGGGGGGTACGTCTATCCGCTGGCCGGTGTTGCCCTTCTATTGACACTTTCTGCAGGCAAAGAATTGATCTATTCGGTGCAAACAAGCAAGATCTCCCTGATATCTGGGAAGAGCTTATTAATGCTGGATTCGAGAGCGGACATGCTTATGGGAAAGCCCTGCGGACAGTTAAAAGCTGCGTTGGCACCAGCTGGTGCCGCTATGGTATCGGTGACTCCGTTGGTCTGGCCGTTGAGCTTGAGGAGAGATACAAGGGGATCCGAGCTCCTCATAAAATCAAAGGCGGTGTTAGCGGTTGCGTCCGGGAGTGCGCAGAGGCTCAGTCAAAAGGCATGTGCCGGTTCGTATTGAACCTGGACAAATACTGACTACTTTGGCAGACTTCGGTGTTATTGCAACAAGCAAAGGGTGGAACGTGTACGTCGGTGGAAATGGTGGCGCTAAACCGCGACACGCCCAGTTGCTTGCTGTCGACGTCTCAAGAAGCAAGGTGCGTTTTCATCAGTGATTCTATCGAACTTCAGTTCATCGTCTTGCAGGCGGTTAGGTACATTGACAGGTTTTTGATGCTGTACATCCAGTCAGCGGATCGGCTGCAACGAACCGCACGGTGGGTCGAGTCCTTGGACGAAAGTGGCAAGAATGGGATGGAGTATCTCAAGAAGATCATCATCGACGACTCGCTTGGAATCTGTAAAGAACTTGACGAGGCGATGGACGCTCTGGTGGGAACGTACTACGATGAGTGGGCAGAGGTTGTGTCAACTGCAGAGAGACGAGCATTATTCCGTCAGGTACGTCATGAAATCCGTCTTTCTCTAGCATGGAGCTGATTCGAGACCCCAGTTCATCAACACGGAGGAGACAAAGAAGGGAATCGAGTTGATCGAGGAAAGAAACCAGCAGCGACCCGCAGACTGGCCAGAGGAAGCGACATCCCTCAAATTCGATATCCAGGACATTCCTAAAGACGATTGGCAGTGGAGAATGGTCGCGAAAGCTAGTGATCTTCGTCCCTCGAGTGAAGGATCGACGTCAGCCGTCGTCAATTACTCGGACACTCAGATCGCCATCTTCAGACTCCACAATGGCGACCTTTACGCAACGCAACAGATGTGCCCTCACCGACGTGCCTTCGTTCTTGCTGATGGTCTTCTGGGAGATACACCGGACGGCAAACCTTACGTGTCGTGCCCATTGCACAAGTACGTTTTCCAACCGGGGGCCTTGAAAATATTCATGATTTTGCAGGCGAAATTTCGCTCTTCAAGACGGAGAGTGTATGACCGACGACAACTACAAAATTATGACTTTTGAGGTAGTTCCATGTTGTCGGACTGAGTGAAGACTTTGGCTGACTTCTTTTTAGGTTAAAGAAGAGAATGGCGGTCTTCTTGTCAAACTGCCGCAGCCAGCTGCGATCGATAGCGTCCTTGGTACGAGCAAATGGATGATAAAGCAAGCAAAAAAACTGGTGCAACAGCACGGGGCGAAGCACGTCGAGATCGTTGGGCCTTCAGAAGATGTCGCAAATGCTTCCAAAACTATGTCGGATGCGACCTCTGGGTCTTGCGGCGGGACCACTTGCGGAAACAAAGAGCTAGAATGGTGAAATGCGTGTACATAGTCCCTCATGTATTTTATTGCACAAAAAAAAGGGAATTCTTGGTCGGAACGCAGAACAGTGCAGAACGCGACGGAGCGGAGTTTGCACGTCAACGGATTCAAACTCAGTCGACGCGTTTATACAAAGACGCGTTACACGCCTACGTTTCATTTCAGTTACATAACTTGCCAGCTCATCTTCATGGAAAACGACATCCCCCAACAGAAGAAAAGGAAAATGTCACAGCCCGACAACGAACCTACTGCCCCAGTCGCGAACCTCCTCATCAAGAGGTTGTCCGAAAAAGCAAAACTCCCCACCCGTGGCTCCCCTCTCGCCGCAGGTTACGACCTATACAGGTATTGCCAGCACTCCTATAACGCAAAACAGCTCAAATTTCACGTGCAAACCGCAGTGCTGAACGCAAAGTTGTACCCGCACATGGCAAGGCGCTTATTGACACTCAGATTTCCATTGCTGTTCCAGTTGGAACATATGGACGCGTCGCTCCTCGAAGTGGCCTTGGTACGTGTACCTGATTTACTCTAATCGTGTTCGAAACACTGATGCATATCTCAGCATCAAAATTCATGATCGACACCGGAGCTGGTGTTATTGACGCGGATTACAGAGGTGTTGTCTTCGTCCTTCTGTTCAACCTCTCCGACAAGGACTTCCAAGGTATCTCCATTCCTACTCTATTGCTACTATCACGCTTCTAATCATCGTCTGGCTCTAGTAGAGGAAGGCGACCGTGTTGCACAACTGATTATTGAGAGGATTTACACACCTGACGTCCTCGAGGTCGATGTAAGGATATGACCATCGTTATTGATTGAACAGCACCTGAAGCCATGTTGAACTTTCTCAGAATCTTGATGAAACCGCACGTGGTGCTGGTGGTTTTGGCTCCACTGGAGGCCATACACTCCTCACCGCCGCCCCTGCTCAATGAGCGCTATTTCGCGTTACGGAAGTCGTATCTATTTTGTATCATCGTTGCTGTTGATATACCTTTGTCAATCTCGAGCTCAAAATCCAGGGAACGAAATGTGTCGGGATGCTCACCGATAGGGAAAGCAAGGGTGCCGAAACATGAGCCAGGGAAGCCAAGCGTCAGCGTCTTCGTTCGGAGTCCACAATGTAGAATCCGTTCGCGGTACGTGAAGAGTGCTGTAAGAGATCCTGCCCGGTCTCAGAGTTTGAAGAGGGAGCGTGTAGCCTATCTGTGTCCTCCTTCTCGCCACAACCTACTAAAACCACTCCCGTTGTATCCACCAGCCGAACAGCTTCTACGAGTCTGACCATTTCTTCCAGGTTCTTCGTCGCGGCGGCATGCTCAGCCGTGCCGTTTCTTGGAGGAATTAAGGCTGAGAGTTCATAAAGGCGATTAACAGTAACCGGCGATAATTTCGGGGAAGGGTAGGAGGACAAGAGTTCATTGACAGACCACGTGGGTCGAATGGGAATACCGCAAGAGTCGGTTTCGTGGGTGACACTGGACGTTCCCTTTCTTCTATTGAGCGATAGTATGCAAGGAAAATGTGGTTTGCGCTGAAAAGTCCTGAGCAGCATGTTCGTTGTGAAAGAGTAGTCGATGACTGTTTGGCTAAGCGTCCCTTCCCTCCTCAACTTCCGACGATCACGTCACACTCATCCTGCACTCATCTCTATCCTTCAACAACTTCCCTCGACTTCTCCTTCCTTACAATGTCTTCGGCAGCATCAATATCTCAGACAATAAAACGCATCCTTCCTCTCAAGAAGTCCGATCTTCCACCGGTTCTGCGTAAGAGCACGGGAAATCTCTACCAAGTCTTGTCGCGAACACCAACAGGCGGTGTTGGATTGGAGGTCCACCAGACACGATGGAGCCACAAGCAAATTTCGGAATCCTACTGGAAAGTAACGCGCTCTCAGTTCAAGTGTGAAGGCAAGCACGGGAAGGCATGGGGCCGGCTGTATTGGAAGGGTATGCACCCATATTCTCCAGAATAGCATGACGAAATTGACGCGTGTTCAGGCAAGCTCGTGAGCCCTCGGGAAGAAAGAATACCAGGATCCTTGAAGTATTCGTGGAAGGAAGGACGGTCAAAAGGTGTAGCTCTTTCAACGCCAACAATGTCCGCGGAAGCGGAGCAGCCTATGCAGAATGTGAGTCCCTCCGGTTTTCTGAATCCAACACCACCTAATGCGATGATAGTGACATAGCTTCTACGCGTCCATCCTATTCTAAATGTATACCCCTACTTGACCCTTACTTCGCAATTTCCACACAGCGCGCTTCTAGAGTTGCGATTTAGCACGTGTCTCTCGTCGACCATATTGCGAGAAGCTCTGAAAACCAACACGTAGCACTAGCAGGGTGTATTTCATCCCCTTGAATGCCTGGTCTGCACGTTGTAGACGACTGTGGTACTGCAAGACTGCCGTGTTGCGACGCCATACTCCAGATTCAAGTCACGTCAATCATCCGACTCGATACATTCTATACACACGACCCCTTACATAAATACAAGATGCAGATATGCAATAACCGCCCGTCGTTCCAAGTCATCATGCCTCAGCCATCGTCCTTCTGCACTACACTTAGATGCCGCGGTAGGTGGCGAGTTGTGAAGCGAGGCGGGTGGTCTGGCCGGTGGTGAATTCCGACATGCAGGAATCGTCCGTGTAGTCCATGAAGTTATCTGTACAGGGCATCAGCTACCCTGGTTGTTACAACAAAGCTGCTTGACTCACGGATGGGGTCGACACCAGCGCTTGAGCAAGTGTCACGGCCAATAGGGCAGCCAGTTGCGTAGGAAGCTTCAGCAGGGGTATCGGAGACTTGGTCGCCAGAGCCGGAGCATCCGCCTTGGAAGGTGTGGTAGAGACCAACCCAGTGACCAACCTCATGAGTGATTGTCTGAAATTGGACATTAGTTATGTAAAGTCTGTTAAAATTTTTCAATATTTACACGGCCAAGGTTGAAGTTAGTCTTGGTGCCTCCGGGAAGGGAGGAGTAGAGAGCAACTAGACACGGAAATCGTCAGTCCGATCGCTCCGAGGGCAAAGCGGGCAAAATATTGCTTACCAACACCGTCATCCCTGGGTGCACTGGAATAGCTCGAAGGGAAGGTAGCATACCCCAGGAGACCATCAGTGGCAGTTGACCTGAAACCAACGGTATAGATGTTCAAGGCAGCTGCGCCTCCTTGACGGAGGGCGGTCTTCATGGCGGTCTGTTGGGAGGTGCTGGGTCCGGCATTGTTGAACCAGCCCGAGTTCGTGGTCCTGGTGGTATTACGGAGACGGAAGCTCAGTCCAGTCGAAGCTCAGTCCTCGTTGAGGACATCGATCTGGGCTTGAATCTGGGTGGCACTGAGGGCTTGATGAGATACTGTACTCCATTCAACAGAAGAAAATAAGAAAAAAGACACTTACGGGACGTTGCCGTTTGCAAGGGTGGTGCCAGCTTGAATGACATGGAAATAGACATCAACCGTCGCTGCGACCAGCGACGCCTTCGCGGAAACTTTGTTGGCTTTGAAATGGGCCTCCGCAGCTGTAAGCTCTACGTCAGAGATGTGAGTGCCGCAGCTCACTATGGAACGAAGTCAGACGGTGTGCAACACAAAAAGGACTGAGCGACATACCGAGCGCCTAGAACAGACGAAGCGGCAAGAGCCAAAGCAACAAGGGTGCCACGGATTTGCATGTTGGCCCGGAAAGCGAAGGGAGAACTAGGTCGCGAAAGACGGCTGCTCCTCACGAACGTTGGAGGCCTTCTTATATACTGGCGAAGACATATCCCTGGCTATGCCATTTCGAGGGCATAGGTTCGCGTTTCAGAGGGACAACGAGGGGTTGCGCATGGGTTCTTCTTTATAACTACAGGCAGCGCGTGCTGACGGCCACGGGGAAATGCGATTTGGATATCGGGATAATTCACAGCAGGGAGTCGCACAGCGCTCATCCAACCAGCGCCGCGCATCCGCAACGCAGCCAAGACAAAGCATCAAACTCCACTGGGGCGATAGACCATGGAGTCATACTGACAGCTGAGCTGCCACCAGATGGCGCGTAAAATGAACGCGCGGTGGCCAGTATGACTTGGAGCCGGTTGTTTTCCGTCCGTTGTTTGATGATGCTTGGGACTTCAGCAGTCTTGAGTCCACTTGACCTGGGTGACGACCTGGGTCTATGTCGACGATTCAGGGGATAGACCAGGTGAGGTACTGGAAGAAAGGAATCGATGGATAGGCTCGAGCACACGGAACGGACGTCATTAGATGTGATAACATGGCAGCGTGGCGCATTTCGGATGCATTCGCCGAATTAGGCTTCTAAGTACTCGGCTATCCCTCCGAAAGGATTTGCTTCCAATCACGGAAATGAGTCTTTCGAGCCAAGGGTTTGTCGCTCGTCCGACAGGGTAACGTTATACATTCTCGATCAGCGAGAACCACGGAAACTTGGACTTCTGTCAATAGGACAATTCCTGGACCACCTGCTTTCATCCAGTCTCAACACGCTGGGTTCGTAGATGAACAGCCCCTCGCATTCGACCCACTTTAGTCGTGACAAAGTCCGAAGAATAGTTCAAGGAATACAGCCTTTAAATCGACGCTTCCGCGTGGATGAATTGAATTCCGGCATTAACAACCCACATGTTCACATCTGGTCACGATGGAGTTTATCTTCATGCCCCACGGTGGCCACCTGCATATCTCGGAGAAAGTAAGAGGCTTGCATGTGGAAAAGAACAATCGTTTGTATCATACAATGCCGATTCTCGTACATTGGTTCTGGCAGCGAGCTCGAGTAAGTACACTACACTATTGTACCTGAAGACCCGCGCACCTCGGCCCTTTGACGGGCGGAAATTCAGGATGAGGTATCGCTCAGACATTGATTGAACGGTATGTCGCGATCTGCGACTGGAAGCGGGTGATTTGGCCGGGGGTGAACTCGGTCATGCAAGCATCATCCGTGTAGTCCATGAAATTATCTAACCGAGCGCCTCCGATTAGCTTTGACAACATCAGAACAGAGGAATGCGACGCTTACGGATGGGATCAAGACCGGCGGAGGAGCAGGTGTCACGACCAGTTGGACATCCGAACGCAGGAGAAGCCTCGGCGGGGGTGTCGGCGACTTGGTCTCCTACCCCAGAGCAACCACCTTGGAAAGTGTGGTACAACCCGACCCAATGACCTACTTCGTGTGTGAGAGTCTAGGACAGCAACGCAACTGAGACACGGCCTCCAGAGTAGAGAGTCAAATAGTTACCTGGCCAAGGTTGTAGGGAGAGGCAGTGCCACCAGGAAGCGAAGAATACAAGATCACGACACCATCATCCCTCGAAGCGCTGGAATAGCTCCAAGGGAAGGTCGCGTAGCCAAGCAGGCCGGCACCGGAGCCCGAGTTGAACCTAGCATGCACCGTAATGAATATGAACTGCATCTTGATCGCAGAAGGCCTAAAATTTACCCAACGGTATAGACATTGAGGGCGTCGGCTCCACCAGCTCTCAAGGCGTTCTTCATGGCCGTTTGTTGAGAAGTAGAGGGCGCCGCGCTATTGAACCAGCCAGCGTTGACAGTGCGGTCGGTGCCGGCAAGTGTGAAAGTGAGCCCGCTGCCCGCATAAGCTGCGTTCAGGACGTTTATCTGGGCAGTGATCTGGGAATCGCTGTTCACAACGTTAGGCCGGGTTGCGTAGCAGTCCAGAGGGAATACCTACGGAACGTTGCCACCGCTGAGGGTCGAATCCCTGGTAACTACGTGGAAGTATACCTGACGGGAGTTGAAAATTAGTGCTGGCTGAAGGCATGTCTAAAAAAACCCCACAGGGACGGTGGCAGCGAGTAGCTTTGCGGTTGGCACGACCTTGTGCGCTTGGAAGTGGGCTTCAGCAGCGGCGATCTGTTCGTCGCTGATGTATGTTCCACAGACCCTAAGTACAAGTTATCAGCGGGGCCACAACAGAGGCGAAATATCGGCATGCCTCTGTGTGGCAGTCGTATTGAATGGCGAAGCAACGACGGCCGTCACAGAAACGAAGAGAGCGATCAAGGTGGAGCGCAACATGGCCAAAAAGCTGATTCTGACGCGGGGGAGAAGACTTGGAACTCAAGTGCTGAACCTTCTTGAAAAACGAAGCCTTTATAAAAAGGCGGGAGGCCTTCATCGCCAGATCCGTGACCAAGCTGCAGCTCGTGCTAGCAGATGCGATAACGCGATTGAGGAGGAAATACATGTGGATGCAACAAAGCCGAATGGGCAGATTTGACACCTTCGAGCATGGTGATTTGCGCAGAGAAGCCTTGGCAGCATGTTTTGACGACTGCAGAACACCAAATGCGATGAAGGATGCCCGGAGATCCATGTGAGGACAAGCAATTGAGCCGCTATATCTAGTTAGCTGTCCTGCGATGCATTGGAGGCAGCGTGTTCGTCTTATCAGTTACATCCTCGGCAAGTAGCCTCAACCGTTAAAGGATGATCTAAAGCCCACGACGGCCATCTCAGAAGGGAACCACAACATGATCTGTTGACTATATTTAACTTCGGAGTTGCGCACAATAGATGAGAACTCACAGGGTATTCATCGGATTGATGAACAGAAGGGTCATGGCGATTCGCGAAATGCTGGTTCGTCACAACACCGGAAGACGGCATGCGTCCGAGTGATAGAAGACCGCACCAAGGAGAAATTATTTCTCTGGTGAAGCCCTCATCCACAAGTTCAATGATTATGCCTGGATCGCAATTGGGGTCACATGAAGGAATAGGATGGCAATCTGAATGGATCAATTTCACTCACATGTGGCTCATAGGGCGGCAACTGGCCCAGGTAGAGCAGCAGCCGCATGAAAGCAACGTCGAAATTACGGAAGCCCATGGACTGGCCCCAATTTTTGAAGTAGAGAGATCAGGTATCCCAGGGTTCCGATCCTAGTAGATAAAGGACGCAAGACGCCCTGAAGGCTTGTGGGTGCGCTTCGAGCGCTGTATCGGTGTCACGAGAATTTGAGATGCGCAGAAAGGAAGTCCCATTCTTGATGGATGACCAGCCAAGCTGGAACGAGTGCAAGAACAAGAAATGCTGCTTCTGTTGGAATTTGTCAGTCACGACAGGAGGTTAGGTGGGCTGAAGGTCGTTGCGAACGGGTGAGGATACAAACCGTCTATATACAAAACAAAAGTCCGTGGTGGTACACGTTCGAAGCCTGTGGCGGTACGCACTCGCCAAGCTCGCTATTGACAGAGTATTGAATTTCTGTAGCTTCGTCTCCGATGGAATTGGGACGGGCCCAGGGAAATCGAATCGCAAAATCAAGTGCAACTCTGACGAACGCGGAGCAACAATACTTATGGGAGCAAGAGACAAGCTGCGAGATGCTGAACTGTGGGAACTATCCGGACCGGGGAAGATCAGAGGTCGTTGTCACGTCACGGTCTATTTCACGTGTCTTGATACCTTCACACCAGACGCCGGCAACATCAGCCTCAGACTGGCAGCGTCTTGGTCTTCTGCACCCTCCAGTCGGCGCGTCTGTCTTTCCTTCTGCTCTCCGAGAGTAGACGCACAGAGGCTCACTTCTCACCGGCTTATCTTGCTATGGCATCTCACGAACTAATTGACGCGCAATTCGATCGGGCGGTCGAAATTGTGCAAAGTCTACCCAAAACTGGCCCTATCCAGACCGACTACGAAGAGAAGTTGACTATGTACAGGTGAGGGCTACTCCTTCGTTGGAAAGACTGGCTTCCTGACCCTTATTCAGTCTATTTAAACAAGGTGCTTTGCTCTGTTATCTAGGAGGGACCCTGAGCTCGATACTGACCTCACTCCAAAAGCAACTGTCGGAAATGTACAAAATCCTCGACCAGGGATGTGGGACATGCTTGGAAGGGCAAAGTGGTATGTTTCTTCCCTGCTCAGATTTGTTTATTAGCCTCATTAAGCTTCATTTGCATAGGGATGCCTGGGCCAAACATAAAGACTTGGATCCTTATGAAGCCAAATGGCTCTACGTAGAAGCTTTATTAAAGGTCGGTCTTTGATTCATTTTTTTTGAAGGTCCTGTCTGGAAACATACGTAGGTTCTTCGCAAGTACTCTGATAAGACCATTGCTATGAACCTCGTGGAAGAGTTGGAATCATATGCAGGCGATCCCTCGGCCCTTGTCATGAGCCGCAGTGAGTACACGCCAATCTTTTCGGTCCCTTTGGCCCTTAGACAAAGTTGTAGGCACGTTGTCCAAGTCTCCTGCCTCCGACGGCTCTGGTTCAACAGTTTCTGACGGTCATGTTCCAATTCCGGGGGCACTCCATCAACCAGAGAATGCCCTTGAACAAGGAGATGAAACTGAATCTACATCCGAAGAAGAGTCTGAAGATGAAGCTCATGAACTCCCACCAGTCAGCAATACCGGAAGGGCGTCTGTGGAAAACCGCCCACAATCTTCGCTGTCCTCGCAACGCTACCGCACCCCTCTTGCAGGATCTCTTGCCATGTCTCCTCCCCCGTCTCACCTACAGCGCTCTCTATCTCAACAACCGCAACCCACCTTCGAAACGCCGTCTGCCTTTGCCGAACCTATACCCCACGCGACCAGTACTCCTCCTTCTTCCTATCACCAATACTACCCCGAAGCCCATGCACACCGCGGAAAGGCCCCGTCTCGTGGTCAGATGCACCCTCAGTCGCCGTACTTCGATACGAACCAACAGCGGCCAATGACGGAATTAGAACGGGCTGTAGAAAACGTGCAAGTTCATCTGGCTGCACTGTCGGAACGCCTTGAAACTCTGGAGTCGCGTTCTTTGCTTCTCTCGCGTTCGAATATGGCCGGCAGCCCTCGACGCGGAGGAGGATCTCCTTCGTGGCGTGGTGGATACCGATCCCCAAGAGATGGGAATGGAGCCCCGCAATGGGATATTGACGACCTCGGAATGTGGTCCATCGTCCTCAATCCGTTGTCTCGTGGACTGGACCGCCTTCGAGAATTCGCGACCTTCTTTGCAACCAACGAGAATCGCTCTCCGTCGATGACCATCATCCGTCGACTGTGCCTTGACGTCTCTTTCTTGGTCTGCGTCGTTGCCGTTATTGGCGCCGTGTGGAGAAAGAGCGGCGTTCGGAGACGAGAGGTCAAAGCTGCTCTCGTCGTTCTATGGAGGGCAATTATTGGATCGAAATCGCAGAGAGAGCTTACACAGCGCGGGGTCTGATACATAAGCACTCAAACTGCAGACTGCATTTACGTTTGATTTACATTCCAATGTTGATTCGGGTTTATTCCTCTTGCCACTACTCGTTACGCAAAAAGACGCAGTCGATGAACCCAGCACCTCTTTCCAGATCACTCCTACTACTACTTATTCTGCGCGTCCTTGCCGTCTTGGATGATACAACTTTATGCCATGTCGACGACGCAGCGAATGCAGTCACCGCCCTTCAAAAAATACTCAGTCATGCAGTCCTGCACACAACGGGCTCGAAGACTTACATGCATATCGTCGAATCCGTCATTGATTTCTGCAAGCTTCCTGTAATGAGTGACATATTCATCGATCTTGACCTCGCCTTTGAGATAGTCTTGCACAGCAGTCAGTATTTATACCACATGGCCAAACATTTTTCGCACCTTCCACGAGACCAGGAATTTCAGTCCTTCCTTTGACACCTCCGAAGGCGGTTCCGCGCCAAGTGCGTCCAGTGACCTTGCCAGAAGTTAATAACAGGGTCTTAAATCAGGAGGATAGATTAACCAATTGGAATCTGAAAATAGTAAGCCTCTCAATTTCTGTATGTTTCTGATAATTAACACTTACGGTCGAGTGGAAATTTCCTGTCCAGCAGCGGCAACTCCGATGACAGTGGAGACACCCCATCCTTTGTGACATGCCTCAAGAGCAGCGCGCATAACATGTACCTAACGGCAATAATGAGCCTGTCGTCTGGAAAAGGAGACTAAAAGAGAACAGACATTTCCAGTACAATCGAAAGTATAGTCCAAACCACCGTCGGTAATCTCGACAAGGTAATCTTGAATTTTCTGGCCCTCTTTCAACGTGGTTGGGTTGACGAAGTCGGTGGCGCCGAACTTTTTGGCCCATGACTCCTTGCCTGGGTTGGTGTCGACCGCAATCACGCGGCTCGCACCAACGAGAGCAGAAGTATTGACGACGCCGAGTCCAATTGCACCGCAGCCAAATACTGCGACGGTGCAGCCCTCTATGGACGGGATGATATTTAGCGAGTGGATACAAGTGAAGGAGAGACCGGCTCACTGATTCCTGGCTGCTTCACAACGGCACCCCAGGCAGTCGTGATTCCACAGCCGAGAAGGCAGACCTTCTCGAGCGCGGCCTGCTTGTTAACTGCGACGACTGAAACGTCTGCCACGACGGTGTATTGGGAAAAAGTGGACGTTCCCATCTGAAGGCGCCATTAAATTTGTGGCGTATACAAATCGAGAGGGATACATACGAAATGGTGAATGGGTTGGCCATTGATAGTGAAGCGGCTGGTGTTGTCTGGCATAAGACCTTTACCTTGGGTGGCTCGAACTGACGAGCGTTTTCAGTGGTTGGAGTGCTGCACATATGCACAGGATCTCACCCTTGCCGCAGAGATTGGTCTTCCCGCTCTTGCAGAATTTGCATTCTCTGCATTCTATCAAGGGATATGAGTAGTGAGTCACTTGAAAATCTCAAGGACCACATTTCCAAGGCTCACCAGCGGTGTAGAGAGGGATAACATGATCGCCGACGGCGACATTCGTGACACCTTCGCCGACAGATTCGACCTTATCGAGATCAGTCAGTCCGACGACGAAAGATCGCGTGGAAGAAGCCTTACTATCCCTCCTCCTTCATGTCCCAAGATGACCGGGAAGAGACCCTGTCGTGCCGCAATGAGCTTGACTGGACTCTATTTATAAAACATCTCCGCACGAACCTCGGGATCTTTGCCGCTACGAGTGTATTCATCGGTATGGCAGATACCTGGAATTTTTTCGACGTATAAGACGTGACGGTAGCGCGAGATTGTGGCTTACCAGTGTGAAGGATGTGGATCCTGACTTCGTGGGCCTGAGGAGGGGCCACCTCGACCTCCTCAACCTTCAAAGGCTCTCCTGCTCCCCAACAAACAGCTGCCTTGCACTTGATAGGCTTTCCAGCAGTGGATGACATAGATTGGTTTACGGATGATTGTGGTAAAGGAAAGAAAGAGAAAGACGAAAAAGTCGACTAATATATCTTCCAGTTCCTGTGAGATCCAAGACTCAAGATGGGAAGTCAAAGTCTTGAGACTTTGTCATATGTTCAACATCATCTGCTTCAACAATTTAGCCCGGTGACGTCCTATCCCGTCGCATAAAGCCCACACCACGACTCTTTTCATTGAGTTCTGGTCAAGTGCGCAGCGCAGGCATTTCGACACCTAGATTCGATTATCGATCACATCTCGAGCCCCTGAGTAGAGGGACACTTACACACCAACCATGTCCTTCAATAATCTGTACTACAAACGAGTGGGTGTTATAGTCACCATCGCCTAGTCTCATATCTTCTTTGACGAGTGAAGAGACTGCAGGCACTGCCAAGGCATGCTACGTGTGCTTTAAACCGACCACCACAGTCCTTGCGACGATAAACACCGTCGACTTCTTGTATGCGTGCTCGACACATCTTACGGACTCCGGCTTTGCAACCCTCATAAAAGACGAGGCGAAGGCAACATCTGCAGCTGTTACTGCAGAAGAAATTGCGAAGGTGAAGGCAGAGTGGGAGGAGAGGCAGAAAAAGAAACTCGAAGCAGAGGAAAAAGTAAAGGAAAAGGACAAGGAAGCAGTTAAGAAGGACGATACGGATAAGAAGGAAGGGTCCAAGGCCCCAAAGCCTCCAGCGTCTCTGAGCACGTCTCCCAGCACGCAATCTTCGCCAACTGCGACCCATGAACGATACATCTTGCACAGAGATATCTTTTCAAGTTGAGCGCCTTCTCTTCTTCCATTGTCTTGCCGGGGTTAAAGGATTGCTCTTAGTGCGTCAAAGTGAGCATCGCAGGCGGCGACAGGCCGCGCAAGCGAAGGAATTAGCGCCACGGTTGCCTGGGGCGCCTACAGGTGGCCTATCGTCAGGAGTTTAAGGATACCTTATTTCGTATTATTCTTGTACCTTTGCTGGGATTATCTGGATCTTTCTTCACCAAGTACAGGAGAGTACGAGAATTGATCAGCATTGACGCGGACATCTGGCGGAGTTCCAACTGCTCAGTTTGTCAACACCCCAAGTCACTTTTATCTACCTCGCCATTACATACGTCAAGCTGGTCTCTTTCACTTTCTCCCTGTCCCCTCACGCAAAAATAAAGGGCTTTTAGAAAACGACCAGTGAAGGTTTATAACTCTCTTGTGCGCATTTCGAGTACGTATCTTTTTCAACAATTATGATAACACTGAGCTCACGCCATAGTTCGCTCTAGTTCGTACTACACAATATTCTGACGCTCCTCCTCTGAAATGAATAAAAACCCATTCCTTCCGACGCCTAGTTTTACGCCTCAACAGCCTCCGTTGCCTCCGGGACCACCTCCCACGCAAACGGGCCAGCCAGATTACTCCGCATGGTGGCCTGGCGCACAAGCACATCAGCCGCATGTACAACCTCCTACAGTTGGTGCATACAATCCCCAATGGACTTCTCCGCAACCTCCCCGACCTCCCGCAGAACAGAGTGCGCTGTACGCGAACTATGGCTACGGATCCCAGACCAATTGGCAGCGACAGCAACAACAGCAGCAGCAGCAACAGCAGCAGCAACAACAGCAGCAGCAGCAGGCTTACCACCCTCCGCCCATGGTTCAACAGCCGCCTCCACCGAGCCAGCCGGGTTATAATCCCTATCAACCAGCGGGGGCGTATGCACAACCCTATATTCCCCAACCTGGCCCGCCTCCCCAACCTATGATTCAGCCTAGCTATCCTCATCCATCCGCGCAACCTCAGCAGATTTTCGCGCCGCAGATTGCGCCACATCAGCCTCCACACCAGCAACCGACGCAACCTCGTTACCATGCGTCACCGCAGAACTTACCGCCAGCAAAACGACAAAGGTTCGATGGTCCGAATAATCACAATCGTCATCATCACAACCAACATCATCAACCGCCGCCACAGCCTCAGTTCCAACCTCCTCCTGCTCCTCCTCACAACACAGGCAATTTTTCTGGACCGAATCGCAGCGGGTTGCCTTCTGGGCCTGGAAATAGAGGTGGGATACCAAGTGGTCCGGGAGGTCGAGGAGGTGGTGGGGCTAGTGGACGAGGTGGGCGTGGGGTTTCTATGACTGGCAACAGAGGCGGTCTGAGTGGTAATAGAGGCCGTGGAGGAAGCTTCGTTGCAGGAGGCCGACCAACTGGTCCTGGAGGAAATCAACCTCATGGTCCGGCCCGGGGTCAAGGTTCACGCAACTTCGGAAACAAAGATTTTCACAATCGCCGGGGGGGTGGAGGAGGATCGTTCAACGCAGGTTCTGGAAATACGGGGTATTCGCACCAAGGGCCGTCTTTCCGGGGTCGAAATCAAGGGCATGCAGGATCTAACAGAGGAGGTAGGAACGACGGAGGGAGCGGTACTCTTGGATCACAAAGCACAATGTCGTCGAGCTTCGGGGGTAAGAAGGATGAAAACAGACGGACTCTCACTGATTTCAAGATTGTTGGCCTGTCGATACCCGACCTGGGATGGACTTGGGGTACGATTCCGTCTTCCTCTCCTGTGAAGACGGAAGAGACTGGCAACAATGCGAATGGATCCGGGCCTTCCGTGATTCCTGTTAAGAAAGAAGCTCTCGAGGAGAAATCACCCGGGCTTGCCAATTTTGAAGCGGAGGGAGGCTCTGCGGAGGTCAAAATAGAACCTGCTCAGGACGTTCCGTTGACGGAGGCAGAGATAGCGGATGCCAAACCGGCGCCGGATACCAACGTTAATCCTCCTCCTTCGCGCATTCGCATTTATTTTCATACTCCTGTCACTGCTGATGATTCTCGTCCCATACCCCATAATGCTTCTTATGGGGAGGTTTCCTCGGACGCCAGGAAAGGAAAGAGGAAGAAAACGGAAGACGATGATGGAGACGTGGACGAGAGGCGGGCACCACCCCCTCCCCCGCAGATGGGGATTTCAAATGACGACCGCTCCAGTGTCGCTGCTAGTGTTGCTCCCAGTATTGCGGAGACGGCGAGTGAAGCTGATTGGTTGATGGCTGCAATTGTGGAAGGCGAGGAGGAGGCAGAAGCGGCTAGTGCGCTTCAGACTGTGGAGGAAGACGACCAAGATGCCCTGCATGACCATGACGCTGAGCATGACATGGCCGAGGGCGGTGACGACGATGCTCCCCACGACGTGGATGAGACGTTGTTTGATGGTAAGCATGCTTGTGTCGTCGACGATGTTGCTTTGGGTGTGAAGTACCTCCTCTTTTTTCATCTCGAGGAGAGGAGGACTGTCGCCTCGTGCGCACACAGCTGACTTCTTGCTTTCCCTCAAGGGACTTCTCATGATGACGATATGACGGTGATACGGGGGACTGAACCTGATGTTTTTGGTCCGGTTGTTGTTGATGTGGCGGATGCTAGTGCTCCAGCCAGCGTTGCTCAGGAATTGCCCTTGAACGCTGTTGGATCCACGACAGTGGATGGCGAGCGCAAAACCAGCCCGAATGGCACCTCGGCTCACGAGCAACATATAGGCGATGCAGACACCGCTCCTCAGGGGGGTTCTGCTTCTGTTTCCGTTGCTGCGCCGTCTTCTCAAAGTGATGCCTTACCTTTTGAACCTGCGTCCGTATTTGATGTTGCCTTTGTTTTGCGCTCGTTCCTTACCTGCATGCATTTTCTACAGTGCTGATGGCTCTGCTAACCACACTGTCCCCATTGAAACACAGGCTTTGCAAGATTCTTCTCAGCAATCGCAGACAAGATCACTTCAGTCTATCTTGAACGAACCAACTCTTTTGGACGTTGAGACCCAAGAGGCCACACAACCAGATGGCAACCAGGAAGACTCTACCCAAATCATTCAACCAGAACACTTGCCCGAGCCTCCTGCATCTCCTTCTACCATCGCTCATGAGGACTCTAGCTCGGGCCCAGCCACCAACGTTGACTCCACGGCTGACAAGACGCCATCAGCCAATCGTTTGTCCATTTCTTATGCTCGTGGTAATCGTCGACTCGTGGTCGACGCCGAGGTTGTTAACTACCTGAAGCTATACCGTCAAGAGGGTCGCATCGAAGTCGCAATCAAAATGACAAAGGACAAACAAGACACTCTGAAGGGTGTATTGGTCAGTGCCCGATTTTTCAGCCATTTAGATGTTCCTCATTCTTTCATAGATGGAAGGACTTTCAGAAGTCACCAAGTCCTACTCACCTTTACTTGATGCGAAGGATGGATCTCTTGAGTCTGACCCTACTGTTCCTCCTTTCTGGAGGACGACGATCCCTCCAACAGTACAGCTTCTTGTGTACCTCGATACTGCACGACCATTGTCCGAACCAAAGTGGGCAAAAACTGGCGACGTTCAAGATTGGCTCAAAAGCATGTTCGGCCGCATGTTCTGGGTTGCAGGCGATGCTGCGGAAGGCTGGGAGAAGAAAATCCAAGTTGCGGATCCTGACCCGGTATGTTTATTTGGGTTTTCTTTTCGGTGTGACCAACGTATTCGTTGCAGCCTCCAACCATATGGACCGTCCTTGACGGCTGGGTCACCAATTCGCCCGTCGGCCAATTGAACGAGCGGCAAAGATTCTTGAAGACGCACATGACGGATATCGACAACATCCTGGAAATTCTGCTCCGGCTCGTTCGTGGTGAACGAGCGACGCCATTCTCTCAGTCGACTCCAACCATTTCTGCTCCAAGCGTTTCTGGTCCCCTCCTATCGGCGTTCCAGGGGTCGTCTCACGGTGCTCAGCAAACACACGTCTCATTGGCCGTCCTGGCGGTGTTCAGACTAACTACAGAGTATGCAACAAAGGCTTCCGGTGACAAAGGTAAGGTTGAAGCAGAAGAACGCGTTGGAGAGATAATCAGGTATCTTCCGTCACATCTGATTTACAAGAGCCTGGATGGCATCTTCAAGGAATGGCGTGTCGAGAAAAAGGGACGGTAGAATAGAGTTCACTTGTAAGCTTCATGATTCTGTAGATGCACCATGTTTCTAGGCGTAAAAACTCAAATTTCTTGATGTATGAACGATGATACTTCCTTGGGTTTTGCATAACTGAATACATAACCGGTTACTCGGTCACACCAGCTACTCGGTCATTGCCTTTGTGGGTGGCACAGTTGCTCGTTTCACTCCATTCTTTTTGTGCTTTCATGTATAATAGTATCAGAGCAATCTAACTACATTTTTTGGCAGACAGAACACCATTCCTCGCGGAGAAATGAGCTTCCCTTTGTGTCTGGTGATGCGTGACGGCCAATTTCCTTATTTGATATCGTGTTTCTGGTGGTCCCGGAGGGCTTTTCTCGACGACATGACACATTGCCAGGAAGATACTTTGGACTTAAGAATTTCATAGTGATTACTGTATAATTAAGCAAGTTCCTCTGATGTTGAAGGATTACTGCACTTCCAACCTTGAAAATTGGAGAGTGTGTCATTTTGGAGGTGAATTGGACTGTTCCTGCTGATTTCTCTTAGTACAAAGCACCTATTGCCTAAAAAAGAGGTGGAATGAATTGTGAGGCAAATATCTGTGCATGACAGAAGACCCCTTAATTTTTACAAATCTCTTCTGAACATAAGACACCAAGCAATTGAAAAATCTTGTTTTGAGTGATGAGAAATGTCAAATTGAAGAACTGAAAGGAAAACATCAGAAATCATGAAATAAGAAGACCAGAATATGATAGAGGTGTCTAAATTTCACTGGAAACATTTTTTCGTTGAGGTCAGACCAACTTCGAAGAGTAATTCAAGGTGGCCGAGTGTTGTCCTCGTATTCCGAGGTTATCTTATCATCAGCTTACTAAGCATAACTGACCCTAGTTACAGCTGGTGTACGGGACCAATACAAATCGGTCTAGTCTCAGGGCCTGGCCGACTTCCTGATTTCGACCGATTTTGACTTGTCGAAATAAAATATTCATGGAGGTCTCAAACCGTCCCTTAAATTTCTGGTAATTGGTGCACAGGCACTTCAGATGCTTGCCTATTGAGTAGTACTGTTATTTTTTCTGATACCCCAAAACCAAGCACGCAAATCTTGGGCGAGTGTAGAGTGACCGAGATGCCGGTCATCTACAGTATCTACGAGTTGAGGGCTAAGCTTGATCACGTGGGAAATCATTGACGCTTGACGGACGCGTCACCACGATCTTGACTTCTACCAGTTCTACAACTTCAGCAATGGTATACCCCCAGCCCATCTGAATATTACGTGTATCTGACCATTATCTTCAGTTCAGAAATACTTACGATTCCGACAACACCGTTTTCTCGCCTCAGGGACGGTTGCATCAGGTGGAATACGCTCTCGAGGCCGTGAAGCAGGGATCGGCTGCCGTTGGGTTGCGCTCAAAGACGCACGCGGTTTTATTGGCTTTGAAGGTGGGTCACATTGGCATTTATCAGAGTGATATGCCGGATCTGGTGCCTTGGCGAACGATAGCGATCGACAGGCGAGCTTGCGTCGTACCAGCAGAAGATGTTTCGAATAGATGACCATGTTGGGATCGCCATCGCTGGGCTGACATCCGATGCGCGTGTTCTAAGGTGCTCTACACGTATTACCATTGTTTCGATGAAGTTTGCTCATGCTCTTGCAGTAACTTCATGCGTCAACAGGCGATGTCCTCCAAGATGCTCTTCAACCGCCCTGTACCCGTTAACCGACTGGTATCTGCCATCGCCGACAGTACGTCGATGCCTCTCTACTCCTCCTCGTGTCTGACATTCTCTCTCTTTCAATTCACAGAGGCTCAAGTTAATACTCAAGAATACGGACGCCGCCCATACGGTGTTGGTTTCCTCGTTATCGGCCAGGACAAGAGCGGCCCCCACCTCTACGAATTCTCGCCCTCCGGGAACTCGTACGAATACTACGCGATGTCGATCGGTGCTAGGAGTCAGAGCGCGAAGACGTACTTGGAGAAGCACTATAAAAGCTTTGAAGATGGTACGTTGCTCAGGCATGACCATGTAAATGAACGGTGTCGAATATTTTCCTGTGATCAATAGCCTCACTTGAAGACCTCGTCCGACACGGCCTGCACGCACTACGAGAGACCCTCCAACAAGACAAAGAGCTCAACGAGAACAACACCTCGATCGGTATCGTTGGCCCTGCAAGCCATTTCGAGAAGAAGCCGGTCACCGGTGAATCTTTCCGCATCCTCGAGAACGGTTCTGTTAGGCCGTTCCTCGACACCATGGTTGCTAAAGAGGCGGCAGACGCTCCCGCGGCTCCGGCTCCTGCTGCCCCAGCGGCACCAGCAGCACCAGCCAGTGGTGATGAGGATGTACAAATGGCTGAATAATGTGTCCAATGGAAGTGTATCGTATCTTTTGCTACTTTGCAATTTTTTTGTTCCATGAAAATGCACCAGTGAACATGTTGGGTATTATCATTATGATTATTTTTTCCAGTGAGTGGTGTCAATAAGTGGTTAATAGTCTACAGGGGGATATGCCCTTCAAGTCATGATCTTAATTTACTCCGATCTAGGTTGGGTCTGGGTGCTTGAGCAGCCTTTTTTGCGAGGAGTTCACGCCATGCCCTCGCTGCAGCACCTGGCCGTCTCATAGTAATAAGGATATGTGCCATCGCGCTAAGGAGCATAACACTGCCGGCCTGGTGTGCAGCAGCCAGAGGGACAGGGACCAGGTAGAGCAAGGTGAAGATTCCGAGGCCGACTTGGACGTTAGCCATTACAAATGCTGCCTTCATGGCTACATGTGTCATGGGAGGCAGAGCCTGGCGCACAAGAGGCTTGAGCGACCGTGCAAAAAGCAGGGCGGTTGCACAGTAGGTTGTGGTGGCCTATGAGAGAAATAAGTTGAAGGAATATACAGTTTAGGGAGAGTTTGTTTACAAGGACGCGATGGTTGAATTGAACGGTGGTCGGGTTCTCAAAAATATTTCGCCACCATTTGTCCGATTTGTCAGGGTTTTTGGCGTACTCGTCCGCGAAAAGCTCATCAGCGGGAGGGGCTAGACGTCCACCCATTAAAGGGAACTCGTTATATAGCAAACCCGCGTCAAGTCCGGCGACAAAGGCGCCTAGTAGTATGTGCAGATTAGAAGGACCGTTCCACGCTGGAATCGACCATCACTCACCCGACAGTGCAGTCAGGAGGACTAGTCCAGTGAGAGCCCATGCCTGCCTCTTAAACGAAACGAACAGCGGGCGAGTCACTGCCTTCTGGATATCCTGCGTATACCCACTCCAATTCGCACCATGAGCGAACTTCCAGTCCTTGATAACCGCCATGCCCGTGCCGAACATGCCCAAGTACAAGAGGAACGCCATGCCGAGGTGCGCTGCGAGCCGGTACTGCGAGACGCGGGGGACGGCGCCAGGGGTCTCCATGATGGAGTCTTCTAACCCGGACTTGACCATGTACCATCCCAGGAGGCCTTGTGCACCGATGAGGGACGCGAGGCCGGTGAGCCGGAGGGTGAGGGACTTGGGGATCTTTCTGCGGAGGGCGAAGTAGGCGAGGGGACCGACGAAGACAACACCGATGAGACGGCCGAGAACGCGGTGTCCCCATTCCATGTAGAAGATGGACTTGAAGTCTTCGAGGGAAATTGAGTGGTTCAGCCTGGTTCCATGTCAGTAAACGGTACTCTGGGATAATGAGAAACGTACAGTTTGAATTCCGGGGTGGCCTTATACTTGTCGAACTCGACCATCCACTCGTCGTGCGTTAAAGGAGGTAGGACGCCGGTGATAGGTTGCCATTCCGTGATACTGAGACCAGACTCTGTGAGGCGGGTGACGCCACCCACGACGATGATAGCAAGGACGAGCGCAGAGGAGAACATGAGCCATCGGCCAACGGGGAGCGTAGGGAGAATGGGAAGCTCTTCCGGTGTGCTCTGTGGTTGGGCATGGGCTGGCTTCAGCAGTGTACGGGTGGTATGGAGGGAGCGGAAGGAGGGTAGGCGGAGAGAGTGGAGGATTTGCGACTGAGTTTCATGAACTCGAGAGGACATTCTCGCTATTGAGCGGAATGCCGGCCATTGAGCGCGCGTAGCGGTAGTAGTCGCGATACCACGCGTCGCGCATCCCCTAGAGCACGCGAATATTCGGGGAGCTGCACTGGAGCGCACTGAGCTCGTCAGCGCACCTAGCAGCATCGTCGTCGGATACAGAGACAGTGCAAGCCTCGCCGGCTGACCAATCGGAAACGCGAAATTGACAGGCTCCCAGATCCACACGGCTCTAGCCCCGCCTCCACCCCTCATGCTCCCTCTCCCAACTCGCCTCCTCCGACTCCCCGTAGCGCGTCGCGCGTTCTCCGCCAGCTCGCTGTGGCGCATCGCTGCCGATGCCCCTCCCCCAGGCCTTTCAGAGGGCGAGCAGCACATCTACGCGAAGCTGACGGAGAAATTCGCTCCATCCCAGCTGCAGGTCCAGGACGTTTCTGGTGTGTCGAATATCTGGTTTTTGTTTTTATCTTGCTAACTGGATGTCTCGAAGGGGGATGCGGTTCTTTCTATGCTATCACAATTGCTAGCGAGGCATTCAAGGGATTGCCCATCGTGAAGCAGCATAAACTGGTCAATGAGACGCTGAAGGCGGAGATTAAGGATATTCATGGTCTGCAGGTGAGTTTTATTGACATTATGTCGTCTCAGAGTCTTAAATCGGTCTTTATAGCTCAAAACTATCTCGAAATGATTTTTCTCTCTAGACATACTTAGAAGGCTGCGCAGGAACAGGCGTCTATGCGGGATTGAATCACCCCCTCCCCTGGAGTAAGGCTTCTCGGTATTGTACTACACCACTGCTTCATGTCCCTTGCTTTCACTAGGCTACACATCTACTAATTCACTCCAACACCCCTCTCAAAAGACCAGTGAAAACCTCTATGCATTGCCCATTAATACCAACGTGAAAACATGAATCTAGATCCCAAAAACGTCACCATCCCAAGACTAACGCGACCAAATTCGAAGACCCTAGTGGAGGACTTTAGGGGCGTCGATTTTGAACAACCGTATGAGGGTGATCGCCTCTCGGTTGTAGATCTGTCGATTTGGGTCGTCCATGACCTCCAGTAAAACGAAGACCGTCAGATGAATCCTCAGAACACATGGGCGCGGAATCCTTCACCTCTTTCCAAGTGAACTTTTTCTTCAGCATTCCGAAGAATCGTTTATCTGCCTGGAGAAAGACACTCTGCCTCAGGCTTAACGGTCAGCATCAGGATGAAGCGTACCTTTCTCCGTTTCTTATAGCAAAACAAAATCTTCGTCGACGTATCCGACAAATCACTAAGTGTTTGGACAAGGAGTGGAAATGCCGGCTCGAAGTATACGCAATCGGCGGCGAGGATGATGTCCGGACGGGGAATGTCTTCAGGTACTGAATTGCCCCTTAAATCCCAGAACGCACTCCTTCAGAGGTTGTCTTCACCATATGGCAATAGAGAGGAAACCGACCAGTTGAGCTCCGCCACGGTAACTGTTGCTTTCAAGTTGTTCAGTAAAACGTTGCGCTTCATGATATCGAGGAGCGGGCTGGTTTGATCATAGAAAAAGTGGCATTGACAGTTAACACGGGAGACAGGCAGTGTAAACCAAAGGGAAAGCAAACGGACGCCTGGTCTGTGATCCACACATTCGTCTCTGGGAAGACACTGACAGCCAACCCAACCAGTCCAGTACCACTGCCGAGTTCGAGGATGCTCTTGTTCTTGACATAATCCGGTCCCTTTTGTACGAGATAGCTAGCAAGGATCTATCGCGGGCAGATTCATTGACGAGGGCCGACAGTGAGATGAAGCAGAACGCACTTGTCCAGCAGGCCAGGCAAGACCTCCACAACCCGGTGACGCGTCCACAACAAGAGATATTGACAGCGGTTTGGGCACATCCGCCCATTCATGCGCAAACGAAAGCTTGAGAAGACCATCTTCAATCGAATGAGATTGTTGAGGGAGAACAGTCAGGAGCTCAGACTTGGATTTTGACGCGCGTGCCAGCCCCTCCGACGCGATGACCCCGTCGAGCTCGGCATCGTGCATGAGGTGGCGCAAAGGCTCCTTGCCATCGAGCAGCTCTTCGAGGGTTATGCCATCGCACGGCGCGTCGGGATCGAGGACGAGCATTCGTGAGTGGAGATTGAGAGAAAGAGAGGAAGATAAGCGGGTTGATCGAGAAAAACGTGGTGAGGGTCCTTATCGGTATCAGCGCGGACCTTTCGTCCGTTCAATTATACCCTCGAACGTGGCCCGGCATCGGTCTTCACAATAATGAGCGTCTAATCCGTCGTTCATGCTCGCAGCTGTCTGAGACGGAGTTATCGATGCGCCACAGCTTCGTGTTTTTCTTGGAAGACGTCGGATAAGAACAGGGCCTTCACTGCCGATGACGGAGCGCTCTCGAATTTCTCGCGCTAACGCTAAGCTTAGCGTCGGAGGCTCGCAGGCTCTCAGAAAGTGGCGAACCTGACGGATGCATTCCCAGTTTCGGACGCGTAAACATGTGCAACGTATCAGCTTTCCAGGCCCATAAACACTATCCACCGTCCACGACAGTCCCTTTATCCTCCATTCCCTAGTCATGAGTGAAGATTTGCACCAAGTCCGCTTTACCTGGTCCGTGCAGCGCCACCCTCCCCCCGCGCGACATTGTATCGCATCAAATCACTGACAATGTCCTATTTACAGGCCGCACACCGAGCCAAGCACAGTCATCGTCACCGGCACCTTCGACCAGGTGAGTCTTTCGCCCCAAACCCAATTTCCATGCGATGGGAATAGGCTCATCTGGTGGACTGTAGTGGTCATCTTCCATTCACCTCACGAAAACCCCGACCGGCTTCGAGGGCACGACCAGGATACCATGGAGTGAGAAAATCAAGTTCAAGTTCATCGTCGACGGCCAGTGGATCGTGCACGAAGGCCAGCCGACCGAGACGGACCCGGGTGGTTTCGTCAATAACGTATACACCGCGCCTGCGCCGCCCGTCCTACCTCCACCGCCTGTAGCTGAAGAGCCCGTTATCGCGGAAGCGTCCAAGCCCGTAGACCCTACGCCAAACGGCTACGTCGCGAACGGGGGCAGTGTCGTCTCGCATGTCGTCGACGAGAAGCCAGCTGCAGGGGTGAAGGAGAGCGCAGAGTCTCCAGCAGCGCCGGCACCAGAGAAGGCCAAGCCTGCCCCCGCCGACGTTCCCAAGGAGGAGGGTAAGACTGAGGCGCCTGCCAGTGAGCCAGTATCAGATGCCCCCTCGTCCACCTTTCCTCAACTTCTGTCAGATCTCGCGAGCACCATCGTCGCGCGCGATGGCACGTCCTCGGCGCTCGACTATGTGGCGTCGGGCTTCGGAGCCGCGATGCACAGCGTGGTCGGCGTCGATCCTATTAACGTCCAGAAGGTATGTCTTGCCCGATATAGGCACTTTCCGCTCTTGTGTCCTTTCTGGATCCTGTTTCAATTTCAAACAATACAACCGGATCTCTCTTCTCGCTTTGTGCGTCGCCTTGCGTGTGGGTGTGGTGCGGTACTGTGTCTGCGAAAAATCACGTCGATCTGCAGTGTTGTTACTGCGTATTTTTCCTCCCCCTCTTCGATATTGCATGTATTGTATGGAGTGGGTGGCTGACGTATTTGATTCACTTTTGTGTTATTTTGTAGATCGCCATTCCGACACCGAAGCCGGATGATAAATTCACGTTACCTGACGGCGGGGAGTCAACGCCCAATACCGCTGCTCTCCCACCCACTGCGGAAGAGAAGGAGACTCCCGAATCGCTGCCCTCACCCATCGCCCCCATCGTCCCCATCATGATCGTCCCCGTAAACGCTGCAGAGAACAATACCGTAGCTCCAGAGGAGACTGCCGTCCCTGCCCCCGTGCCCGAAGTGACGCCACAGGCCAGCAGCCTGCCTGAAGCTACGGTTGCGCCACCCGCTCAGGAGGAATTGGTCAAAGTCGAGGAGCCCTCGACTCACGGAGCCGTCACCACCAAGGCGGAGTCCCCAGCGGTTGCTGAAATCGCCGCAGAGGAAAAACCAGTCGGTGCTATCCCCTCACCCTCCCCTGCTACTGAAAAGGCGGAACCAGCACCCAAAGTTGAGGAGGTCCTCCCCGAGCCCGCCGCTGCAGAGCCTGAACCCACCCCCGCCGTCGTGTCTGAGCCCGCCACAGAGGTCGAGACGTCGCCAGCGCAAGCGAAGGAGGAGCCAACGTCTGCACCCGCACCCGTTGCTGCTGCTGCAGCCGCGCCTGCGGTGCCCGCCGTTGAGGAGGTCGTTCCAGAAGTCAAGCCAGAGGCAGCTGTAGCAGAGGTGGCGTCGACGCCTGCTGTGAAAGAGACGAAGGAAGAGGCGGTCGTGCCCCAAGCGACTCCTGAGCCAATCCCTGTCGCGGTTGTAGCTCCTGTGGCCGAGCCTGCGACCGAGACCCCAGCTGTCGCCGTGCCCGCCGTTGAGGAATCGACAGCGACGCCGGCCAGGGAGATCGCTGCCCCCGAACCTGCGCCAGCTGCTGTCGAAGAGAAGAAGGCTGAAGAGTCAGTCGCAGCCCCTACACCCACTGCTCCAGGCCCTGCAACGTCAACGGAAGCGACCCCTATCAAGGAGGAGGCCGCTCCTGCAGTCAATGGTACAACATCTGAAGCTGCTGCCGAAGTGAAAGAGACACCAGCTGCTGGCGGCACCACCACGCCCCCAGCGGCTGAGCCTGCTGCTTTACCCGCGACTCCAGCAAAGAAAGAGCAATTCCCTTCGACATCCGAATCTACCAACAATTCGCCGTCATCATCGAAGTTCAACTCTACGCGCAAGAAGAGGACGTCGATATTTGGGAAGATCAAGAACATCTTCCATGCGGACAAGGAGAAGGAGAAAGAGAAAAAGTGAAAGGGTCATCCTTGATAGAGCTTCACCCTCTAGCTTGTTCTCTCGACGACATACATGCCAACCTTTATGAATGAACGACGACTTGGATGATGGATCTCTTGAGACAATCTCAGCACTCATACTAGTTTGGTTTATTCCCTCCTTTATGTTTCCTTTTTCATCGGCATACGGTGGTAGGTAATAGAGTTCCACCCAAACATATCTTCATCTCGATTCTTCTTCATTTACGTGTACATTAGGATTAGGTATTCGTCTTTTGTTTAGCATTTGAGTAATGTCCATTCCCTTTATCCAAGCTGTCGTCGTAGCGTAGTCTTCATATATGCAATCTATTCGTCGATTTCCAGAACAACGCCTTTGAAGGAGGTTAGGATGTCGAACACAGCAAGGAAATTTATGGCCTTACCAGCAGCAATGGTTTCACCCCCGCGTCTAATCAAGATGCGACCCATATCTTTGTTCGTCGCAAAAGTTTCTAATGGAATGCCGCGTGCTGCTGAAGAAGATCCAGAGATCTGGGTGGTTCGTAGTGCAAGCCGAACTTCAGCTGAAACACCCTTCGCGAGTACCCTACAGAAGATCTTTCAGTTGCTTATCCTCTTTGCACTCCATGAGGCACGCACCGAGGGTTCTGCTTCACCACTTTCCCGCTGGCGCGATCAAGAGTAGATATAAGCTTGACAACTGTGGCAGGAACGTCGCGCGAATGGTGGCAGATTTCGACCTGAACTCCAACTCAAAAAGCGGAACAATCATTTCTGACTGCAAGACCTACTGATGCACCAGCGGTGATAGGAACTTGAATGTCAAAAACGATTATTCTTGCAACGAAGGATGTGGCCAGAGTGACGAGATCCGTCGAGGGGCATAATACGCTGCCGACGTTGAGGTTGACTGGATCAATCGCCGTCAAGTAGAGAGTCACATTTGACCCAGATGCTGCCCATGGAACTGATTGATCCTCGATTTCAATTGCTAGAAATAAATCAGCATCTTGGGTGCACGTTGCAGCGAGAAATAAGTACGGCACATTTGACGATAGCGGTCTCTTCTCCGGGAAGGGCCCTTAACTTTTCGCCAACTTGAACGACTCCGCCGCAGAGCCTTCCTGAGACTGCGACTCCTGAACCCGAGCCTTTGAAGACATTCGATATAGGCACTCGCAATGGACTTGTGATATCACGAACAGGCGGGACCAGTGTATCTAAACAAAACAAAAAAGGTATAAACATGGAGCAAAGACACGCCGACTTGTTGAACATACCAAGCAAATCGACCAACGTCGGCCCTTTATACCATTGCTTGAGCTCTGCTGCTGCGGGCCCATCGCAGCTAACAAGATTTATTCCTTGCATGGCACCTACAGGCAAGAACTTTGTTTTGGAGGGTTGGAATCCTGTCTGCACTAAGAAAGGTCGCAAAGCCCCGCAGATCTCATCGTATCGACTACGACTCCATTCCACCTATTTGTATGAGATTAGAAAGAACAATGCTTCGAACCAGAGATAATCAAACCTGATCGAGTTTGTTGACCGCCACTATGACCTGAGCTACGCCGAGGCTGCGAACAAGTATTAGATGCTCTCGTGTCTGACCACCACGCTGGAAACCGGATTCAAATTCTCCAGTCGTCGAATCGACCACGAGCAGTGCACAGTCAGCCTGCGAGGCTCCAGATATCATGTTTGGGATAAAGTCCTTGTGTCCTGGGGCGTCTAAGACAGTAATTTGTCTATTCGGAGTCGCGAGTGTCTGCAAGGCAATGTCCATCGTGATGCCCCTACAACACCATCAGTTGGTCCCGACATCGGAGGAATTCAGTGCTATTTAGCATACCGTTCTCTTTCTTCGATGGTCCCATCCAAACCCCAGGCCCAACTAAAGCTGCTTTTGCCAATCTTCTCACTTCCTCTTTCATTGGCACGTTTTGTTTTTTCATCAAGCCTGCCTAGCTCATACAATAGTCTTCCCATAAGCGTAGATTTTCCAGCATCAACATGGCCTATGATACACAGCATGAGTTGGTTCAACAGAGAGCGAAGGGTGCTATACCAATAACAACGATACTGATCCCTTTCTTCTCCCCTTCAGCATCCAAAGCTCGCCTGGCCTCCTCTAAAACTTTTTCTCTGGCAATACTCATCTTTGGCGGCGGCTCATCTAGAACTTCAGCCTGATTAGTTGCACCCGCAGTCAAGTTCAAACCTGAGAGGTCCAGCTGTTGCTGGTCGGTAGCCATTTTCCTTGCAGGAGTCGATGATCCCGAAGCGAAGGATACACCGATGGACTTTTTGGGCTTCGACGGAGATCCAACAGGCGTTCCTGCACGAGAAGCTGCAGCAGAAGGGGCAGTAGACCTCTGAGCTTGCTGTTTTAAAGCCTTCTCACGTTCCTTTGCGGCTGTTAAGAAAGATGAAATTGTTATACAACAAAGTGTCAAGGGATAAAGAATAAGTTATCAAAGGAAAGGGAAAGGGAAAGGGAAAGAAAGCAGAAAGCGGGTGACGTCAAGTCGTGGGAGGAGTGTTCCCTGTGCCCGTCGAGCGTTTAGCGGACACAATGAAAGCTGGAGCTTTTTGGCCGAGAGCCGTTCCTTTCCGAGCATTGAGTACGATATCATCTGGACTTGGACTATCAAAGGAGAAGGAACGAGGGGAGACAGGGCCGTCTGTGGACGATTTCGCAGATTTATGTTTGCGTGATCGGTGTGGGTGGCTGTCCAAAGATTCCTCTGACAACACTCGGTCTTTGGCCTTTGCGTCTTTGCCTTTCTGGCGATCGTGGTCTTTCTTTTTCCGCTTTGTGTCCTTGCCCTTGCCTTGATCTTCGGAAGAAAGACGGTCATGGAGAAGAACAAATGCGAACGCGGAAGGTAACGCACGAGCGCGAGGTGATTTGGGCTGAAACAGTGGCGACACTGGTGGGATAACTTCATCCTCTGACGGAAATCCCGGGCTTACGGGTGGTTTCTCGTTGGCCTTCTTGATCTTCATAGCCAACTTTGACATTTTAGATTCAGGAGTAGAGAGCGACACTCCACCTGGTGACTGAAGCGGGACAAGATCGAGCCTGGGGATAACATTTCTTCGGTTCGGATCTGTGAGGCTATAGAGAGACTGGTAGGACGTCGTGATAGCTGTTGTAACCGAAGAGCCATTGGCAATAGGCGTCAGATATTCCGTGGTGGTCTTAGGAAGTTTAGGCACTCGACTGCTATCAACCTTCTGCTGCGCGAGCGTAGCCAGTTTGGAAAGAGGACGAGTCGGAGAAGGGACAGACGAAGGAGCCAATTCTGACAACGGTACAGACCAGTTGCTCGCCGTTTCTGACTTCTGCTGGGCGAGTAGCGCCAGTTTCGAGAGGGGTCGACCTTGCGATGATCCAGCCTTCGGGGATTCTTGGGCTTTGACTGATGCAGGAGTCGGAGTTCTTGAACGGTCAACCTCGGAAGCGATGGACTGGGGAGCCTTTGGCTTAGGAGTCGGCTCTCTATCGAGGTCTTCAAGCTCCAATGCAGTTCGGATGGCTCGTCGGACCAGAGAAGATGTGGAGGAAGGGGTAGGCGTTGCTGAAGGGGGAGGAAGCGGAGGAAGATCCTTCGAGGAAACCTCGGATGGTGCAAAAGTACTTGGAGGCCGCTCCGAATGCGCTGAAGGTCGAAGAGCTGGAAACGTCTTAATGGACCCCGTCACAGCTGTTCCAGATGATCTTGAGCTCGCGCTAACTGAGCTGGCACTACTGGCTCGAGAAGAAGCCAACTTGGACAACTTGGATTGAGTCTTCTTCGGCGAAGCAATGGGCTGAGGCGGCAGAGGTTTGTTGTCGTGGTCACTAGATTTGGAGTTGAAATCAGGGATTGTTGGAAGAGATGACGCCGGATTGCTTGCTGGATAGAGCTGTTCATTGGGTGAAATCGTTGAGGACGATGAATTTGAAGGCGGGGGATCGAAGGTGGAGAGTCTTTGGATTGCAGAACCTGATGGCGATGCTCTGCCGGTATTGGGATCGTTGTAGGTGTAATTCGGATATTCGTCCACATAAAATTCGGCATCTATTATTTTCATGGTAAAGATCGTTTGTCCTTTGAAAGCTGAGTTATCATCATCATACCTATTTCGCGACCGTATGATGTCGTTGTCGAACTTGACACATATGTCCGTGGAGTGTCAGGGACGTAATATGTCTGACGGGATCGCCACATAGTGGAGGGTTCGGTTCTCTCTGTATGCTCTGAAATCGTGCTGAGAAGCTTCTTGACTGGCCGAGGGCTCTCCACCGAAAGATACGCTTCGTTGTCGAAGCCTGGTTGTTGCTGGGCTAGAAATATGGAAGGGAGACGCGGGCGCGAGTCGCCTTGGTCGTATTGGGTGCTTTCGTTCCCTTGTCCAGAGGGATCTTCTTGCTCGTAAGAGAACTCGTACCCTGAGGACGTGCTACCACTATTATTGTCCGAGTCTGCTCACGGGGTCAGCATGCGACTCAACTCTCGAGAAAATGTGAAGGTGGGTGGAAGAAATGCACCTTCTTAGTTATATTCTAGAATAACATCAAGGGTCTCGACGAGCACAAGGAATCCACAAACGAAAGGGGATGGAAAGGATAATTTCATTGCCAAGGCTCACCTTTCCGTTCCCTTGCGATCTTCCTCCTTTGGCGCTCCTCTGCTGGGCGTATTAGCCAACCGCCAGCTGATTCACAGGCTCACGAACCATAGGCCCATTGCACCGTCTTGTCGACGTCAAAGTAGTATTCCCAAAGAGCTTCTTTGATGGAGCGGTCTGATATGTCGGAGGAGGCTTCATCGCCTATAATCAGTCGCACTTGCTCCAGGCCGTCGTTGATTTGCGCTTGGGCATATTCAGCTTGGACTGAAGCAAGCAGAATATCCTCCGGCAAACCTTGTTGCTCCGGTGTCATGTCTTCGTCTCCGCCATCCGATATGGCAGCATCATCCAGTTCGTCTAGTTGAACACACTCAATGAGATCGAAAGCGCGCGGGCGAAGAGGGCACACCTCGGTAGTTCATATTGCGGATATCTCGGTGTCGAGACATGGTGTCTGTTTTGAACTGTCGAGAGATGCGGTCGACCGAATGTGGCCCTGGAGCCTGTTGTGCGGTCAGTGCGAGGAAATCGATTCGAGATGATTGGATTAGAGCCTATCTGGACTTGGAGGCCAAAAAGGGAATGCCATCAGGGGCGGGAACAAAGAAGCAACAACAACCACGGCGCAAATCACAGCTGTACGCGTCGAGCTCCTTTTTCTTGCCTGAACCGACATTATGTTTTCTGCTCTTCGTGCTGCTGCCGCCCCCCGTGAGCTTTCTGCTCGGGTATGTCTACCTACACGTTCTCCAGTCACCTAGACAGCTCTGATAAGTTTCTAGGTGTTCTCCACCACTCCTAGGCGCGCTAGCGACCTCGCGAAACTGGTCCTCATTGGACGTTTAGCCCGGGACCCGGAGGCTCGTCTGACCAAAAATGAGAGGGAATATATAGCGTACGCATATCGTTTCGTGATTTATTGGTTTAGAGCTCACTGGCACCGTAAAGTTACACCGTTGCTACCACCACATCCCCACCAACTGTAGACTCCAACGGAGGTGAATTCCTTTCGATTTTTTTTGCTTCTGGTGACTAAAATTTACCTCAGAACGGCAATACGCACCTTCCACTTTCCACCGCGTCCTTTCCTTCAACGAGGGTTCCAACAGATATCTCCGAACTCTGAAAAAAGGTAGTAAGGTCTATGTGGAAGCTGCTTTCGAGTTGAAGGAGCCGGAAGCCGGAGCAGACCCTACCACCCCTCAGGGCCAACGCCAGATATTCCTCAAACACGGTAAAGTCCCATTCAATCCGAGCACACTGCTGTCTTACATATCCATGGCACAGAAACTATTCGTGTTGTGACCTACCCTAATTCTCAACCTGAAACCAGTGAACCAGATTCCGAACACGGTTTCTAGATTATTGCTCGCCATTATTCTGATGATAGGGAGATTGAGGCCGTTTTTCGTATTCTCCAGCACCAGGTGGATCTGGTAACCATTCCTGTATTGCCTGTGTGAACCGCATTTTTGCAACAAATACATTCTAATAATCACCTGGCTTTCTCGTGGAGGTTGCATAGGGATGGGTTCCGGCATACTCGGCGCAGGTGTCTCGCTACTTCTTCGCAGTTTGATCAAATAATCCCGCACTGTGGTCGAGACGAGCTTTTATTTGTTCAAACTTGTGCAACCCAAGTGAAGTCTCGCGGAACAACTCACATGGTGATCGTCTTGCGAAGAACCCGAATAGCACGCGATTATAGCGATTGGGCAGCAAGGCGCGTTCTGTATCCGTCCGTCAACATTTCACTGAAAAGAACAAAACCATTCGCCGAACCTCAAGCCAGATTGGAAAAGCTGGGAAATCGAAGACGGTGAACATGTCGGACGACAGGAAGACAGAGCACAAACCTCCTCCATTCACTCTAAACGAATCTCCTTGAATCCCCATTTGCTTCGGTGTCATTCCCATTGCACTCATCCCTTTCTCGACGTAAAAGCTCGAGTGGCCAGTACGCTTGACGACGCTGATCATGCCTTCCAGACACGACCAACTATCCAGGCTGACATCACTGATACCACTAAGGTTTCCCAAGTCGCCAACCGTACAGGCGAACAGCGTATGCCCTCCTGTTGTTTGGATGGAAAGGACGAGTCCTTTTCCTTTATGATGACGGGCAGACGCTCGAAACCGCTTTCTCATGGACAATCCCTGCGGGCACCCATTAGGGAACATTATGAGATGTGCCTCGAAACCAGAACTCACCAGAGTCACTGCATCATTTGCCGAAAACGATGCAAACTTGTAGTTCCCTTCTTCCGTCAGCGTTTGAGTGGCGAGTTCGGCATCGCTTGGAGGCATTGGTTGGAGAGTGTGAAGACCGTTGAACATGTAAGCGAACCCCAGCGAGAAAAAAAATCAAACAACAGGGACGCGATGTGATATCTGGAGGGGGATGTTACGTGGTAAAGATAGGAAGTCGCCGTTGGCTATTTATCTGATCCTAGTGAACAAAGACGCGTGTGGTCTGACTACACACCGTCCGTACGCCATGCGTTGTATGGACGGCGTTCAGGCAACGAGGCGGGTTATGAAAGGCAGACGTTTGCTTTATGTGCATCCGAGGTCCACTGCTCTGTTATCAGTGATGTCGGTCTGTAACTCTTCGACTTGCAGGAGAAGTGGAGGGAACCCTTGAAGAAGCGTGATGATCTGCGACGATCTGCCAGATCTCCCTATGTGAAATAATGGCCGTGGTGAAGACGTGAAGAACGATACTGAAGGGGGGCTCTGGACGATGCGATCGAAAATATATCAATAGTCATAAACTATCGGACTGGACGAGATTGTCGAAAAGGACCTGAACAAGATGACCTCGGTGAAAGCCCTGTGGCACTGTGATCAGAATCAGGCACGCGTCGGGCCTCCGGTAGGCGGGCTATTCCTGGCCGGAGACGCAACCTTTTCCTCCGTCAGCGTATTTACCCCGGTTCAATGAGCCCACTTCCCGCTCAGCGGCTGCTTTCCCAACCTCCTCTACTTCCTTCATGGAATTCTTCAATGACAACGGCGCGGATCCTCTCAAGCCTTCACTGTTCGAGCTCATTGCTCAAGAACAACTCCGAGATTTGCTGCAACCCGCGTTGAAATATGTCCTAGCGGTAATGTCGCGGTCGTCTGCTCCTAAGATGCGTGACTAACGTCTTTCTAGGTGTTTGCTCAGAGATACCCCCGCTATCTGCTGCGAATAGTCAACAGACATGAGGAGTTTTATGCTCTTATCATGCTCGTTGTTGAGCGTCATTACCTCAAGAAACACAGTACGCCATTTGTGCTCATAATTCAGCAATCGTCTGAAGCCTTCCTTCAGACGCCTCTTTCTCTGAAAACTTCTATGGACTGAAGCGGCGTCGGAGACCACACGTGGAAACTGAGAGAGCGACAGCGGCGGTGGGAGGCATTCCAGCTGGGGAATCTCTGCGGAATCGAGAGATTTGGCGCTCGTTATTCTTCTTGGCAAGTGATTTTGGCATCGGTCAGTATATATGGTGCTTACATACCTTCAGGTCGGTGTACCGTATGCCAGAGCAAAAGCTCACGACTATTTTGAGGAGCTAGGGGGGGGAGCAAGCTCGGATGTGTTGGACGAAGGACTAGATGCGCGACAAATACAAGCACTTACGGACCAGGTGTTTGCAACCAGACTACCATGCTCTTGAAATACTGAAACGACCTTCGTACAGAACTTCAAAGGACGCTTCCGACGCGTCTTTAAGACCATATACCCGTATGCTAACACAGGTTTCGAGTTTTGGTTGCTGCTATGGAACATCGCATATTTGTTTGAACGGACACCGTCGTATAGACCGTGGCTCAACTGGATTGGGGTGGATCTGAGGCGTCTTGGGCTTGAGGACTTCGTGAGTTCAGCCACCAAAGAATTATCTATTCTGACTCAAAAGCACCCTCCAAGCGCTCTGCAAGCCTTGCTACACAGAAGAGTACATCTCCTGAAGCCCGCCGAAATTTCCTGGCTCGCATTCGACGCCTTATTTTCACATCGCCGCGATTATTGCTCGACTCACTCCGACTTTTGCTACCTACGGCAATATTTTTTGTAAAGTTTTTGGAGTGGTGGTATTCCCCTAGCTCCCCAGCTCGCGCACTATCCACCTCTCCGCAAGGTCCGGCGATTCCCCCTCCAAGCATGCTTCCGCCGCACCCGCAAGGAATACCCTTTGACAGAACGTCATATGGTATATGTCCAATCTGCCACAAAAGTACAAATAATGCAACCGCGCTACCCTCTGGATATGTTTTTTGTTATCGTTGTGCGTACGACCAGGTGGAGAAGCACGGAAAGTGTCCAGTGACGTTGTTACCGGCACGAGTATGGCAACTGAGAAAGGTTCTGGTATGATGGCGAACGCACGTTCGTGGATTGGCAGACCTTCCGGCAATCTCGATGTCTATCGATTATCAGAACCTGGATCGGTTATTTAGGGTTTTCTGTAGTTTTAGCATGGAAAGGCTGGCCGTAATCTAATCGAGTCCCATTTTTGCCTCCGTTTTTGTGCACGTGTGTAGAAATTTCATGACTTCCTCGAGGCTTTTTGCAACTCTCCATCCGAATCCTCCAAGCCAGCCTCTCCATGGACACTAGGATCAAGACTAGATATACCGAGCCTTGAGGTGGACATCTGTCGTGTCTTCTCGCCTCGTTGTTCACCCTCCTGCTCAAAGCCGGTGACGACCCGCCATGAAGGTTTTTACCACCCTTAACACCCCTATATCCTTGATTAACCTCTAAATTGTGCAGTTCGGGAAGCAGATTCAAGCTCAACAAGTTCCAGGATGGTCGAACTACTACCTGGATTATAAGTTCCTCAAAAAGATAATTTCCTCGCTCGCTGCCAATCGCCCCGCATCCGAGGCAGCGGCGTTGGCATTGGGGGTTCGTCCTACCGATACTTTGATCCAGTCATCGCCGCAGCCATTGTCACAGACTACGCGTCGAAGTCCTGCGGTCTCGCCCGCTGGAAGCCCAGGACAACCGCCATTTTTCTCAGCGTCGGGACATGACTTGGATAGGGGTCCCGACTTTCGCGCGCACAAGGCAGCTTTCTTCTTCAAACTTGAACGAGAGCTGGAAAAGGTGTCGGCGGCCTAGTATTTTCTTCCATTCGCCCGTGTCTCATAGCTCGAAATTTGTAGATCAATGCCTTCTACCTACAAAAAGAGGCGGAGTTGACACTGAGGATGGAGACCTTACTCTCGAAACGAAGGGCGGCTGCCATGAGAGGTATTCCTGATATGAGCGACACGACACAGAACCATGTCGAGTGGAGTGCTGTGGAAGAAGGGTTCCGCTTGCTTGAGCGGGATTTGGGCAAATTGCAGGCATGCATGTTCCATATCTTGCTGATACTCGCTCTCATGTTCTGCCTGAATAGCAATTCGTGGAAATCAACGCAACCGGTTTCAGAAAAATCCTGAAGAAGTTCGACAAACGTTCGACTTCGACAACCAAAGAGTTGTATTTAGCACGTCAGGTGGATGTACAGCCCGTATTCAACAGACAAGTCAGTGACATTCCCCTCAATTACCATCAGTACTGATTTCCGAATCGAAAGCTCATCTCCGAACTCGCTGATACCGTGGCAACTTGCTTGCTCAACATTACGGATCTGTCTTCGGGACTTAAATTCGAAGGACCTGCCGCGAACGACATCTTTACTCAACAAATCATGACTGAAATCACCCCGCCTCCTGGACCATTCCGTGACCTGGAAAGTAATTTCTACAAGGCTCTTGCCGCGTCTGATTCGAGCGCCCTGGTGGATTGCGTTCATTACTCAGACATCATTGCTCAGCAGGCCGGGAGCAAGGCGAACGTCACTCGTATTCTGTGGAAAGTCATTATCGACGCACCTCCCGACATGGCCGACCTTATCCTGGCGACATTGACCATACCATTCGACTATCAATTTATTGACGACATCAACGGTCGAACGTGCTTGCACGCTGCAGCGATAGCCGGAGCTAGACGGATGGTGACACTATGCATTCAGAACGCCGTTGCAGTGGACAAAGGGGATGTCTACGGCCGTACAGCCCTTCATTACGCGGCCATGAATGGACATTCGGTCGTTTGTGAACAACTCTTGGACGCGAGCGCTTCGCCAAACATCCTTGATCGGGACAACTACAGTCCTCTCGTATATGCGACCCTGAAGGGCGATGTTTCGTCAATTCGCTTCTTGTTCGAGAAAGGTAAGGTACCGGCCCAGCCTTCGACAACGTCAGGCGATTTGAGCCCGTTGTCTCTCGCTGCGCAAGCAGGGCATGAAGAGGTCTTGATCCTTCTTTTGGAAAATGGCGCCACATCGCTAGCCAATACGAACGGCGAATACCCAATACATCTGGCAGCTCGGCAGGGACATGCGGCCATCTGTCAACGATTGCTTCATCTGGAAGGATGGGACACCGCTGACAAGTATCACGAATGGACTCCATTATTCCACGCCTCGCGTTATGGCCATTCCGATTGCGTGAACATACTCATCGAAGGAGGCTGTCGAGTGTCTATTAGAGATGAACTTGGGCATACTGCTTCTCATTATGCAGCATGGTACGGACATCACGAGTGTCTGGAGCCTCTCTTGGAAGCGATGCGGGATCTCCCAACGCCAATTAGCTTCCAACCCAGCATCGGTAGGTCGCCAATGTCAGACATAGACCCATCTCCTGGCGACTTCGAGATCGACCAAATTCCATCGCTCTCTCTACCTCCCCCGATAATGCCTCATCGTGTCTATGGTCACAATTATCTCGTCAACACGCATCTCGTGCAGATTCTAATAGGACACTCTACAAAGAAGACCAAAGAAAATAGCGGTGTGCGTATTCACCATCGTCTGATCAGTCCATTTTTCAAGGACGAGTATCTGATTGCCGCTACTCCTTTGAAACTCGTCATGACGGCCGGCCCGCACATTAATTCTGCCCCGTATACGATATCCCTTCCACAAAGAGCGGACGAAGGAAATTTCGCTTTCCAGGTACCGTCTCTCGCAGACTTACAGCTCGAATTTTCTGTCTATCCGAACTTCGGGACAAAGACCATCGGGCGAGCGGTAGCTCTGCCTTCGACTTTTCATGGTATCGAAAACAACCAGTCCATCACTCTACCCATCCTCGACAATAGGTTGCATGTCATTGGAGAAGTGAGTCCATCTAACGACCTCTTGGTGTTCACCATGAGATTCAAAATTTCTAGGTCGACTTCGAAGTCATCATCACTACATCCTTCAAAGGCGTCACCCTCGAAATTGGAGGCGATCTAGAGACGTACTGGAAGTCCACCGCCGTAGCCGCTGCTCCTCCCATCAACTTACTCCCATCTCGCACACCACGCCGCTCCAGCCATATTGGTTCTGTCCAAGCCTCACCTATATACGGTCCAAGTAATGGAGGCGGTCAAACGCTGACAATCTCGTCTTTGCAAGGAGAATACGTTTATATCATTGTCCAGGTAACCAGGGACCTTCATCCGGTGGTATTTTTTGACTGGCATCTCCCGAATATCGACTTCGATCTCGGCGTCTCGGGCGTCACCTTGGCCCAGTTCGGGGCATTGGCAAAATCGGTAGGCAAGGATGTCCTTGGTTCAGGCGAAAGATCGTCAGCGGATTGGGCAAAATATCTACCTGGAGCAATGATATCTTTGGATCGTCTCTTGAAGGTATAGATAGTAAAACATTCACACAAACACCAGGCTAACGAATCTCAGGTTCTGCCCCTGGGTGTCAAAGTGTTGTTTGACCTTGCATACCCAGCAGAAGGCACGCGACACGACTTGACGCTCAGTCGTCTCGATTTGAACAATTTCGTCGACTCCGTTCTGCAGACGATCTTCGATGTTTCCGACCTGCTCGATACTCCGGTCATACGGAGAAAGATCATATTTACATCATTTTCTCCTGATGTTTGTTTAGCACTAAACTGGAAACAACCAAACTGTACGCCACAATGATTGCGATCTGTTCGGGAAGTTGACCAAGTTTTAGATCCCGTCTTTTTTGGCACCATATGCGGTAAGAACGGGGCCCATCTACTCTACCCCACAGCCAGTGGTTCTGGTAAAGACGACAAGCGTGGGTCGAGCGTCGGTGCTGCTGTGGATTTTGCCAAGGCAAATAACCTTCTTGGCATCTTCGTCAACTCGGAGCTTTTGGTAGGTTCCGATTCCTTCGAATGATCATCTTTCTGACGTTTGTAAAAGCTCCAGGTGCCATCACTGGTACACGGCATTCGCAGTGCAGAACTCCTTGTTGGAGTTTACGGGACATCTGAGGGTTTATCGGCTCTTAACGCGGGTCCTGCACTGGGGAACGATGCTGCCACCGTCGACGCAGCCATCGTCGGTGGTGTAGTATCTTTTGCCGATCGTTCCACGCGGGAATTGGTGTGACGTTTCAGGACAATCTGGATAGCAGTATGGTACATTACTCTACAGCAGGGTCTAAACTATAGTATGGTAATTATGCTAGGACGTCTACTTGGGTTCTACAATAATGTCTCTAGACTGACGCTCGATATAAGGACGCATAGGCCCCATTCTTCTTTATGAGCTCTTCATGTGTGCCAAATTCAGTTATGGTCTAGCACGAGGGATTTTCATGAGCGAAGAGACTAAGAATACAGAGAAGAAACCTCACCCCGTTCTCCATCATGGCCACTTTATCCGCCCGTCGCGCAGTCGACAGACGATGGGTGATAAATATGATCGTCTTCAGCCTGTCCCCAGAAGGAGTTCGAGAAATCTTCTCTAGGGTATCAAAAATCTGATTTTGGGCATGTGCATCGAGGGCAGATGTCTGACGTGGAGTTTGAGCACTGAATGGACACACATGGTGAAAAGAACGCACAGGTTCGTCAAATAATAAGAAGTCGACCCCTGGTTCATTCGCCCGCATAAACGCCCGTGCAAGAGCAATTCGTTGCCACTGGAAGGAAGGTGACTTAGTATTTATTTCCGAGGATTTGAGACAGATACTTACCTCGCCACCCGAGAGGCCGTGTCGATGTCTCGTGTCTTCAGGAGACAGCATTCCTGGATACGATATGGCTTCGTGGCCAGGGGTTTCAAGCATCGTCTTCAGCCCATTCGGAAGGGACTTGACGAGATTCTCGGCCTCTGCGAGGCGCACGGCTGTTTCTATTGCCGGCTTGTATCCAATCTTCTCTACATTCCCGACGCCAATATTTTCCTTGACTGTGCTGCTGAACTTGGAAAAACCTTGAAATATCGCGCTGAGATGACTGTGATACTCCGCAGGGTTGTACCGCCGGATGTCGACGCCGTTAACAAGCAGGGATCCTTTATCATAGTCCACAATACGCAGCAATAATTTTGCGAGAGTTGATTTGCCTGTAAAATTATTAATTGTAAGAAATAAAACCGAAAATTGAGCAGACAAACCTGAACCGTTGTAGCCTACGATTGCCAGCATTTCCCCTGCTTCGAGAGTGAAGTTCACATTCTTGAGAGCGGGTTCATTGCAACCTGGGTAAGTGTAGGAAAGATTCCTGCGCCAGGGACGGTAAGCACTATTTCGAGAGGGATCAGGCAGGACACTTACTTCGCACAAATATCAACTCCACCGGGAACTGGTGTGTAATGGACGGTGTCTTCGTGTCTTGGATTCAGTTTCGGTCTTAGCTTGGTACTCGCCGTGAATGCGGACATCAGGAAGACTCCCTGAAAGCCCATCTTGATGGTCGTTACCAAATTCCCGAAGGCATATACCACACTACGTATAGAGCTGCGGTAGACGGTTAGAGACCCGAGCGACGTGGTGGAACTCTGGAAAACCAAGAGCAAAGGGATCTATGAAGCCGTGAGATCAGGTAAGAGTGAAAAAGGAGGAACCATACATTTTGGACCGCAGAAAGAAGTTCATTAAGATTGAATTGGTCAAGAACTGACATGTTTCGTGCATATAGGGGTTGTTCCGATGCTAGAACAAATTTCCTGGCACTGGACCACGACTTCAGGATCCAGTCTCCTAATCCGAAAAGCGCAATCTCAGGCCTGTGAGCATCGCTGTAGGCTAGGTTTCGAAGGCGCTCTTGACGGTCAGCAGCTCGTGCTTCTTTCGTACTTGTGGGTGATTCGGCTTGGTCGCGGGAACAGGTAAACCAGGATAAGAAAACGGGAAGCAAAGTCGAGAATACTGAAAGAAGAAGGATGCCAATGTGGGACATGCCGCGGGTAAGTGAGGCAATGAGGAAGAGGTGAGAGCAGATTTCGGTCATGAGGGAGAAGACGTGGATGAATTCGAGAGGAGAAAGCATCCCAAATCCTCCCCCAGTGAAGGAACGTGCGAACAAGTCGGATTCTTGGAGGAGAGAGCGGACAGTTGGGTCGGCCATTGTAGGGACATCAAGCCGCACTCGCTGTTCCATTTGTTTGTATTCGATGTAGAAGCGAGCGGAACCCAACACGACAGTCTCGTTGGATGCTCTGCAAAAATGATTTAATTACCAAAATCGCTGTTCAAGTGAAAGGCTTACGCAAAAGCGTCTAAGCACCCTTCGACGACTCTTCTGAAAACCTCTGTTGATACGAGATATAAAAGTCGACTCCACGTAAAGCTCTCTGATGCAATCAGCGTCTGAAGCTACTTGACAGACCAGAGTCAGAAAGAGGCCCTGAAAAATTTCTGAGGCATCTGCGCACCTCGTCAACTATCAAAGCCTGAGAGATTTCGTTACATTGCGACGGATGAAGTATGAATCACGAAGACGAACCTGGGAGTACCCTCGAAAAGCTGGGAAAAGGCTCCGGACAATATTCAGGGACATCATGAGTGTCGTTCTGAGTGGATTCAAGCGCCAGAGAACGGCCAGCTAGGAATACTTGTGTGAGAACATATTCTTTCAGGCGCCAGCTGATGACTCACAAACTCCGTTGTACATGTCTGGGTGATGAAAAGGGCGAGTCGTACATTGGCCCAGGTCAAAGGTCGCGGAGCACCGGGGACGAGAAACACTCCTGGTTGCCCAGGCATCTGTCTGGATTCTAGCCACGCATCATAGGCTGTCTGCGGTTCGGTTTTCGAATGTTTGGCGGAGGAGGAAGTGCGAGGAGGTAGCTGGAAGTCGGCAGGGAAGAGCAGCCTGCGAGGTATCATTCTGTGGCGCATGTTTGAGTGGTAGGATAGGGGAGGCCGCATTTGAAGCAGGTAGGTTTATATGCTAAGAAAGGCTTTCCGACGACTGACTCCAAACCTACCAAAAGCCGTCGAAGTAACATGAATCTTTTTGTCTAATATATGAGATCCGGATGTTTTTCATGACCGTATGAGCGGTGCGACACGAACTTGCTCCAGGCTGTACAGAGTGAGCGCATTTGGCAGAAGTGACCCAAGAGACAGCCTTGATGTGGTGGTAGGAGACTCCGGCGCGGTCTATAAGAGTTTGTCAACTCCCTTCAAGTATCCTAATATGGGTCACAAAGCCCGAAAGCCCGACGTCAAACCCACAGCCCCCTCCACACCGTCGCCCGCACACTCCAACCGCCACACATCCGGGCGCGCTTGCCTATTCCCAGCCCGCTTCTGGGCCTCCAGGGCGCAGCCTGCGCTGAGCAACGCAAAAGGGGCCTTGGCGCCGCATTCGGTCCTCTTACATCCGCGTCGGGTCACTGATCGCGCCGGCCACGTGCCCCGGACCTCGTAAATCTGGCAGAGTTTTGAATTTTCTCTGACCCTCTCCTGCTCTCTACTCATCATGGCCACCGACATCGACGCCGCGCACGTTGCACAGCTGTCCGACAGTCTCCAGCGTCTCCAAGTCCAGCAGGACCAGGCCATCACTGCCGGCCAGGACGGCGAGGAAAACCCCGGGGAGCCATCGCGATCTGCCTCTGTCCCAAGGAGCCCAATCTCGAGAGATGGTTATGGATTCCGCAAGTCGGGGGTCTCAACACCCCTCATATCAGGACAGATAGCTGACGGCCATCCACCCTCACAGCTTTCTCATGAACTGGTACCCGACCACAACGGGCTAGGATGGCCCGGTGGGTACTATGCACTTTCATGAACACTAGCCAATTAATCTCGGATGAACAGCCAAGTCCACCATTTCTCGTTTGAATGCAACGCCAGAGGAGAAGGCTGCTCGGGAGAAAAAGATGGCCACCGCTGTTCGGACAATTCTTGAATGCATCGGAGAAGATCCCGATCGCGAGGGACTTCAGAGGACGCCAGAGCGCTACGCCCAGGCGATTATGTGGATGACTCGGGGCTATGAAGAACGTTTGGCAGGTGAGTAATAAACTTGGTTCACTTTTCATCACCGTGTCCTGAACTCATTTATGAGGATAGACGTCATTAACGATGCTATTTTCGCTGAAGATCACGATGAAATGGTTATTGTCCGTGATATTGATATCTCTAGTCTGTGTGAACACCACTTGGTGCCCTTCACAGGGAAGGTGTGTAGATTCGATCCATTTCCCTTGAATCAGAACCCTAAGAACTGATGGAAACCCAGATTGCCATTGCCTACATACCAAATCAACTCGTCCTCGGGCTCTCGAAATTGGCCCGCATCGCCGAAACCTTCAGTCGACGCCTACAGGTTCAGGAGCGTCTTACAAAACAAATAGCGATCGCCGTGCAGGAGGCTATAAAGCCCCGCGGCGTCGCGGTGGTTATGGAGGCCACGCATTTGTGCATGACCATGCGTGGGGTTCAAAAGCCAGGTGCGATCACAGTAACGTCTTGCATGCTTGGGTGTTTCCGGACACAACAAAAAACTCGTGAAGAGTTCCTCACTCTCATCAAACACTAGCACTCGTGCCACCATCTAATGGCCCAGTTATGGGTTCAACATCCCTAACTTATTGCTTAAACCCTAGACATCTAAAAGATGGAATATGTATAATAACATTAGACCACTGCTGCTATGTACGGTATGATAATCAATCCTGCCTCCTCAGGTGTTTGTCGATAGCTGCAGGATCACTTCCAAAGAATCGTCGGGCGATTCCATGGTTGTTGCCACCACCACCGCGTTGGCTGAAGCGACGGTTATCGCCACTGCTATTGCCAGTGCGTATCCTTTTCGATGGTTGGGGACTGGGCTCATTCGAGGGGCCAGAGGGAGGATCCATGTCAACATCACGATCTGGGAAGGACCATAAGTTTCGGTTGGGAAAAAAAAATTGACGTGGCACGTACCACCAGCAGTCCGCTTTCTCGTCAAATCACCACTGTCATAACGGTGGCCGTCGCTTCTGTGAGACGAGGAAGGGACGGGGTCTTGGTTGCTGATGCGTGAGCGTAGGCTACCCAGATTGCCGCCTCGCACGGGAGGAGCTTCTTGCGGAATGGATTGGGTGCTTGAAGACTGTTGTGGCTTGGCAGGAGGGGCATCACGGTGTCGGTCGCGGGAACTGAGTACGGGGTCAACCTTCGCGCGAGGAGTATCCCTGTCAGCTCTTGGCGCTGAAGGAGCATTGGGCAAGGCTTTGTTTGCAGGAGCTTCGGGCGGTCGTTTTTCGCTCACCTGTCAGAAATGCCTTTAATTACACGAGGCAGACTCTCGCAGTGACTCTCTTACCTTCTCTGCAGACGATGCCCTGTGGTCGACGTCCACGGCTTCACGATCCTTGCGTCTTCTGTCAGATTCACGAGGCGGCCGTTCGTGGCTGTCTTTTTCAGGCGGTCTACGGCCACGATCATCGCGATGTCCGTCTTTCCGAGAACTGCGTTTTGAACTTCGTTCGGGCTGCGCAAATTTAGTGATGAAAATGTGGCTCGTCTTACACGCAGAAAACTTACATCGTCCTCAGTGGGTCTCCGTCTCTTTCCCAATCCATCGTCTCCTCCGTTGTTCTGGGGTGTACCTCGATGTCTGGACGTATCAGGACGACTCAGGAGATTGCGCTCGTCCGGAACGGAGGTAGAAGGGGTCCCAGCTTGGGACCGGTTTGTGGCAGCCTCGCGTTCTTTCCGGCTGTCTCTGTCTCTATCTCTATCCTTTTCGTCACGACGATGACGGTCTCTGTCGCGGTCCTTCTCCCTCTCCCTCTCGCGTTCCCTCTCGCGATCCCTGTCCCTGTCCCTGTCCCGTTCCCTATCACCGTGTCGGTCTCGTCCACGGTCTCGGTCTCGGTCAGCGTCTCTGTCCTTATCATCCCGACCACGATCCCGACTGCTTCGTTCAGTGCGATTGTGCGTAAGGCTGTCCCTTCTACCAATGTTGCCTATCGGCTCCCTGATTTCTGGTCGTCGGTCGTCTGAACCTCGATCAGGGTTGCCCGGGTCGGACCTGGATTTACCTCCACTGGTACGGCTCTCGTTGCTCGCGTTTCTCGTCCCTGGGCGGGTCGGTGGCGACGGAGAGCGTATTCTAGGTGAGGGCGCTGCAGAGCCATTGTGGCTACGTGTGTCTGATCGCTCGGACTTGCCAATTGTTTGCCTGGCGGTCTCTCTGAGTTCCTGAGCTGAGGCAGTCTGACTTGGGACTATCGGTGGTGGCATGACTGGGCTACTGTCACCACGAAGCTGGTCTAAGGGACGGGGGAAGCGTGGGGGTTCAGGAGCGTTCGAGGGAGGTCCATTTTGTTGGGAAACATTTTGTATCTCGCGAGGATGACGAGGAGATTCGGGTTGAGATGCTCGGTTATTTGCGTGATGTTCATCTTTAACATCAGCGGGTCTGCGGTCGTTTGTCTCCGGTTTGAGAGGCTCAGGTGTCGGCTTCGGAGAGTCAGCTGCCTTGGGATCGGGTCGGACCCTTTTGACGACTTCAGGTCGGGGTATGCTAAGGAAGAAAAAAAAGGAAAACAGGTCAAGCTTCAGGAACGCTTCCTCAAAACCAAACTTACCTGTCCATAGCCAATTTAGTCGAGTTCATATTGGTAGCAGTGGAATCTGGATGCGCGGGAGTAGAATTGGCTGTTAACTGGGCACGGGGGGCTGATGGCGGAGGTTGAGTAGCGTTGCGTCTCGCGTCATTGGAGGAAGCAGTTTGCGAAACAGGACCCGTTGGAGGTGGGACATTTCGAGGTTTTTCAGGTACTGGGCTACTTGTCGAATTGATTGGGGGTCTCGGGGAGTTTGTGCCATTGATCTAAGGAGATATGTCAGGAAATTGGGCAGCATGTAAAGGAATACCTACATGAGCGGGAGGTTTCACGGGGGTCCAATCAACTTCCTTCTTCTTCAAGCTAGCAGAATATCTAGCAAAGCACGAGAGGGGTGAACTTGGTATGCATTCAGGTATAAAAGAATGCGGGGACTAACGATCTAGCAAGGATTTTGAGGTCCCCACGCTCCTCTGTTTCTATGAGACGGTCGATGGCAGCATTGAGACTAGGGCCCGCTTCATTAACGGAAGCCAGTGGGAAAACTTCGAGTATCTCTTTCAGAACGACAATGGCGTTGTACACGTGCATAAACTCTCCAGTCTGAATGCAATCGATGAAGCACTGCAAAGTATTGGTACACAAAGGTGAGATGAGGGAGGGAGGGTCGAAAAGTGATAGTACCTTGGCTATCTTGCGATGCCACTTGCGTACAATTTGTTGAAATTCGGACCACTTCAGAATGTTCGCTGCCGTTGGAACAGCCTTGCTTGACCACTTTTGGAGGAAACCAGGAAGGATGACTGTCTTCCCCGCCACTTTGGCCCTGTTGTCTTGGATAAAAGCGGCTTCATCCAAATGCCAAGTAAGCAAATCTCGCAGAACACCGAGGAGGAAGCGGCCTGTTATGATTGTTACTTAATGATGGAAAGTGTTTATGTCACGGCGCACCATAATTACGAGCCTCGTACTCGCTGCAAGTGAAGAGGACCACTTTGACATGGTCTCCCAACATCTGCAGTAGGATTGAGAAGGGCCCATTATCATTGATGAGAGGAAAGCTATACCTTATCATAGCACCCAAGCGTATGGAAGCCGGGCGTGCCCTGCAGGTGGATGACCTTGATGAATTGTGAACAGAAATCGGCATCCATTGGCGATAGCAAACAGCGAGGTTGAATGCAATGCTCGATGATGGATGGCATAAGAGAAGCCGATCTAGTAGCTACTCGGAAATGTAAGCGGCGCTGGGAAGGACTAACATGATAAAACACATACAATGAGCAAACCAATGCTGCTTTTCCCGTGCCAATCGTTTCAACGTATATGCCCGCGATATGGTTTGCTCTTTGAATTCTCTAGTGAGAATGGTGATGAAGGTGTTGTAGCGATCACGCCGAGTGCGGTGGGTTCCTGCAGTTGCACGCTTTGCTCGATCTGAAGAACGTTCAGCAGAAATGTACTTTGAGTCCTCTTGGCGAGAGAGGGCCTTGAGCTTGGCAGCCTCTTCATCGTACTTAGCGCCTGGAGGGGTCAGGTCGTATGTCGAAAGCTGCCAGAAAGTAAGATAGAAACCAGGACTGGATAATCGAAATGATAGCATGAGCTTCCATTACAAGAAATCTGTCTATTCGAGAACTTACCCGATAACCTCGAATGCATTTCCAGGGGCGATCCTTTTAACATCGTCAAATAGTTTCGTGAGCTCAGGTACCCATGGGCTCTGACAAATGGGATCAAAATATGCTTTGTCAGTCATAAAGCATCACTTACTTCCTCTTTACGAGTCTCCTCTTTAGGTGCTTCCTCCTTTGGAGGTTCTTCCTTCTGACCAGAGGTGACAGGAGGGGCATCCACATCCATAGTAGCCTCAGTTTCTTCGACAGGAGGGTTCGCATCTGAAACTTCAGCTGGTGCGGTGGCTCCAACTGCTGGTGACGCAAGTCTGGAGACAGCACTGTTTGGTTCTCGTTTCGCGGTAAGAGCTGCTTTGAGACGTTTTTCAGCTAGCTCGCTGGCGATGCGTTCCTGTTCTTGCATCGCCAGGGCAGACTTCTGTAATGACCGTTGAGCATCGGTTCTGCAGCATGAAAAGTTACACGGACGAGTAGAGCGGAATGGAGCACGGGACGCATGATTTCCATGCAAATTGGTGGACATATCCCATAATCTTCTCCGAGCTCCGCCAAAGACGGAAGAATTCTACTTGCGTAATCTTCAGGAAGGACCACCGACGGTGATGTCAGCAATTCGAGATATTGCAACAGAACGCCGTGCGTCTAGAAAAGGGGCGTAGGCCTTCAGATTTGAGGTTGATGGGTCAAAACTGTATCAACGCACTGCATCGTAGAGCCCAGCCAATGATTTGAGATGGGCATTGGGCGCCTTGTACACGCAGGCTTGACGTTGTTGGGCAACTTGGATGAGAAGTGGTAGCGCCAATGACGATTCTAAGAGACCCTTTCCAAGCCTTTGAGGGCCTTTCAGGATGGCATCTCCAGGATCGAGACGAGATCCGCGCGTAGCTGAAGCAATGGCTTCTATCCGAAGGGCAGGACCACCGGCCATGGCAGCCATTTGCGACTCTGAGAGACTGGGCAACGGCTCAATGCCAGCCATCTTCCAAATCAACTCGCGCAGAACCACAATTTCAGTTGTTTGGCCATTATGGAGCTGATGAACAACATATTTCAGCACAGGCGTAAGGTCCGCACTGTATCTTCTGAAAAGCATGCCAGTGAAAGAGGCCAAACCTGCACCAAGAGATCAATAGGCCAGCTTGGAATAAGAAAGGGATGGACGTACTTTGAAGCCAGTCGGAGATGTTCACGCCGTCATCCTTGACGCGCTCCTTATCAGGATTTGACAGCGCATTGAGAATAATGAAGACAAGGACATCGAAACCCATGTTTGTCACGTATCGCAAAGCTTGAATCACGACGTTTGCAAGATTGTCGTATGCCATGATTTGATTCACAGCGTTTGTAAAGAAAATGCAAGGGTTTGAATGCGCAAGCTTTGCGACAGGCCCGGACAAGGAGTCGATGGTATTGTGGGACAAACGGCGCAGGATGCCCTTGGACTCTCGATCAGCCTGAACTTCGCGAATGCGAAGCTCGGGATGGGAGTGATAGGTGTTGGTCTTCCACTCTCCATAGAGGCGCCAACGTGCGGTGGTTTCATATTGGCGGATGATATTCCACACTTCGACGGTACAAACCGCATTTCCGCGAATCAAAGGAAGGGCCGGCAGAAGATATCTTCGCAAAATGTTAAACCAGAATTTGCGAATAGGATTCTCTGGGTCGGGTTCGCCTATAGGCTTTTTCGTCACAGGGTCGACGGGTATTGTCGGTTGGAGATGAAGACGAGCGAGACGGAGGAATTTGGTCAAGAAAAGGGGGTCTCGAGATATGTGCAACCCTACAAAACGCATCAAGGGCTCAATTACATCCTCCAAGTCGTCCAAGGACGAACAGATTGGTATCCGGTCAACCCAATCCGGGAAGAAAAAGACGAAATCTGTGGTGCTGGTGCTCGGAGGTGCCGGCGCCCAAAGTGTCAGCAACGGCTTGCGCGGGCTCGGATAGTTAACACCAGATGGCCCATAACGCGCTCTTGGGCGAGTGAAGCTTGGGTTGCGTTCCTTGGTAATCAAGGCGGATTCATACAAGGAGGAGAGCGAGACCTTCATAACGCGAATCATGAGGTCTGCTATCTCAGGTCGAGCATCCACAAGCCAAGGAAATTTGGTCATGATCGCAATTGCAGGTTTGAGGGCACCGACCGACAAGAGGCTAATCAAAAGCCCGGCCTTTTGGTTGTTGTCTTTCACTTCTGCTTTCTTCGGTTCTGGAGCAGCGACAGGGGCCTTCGATTTCGACTGTGACGATGACGTTCCAGATTCCAGCGGTGCAGCCATTGCAAGCATGCTGTTCTTCGCCCCGGCAATTCTGGCTTGGACCTCCGACGCGTACTCTTGTTTGAAGGTGTCCATTCCCTCGTCCTTAAGGGAAAGCTAATAAAAGGTATTAGGCACTAAGAATACCCGCTTCGTCTAGTCTAACTCACGTGGGGATAGAGATCTTCCAAGGTAATGAAGCCTTCCCGGATCAAAATAGCTGCAGCAAGGTAGAGGTTTCGCGGAACAGACTCAGACACGTCTGCACTCTAAAAATCAAGTCAATCAGCCCGGAATCTAAGCATTCGGCACTATAGGATGCGCACCTGGTAATAGCTGAACTTGAATCCCAACACTTGAGCCAAGACTCGAGCACCATCTGGATTCGTGGGCTGGTTGAATGTGCCATGCGTCGAATCGGTTTCGACCAGTGTCAACACTTCCTCGAGGCTTTTACCCTTGAAGGCCGCCACTGGAATCTCGGCTTTGGTATCCATTACTTCTGCCTCAGGAACAGGCCGACGGTACGATCCTGCCCATGGAGACAAGGATAGAAGCGCGAGGAAGAAGGAATAGTGGGTAGCGAGGTGCTGGGAAAGGACGTCGAGGATGACATCCAACGCTCTGTTGGGGTCTAAGTCGAAATAACCAATAAGACTGATGACTTTCTCCCAGACAGGCCGTGCGCGTTCCTCGATGAGGGCATAGGACTCGGAAGGACGACCAGTGTGAGGAGAGTGAGGAGGCCCAAGGCTGCTTGTTAGCTCCACAGTAAGTTTGCTGTACCCTTCGGATTGCTCGCGGAGTAGATTGAACTTGTTTTGCTTGTAGCTTTACGTACGAGGTACCGTTGGGTATCCGATAAAATTCGAAAGTAGCGAGGTACTCACAATAAACCAGTCCTTGTCCGAATTTCCTTCTTATCCTGAGCTCCCTTATCTTGAATAAGTCCAACGCTGGCCAACACTGCGGACTCAAGTCTTTCTCGGCAATGTTCTACCGTTATAACGCGGCATTCCTGCGAAAAGGTATGTGAGAATACTGCACACGACGAGGGGTCGGAAACGCACCAAGAGCTTTTTGACAATGACGGGAATGCGTTGCTTATCGCTCTCCGCATTCTGTTGGGCCTTCTTTGCCTTTGCAATCAAGATTGCAACTTCCCGTGAGGTTAATTTCCCTTGCTCCCCAGATGCTGTGGAGGCAACTCGTGCCTCGTTCAACATTTCATCCAGTTCTGTGTCGACCGCCCAAATCATGTCAACGAGATAGTCTCCAAATATCACCGCTTGAGGTGACACTTTCGGGGACACGGTTGAAGAAGAGGGAAGATTGGAGAGCACAGACTGCACGAAGTCGACGAACGCTGTTGGGGTCAATGGGTTCGACGGAGTCCATGTGAGCAACGTGGCCCAGAGAAGAGTATGATAGGCTGTCGTAAGGATGTCTTGGTTCGCAGGGTCTGTTGGATTACAATGGGGAGCGATGAGGACATTGCGACTTGGAGCATTTCATGATATTAGAGCCTGGCGAGGAACAAGAAGACGCGAACTCACCATTCGGCATCTCCTCCTCTAGTCCACATTTTCAGACATTCACGAACTTTGTCCACGATGTCCATGGTCGTGTCCGCAGAATGTGCAGGTGTAGAGGGTTCAGTGAGCTGGACGCCACTGTTCAGGTATGCGGACAACGTGAACAGGCGCTGCCTGGACCGAAATTGGACGTCTGTGTTTGTTCCAAGTGTTCCCCGCTTGCATGGGCCTCCGGAAACAATAATATGTCCGTGAAAGGCAGGTGTTGATACTTAGGTAAGCCAAGATTACATCAGCGATGCACACTCGTGCCGGTGATGGAAGTGTGCCAGATTCATGTGGTCGCCGGTCCCCATCTCTCTTCTAGAAGAAACACTCCACCAAGGTGACCTCCTACAGACCGGACTTCACCGCTGCGCTTTGTTGCCTCGCCCTCCAACGGCCCCATGTCGCCGTTCATGAGCGTGCATCGGGCGATCTTTAGCGGCACATTCCTCTATATGCGGATTGCGCACCCTCTGTCCCAAGGCCAACGGACTTTGTCGCCCCAGGATGCCTGACGATCATTCCAGGTGCCTCCACGTTTGTCCTATTCCTTGGCTACCCTCATTAGAAGCATGACAGTTTGCAGATTCTTCCGCTCGGTGGCTTAGATTTGACATGTGAACTTGTTCTTGGGACCTATGCACGCCTATATATACTCTGTTCTACGTGTTCGTCCCCTGGTTGACGTTGTTCCCAATCCCCTGCAATGGCACCTCTCTTTCCTGGCTTCGTCGCGCTTTCAGCTTCGTTAAGCGCTTTGGTTCCCAGCCTCGAACAAGGCTTCAACACCTCCAGCATTGCCAAAGTCCGTACCAACTTGCTGGATATCGCTTCTGCAAGGTGTGTGCAATTCCCTCTTTCTTTTCCAACTAGTTTATAAATTCGATATCGCAGCTGGGAGTTAGGAACCGCCGCTCAAGCATTAACGGAGTTGTCCTGGCCCGCGCTCTCAGTTTTCAATGCGAGCGCGTTCCCGCCCTCGTCACGACTCTCGGGTTCTGCTATTCCTGCAGACGTGTTGGACATTGCGAACAAGTACGTTTACTCCCATTGAGATATGAAACAGGCCCTCATCTCTTCGCTTCCAGGACCGTCTCCGCAAAATCAGCCGATTCGCTGCCCTTGATCCCTAATCAAGGCTCTGCAGCAGATCCCGCAAGTATGTTGTTCCTCCATCTTTGAAACAAGGCCAGATTCTTACGAGCCTGCGTCTTGGCGCCACTGCTAGGCATTGGCGTCGCTGTTTTACTGGCCAACTGGACACGGGCCGACACAAGGAATAGCGCTTACGCCGACGCTGCATCCGACCAACTTGAATATTTGCTTGATCATGCACCGAGGTCTCCGACGGGCGCTATCTCTCATCGCGCCAATGAAGTTCAGCTCTGGTGAGGTTTCTTTTCTGTATCGCGTCCGCCGTCCCTGGCGGACGAAAGGAGCCGATTAATCTAATCTATCGGGCAGGGCCGACTTTATCTACATGGTACCTCCTTTCATTGCATATTATGGTGCCCTCGAGGGCGGCGCTAGTGGTCGGGCTTTGCTGCAAACGGCGTACGATCAAATACGCCTCTACCGCGATGCGTTGAAGGATGAATCTGGGCTGTGGAAGCACATCACATTGGGGTCTTTCCAGGACAATACCCATTGGGCCACAGGTATGTCACACGGAATAACGTCGGCAAGTCTTCGAATGATGCTCAATGTTAACATTGTAGGCAATGCCTGGGCTGCTGCTGGAATGCTCCGCGTTCTTTCAACCTTGAATCATTCTTCCGTTGCTCGCCAGTTCGCAAGTCACCAGGCTAACCTCACAGAGTGGATCGACGAAATTCTGGACGCATCATGGGCCCACCAGGTCAGTCTTCTTTCATCTTCTGATAATCTCCGCGACATGAGTTAATATTGTCACAGACCAGCACCGGAGCACTGCTGAATGTCATTGATAACTCAACATCCTTCGTTGACACAGCATCGACTGCCCTTCTCGCATCTGTCACTTACCGAATGGCCGTCTTCAAGAACGAAACCAGCCGTATTCCAGTCGCAGACCGTGCTTTCGGGCTCGTTCGCCGGAGTGTGGATGCCAACGGCTGGCTCCAAAATGTGATCAACCCCATAACCTTCCACGACCCTCTCCCCGCGGGGGAACACAGTCCTGAAGGACAGGCCTTCGTGTTGTTGCTCCAAGCATCCTGGCGAGCTTTCTCCGACTATATCAAAAGGACACGAACGACTTGAGCTTAGCCCTCCTCAAGACCGATGACAAAATGTACCCTCAACGCCCGCGATCGACAGTGTCGAAGGGTGATCATTAGTTGTTACTCTAGATGCCGCCACCGCTCTGTATTTTGTAAGTTATGTATCATATCGCTATCAAATATATCTAGGATTCTATTACAGCGTTGTGAGGTTTGCAAAGGCTGATCGACAGCCAGCTAGGGCGCGTTTCATGTGGTGGGTGCAACCTGGTGCTCTCTTGTATATTGGTCAATTCCGGTGTCTCTTCGTGGATGTTGCCCACCAGAGTTGAAGTGAAACGATTCACGTTCAAGCATTAGCTTCACCCAAAGCTTTTTCCGTTCCCCCGTTGGGACTTGCTTGACATAAAGGACGTCTCTCAGAGAGAGTGCTTAAAATATTGATGTACGGCTGTCGACAGAGTACACTGTCAAATGTCCAGCAGTGCCATCTCAGCCGCTCCGAGTCGAGGTGCGGCTTGACGGGCTAAAAATAGATTCTGCACCCGAGAGCATGATTGGCTTGGCATTCGTCCAACACTTCTTCACTACTGACCAATAACATATCGGAAGTTCCTCGAGGACACTCTATAGCAACGATGCGCAAGCGACTCGAGGCTCAAGCTTCCTCGAACTGCATCCACTCAGCGGCGTGGCCAACGTCCTGCTCGCCGTTGACACTCTCAAAGCCCACTCGAAACGTCAACGTTGATACCAGGGAGACCCACACCGCCCACTAACTATTTTAGGGGATCTATCCCATCGGCGTCCTGCCAACACTCTGCTTGTCTTTCCCCTTCCTGAAGCCCTATGTCGACCACGCCTACCATTGTCGAATCGCATCCTGATGACGTCGACAATGGCACCTCCAATACCCGTCACCGCCATGTCCGCGTCCTAGATGAGGAAAAGGCTGTCGGGCATTCAGGCGACGGCCCATCTATTCAATCATCTGGGACCGAGTCGCAGCGTCGTCGTCGTCTCCACGAGTTTTCGCAACACTTCCACTTACAGGAGGGCCAGGAAGGGCTGGTGAAGTTCTGGGATCAGTTCACGAGAAAGGGAAAACGGAAGATTGGGTTTGTGGAGAGCTTGCGTGCGATCGTGTTCTCATCTTGTATGTCTGTCCTTTGATGTCTTGGGACCTTGGCGTTTACTCACATCGTTTTGTGGCAGGGCTCAACATCTTCCTCATTCTAATACCAATCGCCTGGGTTTCGTACTTCCTGCACTGGCCCCCCAGAGCAACTTTCACTTGTATGTGTCGTTACCGTCCATGACCGGCTGCTCTCACGTTGTGCCCAGTGTCGTTCTTCGCCATCATCCCTCTTGAACAGTTATTCGACTATGGAGGAGACCAAATGGCTTACTACCTTGGAAAGGACCTCGGAGACCTGATTGTCGTTACCCTCAATAAGTCTATATCCTAAGTATGTTAGCCTGTGTTTGGATACTAACGCAAAGCACCCAGTGCCGTCGAAGCTACTCTTGCCATTATCCTGCTCGAGAAGTGCGAGTAAGCTGCCTCCGATGACCTCTCATGAGCCACCGGCGCTTAATATACATCGCAGATTACGACTCTTGAAATCAACAATAGTTGGTGAGCTGACACGCTCTTCTCCTATCACAAGCCATTTCTCATCATTGAAATCAATAGGCGTCGTCATCCTGCACCTTCTCCTCGTTCCCGGGACGGCTTTTGTCACCGGAGGAGCACGTATCATTCAACAGGACCTCCACCCACACCTAACGCAGCTCAACCATAGTCTTTTAACTCTCGGGTATGCTTTTCATCTTTCGTATGCGTGCGTGGCCTAACGTGTACATTGAATTCACCCTAGAGTACTGTCTCTGCTAATACCCACGGCTTACTTCGCCGCCCTTAACACCTCATTCTCGCCAAATACGAATGTCCCAGCTGTAAGCGTCGTCACCGACGAAGTGCGTGCCAACTTCCTCAAGATGAGTCGTGGGCTCGCCGTTCTACTCCTAGTAGTGTATGTCTTCCTAGGCCATCGCACACCCTCGCCCTTTTCCCTTCAGCTGACTTCTGCGTCCAACAGCTACATCTGCTCGCGCATATACTTGCACAACCCTCCAGGTGAAGACAACGCACTCAACTTGCACCTGGCCCCGCTCGCGCCGGAAGCGCTGAAAGACAAGGTGAAGAAATTACGCAGCGAGGACCCAGAGGTCAACCAATGGGTCTGCATTGTGATGCTCGCCATTTGTATCGGGCTCATGGCAGCTACGGCTGAATGGGTAAGCTAGGTTCTCCACTTGGGCCAGACGTATATCCTGATTTTTTTCCGATATTACAGCTTGTCAAGAGCATAGAGTTCGTCCGCGAAGAGTCCGGGATCGAACTCGAGTAAGAAATCCTCCACTCTATTACTCCTCCATTCCCACTGGCGCTAACTCGCAGTTTCTTTCCAACAGATGGTTCGGTCTAATCCTCCTCCCTATTGTATCCTTCGCGGCGGACGGGGCCGTGGCAGTTGTCTATTTCGTGCGGTATATGATTCGCCATTTCTTCCATGAGCCCTCGCCACCGACGACGCTGGCAAAGGCAGAAGCGATCGACCTCAGCATCCAGTTTGTTCTGTTCTGGATGCCATTCTTTGTCTTGCTTGGTTGGTGGGAGGACCGGCCGCTAACTTTGCTTTTCGGTGCGTTTAGCCTCAGGCTGACCTTGTTAAGACGGGTTTTTAACTGACTCTGTTCTATAGACTTGTTTGAAGTCGCCATACTAGTTGGTGCTTGCTTCATCGTCAATTATGTGACGGCAGACTCGAAAACAAACTGGGCAGAAGGAGTGGCTATGGTCACTTTTTATGCCATGATTGTGAGTTATCTGGGAACAAGGACGAAAGAAGTTTTGTTGACGCTTTTCTAGGCTCTGTGTGCATGGTTCTACCCTGGTCAACCAGAGATTGGATTCTTGTCGCAATGCGAGAGTGTCCTAGAGGCTCTCCAGAATGCTGTTGTTGGTGGTTCCAGTCATGGAGAGTAAGGTGGTTGTTTGAGGTTCCTTCTCTCACTGGGATAGTAAAAACTGCATTGCGCCTGTCCTTGTCCTGTATGTAGTCCAAACTATATTGCTCTAATTATCTACTCGACCCTCTAGATCTTCTAGCACGCATGATAGGTACTCTTGATTGTGGATTAAGGAGGCTATGAGTCCGACTTGAAGCCTGTTAACAATTTGCCTGACACCGATCTTCCCAAAGCCTGTACGTCGCGATGAATGATAGCAGTAACCTTTTGTCTGATCAAAGCCGCGTAGACGTGATCATCATAACTGGCCGCTGCACCTGTATCATATCTTCGCTGGCCCTCCTTCCCCAACCACCCAGTCAGGTCTCCGGGTTGGTCGGCAGCAGCAGATGCGTCGACATCGGCATCGCTTTTCGACACGGCTAGTGCCTCTCGCAGCTCATCCGCAGGTACCGGCTCCCCGAAAGTGATGCTGAGACGTGCGCCGATCCGAGGGAGGTACTTGTACAGGAATGGGCGACCCTCGGGCATCAGCTGCTCGAAACCTGTAATCCACATCGGTATAACCACCGGAGGGACGCTAGCTTCCATCAGGATGCGGCCCCTTGGAGCAGTCAAATGAAGGCATTAATGTGAAGAAGAGAGCAGACTTACACACCCCATTTGAATCTGGGTAAGCAGGCACGACCTAGGCTGTCTTTTAAATAAGTGTCAGGCTGGTTGACCTTGCCTTCACCGTAAAGATGAACCTGTGGGTCATGAGAAGAATTGGTTTATGATTAGACGGAAGCGTACCCAGTGACCATCGTTTAGTTTGTGGATCGCGGTATCCACGGCGGCCTGGTATATCCCCTCGCCTCTGAAGGTCTCAAGAGTCTGGCCAAGGGAGAAGAAAGTGGAAAAGAGCCTTGCTGACAGAGCTGCGCGTCAACTGTTTGTCAGGATGTCGGGACGGAGAACGGCGACGAACGGATTCGTGAACATGATGTCAGACGCGCCGAGTGCCCAACGCGTCGTTCTCGGGTTCAGGTGGTATCGCGCAGGGAGTACGCCCCATGTGACGGGGTCATCGAGGCTAGAGCACGTTCAGACTTTTTTCCTCCATGCGAAACGCGGACGCACGTCGAGATGTGGTTGCAAACTGCAATCACGTCAGCATAAGAGAAAATGATATGAGATCAGAGATGCCTGACTGGTGACGACGCCCTGGCCTGCGCTGCGACGCGCTGTGTCCTCGAGGGCGGTTTTGAGGTAGTGGAGGCCGTTGACGGTGACGGCGCAGAGACCAGAGTTGAGGAAGGCCTTGCAGGTGAGGCCAACGACGGTGACTGTCGCGGTGCCCAGAAGGCCCATGACGGATCGGGACAAGAGACACCCGGCAGCGCCCGGCCAGCGATCGTGTTTACGTGAGCAGCGTTATGTGAGAAACCCCAAGGGTTTGGAAAATCGAACGAGCGTATCTTGATTCCCCACCACCACCACCGCGACGAGGGCTGCACCAAGGGCAGCGTCGCCCACCATGTTGGCCCTCATGACCCTCACCTCCTGCGCCGCCCTCCTCTTCGTCTATATATTTATGCCCGCCCTCTGGCTCTCAATCATGTCCGCAGACGAGTCCTTGGACGCTCACGAGTCGGGTCTCGCCCTCGTCGCTGCTCGTACGTGTCCCTTTGTTCTCCTTTCTCCAGCTGTCTCACATGCCCCCTCACAGGCAATCCGTTCCGCGAATCAGGCCCTCCCGCCAACATGGCGAAGCTTATTCTGCTACGGCACAAAGTGCGTCGGCACCGCCCAACGCCCACTTACCCCGGCCTGCTGACATGCATCTCCCAGATTCAAACAAGTAACAGGAAACGACGGAGTTCATCCCATTCACGACAGGCGCCCCGAGCGCTCCCAATTCCGACATCCCGCCCGAAGGCCCCTTGGATGCGTTTCGGCAGACCCTTTGGCGGAAAGCAACATCACTGATCCCCCGCCCGCTCACCGCCCACTTCGCCGTTTTACGACCGTTGTTTTATTGCTCACTATACCCATATTTCGAACTCTGTACTATCAACCCCGCTACTTGTTTTGTCGCCGTCGCCTCATCTTCACGACTTCGGGTTTAATTGCAATAGACAGTGGGGGTCATGATTCATGAATTGCCTGCTTCAGAAAGTTATTCAACTACATGTACTATATTACAGTCATATGGAAGATGAAGTCATAATTTACGCAAAATTGCTACGCTTGTCTGCAATAACCGAAAGCATACTCGCTGCTGTCTTCATAGGCCTACTTGTCGGTGCTGATGAAGACGCCCCCCCGCCCAAAGCTCCTTTAAACCCAGGGGCGGTCGACCCTGTCTTCGACTTCGCCTTCGCGTGTCCCGTAATGGCTGAGCCGCCAACTGATCTTGAAGTACCCGCGTTCCGCAATCTGTTCTCCTGAGCCCACCACTGCCTATGGCTCTCATTCACATTGGTGGCGCTCTTGCGGAAGGCAGGACCCTGTAATTTTTTTTCGATCAACCAACGGAATTCTATCCTGATAAACACGCGAGGCATACCATAGCACCATCCATCTCCGTCCAGTTTGCGTTGTTTGCCCTCGCAGAAGGACGCTGCTTGCGAGACACTGTTTTGATACGCGTGATATCGTCATTTTCTGGGTCAACCCACGAAACGTCTTCTGTTTCTATCGGTTCAACGACCTCCTAACGAGTGGTAAACGCAATTAGGCCAATAAATAGGCAGAAAGAGGGGAATCACACAAACCCCGCTGTCCATCGTCTCTCGGACGAGCTGATCACGTTCGCGAGCGGTGATGAAGCGCCCTCGCGAGTCCTCGGCTTCATCCTCCTGTTCCTCATCAGCATCTCGGCTTTCGGGTTCTCTGCCCAAAAGGACGTCCGCGAGCTTGGATTCCTGGTTTAGGTAGCCGAACTCGCCATCCTCGTCCTTTAGACTCTGGTTGTAGGTATCCGCGAAGGCACGCGTTGCCTCGTTCGCCGCTGTAATCGAAACGCGTGTTAGCTCCAACTTCTCCTATCTGTACTTAATGTGGACGATGAACACACCAAGGTCCTTGATATCACCGCGGTCAGAAGTCCTCATCTTCTTCATAGCTCTGCGAGCTCGATCGTTGTCCTCGGCGTCGCTATCTTCGTCGCTGTCGTCTACCCCTACTCCGCGGTTACGTTTATTACTCCGCAACCGACCTTGGATGACACCCATATGGAAGTTTTCGACCTCTTTATCATCCTGCTCGGCCTGCTCCCTGAAAAAGGTCAAGGCAAAAGGCACGGCAGCAAGAACGCGATTAACAACTTGAAACAGGAGCGAAAGAACGAAGTCACGAACTGGTATTTATCCTGAACGAGGTCCGCGGCAATAGTGTCCTCGTCCATCTCGCGATCATCCATGAGGATTTCCAGCGTCTTGTCCAGATCCTCGCCAGTCTCCTCGTCATCGTCCTTAGGCTTGACGAACCCAAACATATCATCGTCATCCGATTCCGCGGCCTCGTCCTGAAGGTATTCTCCCAGGTTGGCGATTCTAAGTTTTGCCTCCTCTTGTTTCTTTGCCTTCGCTTGGGCACGAGCCAAGATCTGGAAGGCATCGAGTTTCGGCGGCTTCATGCGTGATGACGGAGAACCAGAAGGAGAGACAATGCTATCCCGAGTTGGCGTCGTGTCGTGCTTTCTTAATCGACGGAGGGGTCGTTCCGGGGAATCAAATTGACTGGGGCTGGTCAACGAGATTGTTCGAAGAGGAGCGCGTGTTTGCGTTTGCGAAGGAGAGAGCGACTTTAGAGGTTCACGTAGAGAGCCCCCATACAAGCTTTGCAAAGGCGAGGGCCGACGGTATATCTCAGGGCTTCCATCTGCTGGCCTCGTCTGAGTGAGGAATCTAATGATAGAACGTCAGAGTACGCAGCGCCAGACGCAATGATTGAGACGTACCCATGCTCATTTACATAGATTTCGGTATTCTGGCGTGAGGGCTTCTTGGTGTGAGCCTCAAGAACAAACGCCTGCTCTTTCTCGAAGATCGCATCAGCCTTGCGCAATAAACCACCACTAGGCTGGAACGCAGGTTGCAGATCCTGAGTCAGCGCCAACGTATCCGTACGCTGGAAGTTCCGTTTCAAGTCATTGTCGCCAGTAGAGACCTTGGAGATTGGAAGAACATCGTGGTCAGCCCCAAGTTGCGAGACGGCCCAAATAAGGAGATTACATACCTTATCGAAGGAACCGCCGTCAAGACGGCTCTTACCCTTGTCCATACGCGACGGCGACCTCTGTATCTGCGTCATCGATTCAAACAAGTCTGAAAAGCCTGGCTGGAGTGATGCAGGAGCGAAGCCGTCTGCCTCGCCAGCATTAGAGAATTGGGAGAACCCGCTGATACTCTTCAGGCTCGTCTCTCCTAGCAATGGCCTCAAGCTCGATGGAGGGCCCAAGGTGCTGGGCAGAGGAGATTCCTGTTGAAGTTTGGCGGCAAAGGATTGCGTTAGGTTGGTCGTTTGCACTTGCGTCGACGTAGGGCTCTCCTCCGACACGAGTTCCTGGAATGGCCTCCGTTCACCACTCGACCCCTCTCCCAAGTCGCTCCTGCGATGAGCACTGCGATCCCGGGGCGTGGTATTTGGTGATGAAGGACCGCTCCGCATGTTATGTAGGTCGAAGATCGAAGCCTGCCTCCGGACTGCGGCGTTCTCCTTGTCCTCGCTGTGGTCAAGCAGGCCCCTCGTGTCATTCTCCTTGTCTTGGTCGTCTTCCGTCATCAGCTCGAACGAAGATGTTGACCGACAGTACTCCGTTCTTCTCATAGGAGCGGGGGCATTCTCGTCGTTTTCTTCCTCTGAATCAGAAGCGACGATATTTCGGCGGCGCTGAGGAACCTTTCTGTTCTCCTCGTCGGCGTCGGCGTCGGCATCATCAACCATCGTAATATCTTCGTCAAAGGTCATGTTCTCGTTATTCTCGTCAGCTTCGTCCTCCGCTTCTTCGTTGGGCTCAGGTGATACCGATCCCCTCAATGCTGGATCCCAGTCCTCGTCCTCATCTTCATCTTCCCCATCATCAACAACCATTTGGTCATCATTTTTTGTTTTGACGGCTTGCAGACCCCGTTCAGCAATCTCCTGAAAGGCTATAGCCAGACCTTGAGTTTGAGCAAAAGGGTTGGTGGCAATGTGACCTCCATGTCTTTTGTACTCCTCTTCCTTAGCTTGCTTCAGGCGACGTGCCTCCTCCTCAGCTTTGACTGCTAGGAGCTGGTTCAAATGGGCTTGTGATCCTGCTACCGTTTTATGCTGCGTTATGACCGTCACAAAATCTTTCTTGATCTTTTCGGGAGAAAGAGCGTTCGGTTTGGTGGACATCTTGGTTGGATTAATATGAGCCAGTTGCAATTGGCGTTTGCGGCCTTCGGAAACTCGCCGACCCTTTCCAGATCGTCGATGGTCCACCTCTTCCTTGATCGTTGTCTTCGGGTCTGCCCGAACGATTTCTAGCTCGTCATCTGCAGCCGCCGTAGACGCAGCCTTCAGTTGAGCCTCCAGTGCACGTTTCTTCATTTCCTGAAGTTGTTTCTTCCTCTTGCTCTCTGCTACACCGTACTTGAGGACTTCACCAATGTCAGGTAGATCAGAGTCACTGTCACTACGGTCTGCTTCGGCTGGCTGTTCTTGGGCTGGCATGTCAGGGAGGTGGGAGGTTGCAGCGCGTTCTGGGCTGGCACAACGTGCTTTGACTGGTGATGAAAAAGGTTCTATGGGGTCTGAGGAGGGCAACGCTTCAGTTTTCGCTTTGCTGCAAGGTCTATGAGTATATGACAGGCGGTTTATATGAACCAACCTACACTTTGGCAAATAAGGCTTCAACCGTAAATTTGGGCTGCCTCTCAACTCGAGGTATGGATACAGCAGACTGAGCTGCTAGGCGGCCTCTTTCTTTCGCTGTCTCTACTAAGTCTTTCTTCGTCGGCGCCTGGAGAAGTGATGAATATAGTGGCCATGTCATTGATAGAATCTCACAGACCTTGACCTTCGTCGTCTTGTTCTTCGTGCCAGCAATTGCCTTCACCTCACTCGACGGTTCCTCTGTGAGCGCTAGAGGTGTGACGCTAAGACGCTTATTGGTAGATTTCCTGCTCCCCTTATGCCGTGGTTTCGCGGATATTTTTGCCGGCATATCATCTTCTGATGTTGGTTGGGTTGATGGTGAACGCGACTTAGGTGTTCCGAGTAGATGTCGACTTGAGGTAGACGCGACGGTAGACGACGAGTCCTTGGGTGGCTCTTCCTCCGAATCTGAGTCCCGAACAACCTTGCGCGTGCGGTTTCGTATACGTTCCGAAACTTGAGGAGATGAAAGGCGGAACGAGGTCTCGCCCTGCGTCGGCGATGAAGGCTGGTCTGATGAAACAGGGTCCCTAAATACATCGTCCGATGCAGAAGGGGTAGCCGGAGATCTATGGTTGCCCGTTGGCATCCCGAAGCTTGCCTTTGAGCTGTCGATTCCATTGAGTAACAAAGGATTGCCGAAGAGTGATTGTTTTGACGCGTGGTCATATTTAGAAGGGGCGACGGGAGCATCTTCGTCTTCATCCATGGCTGCCAATTTCGCCTTCCACCCAAATGCGTCCTTGAGTCGATTGTTGGAGGCGTCAATGGTATCAGAGTCGGATTGGTCGGCGTCGGACTCGATCCGGTGGGGTGACGATGTCGGAGGAACCAAGTCGGACAGGTCAGGTGGCGCAGTATTGTGTATACTATCATGCGTAGAGGATGTTGGTTCCGGGTGTGCGATAGAACCGTTGGTATCTTTAGTGAGAGGCTGCTCTCGACGTCTCCCGTAGGTCCTAGCAGCCCTCTTGATGACGACTTCCGGCGCGTCGACGTTCGGTCGGGGGGACGAGGGTGCAGTGGAATCTGCTATGAGAGAGAACTCCTTTTCCAGTGTCATGTTAAGAGTGAGAAAAGGAGATGAAGGGAAGGGGGGACTCGACAGGCTAGCTGTTGAGCGAGTTTGTTGGTGAGCACCGACGTGACCAGCAGCACCAAATGGGAATGTGACCAAGATGTGACAGTACGCGTTTTTGGACATTCCGATCACTCCTAATCACGGCCAAATAAATCAACGCGTCGACGATCCACGTGCCTGCAGCGTGTCTTACTCTCGCCTCCTCACGATGCACAATTTCAGAAAACGGCCACCCAAGGCTCTTGGTGCGTTTACGTCTCTAGTTGGAATTCAAAATATCAATTATTATTACTGGATTACGACCGCATGCCGCGCCAGAGGCCGCCAAAGACTTGACATAGATCGTTGATAGAGGTTGATAGACCGGTGGTCTGAAATCGAATGCCTTCTTGTAACGATAACAACTTGAGAACCTTGGATTACAACAGGAAGGTCCAAAGAGGGGCCTCACCTCAGAACTTGATCTTACCCAGCTTTCCAACCCTGCCTAAATATGCAGCCCCCGAATCTGCCCAAATCTGATATCGAACCACCTTCAATTCATCATCGAAGTCAAGGGTGTAGGTAAATATCTCATTCCAAGATTGACCAGTGGTGAGCCATGTGAAACAGCCCTTTCCCCTGACCGCTACCTTGAGAGCGATAGGATCCACCACGTATTCGGAGAAGTTGATGTTGTCATAGGAGAGCAGTGATCCTATAAGTTCAAAGTACTTCTGCACCTCGGATATCCCAGTGAATTCTTGTCCGAGGAACGGGGCAAGTTCGGGTAGCCCGTATTCGATTGCAGAGACTTCGTGGGTGGTAGAAAACAAGGACAGAATGCTGTCGATGTCTTTCTTCTTTGCGAAGGAGTCACAAAACTCCTCCGCGGATTGTAGAAGGCGCTCTCTTGGGGGTGCCATGAACGCTGATTGTAAAGGTCAGGTTAAAGTCGTCGAGAGTCATTGCCAAATGCACCAAAACACATCTCATGTGACATCATAGTAAGGCGCTGGTTTTCTGAGCATCGATGATCTGACAGCTAACTATAAACTCATACCGATAGACCCACTTCGAACATACAGCGCTCAGGTACTGTACAAGCCATCAAAAATGCCCCAAAATGGTGAAAATCCTGGCTAGAAGTGTCTGTCGACCAGTCGCGACCACGAAACTTGTTTGGCGCTCTCCACAACTAAATAAATATCCAAAACGCAGGATTTCGAAAGCGGGTCTATCAATATGTGTTTAGCTGGAATGGAGACCATAATAACCTACACCAGCAGACAGACATCCGAAATGACCTTCCACTGCAAACTCTCCCTCTGACCAATGTTCCAATTCGCATCCGGGGACGATGCTGAACCCTTCAAACTAGGGACAAGCTAACTCCTGCCTTGGACGCTGCGTCTTCTGCAGGACATCCCACCGGGTGAGCAGACGTTCTAAGCATGTTGGCCTGTCTATTCAAGCACCGTGTCTCGTTCGGCTCTCAAGACACGAGTACACACCAATTTTCGGAGCACCATCAAACATCCGAAGTGCTCTCTTCTCACCATGATCCTGCCGCCCTTGCGCCAAATAGCGATTGGATCTACTGGCCTGCGGCAGCATGTTATAGCACATGGCTGGGATACCCGCAACATCATGCAAGTAATTCTCGCGCAAAGGAGCTCCCCGAAGGACCGTAGACAAAGCCAGCTATCTTCTATCCTTGGAGAACAGACGATTCGTGCGGAATGTCGCTGTTTCGTGGATATGAAACACTGTCAAAAGAAAACTCGTAAGCTATGTACATCAACAGGGCCACGCCGCAACACCAATGCACCTAACAAGCATGCTTACCATGTGTGTACTTGGGTTCACTCCTCCGGTCTTCAAGCCTGTGGCGATTTTCACTGATCCAGGGTACCCTTGGAGCCATCAATGAGGTGTAAAGGTATATAAGGTGGGGACAGGTTGCAATGTGCCATGGGGCTGATGCAATAAACGTCCTTGCGCAAGGAGACAAATGAGGTTCTTCCTTGACTGCTGGGAAGTTACAAAATTCATACAAGTAAGGGAGAGCAACCTGTTTGGCCATATACCCCATCGTTGAGCCGGTATCTATTTCACTTTGAAGATTGAGTTTTCCGTCAGTATCATCTCCTGGGATGAGCCTAATAGGCATTGAAGGGTGAAGAGGAGCGATCACACACCCTCATTCTGGAATTCACGAGCAAGGGACGAAAATGGAGCTTGACAAAGAGACTTTGAGGGATTCAGGCCGGACGGCTTCTAGGCGCTCGTCGCGCAAAGACGGAAACAACTTTTCATTGATCGACGAGATACTCTTACAAACTCTAGATGTGAACTTGAAGCTCTCAAAACGAGAGTATTAGGCAGGGACGATTGGAAACCACTTGTTGAAGATGTTGTTCGGATCGTAACGCCTCTTGATAGCCTGGAGTCGGAGGTAATTCTCCCCAAAAACGAACTTAGCTTTGTCAACTACTGCAGCTGTGCCCCTCGTCTCCGTCCCATCCGGGTCTGAGGGAAATCTTGAATGAAATAAGCCATGCAGGTCGATTCGTCTGCTTACCGTAGTTGCTGTAGCCCAGGCCTTCTGAGGTTGTCATCCCAGTCTGGCCCTCCGTAACAAGAGTACAGAGTTCATGTGCAAGGTCCCGTGCTTCCCCGTTCCTATCTTCGGATGCATCCCAGAACAAAGACACAAGGACATTGTTGGCCTTCTCTCGTCGGAAGGCCGTCGCGGTTGTTGATACAGCGTTGATCTTCCCGAGGCCGAAAAATTCGTATATGATGACCACTCTGAAGACGCTGCCACTCATGATTTCTGCAACTCTTTCATGCACCTTAGTGATGGCTGGGAGATACAGATGCTTGAGAGCAACGCCCTTCATGTAGACACCACTTCCATGATTGACCATCGCATTCTGCGGTCCGATTGTCAACAAGATAGTAAAATTCGGAAAGAACAAGAGAAAGAACCTGCAAGCCATTGAGTTCTTCGTAGGGTATGACTTTCGACATATCAGCGATAGGGCCTGGCTCTCGGGTCAATGCATTGAAGCAGATGACGATAATCAAACCAACCAGCTTCGAGCAGTCGTTTGAAACTTTCTCTTCCCTCTGCCTCGGTACCATTGTAGAATGGGAAAACCACGAAAATCGGCTGTGGTCGAGGGTATATGAGGGAAAAAAATTGACTCAGCGCGAAAAAGAAGACCCACATGGCCATCTGGCCCAACTGTCGCAATTTGCAACATGCTTTCTTTGTCTCTCACCGTCTTCCACCATGCCTCGGTCGCCGCAACCAACTTCTCAACAGCAGATGCGGGATAGATGATGCTACCCGCATAAACTGTCGCACGCTGGGGATGAAGTTGCAACACGAATTCAGTGACGACGCCGAAGTTGCCACCTCCACCTCGGATGGCAAAATATAAGTCGGGGTTCTCTGCTTCATTTACGGTCAGGATAGATCCATCAGCGGTAACGACAATGGCCTAGAAGTCGGGGATGAATGGGGGTCGTCAAAAAGAATGTAGAAACGCACCTGGACTACGTTATCTAAGGCCAATCCATGAGAAGCGCTCAACCATCCGTAGCCGCCTCCAAGTGTCAGTCTGTGATAATGGTTAGATTTCATTTGGGAAATACATTTCTAAACATACCCTCCTACGCCGGTCTTGACCAGTAAGATTGCGTTTCAGCTACCCCTTCCGCAGCGAGGAAATGATTGTGACGAACATGGTTCACCGTGCCTGCTACAGTGGCTAGCCCATGCTTGATGCCTTCTTTGTCGACAGTTTCCCATAGAGCACCTCCACCGACATAGGCGAGTCTCTTCGATGGATCGACCGTAACCCCGTTCATATGGCGAGAAAGGTCGATAACTAGGCCGTCTTGGATTGAGGATGCCCCAGCGGCATTATGGCCTCCTGAACGGACTGCGATAGGAAGACGATTCTCTTGAGCAAATTTCAGTGCTCGAGTTACGTCTTCATTATCTTTGACGAAAGCAACGACTTTGGCCTTGCGTGCCGCGTTCGCGGCCCAGCGAGAGATGGCCTGCCCATAGTCAGGGCGATTGGGAGTTACAATGTCACCCTTGAAGTTCTTGATAAGGTCTGTCGTATCGATTGAAGACATAGCGCAGTGCCAGGGAGGTGGAGATAGAGCTGGAGCAATACGACATCTCGCGGCTCTGAGAAAGGCTGTCTGTTATACTTGGTGCAAGTAAACCAGATGGGATCACAAGAAGGACTTCCTGATGGTTGTTTGGTGATTTATAAGTGTCCAGACCCTTCGTTGAATTTTGGCTCAAACTTACTCAGTAACTACTTACCACTCTGACTAGTGACTCTTATCTAACGGCGCAATGTTTCCGGTCATGCGGCGACCACGAAATTTGACGACCAAGAATGACAAACCTACTTACGGAGAGATTGGTGCGTATGGTCGAACTCCCTTGCCGATGACGGAATGCCAATTCGCTGTGCAGAGCATAGGCGAAAATACGAATCACACATGTTCGATTGAGGTCCGAGAAGGTTCAGAAGACTTTTGTATATCTATCACTTCAGTAATGTTATCCTACCTCCATATGACCGTCTGACACTTTCGGCACATTCATTCAGTTAATTCTTATCCATTGCAGTTTCTCTTTCGACTCAGAATAGAGGGCGTAAGTGCAACGGGAATCGAAAAGCCGTGGTAGTACGTCGTCCCACTCTGACCATATATTCTCAACACTGTACCGCTCTGATGGACGTGCTTCCAAAAACCCGACAGGCATAGGCAGTCATCCTTCGATGACTGCGACTGCGAGCCCGTTTGATACACCGGTGTTTCTGGACATTCCGGTCGGGTGCTACTGAACAGCCTCTTATTCCTCGACTCTTGATTAAGGCAATCGACCTAGCGCTCACTCTCAATGATCGGACATCTCTTGCTTGAAAGCATACCATGACGCAGACACATGTCATTCTTGAATTCGCAACCCGGTTTGTACAGTAAGCACGAGTTCTTCATTGAACGCATGCAGTGCCCACTATGCTCCTCGCGTCCTCTCTCAATAAATTGCTCCTGCATTCCCCACTTCAAGGCTGCTTCTCTCCCGCCGGATACTTACTACCTTGCTCATGCTCATGCCTCTCGCCCGCGGCTAATGTCTTTTGGTTCGCATCAGAGCAGCAGGACACCCGTCCCGGTGCTTCTTTATTTTCCTCCTCTCCCCCGGATGCCTTCTGTCAATCGACTTTGACTTTTTGACAGAAGGCAAATAAACCATCTGGATCGCATCTGACACCACAACGCCACATTTGTTGCTCCTCGTCCTCGTGTTTGTCTGAAAGCACACCCTTGATGCAAACGGACACACTGGCCAGTCACATTGCCGCTGTTTACTCCCTCACTTGCACAAGACTTGCCCATGAGGCGCGGAGGCACCAACAGCCTCGATGTTTGGTCAAACCGCAATGCTACTGCGTATAAAAGGGCTGCTAGACCTATGGTCGCTCGGTAGTTCCTGCCACTGCACCAGTACAAGCCAGCACAAATGGCCTACAACCAGGGCTTTGACACATACACCGACCCCTACATTCGACCCCTCTCGAGAACTATGTCTAGGAGACAGTCCATGGGCTACGCAGGGGTTCCTTACCCTTACTCAGACGGCGCCGCCGGAGGCGAGGTGTGTGAATGCACGTTTCTCCCGCCCTGACAATCTAAGACAGCTCGCTTCCAGTACCAGCAGCCATATAAATCGTATGGACATTCTAGCAGCGCAATGGTCCCCATGTCCCGCCGGCTGACTGGAGCAGGTAAGCTTCCTGTTTATACTCTAGCGGGTGAGACTTGACACCCAATTGCCCAGGTTATGATTCTTATGACGAGCCCTATTATGACGACCATCATATGGCTATGACCCACCACTCCTCGATGGGACATGCCGGCTCAATGGGTTCCATGATCATGCCGCGACCTCGTCGCCACTCGACGGTGTCCTTTGTTGCACGGCCACCTGCACTTGACGGGTACCGCGTGCCCAGTGGAGTGCACATCAAGTTCAAGCGAAAGGGTTCTTTTGGGTCGGGCATCGGTCTGGATGAAGCGCAGCAGCGCATCAGGCTCTCCGGAAACGACGCCTACACGTTCCACGACCTACACGCAGATAGCCGTCGACGAATCTATCTGAGGATTAAAGTAAGGCATCTTTATGCCGTCGTCTTTCATATGCTGACACGCCTCTTTAACAGTGGACAGGCTATTCTTCGCTCACATATGAGATCCCTCTCGACGGATACGATGGACGTGTCGACTTGCAGACACTCGCGAGGCGTGTGTCGCGGGCATGTGTCCACTACTTGCAAGTGAGCACCAAGTCTCCTCATCTCATGCATCGCCCAAGCTGACAATGCTGGGCCATAAACAGGCGAACGTTATCCCCATCTTGTGGGACCGTGTCCTTTTGCACCACTTGGAGGAGGTCTCACCCGGAGTTTGGCAACCTATGCTTTCCACGCGTTGATCGCGCGGTTCAGGACAGAGATTTCTCTACGGCTTTCTACCGAAGATTGTTTGAGAGCGAGCACTCGTCATGCACTAGCATTGTCAGCCTCTCTGACTCAACGTCTCAATAACCCCTGGCAATGCACAGTCAGCGTAATGCACAGTCAGCGTTTCGCTGAACCTCAGTGCTCAGCGCTCAGGACCCAGCAACGGACTCGATAAATTTCACTACTGTCGCCCAACAACTTCCAACGCCCGCGAGTCGGGTTACGTTTACCTTTCATTTGCTCGTCTGCGTTCGAAGCCCTCAGTCATAACGAAACAGTGCCCGTAATGTTGTACCAGGAGGACAATGGCGGCAGCGTTCTGTCCAGACAAACTTCTGTAAATTATTGGGCTTATCTATCATTATGTCTTGTCCACGGATCGCAAAAATACGAAAGTACAACCGTTATCTATCTATCCTCTCGTTGATCAACCGTAGAACGGATTGCATCCACAAATGGCAGATTTGACCGCAAAGCTCGCGATACTTCCGACGGCCAGTCCGCCCACCAGACAGAAGCTAACCACTGTCGCGGCCACATCGACATCTTCTGTCCGCCCTTTCAGTCTAGGATTGTGTTCTAACGATGGAGCAGACATCATGCATAGACTAGAAACATAGCCGTTGGAGCACCCGAAACAGAAAAGAATAGCCATGAATAAGAAATCCGAGTTGATGATTGGCGTCCCTCCTATTCTCGAAGTTCCTCTCTGAACATTGCACATAAGAAATAGAGGGATGAACAGCGTTCTCGCGGCTGATAATGTCAGCAGTCGCTTCGCTGACCAGACGGCGAAGATAGGAAACGAGCAAACGTAACGTCCTGTAAGATCTCCAACATTAAAGACTAGGAAGTGAATGGCGCTGAATAGTAAAGGATGTGTCGCGGGATTAGTTGGTTGAATAGATGTTGTGATAGGCGGGAAGACAGCCTATAAAGAAGCAGTCAGTACGCCAATAGTTTCAGTCAACATGGCCAGCAAGAACGTACCAAGGTAACCATGAAGATGTAGGCCACTGCCACCTCGTATGTGATGTTAGCCTTCGCAACTCTAATAGCATTTGACTTCATGTCGCTCATCGGGTCATCGTGGGGATGGTCCGACATCAGGCCTCGTCTCTCATCTTCGTGACCGTCCTCCGCGAGGGATTTCTTCGGTGGTTTCTCCAAGGAAGCAGCAATGTGCTGATAGACAGGCATACGGACCATCCAGGTATTTGCAGCTGCACTTGCGATAAGGAATAATGTCGACAACGAGAAGAACATGAAAGCTGAACGCTCCTCCGCTGATCCATCGCTCACGTAGCTGTGCGTCTTTCCCATCACGGACGCCGCGGCACTGATAACTTGCACCCCACTAACTGCTACAGCGACGGCTGCCTGGCCCGACATCATAGCTTGCACGGCGGGTGGTCCGAATCGAGAAGCGACTGCGATAACTGAGGTTTGCAGGTATGCACCCGCACACGCCTGAGCAACACCGTTGAAAAGCACGAAGGCGAATAAAACTCCGGGAGAAGGGACGAAGAAGGTGCTGAGGGTCAAAAAGAAATTGAGGATAGTGAGCCATATAATTGAAAACCGTGTCTGTCGGGAAGGGCTGGACTACACGAGGAGTTGGGCTGGTCATTCCTCAAATGGGTCCAAGATCACTCACCTGCTTCGAAGTAAGGGTGGCATGAGCAAGGAATACGAAGTTTGAGACGGTGAATGTGGTGGTCAGATATGAGCCAAACGTGGAACGCAATGGCGAGCTCGATAACCGGGACAAGAAGAACGGCATCGCGGTAATGACGACTGTCATAGTGAATTTTAGGTGATGAGGACAAGAGGAGGACATGGGAGCGTACCATTCCAGGGCAGCAGCACAGAACAACCTAATATGAAATGAATCCAACGTATGCGTGCGTCGACCAGGAACGGGGGAAGATCCATTGGTGGCAGGACTGGTTCCGCAGCCGTCTCTCCTGCCAACTCAATCTGAGAGGCATTGACTTCTTCATCATCTGGGTGGGGCACTACATGGTAGAGAGCCTCTGGCGAGCCTGGAGGGAGAGACATGGGGTGTAGAGAGAGGTGGGTAAGGGGCAAGGCAGTTGGTGACAGACAGCCTTTATGGATGCGAGCAGTGTGGCTGGACCGAACAACGATAACGAGCTATGTTTGCATTATCAGCAGTCCGAGTGAGGCTAAGTATGGCGCTCTTCCTCTTAGTGGTTCTGGTTGAGCTCCTGACGGTTCTTCTGAGGTTGTCGAACCCAAGATGACCGTTCGGGACAAAGCGTTATATATAGCAGAGGGGCAACGAGTAGACCGTAATTCTAAGCGATATAGTAAATGGATTCAAACCCCTTAGGTAGTCGCTCGATGCCTTTCCTTCAACACAGGCGGAACAATCTGGTTGGGCACATCCTGCAGAACTAGCTCCGTCAGGCGGCGCCTCTGTCTTTCGTCCTTCTTCGCCTTCTTCGCCGCCTTGTTCTGCCACTTGACCATCTGGGCGGTGTGCATCCATCTAGCCTTTTTCTTCTTTGTCTGCTCCTCCTTCACCAGCTCCCTCCACTTGAACGCGGCGTCTGCCTTTGCCTGTCTGACCGAACGGCCGCCAAGACTCTTCAATTCGTCGTGAGCAATCGTCCTCAACAAGACATGAGTTCCAGCCTGCCAGGCCTTCCAACGCTGGAGTTTCTTTGCACGGGAATGAGGATTCGCGAGCTCGAGCTTGAGGTAGAGTTCAAAAGGAGCGGACGGGTCGTATTGAGTACCCAAGTGAGGGTTGTAAATAAGATCCAGGTACTCCGTCTCGGCGGCTGCTTCAGGAAGTGCAGAAGCTACATTTAACTTCGGCTCGAAGTATGGCAGTTCATAGGTGATTTTTGCTACTTCGTCAAGGGGAGTGTCGTACAAACTGGCTATATTGCAGAAGGTTGAGTCGAACAATCAGCGGTTCATAGCGGTGGTGGGGACACACCTTCAGGATGCTTCTTCTTCGCCTTGTCAGGCCATGGAATCCGTATTTTCCCAGACAAGTGAGGGAATTTAGGGACAGTAGAGATGGCATACCGCCTCCACACCCAGCGTTTTCGAGAATAATCCCACTTAGGCTGAGACGTGCCAATACGAGATGCGAAGACCCTGCATTGGAATATGAGATGAGGAAGTATTGGAGGAACGTTGGATAGACGTACGGTTGCTGCACAAGCGCTCCAGTTGGGTCATCTTTCGGCGGAAGCCTATACTCTCCAACATACAGCTGGCACCTCGAGTAGTGATAATTCTTGGTTTGCGGAGCAGCAGAATCCTTCGACGGTGACTGTGGAACACATGAGCAGGTAAGGAATATAGATGAGCATGAAGTGGGGACTACTCACACTCGTGTTTTTCAGGAAGACACGATTGCTAAGGCGGTTTATGCTCAGCACCTCGTGAACGGTACCCTCCGTATCCCCACGCAAGCAGATTTGATCGCCCGGTACAATATTCCACCATTTTATCCTGTCGGCTGGCCTGACAGACTTGAGCTTCGGGTCATGTTTCGTTCTACGATTCAGCCATGCACGAGGGAAACTTCGGAGATGGTTGAAGTTGGTTGTTAAAGGATTCTTTGTAGTAGCAGTCAACGCTGTCTTCCGAGTGAGGTATTGCAAAGACATATGCCAGGTAGAGGGCGAATTACGCCAGTCGCAGTAGGGGGCGTAGGGGGTAACAGGTGTAAGTTATCGACGACTCTGTCAACGCGAAGCGCGCCGCGCGAAATTTACCTCCATCACATGACTCGGACCATCCTGCATTCTAATTTCTCAGCCTGAAGGTTGTCTGAACTTTGAAGGGTTTCCAATTCTCGTCCAGAATCACCACTCCCACTCGGTCTGCACAGTACCAGACATAACCTAAATGTAAGGCAGGGACATCCTAAATTCGACGAGACCTGAATGAAGACCCTCCGCGTCATTTCCATACACGAGAAGGCGACCCAAATGTTGCCCAAATGATGATACAACTTTGTTGGTACAGTAGATATGGAAGATAAATTACTCGACGTAGAGCTTACACACTTCCACAGCGTTAACATCATGAGTATCACCCGACAGGAACTGGTCTTGTGCCGCTCCACGTTATTGAAGATGAACTTGGCTCTTCTGCCTCCAGTGTCTAAACAAGCGGACGGGAGGTATCAGAACTAGAACGCAAAACAAGCCAGGATCGTACCTCGAGCAACATCCCAAGGACTTGATCCACCTCGCTAGGAGGGACACCACCACAACCTGCACCTATTAGCCGTCGATACTCTCCCATTCTTCCACTTGTGCCGGCTTCGGCTTGGAAGGTCACCAGCTCTTCGAACATCACTCTTCTTCTTTTCCGATGCGCCGTAATTCCCTCACGAAGAGCTTCACAGGCCCGTTGAAGGTCTTCGAGATTACTTGGGACATCGGCGTGTAGCTCGACCAAGTCTGTGACTTGCTCCACGATGGTTGCTTTCCGTTTGCCCTTCGCCTTTTCGCCGTCAGATGATACGTCCATGTCGCCGTCCTCGTCAATTTCCAGAGTTGACGTGGTGGGCATCAAGGCCAATTCACCGTTGGCAGCATCACGAATGGCCCTTTCGCGCATTTCTTCGTCCTTGATCCATTTCTCCCAGCCTAGTCGATACCTGCGACCCATCTTGTCAAGGAGGCCGGCTTCCAGCTCCTGTAGAAGCTCTTTAGTCTGATGCAGGCCCTCTGCTTGAGATTTCAATTGGGCGACAGCTCGTTGACTCTCGAGTATTTCTGCTTGAATGTTCGTCAGGAGGGCTTGTGCCTGGGTCATGTCGCGTTCTTTATCTCTCAGCTCCTGATCGAAGGAAGCCGCTAAGCTGTCCATCATCGCCGCAATATCGTTCACACAACGTGTACTAGCTTTCTGGCCAGCGACAGAATGATGCAGCGGTGGTTTGTCACCATTTGCAGGAGCAAAAGAGTGCCCTAGTGGCGCGGCCGGAGGAGGGAATGCGGCGTGCGCATTTCTGTATGACATGGCGGCCACGCGAGAGGGTGGCATAGGTGAGGAACGGAACCGTTCGTCTTCCAGAATATAATCTTCGGTGCTCTTCCCATCATTGTTCATGATCTTTGGATTTGCACCGTGGTCGATGAGTATCTTCACCAGTCTCTTGCTTCGACACCTCGCTGCTAGCGTTAAGGCCGTTTCGCCGTCTTCATCCTGGAAATTGATAACGTCTGCCAGTTCTTTGGGATAATCTGCGAGACGAGTAAGGACAGTTTCCATATAGTAGCGTGCTGCATGTGTCTTCCCCTTGGACATCGCCACGTCGACGATATGGTGGAAGACTGTGCGATTATAGTTGTCGATATTGAGAGTCGACCTGTGTAAGAGTTCGTATAGTTCTGGGAACTTTCGGACATCATAATTGTTCGCAAACATAACGCTGCGCATAAGGGCTGTCTGTCCTGCTTTGTTAACTTTGAAGATGTCGGCCCCAGCTGTCAAGAGCAATTTGACAATGCGAATGCGTCCCATTGCACAAGCCCAGTGAAGAGGAGTGTGGCCGTCATCATCAATGGCCATATTGGGGTCGAAGTCAGGGGGAGGGTTGACAAGAATGGGTGGTATCTGGTTCGTATCGGAAATGAAGTATTCGAGGACTTGATCGGCATAAGACCGAGCATCTTCTGCTTCACCCTCAGGTCCAGCTGAAGGACGGCGTTTATTTCGACGGACATTTGAGTGTCTGTCATCAAGGCCGTTCGATGCATGAGACGGACCTGGACTGCGTATTGGTGAAGGTGTGCGTGAGCTTGATGACGCTTCTGAAGGAGACGGGGTCATGGAACCGTCTTCTGAGCCACGAACCGAGAGCGTGTCGTGATCTGAGTCTTCGTCTATCGCATCTGCCGTTTGCCTGCGGGAAGACCTCGTGTTGACTATGGCATTAGGACCGCTTTGATCTCCTGCTGCTGCTTTACGCGCAGGTCGACTGACAGTATTTGCCACTAGGTGCTTCGGGGCAAGAGGAGGGCTTTTGGCTGCAGGTTGAAATTCGATTATAGGACGCAAAAGAGCTTCACAGTTGTACTGCTTTGCTAGACTTAAGCCTCGTTCCAGAGGGATCCATGTGCCTGCCAATGATTTGTCGATTGGGGGTACTGTTTGGTAGCAGGCAGGACGCACCTTGGTATTTCCCATAACCTCCTTGCACCTTTTCGTGTTCTCCTTTCTGCACTTCGCGTTCAAGCACGCGGGTTCGTTGGGGCTTGTCGAAGCCAGCGACTTTGAGTATCTGCGTCGCGTTAAGCCATGAATCTGAGCGCCGTCTCATCACCGCGACCCCTTTGCACATCCTACACGTGTCATATCAGTCTCTGGAGACAAAGAAGCGTGTAAATCGAGGATTACATCTCATAGACCGGGATCCCGCTGTAAGTAGCCTGTAGGGCCAGACACCAGGTCAGTTTCACCAGGTCAGTTTCACCAGGTCAGATTCTAGAGATAGTGGGGGTCGTGGAAACTCGCCTTGAAGATCTGTGCGTCAGGCATGCTGGCTAGACTGAACGCGAAGGTTACACGGTAGTCCAAGCTCTTGAGCTAATTGAGGGAACTCGTGAACGAACACTAGCCTGAATGAGAGGAGGCGCTGGCCGGCGTCGTGGTAGCTGTCTTGACGCGTGAAACAACAGAGACAAATAGCCCCTTCAAGTTGGTCGCCGACGTTGTTGGACGTGATGGGTGCACCAAACGTAAAACTTCTGAAATGCGACTGGTTCCTTGCCACTAGAAATATGAAATATTTTCCTAGTTCTCACTCTCACTCTGGGCGACGGTGGCTTACCTTGCATCCAATTCATAGCACCATCCATTGGACGTGAAGAAAGTGAACCGTTTGGCAAGGTAGTACTTACTTGAACAAATTTACTTGAATTCTGATACTACATATGTACAACTCGAAGGGCCGAAACGCGATCCAAATTAATCCGTCCACTGTGTCTGAGAGCTGAGCCTAAGAACTAGGCAACCGCCCGCTTTCGGAACAAGACCTCAGCAGTGGGATTGGGAGAAGAATTGGCGAGCATCCAGACATTCTCGGGGCGAGGGCCGTTGTTGGGAAGCTTCACGTCGTAGGTCAACAGAACATGAGCTAACATGACCTTGATTTCGTTGACGGCGAAGAAGCGTCCCGGACTACATCACAAACGTCGATCAACGACAGGCAAGGGGAATGAACGAATCCCTTACCAAGCGTGTCGCCCTGTCCCGAACACCATGTAGTCTGGAGAGAGGGAGACCATTTGGTGTTTGATGCTTTCACTCTCCACTTCCCTCCTCCCCGAGAATCTAAAGCCGTCGAATTGATCGGGGTTGCTGTAATTATCCTGCAAATGTCAGGAATTTAGCTACATTTATGCACTCTAGCATTTGCCATCACCACTCACTCCATCGACGTGGGTATCGTGCGCAACTGCAGCTATGTAGGTGCCAGCGGGAACTGTAACGCCATTCGAGAAAGTGAAATCTTGAAGAGCCACTCGGTTGACACTCACTGAAAATGGAAGATAAGCAGTAAGCTTCAGGAAAGAGTATAAAGCCAAAAAGGATTGTGCTGACAAGCTGAGGCAGTCAATCGTTGGGATTCCTTGATGAAACTGTCGAGTTTGCGCAGTTTGCCCATTGCCACCTTTGTCCACCCTTCTGCCTCTATGACTACCTCCACCTCATTTCGCATGGGCGATACGCATTCTGGATGTACAGCCAGGTCGTACAGAACGTTGGTGAACGCCTACACTGACGTCAGATATATCTTCGCGCCTTCGAAAAGTAGCAAATACCATGGTGCTAGTGTGTATGGCGGCGAAATTAACTGCAAGTAAACGAAGCGCTATGTCATAGACGTTTTTCTGGTGTCCTTCCGCATTCTCCAAGAGCCAACTGATTAAATCATTCTGGATGATTGGCACGTCGTCAGCGGCTGTTTAAGGCGAGGTATGAAGATAGTTTACCGGTTTATCGGGCCAATCTGGCCCATACCTCTTCTCATTGTCGAGCCTTTGTTGAATCATAGGACCTACAAGGGCAATTGTTCGCCGCAGGCTCTTTGGAACCTGAGTCAAATATCGGCCAACGAAACTGAGAATTACACCCAAAGCATGAGATAGTAAAATAGAATGACGTCTAAGTCACTCACGGACGAAGAAATCGGGGAAACATGCTTATTTTCTGGGCATCTTGAAAAACATGGATTGTGAATTGTTCATTGAGGGTTCGATATTCAGTATTTCTACCTATTCGTCGTCATGAATGAGCCACACCTTCCACAAGAGTTTCGATCACGTACACAGTGGCAAGCCGACGAAGAGTCGGTTGCTTGTTCGACACACAATATGCATGATGGTCTGGAGGGCGGGAACCGAAATCCATTCTGTCAAGGCTCGATCAGGATTTCGTTGGGCTGTGCTGAAAATCGGTAAACACACCCTTGGACACTGGAATGAAATCCGCGAAGGCTTCTGTTATCTCGTCCTTGATGTCGGGGAATCGTACGGCCAAGTTCTTCGTCAGAGGAGAGCGGACAGTCGCAATGTGAAAAGGTTCGAGTCGAACAGGTTTTCCCATCGTGTAATCAGCATGGATGGTCTTCAGATAATCTCTCTTTAGTGGTGTTTTCCGGGATCAAGAAATAAAGACGACACCTCCTCGACGGCAGACATGAAAGACAGTTGATCGTCTGTTGCACGTCGGATGTCGTCAATCATGTCTCTTCCACTGACTCCAACGATCCAACGCGACATATCTGCGACTTTGAAAGCCTTGCCCGGGTACTGTGGTTGTATTCAAGTTGAGAATCCCTTTCCTGACAAATTCGTGAAATAAAAATGATCACTTTAATATATCCTTCATGAATCATGTCTCTTGCATTATGGATGAATTTGAGCGAATCAGTATACGACCATATGGCGCTGGAGGAGCCAATGGTAGGTATGTGCCGCAACTGTGAATGTCAGCACACATTCACTTGGAAAATAAGCGGACAGATACCTTGTAAGTTGAAGAGCGGAAATATTCCACTGATGCGTATATGATCACGAACGTTAAAGCTACAGGGGTCAAATTAGTTTGAGCGATTTCGAGGATGTCCAGCATGGTCAATTCTCCGAGATTATGTTGCACGAGCAGGTCTACTCTGGGTCTTTTCAATCAAGGAGCGGCGGCCGAATCTGCTATCTTCCAAAAGCCTATCAGGTCATACTGGGCCGCAGGAGAAGTTCGCTATTCGTAGAAGAAGTGGTCGTGGAGTTGCCCAGTAGTGACTTGTCCAGTGAGAAGCCGTTACAGTAGCGAACTAGACTGATTCCCCGGTCCCTTTCACTGTGAGAGTCCAATGATCATGGGATCGATAGGCGACTGTCTTGGAATACAATGATAGAGTAGATCTGCCGAGAAGACAAGCAAAAAGTCCACTGTGGGAGCCTAACTGAGCCCAATGAGAACTGTAGGGAAAGAAGCAGGAGTCCAGGCATGAGGGTCAAGACGGTAGAGGTTCGGCTAAACACAGGGTTCTGAGAACTTAAGGGCGTGTCGGGCATCTTGGCATTGAAGCGACGTGGATGCAAACCAGTATTGGACAGGAGCATATGCCAGCCCGATTTGAAGGAGTCTTGAAACCGCACGCACACTCAATGGAAACCGTGGGAATTACGGCGTAGGACATGACTCTCGAATTGATGAAGCACTGCAGAATCCACTAGAACTCAGAAGAGATACAGGTTGAACAGAAATACCAACAAGGAGGAATCTATCGCCGCAGAAATACTAGGTTTATGCTTCAAACCAGTGCAACGCCAATCATAGACGAATGCAACAAAAATAGAATGGGCTCGCCGTTCGTCGGTTTGATTCATGTCGCTCGCTTCCTGAACATTACTTCTGCCATTCTATCAGGAGAACATATTCCATGGAACCATATGTTTTCAGGACGAAGTCTTTGGTCGGGGAATTTGACGTCGTACGATATTAATACATACGCGAGCATGACTTTGATTTCACTGACAGCAAAGAAGCGACCAGGGCTAGTGGTCCGAGGAAGAATGTTAGAGAGACTGAATACAGAGCAGACCGGGACACACCAAGCATGACGCCCATTTCCAAAGACCACGTAGTCTAGGCCAAGAGCTGCGATTGAATGCTTGGAGGTGTCTCCACCCTCTTGTCCCATACTCATGAACCTGAAGCCGTCGAACGTATCGGGGTTTTCATAGAGTGCCTAGTATCCAGTAATCCACCGTTAATCGTGGTTGGATTGATCAAACTTCCTGACGTACTTCATCGAAGTGCATAGAGCGGACTGCAACAGCCAAGTGCGTCCCAGCAGGTACAACAACACCGTTTGAGAATGTGAAGTCTCGGAGAACCTTGCGGTTCATTAGCACTGCGGCGACAATGAATTAGCAGCGTGTTGCTCGGAGAACTGTAGAAGGACCTGCCTGCTGATGCGGCCATCCGCTGAGACTCCTTGATAAAACTGTCGACCATACGCATATTCGCTACCGATTCTTTGCTCCAACCTTTGGACCCTACTATGGATTCGACTTCTTCCCTCAAGGGTTCAACGTATTCGGGGTGGCAAGCCAAATCATACAGTGCCTGTGTAAATGCCTACAGACAAGTTAAACAGGGGACGAGCAGTCCTATGGAGCAACGTACATTGGCTGTAGTGTGTATAGAAGCAAAATTTGCAGCGAGCAAGCGAGTAGCGAGGTCGTGGACGGTGCGCTGATGTCCTTGGGCCTCGTCGAGTAACCAAGAAAGGTAGTCATTCTTCCATAAGCACCTCAGTCTCAGTAGGTCCTCAAGGGCGAGGTGCTAAGCACTCACAGGTTTGTCGGGCCAGTCTGCTCCATACCGTTCATCCATAGCTAACCGTTCCTGTATAATAGGGCCAATATGCAGCTTGATATGTTTTAGAGTTAATGGAACTTTCGTTAAATATCGTCCAACAAGTCTGAACTATAATTCAGTTGATTTCGTCCACCAAGAAGAAGATACGCACGGCCGAAGTAAAGGAGGGAACACATTGATAATGTGGGCGCCCTCGAAGACATGACTCGCGTATTCTTCAGTCAGCCGCCTGTAATCAGGATCTCTGCCTAGGGAAAAGTCGGATTCAAAGTATGTCTGGTCTCGCGAAGGCTTACACAGGGGAAGGCCAACGAATAGCCGATTACTGCTGCTACAGATGATTTTCACGGCGGCCTCGATAACAGGTACGCTTGTCCACTCTAGAAGTGTATCAGAACCAATGGCGATGATGCCAATGATCTATACGCACCTCCTTCTCCCGCGGGGATAACCTCCGAAAAGGCTGTACTTATCTCGTCGAGGATATCTGAGAACCGGATCCCAATATTTCTGGTGAGTGTAGTTCTGACGACTGCTACATGGTAGGGGTCGATACGAATTGGTCGCCCGATCATGTAGTCAAGCTGGACCAGCTTGAGCAGATATGAGCACGTAGGTACAACGAACAACGAGAGTTGCTAACCTCAGCTACGGCCTCTAAAACTGAGCTGATTTGGAGCCGCCTTCTTGATTTCGTCGACCATTTTGGGACCGCTGACCACCACCAACCACCGCGCCATTGTAGACACTTTAAATATGCTATGCTGGAAACTGAATGAAGGAGTGTTTCCTCCTGAGAGAGCAGTAAAATACCTGATTGTATCCCTGATCGATTATATCCTTCGCATTCCGGATATACCTGAAAGCATCTTTGTATGAAGAAAGCAATCCCGATGAGCCGACGGTGGGTATGTGCTTCAGCTGCGAAGATAGAAAATGGTGTGGTCAGATACACGTCATTTTCTTTTCTTTTTTTTTTTTTTTTTTTTTTTTTTTTTTTTGCATGGAACACAAGTACCTTGTGGGTTTCCGCGCGGAGCCACTGTGACACCAGATACAGGGCAACGAAAACGATGAAGATAGGAAGAACTGGACGCTCTTGTTCTTGCATGGCAGTTTGGGGGTCTCGAAAACAGGGGCGATCAGTTTATATTCCAGGTATTCGAACAAATGCGTCAGCCGTTCTACGAGTTCGGCAAGCTAGAACTGAGACGGATGAATCGCAAGCACGCGAGGCGAAGTCGACGAAGCATCATCTATTGAGGGTGGAGGCCGGGTTCGTCCTCAAGGAAGCATGGAGGGCGCTATAGGAGACGTTATCGCATTGCTTTCAGGAAGCGATGTCATAATTGCCTTGCAGCAAAATGCATTTGTTGCAATTAAAGGTCTAATTGGATGTCCAAGTTTGTGTTGAGAGACTCTGCTGTACCATTCGCCGCTTCCGTATATGCGCAGATGAATAAATGGAGCGGGTTGCTCGCCGTTGAAGACGCCCAGAAGAAGGAAAATAGACAGGGCCGGAGTTCGCGAGTCTGATGGAAGAATCGCGCGGGAAGGTTTGTTGATTGGGGCCTTTGTACATCCCTAAATTCCTTAAAGCACGTGACCCGCTTGTCTTTTGTAGTTGTTTGGATTTAGGGCTTTTGCGGCTGTCGCCGCTGCGCACCCACGCCTTCCAAATGTGGACTTTGCGCCCCAACCACCTTGTTGTTCGACCAGCAGTCGCGCCAGCAGGGCAAAGCCCTCAGGGGCGGTGAATGGCAGAGTATTTGAGTACTACCGGGGGCAGCCCGACGACACCGTGAGGCAGCTCATCGAGCGCACGGCGGTCCACGAATTCTGCATACTACCCTCGCAATATTGAATGTCTTGACACCTCAAATAGTAAAATAAATTATAAAAAATGTACCCATCCTAATTTCTCTACTTTCTACCATGAAATCTCATGAATCTTCAATGATCTGTTAGAAATTCTTGTCTCAAGATTCAGAGTCAAGATCAATCTTTGCAATACCTATATGAACTTTCCTCCTCTCCGAATTTTTGGTATTCATACCTAATCTTCTATCCCTAATCTTTTCTTTGTAACCTTGACCAGGCCAAAGTTCCAAACCTTCCCTTCATCAGTAAAGTTCTTTTTTGGTCAGGATACTATTTGTAAGTGCTCAAGAAGATTTTTCATTAATAATTAATTGAATATCAGCATATAGTCTTGAGTCTGTATGATGCCTAAAGATTCTTCCATGCTCAAGGTAAAGCAGACCTGAAGGAATGATACATAATTCTTGCCAAATGCTTGCAAGTGGCAGTCATATACATTGGTAATTATTTCCATCATTTCCCAATCACAGGTTTACACTGGACAGAGGAGGTTTCACTCAGACTGCATCTATGTGAATGTTGAAGGCAGATAATGACTAAAGACTCAAAATATCTAGCCCTCATATGTAATAGATTTTTTGTGTATCTCATTGCTAGAATGAAGTGCCGCCTTTCAGCCCTGGCTTTACACCTTGCTTGCCCATCTATGTGCTATCTAATGTGATGCAGCAAATGCTGGTGGAATGATCCCCTTCCAAGCAAGGGAACAATATACAGTCAAACCCCTCTTAACCCATACCCCTTGGTGGATGGCCCAGGGTATGGGTTATGGGAGGTTATGGGTTATGAGAGGTCAATTTTGGTGTAAATTTTGGTTTGGTAGTGGCCAAAACCTATGGGTTATGGGGATGTATGGCTTACGAGAGGATGGGTTAAGAGGGTAATGTAATGAGTCACAAGACTGGGATGCAACAAGCGCCACACCCAGTAGGCGAGCGCAGCTCGCATACAATTTCGTTCTCCTCGGAGACGAGTCAGACGACAGCCTGAGACAATTGCGACTAACTCGGTCACGTGGCAAGTTTTCCTTTTTCGGAGTGGTTCCGTGCAGCTGGTGAGCACCACTGGTTGAACCTCTCCACCGACCACAATTGCCGCCACGACGCGTCGCCTCCCTCCATAGCTTCTCCTAACGCATGGCTTCGAAGTGCGAGCCGCTCAGTCACTTCAGTGATAGGTATTTATCGTCTGAATACCCGCACGCGCTTGGATTTAACCATCCTTGACATCTGTTCTTCTAGACTCTATTTCACCACCTTCCCCCATCCACCCCCAAGCCCGCAGGTCCTCAACGGCCTGTCTCCGGAACCTAGAAATCAACCGCGCGTGCGTGCCCGACCCAGGGGTGGCCCCTCAGCATCCCCCGATGACAATGCATCCTACTACTATTTCACGATCGACGACCAACTCCTCTATCTCTCCTTTTTTCAAGACTGGGGTCCGTTGAATTTGGCGATGGTTTACAAAGCGTGCATTCTCATTCACGAGCTCCTTGAGGTAAGAGGCGATCCTGCCTTGCCGTTTCCTCGTGCCACTTATCCACGTGTCCTTCCCGTTCTACCAATTTTTATGCAGGATAAGGAACTGGCGTCCTATAGACTGGTGTTATACTCCTCCGGTGATCCTAGACGTAAGGCGAATGCAGCACTGCTTATGGCATTATATGTTGTAAGTTTATCACTTCTGGTCCTTGTCTCCGACCCTGAAATATGCGAAAGATGATCGTTCAACGGCGTGCACCCTGGGAAGCTTTCCATCCCATTGCCGAAGTAGAATTCATGCCATTTCGGGATGCAGGAAGAGGACCGTCTGACTTCAACCTCAGTATCCAAGATTGTCTATGGGGTGTTTGGAAGGCAATGCAGAATGGGCTATGCGACATGAACGAATTCAGCGTCGAAGACTACGAGTATTACGAGAAGGTCGAGAACGGTGATTGGAACTGGTTAACTCCCAATTTCATTGCGTTCGCATCTCCTGTGGACACCAATTGGATTAAACGGGAAAAGGAGGCCAAGGAAGCATCCAAGACGAACTCCTCTGGGACAAGCTCCCTATCTTCTTCCACAAGCTCCAACCTAGCTCTGCAACGGAAACTTCCTACGCCTTTCCTAAACTGCCTTGACTACTTCGAGAAACGAAACATCAAACTTGTAGTTCGCCTTAATACCGAGCTATACGACCGGAATACCTTTTTGGATCGCGGGATCGACCATATGGAACTGTATTTCGACGATGGTACAAATCCTACGGATGACATTGTGCGGACGTTCATTGATGTCGCTGACCGTGTCATTGAGAGCGGTGGCGTTGTTGCAGTCCACGTAAGATTTCTCCATTTTCTCCGTTCTTTTTCTTACGTCTCGTCCTACATTCAGTGCAAAGCCGGACTTGGGCGTACCGGTACACTCATCGGAGCGTATCTGATATGGAAGTATGGATTTACGGCCAATGAAGCCATCGCCTTTATGCGAATCGTGCGTCCAGGAAGTGTGGTCGGCCCGCAGCAGCAGTACATGTACCTGAAGCAACTGGAATGGGCAAAGTGGGCCGCAGTGGACGAGATGAAGAAGGTCCAGTCTCAGGCCACAAGTGTCTTCAACACCGCTTCTCTGGTTACTCCGGCGACGCCACCCGCGGAAGCCGACGAGGAGCTCGACGCCATGAGCACCACGCCACCGCAAAATACGGTCTCTTTGCCCCCCGTAACGCCAAGTCGCCATGTCGCTACGGCCGCGGCGAAGGCAGGCGCTATTTGTCCTCCCGGCCAGCCTCGTAAAACTCCGATTGCGAAGCGCGTTGCCCAAGATTCCGATGACGAGGACGAGGTTGCCGATGTCTTGCCTGCCCTCGATGTCGTGCCTGCAGCCCGAAAGATCAAGCCTGCACCGTCCAGAGGTATCACCTCATCTGAGCAGCGTCCAACACGCGTCACAAGGTCTACCGCCAACGCGACTACCATTAAGAAGGGTACCGCAACGCCTGCCGTTCCAGAATCCCCCGTCAAATCATCAAGACAAGGGCCTAACAAGATACCTCGATTAGCAACGACCAGAACAACTGCTGCTTCGAAGGCACTGGCTGCCGCAAACGTGCAGCAGCCCTTAGGTCGACCACAGCGTAATGTTGTCCCATCTCCGACCCCTTCTCGCTTGCCAACGCTGATACCTTCAAAACGACCTCAACATACCTCGTCATCGTCTTCGTTGACCGACGTCGCAAATCTCAAGCGGAACCCCACCGCGACCGCGACCGACGCCTGGGTAGCTAACAATACCGCGGCTATTGTGGTGCCGGCCGCCAAGTCTGGCCGCCCAGGCTTGAGGAGTGTCCGTCGACGACGCAGCAGCTTTAGTTCTGCTGACGTTGTCGCTTGATCAAGTCGTATTTCCCCCCTCTCTTCTGATTTTTTTCTCCGGTGGTCCCCATTTCGTGGCTTCGAGAAGCATTTTTCATCTGCAATCTACAACGCATCGTCATATCAATCCAGTCTGTTATTGCAATTCCCACCATTCCCCACCTACCATGCAATAAATACCACTACATTTCCTTCCCTCTATGTACTAATTTTGTCTTTTTATCTGTTCCCACCTCAATATATGTCGGATTAAGTATTCCTTTCCGGAACGAGAGACATTTACAGCGCAGAATATTTGTGAACACATTCAAGGAACCAACGCATGTCTTTAGGATCGACTCCTGGAGCGATTCCGTGTCCTAGGTTCGCTATCCATCCCCCTTTGCCCGCTCTAAACCCTTGGCTCATCCTCTTGACTGCAGCTTCAATAGCATCTCGTCCGCCGTACAGAACGCCCGGATCCATGTTTCCTTGCAAGGCGACATTGTCACCGACAATACGTCTTGCCTCAGCTGGATCGATGCACCAGTCAAGTCCGACCACATCGTAACCGCCGTTCGCAGCGATGGACGCGAGAGCATAGTTTGCTCCTTTGGCAAATACCGTCATTGGCGTTGCTGGGAGATTCTCTTCCGCTAGTCGGCGTCGAACGTTGATGGAGATATGCTTCAAGGTCGGGAACGAGAATTGGTCAAAGTCGTAAGGTGACAACTCTCCAGCCCATGAATCGAAGACTTGTAAGAGCTTTCCAAAGCGTTAGTGCTCATCTCTGAAAAGAAACGATAGAGGCTCACCTGGGCCCCAGCCTTAACCTGACCGACCAAGAAGTCGACGCAGACATCAGCGATCCTCAGTAGGAGAGCCTTTGACTCTTCGGGATATTTGAATAACCAGGTTTTGGCCTTCTGGAACGTCTTGCTCCCTCCGCCTTCGATCATGTACGCGAAAAGAGTCCACGGTGCGCCACAAAATCCAATCAAGGGAACCTCGCCGTTCAGTTCCGTCCTTGTTTGGGTAATCGCCTGGAAGACATAGCCGAGCTCTTTATCAATATCTACGACTCCCTTTAGCCTTTTCACGTCTTCCGGAGTGTTCAACGGATCGGGGAAATGAGGACCCGGGTTCATGATCACCTCCATTCCCATGGCCTGCGGGACAACGAGGATGTCGCTGAAGATGATTGATGCATCGAGGAGTCCTGAATACCTTCGGATCGGCTGCAGGGTGATCTCTGTCGCTAGAGCTGGGGTGCGGCACACTTCGAAGAACTCATGCGATTCGCGAACTTTCCGGAATTCTTCGTGTACTCGTTAGAATGTCTGAGTGGGACTCTTGAGCAGATGTGATTTACCAGGGAGATAGCGGCCTGCTTGTCGCATAACCCAGACGGGCGCGTGTTCTGTCTGCTCTCCTGCAAGAAGCTCCAGTCAGCAAATCACAGAATTTGTTGGGGTTTGCATACCTCGCGCAGCACGGAGCAGAAGGTCGTTTTTGAGAGGGGGAAAGTTGGTGGTGGTCATCTTAGAAAGAATGTGTAATCTGAAGCTTCGCTGGGGATTTATACGGTGATCGCAAGTAGGTTCCACCCTGCGACGAGGGTGTGTGGTAAAATCACCCGGATACCACTGCGCGCGTCTAGATGCGGACTAGCAGCACTTGCCGGGGACGATTGTCGATTGGGTGACTTCATCTAATCTAATCAGATTGTCCGAAACAATCCATGCGTCAGATCAAAATTAACTTGACACTCAACTGACATCTCCCACAACTTCTCTAGCGTTCATTCTTCCTTTAATATGCCCATAGATAATCCAACCGCTCTCGTGGAGGAGTAGGCATAGTCCATATGTCCTTTCCTTGCATCTGTGACCAAGGGCTGCTAGGTTCAAGAAATCAGGCGAATTCGACCGTGTTCGACGTGAACTCTTGGCCCACTTCCAACAGGATGTGAGTACATGATTCTCCCCCTTAGATATGAATCAGTAATGCCGCAGAACAGGCGTCGTATCCTTCGCTGAAGGAGCGCGTTGAAGATATTGCACGACAACGACTAGCCAAGGACCAGATGATGCAATACATGCCACAGGAAACCGTGTACAAGGAGTTGGCGCAAGAAGTGGACCGGTACTCGACGTTTTCTGGCGATGCAACGCCATTTTTCTGACGTGGATCAAGGTACCCAATTGTCGAACGCGCAGTGGCGGATGGGCGGATACTTTCCGATCCGACCTTCCTTGCTAACATCGAGAGCTCGCTCCAGAAAATTCTGCGCGACGACAGGGGAGGGAAATCCTCATCGGCGACGAAAGGTCCGCAGTCAAACGCTGACAATCCTACTTATTCTGACTTACGGTGAAGACAATGGAAGTGAAAAGACGCGTGCACCAGTCATGAATGCAAGCACAGACCCCATTGAGAAGGCTGTTCGGGATGCTCAACAGAGCGGTAGTATTCATGAACAACCAAACCCCACGGTGCCCAAAGACTCGAAAAACTTTGGCAACCCTCTGTCGGCTCCACATGACACTTCTATAACGAACACTTCGGCAACACCTTCTGTGGCTGTAGATGGCGTGAATCCCACAGATTCTGCTGATTCAAAAACGTCTGCCATGGACCAATCTAGCCACTCTCAAGCCCTACCCAATGCCCCAGATTTGAATACGAACCCTGTCGTGGATGCTGCATATGATGGCCAACAACCTATGGACATTGATATAGATAATTGAGAGAATCCTGACGAAGCCCAACAGAGTCCAGGCTCGAGCCTAAATCAAGGCCTCCATGCGGTCCCTTCTCTCCACTTCACTTCTCCTTGGAGTTTACACTTTTTCATTCACAGGAGTGGATCCTTCTCCCCACGTACGCGATACATCTATATCATCGAAACCGAACTTTACACCAAAAGACGAGCTACCAGCAGCCCGAAGAAATATCTGGGTATACAAGATATGTAATAAAGATAATAAAAAAATGAAGATAGATAACTAATATCCGACCTAATACTCTGCCTGTATAAGGGAGGCCGCTTTCTCCGATCGGGGTTTAATACTGCACTTGTAAGGCACCGGATGGCTGTTTACGAGGGCGAATTAGCGGCGCTGACGTACGACGTCGAACAATGAGACCGTACCTGATGGTTCCAGTTGTATACTCGTGGACAGGCTCGACGACGACTCCGTTCTCCACACACTTGCCAATGTCAAACACCGCCAAAGACATAACACAGGAAATAAAGACCGAAGCTTCGGCGAGATGAAGACCTGACGAGGAAAAGTACCGGTGAGCCGCTCGAAAACACGAGGATAAGAAGGCAGCAAAATTATCGTACCTGGGCATATTCTGTATCAGAGAATCCGTTCGAAGTTAATACACCACACCCCGGGTTGATCCAGGTAGCACTGACCTCCTTCCAAATCCAAAACAGACTTCTCGTGGATCTGGTTCAGGCGCACGGTCTTTTGAAGCAAGAAACCGGTCTGGGTTAAATTGAGAGGCGTTTCTATAAACCCTAGGATCGTGTAAAAACTTCCTGTGCTTGGTGTCAGTTGTTTCTGAGGATCGGTGGCCTAGACAATAGGTAATACTTGCCAGATGTTAGGTATGACCAATGCGCCTTTAGGGATCAGGTATCCTTCGTGAATGTCGTCTTGCATTACCCGATGAGGAACAGCTAAAACGACGATCAATCCGTGGTGCATGCGTGAGGCTTGTATAAATCGCACCGGTAGGAACGACCGCGTGCCAACGTAGGACCTCGAGGACTAGAGCGTTGATATATGGGAGATAGGGCCGATCTTCAAAGGTAGGAAGCCGGTCGGGCCCCACAACAGCATCGATCTCGGCTTGCGCTTTCTTAACCACCTCCGGATGAAGAGCGAGCGCTAAGAAGAAGGAATAGATAGCCGAGACCGTCTAGTCCGGCGTTACAAAATGCGACGACGAAAATGTGAAGGAAAATACCGTATCGGCTGCGCCTACGGAAAGAGGAATTGAGGGTAAAAAAATCGACGGCTAAGCGGTGTGAGAGTACATACCGGAATATAAACTAGCGGCGCTCCATTTGAGGTCGAATTCTTCCTCAGCAGTTAATCGTTTTCCTTCTAGGAGAGTTGACGTGAAAGAGACCTCTGCAGTTCCTGCCGCCTGAAAATATCGTTAGACCAAGATCATGCATGGGAGACAACCCATGGCCAACGAACTATATGTTGCACGACAAAGTCGTAAGGCCTTTGCACCATTTCTTGTAATGTTGAACCCCATTCGATCGCAGTCCGACGGAAGCCGGCACCGGGGAACCACAAAGGAATATGACGCACTGGACAAAAAATTAAGAAGTTGAAAAGACTACATGGTCTATTTGACTGACGAGCAGGGATGACATCGACGAGCCAACCACCTGGTGCCGAGGCGAGCGAAAATTGCTCCGTGGCGATATCAGCCAGTTCGACGAGAGGATCGATGCCCTCCTTAACTTCGTACCCATGTGATATGCGCAAAATAACTGCGCCTGCCGTTCTGGTGCAGAAGATAAGCAAAGAGGAAAAGATTAGAAGAAGATACCGCCACTCACTTGCGAACGTGAGCGGCGAGGTCATCTGGCTTTGCAAGAACGCGGCGTAAGAAGCGTCGAGCTTCCAATTCCTCACTCGGAAAAAAGCGTTCAACGGCCGCATGGCTACCTATGAGACTGTGGAAGAGACGCCGGTAGCGGCGGAAGCGGTCGCTATAAGGCAACAGAACGAGAGTGTTTTTCCAGCCAACAAGTTCTCCAGCCATTTGGAGAACTGGTCGATCAGAGTATACCGCGCTCTTCTTGTCGAGCATGTCGCTGGCCACTTTTGCGGAGTTGACAATGACGAGGGGCTGTCCGAGGACCGTAACCGAACATAAGTCTCCTTCGAGGGAACAGGTCAAAAAATACGAAGAAAAAAACTCGTCCGAAACAGGCGCACCCCATGTTTCCCCCCACTTGGCGAATGTGAGCCATTCTTTCTCAGAAGGCATATCAAGGATATTTCCGACCAGCGGAAGACCCTTGGGGCCTGGAGGAAGAGAAGGTGCCTTGCTGGAGCGTAAAATAGTCTTTAGGATACAAACGACGGCAAGGAGAAGGAGGAGGTCCAGGGCGACGACGAGGTTGGAAGCCATGGCTCCAGGTTGGGTGGATGGCGGGAACGAAATAAACGGAGAGGATGGCAGGTACACGGGCTTTAAGTAAGTTATCAAGAGGGACTACCAGGACAGGATCAGGCCAAATCCGGCTGACGGGACGAGATTGCGCGCCCTTCTCATAGATCCCAGTCCAAAATTACGATAGAAGTCCGCGGTTCAGCAGGGCGGTTGCTGCTTATGGCGGCCCAACAGCCACGAGGCAGCGACCGACATCTCCTTTGTTTTCTCCACCGACAGGTAAGGAAACGGCGCGCTTCTTTCAGCTCGCTCCCTGCCCCCAACAGCGCGTGCGCACAGATCCGTTCAGATCGTCCGTAGGAATCGCGCCCGGGCTCTTGGATAGATGCCCTCCTCAGCCCATCATCAACCAGATGTCTGGCGAATCTGCTCCAATGCGCACTTCGAACACGCCTTGAGGTCCCGAGAGACACTAGGAAAGGATAACCACGGCACGATTTGCGAGAAGGTTCGCGTCTGGGTCAATGGCACAGAGATGCCAGTGGGGAACCCGGGAGAGACCCGTCCGTCGGACACTCGATGACGAGGAAAATTCGAGATCCTCGACGCGTCCCATGAGCAACATTCGCTGTCGATGGACCAGAGGATAGTTGGCACGTATGTCTCCGGTTTGACTGGCCGCCAGGACTAGGAAGACTCCACAGGATTCAGGAATTCCTGGGATTTAGCACGTCACTGACAGGAATGAGTTGACTTCGTGACAAAATAAGCGCCATGGATTCTCACTGTCACCGTGCGAATGACGCTTGTTCTACGGAGAAAATGACCCTGAAGATCCTTTCATGAACAGGGTCGTTGGTTGAACGTTCGAAAGCGAAGTGAAAGGTAGACATGTTGGATTGAGATGCAAGGGTATAAACAAACATCTGCTGGTCGACTACGAACATACATCATCCATTTTCCGATCATTCCATCATACAAATACTCGAGAGTTCTTCCAGCAGAGACTATGGCACACCAAGAACCGTCATGAAATATCGTACAGGCAGCATACTACATATGAGGGGTTAAAACGATCCTTCTGTCACCGCTGACTATACATCATTTAGTCAGTGAAGTGTTCATAGACAGATTATCGGACAAGTCGTGTTACTCACCTGCGGCTCTGCGAGACCTTCAGCGGCAGTCTGACGGTGATCTCTGATGAACTCATGAATCGTGTCGATTTTAATTGAGATGTTCGCCGACCTCTAGCGGGGGTTTTGAGCAAGTTGAGAGGGGTGATTAGAAGAACCGTACCGTTGCATTGATGTTCGCCTGGCCAGATTTGGAAATGGCTGGCAGTGAAAAGGAAAGTTCATCGCTATCCTCGCCCATACGCCTGATAATTTGTCGGGCGTTCAAGGTAGCAAGAACCGAGTTACTATATACTGAAGAAACGGAGCTGTCAGAGCAAGACTTGGAAGGAAGGTAAAGATACTTGCGGCGTCCCAGACAGAAGTAGAAGGCAACGTAGATCAGCGTATTGGGAGATGCGAGTATCTGAATGAAGTGAGATCCAATAGCGGCGGGCGGTCGATCTGAAGTGCGCTCACGGAGATAAGGGAAGCGACGGCGCAAATGCTGGTTAGCAGACCCGTACTGACAGTGAACGCTATCTAGAAGACACAGAGAACAAGTAGTTAGTACTCGTCAACACCTAGGAAAGTAAACTCACCAGTTTGCTAATCATAGTATCGGACCTGGCCATGTGGAATAGATAGATGAGTTACTTATCGACGAAAGGAGAAGGCCGAAAGCCCACTTCTTGAAGCCTGTTCTTGAACTGTGCAAGAGGAAAAACAAAGCCGCGGCGATGAGAATGTCGGCGACCGCGCCCACGATATTAACTGCTATTGAGAGCCCCTGAATATAAAGGAAGTTTATAACTCGGCACCAGAAGAGAATGAACGCGCGTACCTTGAGCTGCCCGAGCTCGGCCCATGTCTGGAGCTTCATGCTGTTCGAGCGCGGAGATGAATTGATTCCAACTCGAAAAACGCTTAGGCTGACTTACGATTTTGCGGTAAAAGCTAATGGTGGTGATGATTACCCTGCTTGAGCGCCTGGACGACATTAACTAGGCATAAAGCTTACCGGTAGAGCACCCTTCTCCGAGCGTTAGCCAAGCCCCTGAGATGGAAAGAAGATGGCTCACCGAAGCCCGCAAGAATTAGCGCTGCCTATCACACCTTAGCATCGATTGAATCCAACGGCCGTGAGTACCCACTATGACCACTGTTAGTGGGATGCTGTTTCCGCTCACTGTGGGACGATAATTCAGACAGCTTCACACGGAATTGCAGAACACATACGTCGCCAGACACGCAGTAGCAGGAACCTATCGCAGGTCGTCAGGTCAATTCAATGCTTGGGAGAAACCGCTACAGACGCTTGGACGATGAAACTGATCAAGCCCTATGGTTCGATTCAGCACACTGACGTCGAACAGCCAATGAGAGACCTCACGTTGAACAACACTTCGAGCTGTTACAGTCATGGTAACCCAAGTCCAAAAAGAAGCGAAGGGCGAGAAACGTACGAGGATGCTCCTATAGAAAATCAGGCGATGCATGAATTTGGACGTGACAACAATGACTTACCACACCATGTCTTCAAGTCGGATGGGGTTGTTATAGTTCGTAATCACATAGTAGTACACTGAAAGAAAATAGTCAATAAAATATCTCCTCATCTGCAAGCAGAGACGCACCAGTGTGCGAAATTAATGCTTGATGCACGGTTTCGAACGCACAAACAGTGGCTACCTGCCCAAATACACGAGGTTCGTAAAACATAGCGACAATGAATGCGACCTTCCGTACAAGCGTTTTGATGTACCAGACATCCTGGACAGGCGTCAAGCGACTGAAAGAGATTCATGAAGAGAGTGCGCACCCGTCGATACTTGAGGAAATAATACCAGGTTTGCACGAATGAGACTGAGAGGATTTAGAGCGAAGCAAGTCGACAACGCGGGCGAGCTCACCCCCATACAGTCTGATAGTAGTGTCAAATTTCCTGAACAAAAAGAACACGGAAAAAAGCCTACATTCCAGCGGCGATGACGCCAATGTACGCCGCACCCATTCTACAAAAATAAAAACGTTATGGAGTGAAGGACGAGATGGGAGAAACATACGAACGTATTGTCGACATGGATGGGACCTGCGGTGTCTGCCATGCTAATGGAGGAAGGGACACGCGTCTTGCTGTCAACCTGAGGGAAATAATGGAGTCAGAGAACAGCAGCTCCGCGTTGGCTCACAAGGCCTTAAGAGAGCGGGGTACACAGAGGAAGCGTAGGGAATCAGTCAAGATTCTGGTTCCCTCCTTAGTATACGTACGCAATGGTGAGGCCATAAGGTAGATGGAAACACGCTCCGTCCATTGTGAACTTCTGGACAAAGAACGGATGATATGGCCCTTCACCCTCGAGAATCCTCGAACGCGCGGGTTGGTGGGGCTTGTCGGCTATAGACTGCACCCACAGAAGGCTCGCCAGCTAGAAAGGGGGATGGGTATTACCTTTCTCGACGGGACGAAGTTGCGTTCCAATTTAGCGCAAATCAAGTACGTAAAACGTAGCACCTGCGTTCTGAATGGAAGAGGTCAGACTTTTTTTTTTTGCTCGAATCCTTCCAGCCATGCGGTGTAAGAACCTCTATGCTGGGCTTGTTACCTAAAGATGCTGCGTACTGAGTTGGCCTTGGCCTACGCCGGCGCTACCTGGAGGGCCGGAGGTGGATCCCTTTCCTCGACCTGCGTTTTTCGTGCCCGACGCTGATGTGGCCAATCGCAAAGCCCTCAGCACCGCAATGCCTCAGGTGGAGGCGGCGTCGGAATTCCGGAGCTTCCACCTATCCCGACTGAAGATATAACACGTCGGTGCTGGCGGGAATAAGCAGGTCATGCTTATGACCGAAATGAAGCGCCCAGTCTTGCGGGCACTTCTAGCTGAAAGGCAGACGGAGGAGGTCGATGGTGTCCTTCATGCGAGAGTACCCGACTGCGTGCCAGATCATCCGTATCATATCTCGACCTGTGGCAAATGAGGACGACAACTCATTCAAGGAAGAGAACAGAGAATGTTAGTCAGATCCGTGCAAATCTTGAAGAGGGTTGGCTTCTTTCTGCCTTGCGGCTTCAGCGTGAAGCATTCTGGAAAGACAATCAATAGGATACGCGCTCGTGCGCGAATGCGAATGTGGTCTAAGTGGCAAACAAGATTATCGCGGAAGTGAGTCCGAATGAGATGCACGTAAGCGAGAAAGCTTGAAGCTTGAACTTGAAGCGTGTCAAAACATGTTGGATCGTAACAAGAGGAGCGCGACGTCATGATGGTAAGTTGTGCACAGATGTCAAAATCCAACCAACCAACCAACCAAGCGCTCGATGTCCCTTGCCTTGGCAAACTATGACACAAGTTTCGACACCGATGTGCAACGTTGTAAATCGTGATAGATATCATAATCATGTGTTCATTGACAGTGATTGACTTCATCGTACAGAGCCCGATCTACTTACTGTACAAATATACAAAAAGATGCTCGTGACAGGGTAAGATGAGGCGATTACCTAGCAGGAATTGCGACAAACAAAATACAGTACATAGGATATTATTGAAGAAAGTCTGGATGAGACTAGTAGGGGTAAACAGTGAGAAGAGAAATCGTGAAAAGGAAGAGAAAAAAAACAAGAGTCGAAGCAGTGACTCTTCATAGACGCTATCAATCAGCATACAACACATGTTTATCCGTCGCTTCCATCCACGCCCTCAACTCCTCGTCAGAGTCGAGTCCCACAAAGGTGTTCGTCATGCTATCGCGGTACCTCAGATGGCCCACTTCGCCACCCAACCGTGCCTGGACCTTCTCCATCAGCTCGCTGTGTGTCACCTTGGGATGCACCCGGATCGCAATAAGGTCATCAGCGACTCTATCAAAGATCTTGATTTTCACAAATGCGGTCTGTGGGTTGGCGGCTGAGATAGGCGGTGTGTTTAAGTTGGTCGTGGTCGCTGTTGAGTGCGAGCGAGACCGAGATGACATGGCTTGCGATGTTCGGAAGGAATCTGTCGAGGGTGATGAGGTATGTTGCTGGTAAACGTTGTCGTTCCACCGTGATTGGCCTTGCCCATTCCGCACAGGCTGGGGAGAACCGTTACGTTCTCTGTTGTGCGGTGAGTTTGAACGTGACCCGTACGAGGAAGAGGATGGGTTGTTGAAGGAAGATGTGGAGCCCGTTCGTTGATGGTTCTGAGCGTGAGCTTGGAGGCGAAGATGGTCGTCTGCGTATCGTTGGTTCCCTTGAGCATATGGATGTCGGTCCTTCTCCTGCGCTTTGCGTTGGGGGGACGGTGCATATCCCTCGTCTTCATAGTCAGATGCATCGCTATGCTGGTCGCGGATATTCATGCGACCCATTTGCTCTTGCACACCGTAGTCGTCGTCTCCGTACCCATCATCGTGGCGGAAGAACTCGTCAATCTCCCGCACGCGAGGATCTCCCTCATTTTCAACATCACCGGGTTTGAGCGCCAAGAATCTGCGGACGATCATATGTTCCAAGATGTACCTTCCCCCTGTTTTGCTCAAATTGCAGAGATTATGGATATAATCGTCTAGTTCGACCCTTCTAGTGGCTGTCAGTGCATCGTCGACGTCTTCAGCAGGCCCAGGCATGTAAGGAAGGGTTCTGGGCTCAGGTGGCTGTCGGCCAGCTTCACGAGGGAATGTTTCGAGCAGTGAAACCTGAAAGTCGTAAAAATCGTTGTATACGCGGAAAAGGATGAGCTGTTTCGAGGGTGGTAATGCTTGGCCGGGGCCGGCATATGGTTGGTAAACGGCGTCGATTCGGAACCAATATTCGTCCATCTCGTAATGGAAAGAGACGACCTCCGCAGATAGAAGAATACCCTCCGGAAGAGCATCGGGCATCTCATTGGGAACAGGATTCGCTTTCGGTGGTGGGTTTTGCTGTACAGGGGGGAATTGCTGCGATTGCTGCATGTAATGGCTATTGGACACCGGGCTTTTTGCGGGGGTATCAATGACACCAAGGGCGATACTGTTCTGTTTGTAGGTGAGCATTGCGCGCTTCCAGTCTTCAACTTTAGGCAGATCTCCACGGTCCATTAGCCCCTCTACATCGGCAATGGCCTTACCTGTAGCCGGGTCGTGGATCTCGACGAAGGAAACTGGGATGAGGCCAGGTCGACCAAGGCGACCGATGGGTTTGGCGACAAACCATTCGCGGTTCGATTGAGCGACGACGGTGATGGCGTCTCCGCGTTTGGCTTCGAGTTCATCCGCTCGTTCGGCCATGAAGTCATGGAGGACGATGGCATAGTATACCTGCGTTTTGGGCAGTGGAGGGTCCGATCTAGCAGGAGATGTCGGGTTTGTGAAGCCGGCTTGGGAGGTGCGATTTCTGGACAGGAGGCGTATTAAAACATCGGAAATAGATGAAATATTGCCATACTCACGGTGCAGCACCCTTGCCGAATTCCTCAAACTTAGACCTGGGCACGAGCCCTCGTGCACCGCTTGAAGGATTGTGGGCGTCATACCAAGCACCCGAAGGATTCTGATCTTTGATCACATAGAAAAAGTCGCCCTTGTTGAAGGAGAGCTCCTGGGGCGCCTGAGATTTGTAGTTTTCGAGAGCGCGAATGACCTTTTGAGGGGGTAGGATGGCGGAGGGTGGTTTTGATACGGGAGGGAGTGGTAGAGGCGTAGATATTTTTGGGCGAGAGGAGGACTCTCTGTTCCCATTATTGAGGGACTTTCGTAGGGACTTCATGGGAGAATGAGAGAAGCGATGAAGAAAGCACACTTCCTGTCACATTCTCTATCAGGTCAATATACAGTTATCATGCACGTGATCCGGTCAACAATAATGGGTCCGCAGTGTGCCCGCATTGGCCGCTGCTCGAGTAACCATCCTCGATCCATCAGTCGTAACCGTCGACAAATATGTCTGCAACAATCACTTCGATTCATTTTCTCGACGCGACAGTTCCTCATGTCTCCGGCACTTCACCTTCGACATACCTCAACTCGCGACCTTACCAACTCCGGCCTCGGACTGACTGGGTCAACGGACGTTTTCCATATGAACATCGGACAAAACGATTTAGCTGAAGTGAAGCGTGTTTCGCCGGGGTTCCCAGCGCACTAAGAATCCGAGCCTATCGCTTCCCAGTTATCTATCTTAAGAGCAGAGCAGGCACTAGTACTCGAACGCACTCTCTTACGCAACATTTTACTTCGACTTCGTACTCAGACAGGAGGCAGACAACCCTTGTTGTTCGCTTAGCATCCACGCGCTACGGAGGGAATAGAGGTCGAGATAAGTTTCTAGCTGCAGGCTGCAGCACCATAAGAATCTGTTTTTGGCGTTTTTGGTCTTCAACGCGTTCCGTCCAACCACTAAATCAGCATTACGTAATCAGTGAAGCTCTCAGTAAACAAAGGCACACGCCAATGCATCCTGAGCACCAACCACTGACAACGACAGAAACATATCCCTCCCTGGTCCATCGTGAACCATGGCCGCTCGGAAGCTACAAAGTCTGTTCATGTCCATATTTTATGGCTTCCGAAACTAAAGGCTATGTTTTCCTTAGCCGAAATTGACCGGACATTGAAGAAGGTTGCGGAGGGTGTCGAGCTCTTCGAGAGCATATACGACAAGATGCAAGCTTCGACAAATCAGACACAGAAAGAGAAGTCAGAGCTCGATCTGAAAACCCAGATTAAGAAGCTGCAACGGCTGCGCGACCAAATCAAGACTTGGGTCGCAAGCAATGACATCAAGGACAAGACGGCGCTAGTGGAGAACAGGAAATTGATTGAGACGGTGAGCCCTCATTAATATTGGATTTATACCCCTCATTACTCGCGTGCCTCGTACGCGTGTAGGGGTGGGCTGCTCTCCTCATGTAGGAGTTCTCTTCAGCACGCGTAATACAGCATGTGTTCCCTGATTCGACACCTATGCTTGCGTTCTTTTCACTCGGGCTTCTTCCCAAGTTTTTCTTTCTTTCTTTTGCATGGGTTGGCGCTTATTTATTTCCACCCTATGAACAGCAAATGGAGAAGTTCAAAGCCTGCGAAAAGGAGATGAAAACGAAGGCCTTTTCGAAAGAGGGACTAATACAAGCCGCGAAGCTGGATCCGAAGGAGCAGGAGAAGGAGGAGGCGATGCAGTGGGTGAATCATCAAGTGGAAGAGCTTCAAATGCAAGTGGAATCGGCAGAAGCGGAGCTCGAGTCCCTTCAAGGTGCAGGCAAGAAACGGAATAAGGCCAGCAATGCAGGACGACTGGAAGAGCTGGAACACCTCAATGAGCGACGGAAGTGGCACATAGGTCGCTTGGAAATTGTTCTACGAATGCTCAACAATGGTTCTTTACCTCTAGAGAAAATCAACGACCTTAAGGAGGATGTCAGCTACTTCGTGGAGAGCAACACGGTGTGCATTCTCAGCTCTCCGTCATCTATGCTTGCCTGAGATTTCACAGGATGAGGACTTCGATGAAGACGAAGGAATATACGACGAGCTCCACCTTGATGAAGAAGAGGAGAGATATGGTCTGGTGCAGGATGAAGATGACAGTGACGATTCAGATGGGGCAAGTGAAGGTGCGTTTTTTATATCATTTTCTATTGTACGCGATACATCGAGTCGAATGTAGATGTGCCACCACGACCCACGAAGAAACACGATGAAGAGAGCGTGACGAGCAGTAAACGGGACGACAGCCCAATACTAAAGAAAGCAAGTGTGTCATTAAACCTACGGAGTACGTTTGTTCCACGCCCTTGTCCAAGATTGAATTTGACTCATCACTCCCTCTTTGCAGAGCAATCTGTGGACAGTAAGTTTCCCAGCGATCGCTTGCCTTATGCCTCGGAATCATGCTGACCATTGCCACAACAGCAAAGCCACCACCGAATCCGAATTTCGCGCAACAGCCCATGGCCAGTATTGTGAAGGCAGGCCTACAACCAGCATCGCGTCCAACACCCACCGTGCTACCGCCGATACGATATGCTGCAGCCGCAGCCGCAGCCGTAGCACCTCCGCAATCAGCATCTTCTGTCGTGGCTGCTGCCACGCCAATTACTCCTGCGACTGCTGCCTCATCACATCCGCCGCCACCTCCACCGACTGCTCCATCAATATCAACTACAATTGCGACTCTTCAGACTGCTTCACAGGATCAGAACACCGCGGTTACATCCTCACCAAGCCTCACTCAGCTTTCAGTGACAAGCCCTATGCTTTCATCGGCAGCGTCGGCCTCACAGCAACTCGACGGTTCATTCTATTCTGGCCAGGAGTCGCCAGCGTTGTCGGAAGCTGTATCCGTGAGCAAGGCCGTACCTCTCTCGCCGCACCGTGACATTCCTTCTCGAAAAGGTCCGTCTAGATTGTTTCGACTTGCTGTTCATTCAATATCTCAATGTGCTTCTAGATTCGACGTCCTCTCCTTTGGTCTCTAATCAATCACCGAGTGCTGCAGTAGGCATTTCTGAGATCTCGTGTATCTGCTTGATAGCTGAGCTAATTTGGTGTAGCATGCACTGGCCAACGAAACAATACCCCAGCCTCCATCGAATGGTTCACAATCTTTGCAATCACAGGCTGTGCCAGCATCAGGCCCATCACCTCTTCCTCGGCAGCTCCAACAGTTCGATACTTCAAGGACGAAGTCGCCTTTGCCAGGAACGCCACAGACACAACAGCAGCCAATGTTCCCTCCGGGCGTCAGGGTCCCTCACGCTGAGCAGCAGCAACAGCAACAACAGCAGGCTATCGGTGCCTCCATTCCAGGGCAGCAGCCGACTCAACGGCCATCGTCGACTACACAACAAGTGCCGCAACATCGTCCTAACGTCCCTGCTGCTTTCCCTGGTTCGTTGTCAGATTTGGTGGTTTCCTTCGAGAACGTGAAGCAGAAAGGTGTGGTTGAATTTTGATTCGCTTATGTGGTCTTCAGTGACATGTTCCTGGTTTACAGCTCTGCGCGCGAATAACCTTGAGCAAGTGCACAAGATGCTCGAGGGAGGCTACTCAAATATCCCGCAACCTCAAGATACAGAGAAGTCAGTATTGATTACTAACACAAGCTATTGATTGCTCATCAATTGTATTTTTCCAGGCCTAAGTATTATGTCCCTCGTAATCCTTTCCAGACCGCGCCCTACTACCCTCAAGCTCCGCATGCACTACTTCAAACTCCCGGAATTTTTTCGCAGCTGGATGTAGAAACCCTCTTCTGGGTCTTCTACTATCTTCCTGGAACTTACCCACAGTAACTTACCTTCTTGTCTCGCCCGTATCCCTGAAGTTGACCTTTCTTTCAGATACCTTGCTGCGAAGGAGTTGAAGCGTCAATCATGGCGTTTTCATGTGAAGTACTTGACGTGGTTCCAGCGTCACTCAGAGCCGCAGGCTATCACCGAGGAATATGAACAAGGAGTCTATGTGTACTTCGACTGGGAGGGGTCATGGTGTCAACGGAAGAAGAGCGACTTCCGTTTCGAATACCGCTACCTCTCCGAGGATTAGGCCTCATTCGCTATCATTTATCCTGTACCAAGTTTACGTTTTGCATTGTCTCCTCTCTTCGCACTTTTTATTCGCTATCCTCCTTCCTTGTATCCATCATCAATTTCATAGTCAAAAGCTCAAATCTTTCGCTATGATTGTTTCGTTACCAGCGGTGTGATTGCATTAGTAAATACTCATAGAGAAGATAAGATTACTCTAGTTTGACCACAGCACCAATACCCTCGAACACCTTTTGCAGCTTCTCGGCCTCCTCCTTCGTCAGGTTTTCTTTCAGCACTTTTGGTACCGACTCAACGAACTTCTTGGCCTGGTAGCGACAGCAGTCAGAAACGAGGAGCGCGGAGGATGGGGTAGAGGTCTGATACGTACATCCATGAGCGTTAGGTTAGGCACCAGTGCCTTTACCTCTCGGATGACCTTAGGCTTTGAGGCGGGGTCGAAGGAGTCGAGTTTCACATTAAAAACGGTCTTCTCCTTGGGCTTTTCCTACGGGACACGTTAGAGCAAAACATCGAGCAGGGAAAATGGTGCTCACGGGAGCTGGTTCGTCTGTAGGGGCGGCGGCAGGGGCGGCGGGTGCGGGAGCGGCAGCAGGCATTGCCACCTCTTGGATGTTGAGTCGCGTCTACAGCACCACCGTTCGTGAGCAACACATCACTACAGCTCCACCACTTTTCCACACCTTTAGTTGAGCAACAAGGTCGGCCGCTTGAAGTAATGTCAGTCCCGAAATGTCGTCAACGATACGTGTAATGGTGGCGTCGGTTGAGGCTTTCGCGGGGAGTGGGGGAGAAGTCTTTTGGGCTTCTGCAGCTGTCGCCAGCCATCTTGAGGAGTTGGCCACTCTTGAGTAACTGCAGGGATAAACGGGTGGTCAAATGGGCGACTCTGGGCAAACCAAGGAAGTGGTACCGGATTGAAGAGGTGGGTCGCGAGAACGCGCGGAGGACACCAGAACAGCGACTCTGAAAGACAGGCCGACATAAAGACACGAAGAATACGGTGCAGAACGTCGTACTTACAGCCATGGATATAAAGGTAACGCGCAGGTAACGCGACTTGGACACGAGACGGAACGCCTTGAAGTTTATGACTCTGTTGGGTTTTGTTGTCCTGCGCCGTCCGAATGCCCGACTTCCGCCTTCGTCCCTGAACGCAACACAAATTGGAAGCCATGACAAGCAGTGGTTCTCCATTTTACAGCTACACAACTAACTATACCAATACAACTGTAACTAACCCAAGAATAAATATATATGCCTCAGATTTTGACGAGACTGAACGAGTGACGGCTTGAAGACCAAACGAACAAAGAAAATATGAGCGCTGCTGTGTTCCGAAATTGAAGAAGAAAAGATGAAGAGGAAAAGATGAATACATGGGCTCATAGATAATCAAAAAGCGCCTGGACGCGGTGTGACCGGAGACCGATATTTTGGTTCACTGACACCAGATTCCTGATCATATTCTCTCTGGAGGTCAACTTTATAGGATTCTGTAACTCGTCGTGATTTGGGCTTCCTCCAGAAACACAGAACAGAGAGAATATCCTAAGAAACGGTCGGTCCAAGTCCCTTAGCAAATTGAAGAAGCTTACAGGTTGTGTCCCAAAGATGAATAGGAACACCGTGGCGGCTGTGGAACTCTAACTTAGTGCTCGAGGCAGGGATAAGCTCCAAGTTAAAAACACACCTGTCGAAATGAGGACATCTGGGACAGGAGTAGACGGTGATTTGACCGAAAGCAGGCTCAAGCTAAGTAATGTAAATTAGTCAATACACCCAAACATTCATCCATGGCGCAACTAACCTCATGCAAATGATAACATAGAATCCAAAACAGATGATGCGGATTGGAAGACTAAGATCAGAAGTCCACCGAGCTTTGGCGCCTTGACCTAGGGACTGCTTCCAACGTTTGTAAATCATCACGGTCGTCCAGACTGAAAATACGTCGCTAAGATCATAAGAAACCGTGAAACGAGATACGGGAACGCACTAATGAGGATGAGCGCCACTAGCAACACTCCCGCAGAGAAGAGGGTGATGGTATTGGTACTGGAAAGATTTCGTCAGCAATGAATCTTGAAGATCTTGACCTGAAAACTAACATGGGCAGGCAGTCCAAAGAGCAATAAAAGAAACGGCGACTCCGAGACACTTGCTCAGGATGCGAGGCCCCAACCTACGTGAACTTCAGGATTGGCAGCACGGATGGAGAGTGTGGAGCTCACAATCGCAGTCGCCAACATGGAGGCAAAGAATACGACGTAGGGCGCGATCAGCATCTATGCAGACAATCCCGCTCAATCTTCGCGTTATTAGAGATATGGAAGGGAGCCAACCAGCCAGAGACGAAGCATATGATCCATTTCCTGATATTGTTTACCGTGGTATGCGGCCCTAATCATGTAGAACATCTGAGGCAGAGTCGAGTCAGCATCACTCAGCTTGCCCAGGGATCAGATACTTGCCTGTAGAAATAGCATACAAGCTGATGTTGACGAACTATAGACGGACTCAGTGAGGGCAGATTGTCATCGCAAAGATTAACTTACATCGCCGGCATCCCGTACAGCAGAGAGGCTTGTAATAGACAGAGCATCCGGGATGGTTCTGGTCCTGTCGTTCTGCCAGCATATACTCTGAGAAGAAAAGGGTTCACGCAGGCGTCAAGGTTTGGGAGTGAAGTCATCTCACAGTAGACTCGAAGAACTAGAACGATTTCAGTTTGTCGCCCGTAGCGCGCAACAAGATACTCACAAGCCCACTATCATCAATGCTATGATCAAATTGATGAAAGTTGGGTGCCGCTTCACCCTCTTGGAAAATAGTACAATTGCGAGCAAGACAGGTAGCCCGAGATGCGATGGCCACATGTTGAGCACCAAGAACGCGACTAACTCGCCATGGTTGCCTTTCACAATGTTCACGGGCCCAGTCGCTGGCGACGTGAGAGAAAAGTCAGAATTTCTGCAGCTGCTCCAGGGAACATGATACACACTCGTAACCCCCGTACTAGACATGACACTTGCCCTCCAAATCAAGGAAACCCCCACAAGTACGTTGATAAAGAAGCGTGAATGTTGAAGCCTGCTTCAGCTGTCGAAGAAAAAACGAATGTCAAGCTGCCAGAGCGTGGTGGAAGGAAAGAAGGAGGAAAATAGGCAATATCACCCGTTATGACAGGGGTGTGGCCAGGGCGCATCGTTGACTTCTTCCTGACTGATGGACTGCCCAGACTGGGATCGGTCTGCAAGTCACGCTGCTCGTCGTGAAGAGGTTCCTATGGGACTCCAGATGGGGCTCAATCATTTTCCACCGTTCATCGTGGATCAGCGACAGAAGTCCCCCCGACGCTGCGATACTTGTGTCCATACTTCTGCTTCCAGCCCTCCAAGAGCCACCCATTCAGACCCCATACCCTGCACATGTAGTCCTTAGAACTCGAGACGCTGCAAGGGTACTACTACTAGTCCTAGCAGATCTGTATGCTCCGTACCGATTCCTCGTCCCCGTATCGCGTAGGAGGCTTCGATATAGGTCGACGCGGATCGATCAAGACCTTTCATATGGAGGATTGACAGAAAAAAACTTAAGAGGGCTTAGATTGCCTTCTGACTTGGCAACGACACTTGAACCTTTGGATGCATATCTTCCACTCCACTGCCCGCCATTCAAACTAGCCTCAAGGTATCGGCAGTTGAAGGTACCCATGTCTTCCAGGGGCGACAGTCTTTTTCTTGGTTCGTTTCAGCTTCCCCTACATACCTCACCGTTGAGAATGATAGTGGGGGGTCATCCGCAAATCCCCATACGGTTTCCAGGCGCGATCTGCGGGATGTCAAATCGTTTCATCACGGTTGATCATTACAGTTGCGCCCAACAATGCTGACTGAGCATCCGTGCAGTAATTTTTTGTGAAATGCTTTATGTATACAAGGACAAGACGGGTGTGAGGAGCGATTACTCCGAGAAATAACAATGTCGCGAAACAGTGACTGCACGGGCACGCCGAAGACGCTGCTTTCTAACCTCCGCATCTGAGGAAAAAGACGGTCGATAAATATTCTGAGGGTAAAGAGGTAAAGAGGAGATTTACAGCACTTCCCAGTCATCTTGCGACGATTTTCCACGAGGGCTTGAAGAGTCTTCTGACTTTGAATTTTGAGCCGACTGAAGCTTTTGACGAGTTCAGGCGAATGAGGTTCCGGCAGAGGCGAATTGATGAAGGAGACCTGCAGGGCAGACTTCAGCTACTGGAAAATCATTGGCAGGTGGGTATCTCACCATGAAGAAACTATTCTGTGTATCATCTGGCGTCCCAGGAGAAATTATGCTCAAACTATCGTCGTAGCTTGAAGAATATACGATGACAGGGGTTTCCGGCCTTGGGAGACCTACATATCGAGATGAGTTGGCGTCAATGAAGAGACGGAAGGATGTTACCTTCGGTTGTAGTATCATCTGAAGGTTCAGCAGCTGCCTCTGGCAGAGACTCGCAAACAAGAGGCTCGGCCAATGACTTAGGAGGTTGCCTAGGAAGGTAAAGGAATAGAAAGATGGCTACAGAGAGGATGTAGCAGAGCTCAAGAGTTCTTTCGAAGAGGCCGAACACCAGGGAGATAACACCAGCCATACTTAATATCGAGGTTGGCTCCAGCTCGTAGGAGTAAATGTTAAAGATGGATAGAGAGGCTGACGTCTGAGCCTGCTCTTGAAGCCCGCAGGTCTGAAGTGTCAGCCTCGGCCTCGATTGAATACCAGCGCTGAGCCAGGGCATTGGACGGGTCGATCAAAAAGCGTCAAGGTCTGGTGTGCGTGTATTCTTGAGAGAGCACTGTGATAATACGAGGCTCATAGCGCAAAAGGCATTCGAACACGGAGTTTTCAGCATTCTGAACCGCTCAAGTTGGGGGCAGGAGCAAGGCAGGAGACAAGGAGCAAAATATTACGTAACGAACTATATGACATACGTATCAAACGCCGCCAAACAACATCTCTATTCTCGCGTTCAACCGTCCGCCAGTCCGGGTCGTTCATCATGGTTTCTCTTCTTCGAACCGTTCGAAGTATGCGTCGGGTGGGGCTGAGGGAGTGGTGGAGGCAATTGCAGTACATCGGAGACGCCAAATCCGGAACCTATGTTGGCACAGATCAGTGCGTCGGGACTTTCAGGCCAGAGAAGAGTAGTCTAAACGCCTTCGGTTTACAGGTTTGGAAACAGGTACTACGAGAACAGGAATGCGGAGGAGGAAATCCCTGGTATGTTGCCGATTATGTTGAAACGATCGATATCTTCCTTACCGTGTCTTTCAGGGCGTCACCGATGGGTTGACCTTGCCCAAGTACGAAATGTCATGGATTCTGCTCCAATACAACCTGACGACTGCTTCTTAGCACGAATACAATGCGACACAGGTGCCGCCAGAGTGGCATTCGTGGATATCTCATATCCGGAAAGACCCTCCAACTCAAGACACAGTCATGCAAAACCTGACCCCCCCTTGGAAAGCAGTGCGTCATAGATGTGTCTCTTGTCCTCTTTTTAGCATTCACCTGCTTCCCTGTAGCCATACTACGAAAATTTGACAGGCACACGAGGAGCGTACAAGCCATACAACACCGCCGTTCCGAAGATCTCTGCCTGGGAGCCCAAAACCAAGGCCCGTTCATAGACCTCTATTAGACCATGGCCCATTCAATCCACATTTTTATTCTCTGTTCTTATCTCTACGCCTCCAATCTCAGCATGTCCTCAACTACCATTTCCGCAATGGCAAGACTGGAAGTTAAGCCTGGAGACTCTATGCCCAGTAGGCTGACCATGGCGCCTCTCCTCTTCCTTTCCGCGTCGACATCAGGGTAATGACTCCTGATGGAAAAATCTTGGAATCCTCTTCCTGGTGGTATCAATTTGGGCCTGATGCCAACATAGTCAGGCTGCAGACTATCGAACGTCACTCCCGGCAAGTAATTTCTGACCGCCTGGTGCATGTCGTGCAACCTCAATTCATCTGGGACCAGCAGCTTCGTCCAGATTTCTGAATCTTCTTCGTTGTCTTTGATGTCCGACGCTGGAGGGTCTATCCATTCGATGTCAGGCCCGAACCGGATTTTACCTTGCAAATCGAGGGTCAAGTGAGTTCCCAAAGATTCGAAGGCATGTGCGTTAGGGCCTGTGTGTGGACATGGGTAGATAAGGTGTTTGACGCTTGAAACGCCTGGCCCATGATAAGAAGCGTAAGAGCCTCGGGCATAGTACGTTGGGATCCGCTTCTCCTGAGGAAGGACGGCATTGAGGACCAACGTGCTTGACAAACCCGACGAGTTGATAAGATTCCGCGCCAGCACCGCATAAGGCTCTTCGCCTTCCGAATTGGCTTGGACTACCCAGCCATGGTCGACGGCACCCACGTCGGGTACTCCTTGCACCGAGGACGTCGACTTCTGGTACGGGTCAATTCGGACAACGTTGGTCGCATACACGATTTCACCGCCTTCTGATTCCATGATATCCTTTTCTAGGCTCTCCATGAACGAATGTGAGTCGAGGATGCCTGTCTGAGGGCACCACAGAGAAGCCACGATGTCCGGGCTTAAGTCCGGTTCCATTTCCCTCGTCTCTTCTCTTGATAGCAGCTTCGTGGGCAAGACGAGCTCCTTTTGTGCATCTTCAGGGGAGTGTGCTGGCCACCTTAATTTCAAGGATTTGGTGTATAGCCCTTCGATGTAGGCACACTGATCCTCCCTGGCGACTACCAGCTTTCCTGTTTGTTTGAAGGGGATATTGTTTGATCTGCAACGTTCATACATCAGGTTGCGTCCCCGTAGACACAAACTCGTCTTGAGCGAGTCGGGAGGATAGTAAAGGCCTAAATCCGACGTCAGGTCACTAAAGGAGCGTTAGAGAAAAACTCTGCTCACCTGAGTGAATGACTTCGGAGTTGCGCGAGCTGTCGTAAAGGTCGGCACGGATACCCACTACAACAGAGGACTTACCTTATTTCTTCTCCTACGTGTGCATGTCTTTCGAGAAGATATGTCGATTTTGATGGGAACTTTTGGCATAGTCGTTGCGCGATGGCAAGTCCCACAATACCTGCAGTCGGATGGGTTTGAATCAAGAATATAAGAGAATATGACGCTCACCTCCACCCACAACCAAGTAGTCAACCACAGATTCTGGAGACTTGGTCTATTGTCAGAACCTTGGGACTGTCTGAATCCTCAAACCCGAGAGCTTTCTGCACCTTGTACTTGAACCGACCGCTGTCGTTCAGCGCCCTTGTGAGTCCCTTTATCGACCGCATCACTACCTCAATAGTTGGTCATCCAGCAGCAGCGATCTGATGCAGAAAGTTCTGGGATTCGAAAGTTCGAGCCGTGCGAGCCGTGCGAGACGTACGAGCCTGCTTAGCTAACGCAGTGGGCCTCGCCAACTCGTCAGCTACTCTACACTGGCAGCCAGCAACCGCTCGACACAGAATTGCACCATTATCTNNNNA